GTCTAAACCAAATTTAGCAGCCGCACACAAGTTCAGTACCAAAGTCTACATCCACTCACTGGAGAATGAAAAGTTGGAAGCACGAGCAGAAGAAGCAGTATTTGTTGGTGTTGATACCCAATCCAAGGCTTATCGAATCTATTGGCCGGAGAAACGACACATATCTGTAGAATGCAATGTCAGTTTTATCCCATGGGTAGTGGAGATAGACGGTGACATACCGGATGAGGGGGAGTCCAACATAATCACCGAAGCATCCAATAACACCTGGCAAGTCACCACAGCAGCAACACTAAGAACATCACCTCAACCTACCAAATCACTTCCTACCCCAAAGATGCTAAGGCCAGTGTGAATACGCTGTAGCACTCGGCCTCCGGCTGAGCTCATATTGGCCTATTTTGATACACATTTATTTACAGTCATTTTCCTTACAATAGGGTCGCACTTTTACCGCTTATTCAATCATGTTTTCCTTCACCTAGTATCCTGACACCTGCACTCCAAACTCCACACAGTTTCTACCAAATACTCACTGTTTTGCTATCCTAGTATGCCTGATGCCTCTGATAGGTAGTTATAGGCTGTATTTTTGTCGAAAGCTTCTGGTATTAGATTTCCCACTTCTTACCTGCTGTCCAGGAATTACTATTTGCTGTGTTTGCATCACTTTCACTTTCCTCCTGAGCTCTGGCCTCATCAGAAGCCCTTGGGGCTAAACATACTGCTCCTTTGTACTTGCCCAGCCCATATCTTTCTTTTACAACACCATCCAGAAGGATACTACAAAGCTCTACACAATGGAGACATAGCATCAGTAGCCACCATAGAAGCAATATGAGATAAAGAGCAGCCACTTACCAGTCACTGGGCACTCGCAGCCACTCAATGTGAGCCAACGCTCAAGGAGGCTCTAAACAAACCAGATGCTGAAGAATGGCAACAAGCAATTGACTATGAAATCAGTCAATTAGAGAAGCTACAAACCTAGGAGATAGTGGACATACTGAAGGGAGCTAACATTATTCCCTGCCATTTTGTTTTGGCAATGAAATAAGGACCATGTTGAATATGACAATGATTCGAACAGTCCTATTGATGGCTGCAAGAAACGATTGGGAGATACACCAAGTGGATATAAAGAGTGCCTACCTTAACGCCACGCTAAAGGATGACATGTATATGTGGGCACTGCCCAGATATTTGAAGAAAGGAGACAAGGGAAAAATCTTGAAGTTGCTGAGAAGCTTGTATGGCCTAAAGCAAGCTAGGTTTGAGTAGTCTGAGGAGCTAGAAGAATTTTTCTTCGAAGCTGGATATACAATGCTCACAAGAAGATATTACTCTGATTCATTGTGTACCATTGTCATCCATATATTCATCTTCATATTGCACACCTTTGCAATCTTTTTCTAGTAGCATCGTAGTACTGCATCAAGCCAGTTATTGATTCGGCTACACCATTTATGATCCTTATCTTTAGCATTCTAAGCACTGCATCAAGCCAGTTAAATAGTCATTGTCTCAACCCACCTAAAGTCATTAGAAGTTTGTTTAGATTGACCCAACTATTTATGCCTCCTCCCATGAATGACCATGTTGTCAACCATTGGTATTCGTCTGAACCATTGACTGTGGAGGATAGTGAGAACTGGTGATTTTATTGCCAATCACATCCTAGTAAGACATCGCCATAATCTATATCATAGTTCCACTCCTTCCCCTTCTGTACCTCCTGTGGCACCTGCAACTCATGATACTACCATGCAATCTTAAGCTGTCAAACCTCCTGTTGTGACTCCTGAAGCTACTGTGGCTTCTCCGGCAACTCTTGTTTCAGTGCCTGGAGCAATTGTCACATCCTCTCATGGAGTTGAGGTAGCAGGTTGTCAGTTACCTGACAAGGAGCCCATGGTGGTCAATGAGACCATGCAGCCTCTAGAAGATATTATTAACAATCAAGTGCACCACAGCGGTCGTGTTTATGTTCCATCTACTTGCACAATGGAAGCTAACAACAACATTGACACTGACAACAGTAGAAGAAAGCCACGAAAGTAAGTTCAATCATATGTTTCACTTCCACCTTGAACTTTAGTTTTAGGTCACGCAAATTGGTTCATTGAGCTAATGGCAGGTGTTATCTTCCATCTATTGTCATATTATCTTGCTATTGCTTGGTCTTGTCTTGTTGCCTCATCATTTTTTGGTATATATCCTTGTTGTAATGTATTTGTTTGTGTCTAGCTTGAAATACACTGTTCTTTGATGCAACAAGCTTGGTATTGTTCTGTGCATGTTGAAATCAATTATGAACATGTAACAAGACTTTAGTTATGAACATTCAGGACTTAGTCAAAATTCATTGCAAACAGTCAAGAGAATGAGTGACATGACTTTTATTAACATAAGCTACAGTGTCAAGTTGGGACTTCATTCAAAAACCATTGTAAACACCAGTCAACTGCAAACTATATAGTCGGGACTTAGTCAAAATTGCATCAGAAACCGTTATGTGGCTCTAAGGATTATTAGTGAGAACCAGCGAGATTGGCAGGTGTTAACATAGCCTGCAAGAAAGGGGTGAGATATTTAAAGCAGAAAGAACTGAGAGGAACTAATCAGTAGGTAAACTATTTTTAGTCATTATAGGGAAAGAACCGAGAAGAACTGATGGGCAACCTATTTTTATTCAAGGAATTAATATTGTCAACAAAAATAGACAGGGGTACCCAAATTAAGCTATGAGGATTAGTCAGAGAAGTTCAACAGTATGTCCCAGCACTGGTATTGATACAAAGAAGCCTGTATGCATACTTTGCTGGGACTGAGAGTCCTAGGCCAGTATGAATGCATAGTCTTCTATAATCCCTGAGTTTGCATTGATAAATATGACACTATGGCCTCCATGACTATGGTTGACTATGTGTATCAGGTTGTTTTTTACCAATACAAATTTTGTGTTGTATTATTATATTTTTTTATTACCAAATATGTACATTTCCCTACTATCTGCCATCATTCTCAGTGTCCTCGTTGTCTCCCTCAATGTGCTCGTCATCAGCCCCAACATTCTCATCAGTCTGCTCACAATCACCCTCAACATGCCATTGCCATCAGCATGATCTCCGTCATGGTTGCCACTGTACATATCTCTTCTGATTTGCTGTTGCTAATATTCTCCATTCTAGGGCCATCATTGTGCTCATTATTCTTGGCATCCTCATCATCATTCTCGGTGTCGTTATACTGATTTACCAACATTCATTTTGGTCATCCACCCACCTTGGAGCATCTCTTGTTTCCTTATACTCTGGCTGCCATCCCAGTTTCCTGATGCAGTGATGCTGATATGGTAGAATTTATTTCATGAAGGATGTCTTCATGTGAATGACTCAATTTTGTATGCTAATCAGACTCAGTGTACTGTCACATTGTGCTATAGCTGATTGTGCCATTGAATAGGTCTTTATTATGCATCTGATTTCCACTAATTCTGAAGAGCGAGTGTGTTGAGCTATCACTAGTGTGCTAAGTATGTTTACTTCCTGCTGATGACTCGGACATAGTTTTCGAAGCAAAACTCTTCACAGATATCACACTATAGTGTTGTGGAACTATCATTCAGTTCTATTGCTGTATAAAAGCCCATCTTTAGACCATGGTTCAAGTTATTATTGTCTTGTTGTGGTACATGATTCATTGCTCAGAATGTTCTTTATCTTTGCCTCGATTTGATGTGCTGATGTGCACAAAGTGTATGAAGCTCAAGGCTGAGAGTGCGGCTTATCATGGTGTGTGCTCACCTCCCTTCATGCTGATATCTATATTCACCAGTGCTTTCAGCAACAATTATAATGCAGATCTTATGGTTGTGTTTACCCCTTCTTGCGCTCACTGTTGTAGCACTCGGATCGGCATTGGGCTCATATCCTGCCAAACTCATAGGTATTCCACATACACACTCCTCAACACTCCTTTTACCTTCCGAGAGTTCCGTGCATTTGTCTGAGTCATCTGAAGGTCGTCTGTCCATTTCCGAGGCCTGTATACACTTCCGATCCTCCATACCATGTCCCATCCGTGTCTGTTTAACTTCGCTGGTGCGTTTTTCACTTGATTATCTGTTATTGATTATGTCTATGGGCACATATGTTGTTGGCCCGTCAGTTATATGTATAACAACACACCTTGCGCCTTATTACATGCATATCTCTGTAGCGGCTTGCCTCGAGTCTTATTACATTTCGGATGTCTTATCTCACTACTGGTTTCGCCTACGCAGTTTCCGGACCTTCACGCTATAGGATATAATCTGCCTCGCTAGCTACTCGCACTTCACTTCACTTTCCCTGCTACGAGTCATAGTTAGTAGAGTCACTTCGGATAGTCATACTTCACGCAATTGATCTCTTTGTTCATTTGGAACGATTGTTTGGCTTGACCACTGCCATTTCGCATCTCGCTATCTCTTAGTTTTCCCGATAGGCTTTGCTTAATCTTACTTTGCAAGTCTTATACTTCAACATACACACCGTACTTCTACTTCGGAACCTTTGCTGTTCATAGGAAGCTCTTTGGACGCTTTGCGCAACCTCGGACCTTCATTTCTTAACGTCAGACCACCTTTGGACCACTTCGGACGAGTACTTCGGTACTTCGGTACTTCGGACACATTCTCAGAACACCAAGTGCACTCTTGGTAGCTTTCCCTTCTCTCACCTTCGATCTTAACAAGATATCCCTTGCTTTATATCAAGGAGCATTTCTATAGGCAGTCTCTTTGGGACGAACATCTCACTCGCACTCTGAGTCTTAAGGTAACACTTTTGTAGCGCCCACATAGAATCAACTCTTTACACCATTATGTGCTGGTTGCACAGGCAGTCACAGTGGTGAGCAAACACTCGGAATTCTCAGTCTCAGAGTATTAAACAAACTGTTGGGCAGTAACACAGCCAGTGCTAGTGGTGTCACACAGTCTATTCTGCACTGTCATAATGTGCATAGTCGCAAGGCAAGTCAGCACCAACTAAACCAGCCACAGTTACAAAATACTTCGACATCAAATGCAAGTGATGTAAAGGGAAAATTTCTGCTCTCAAGGCCAATGCTCAGGCAGCAAAGGTTGATATCAATTTCACCCTTCAGCAATATCTCGCTGGTAGCTCAAAGCCTTCTAAACTTGCCATTCTGTCATCACAAGTTATGTTTGCTACTGTGGACCAGGCCACTACTGCGTTTGAACAATTGGCTTTGAAGGCAAAAGGCTTATATGAGAGTACTCTGACACTTTCAGGGCTTTTGGAGGCATCTCTTGATCTCATGTTTGACTGGTAATGTTAACACATAGTACAGGTTAACTGATGAATACTGACAAGCTTTATGATACAGGCATAGGATAAAATATTGCATGGTACTCAATAACACTGTTGTCAATTTGGTCGAGGAACATAAGTATCTAGTGGAGGCAACTATGGACAGTCTCTATGGTAAGCTGAAGCAGGATAGAATGTTATCTGACAAGGATGCATTGGCAAAGACCCCAAGAATCACTCTTTGAGTGTTCCTGTATGTTCCCGACAAGGTAAGTAGAATTCATCTGTACTGAAGCAAGTGTCTAACCTCATACCAGCCCGAGGATAAGGATGTCCACAAAGTACAACAAACACAACATGCTTCAAAAATGAAATCAACTGCAGCAAGCTCTCATCAGAAGCGAAAAAGATCTCTTACAGCATTGCCTGAATGTCCACAACCTGCTAAGCACTATCAAAGCTTATACTGGTCCAGAAGGTCTGCTACTGCACCTGTGCTCAAGTATGAAACCTTTGAAATGAAGCAGGCAGTGTGCTCTGTAAGCAAGACTAGTGAACTACAAATGGACTACAGCGAGTAACCAGAATATATCAAGGTTGTCAAAGGTTGACAAGCCCATGTCAAAGCTGGAAAATCCCATTAGGATTATCTTGGCCAGGGACTGACAAAGTTTGTGTCTCAGGTGAGTTATACTTCATTTGAGTGCTTGTAACACTAATGATCAATAACAGGGTTGTTATAGAGGTACTGACTGTGCTATCCTCCAATACAAACACATTCATTTGAGTAAGACTGACAATACAACAGATTTGCAGGGCAAATTTGAAACTCTTTATCTGGTTTCTACTGACGAGCAGGGGACAATGATGTCCATAATCTTCCTAGTAAGCTTTAAGTTATCACATGGAGTATAAATAGAAGCTGACTCGGACACAACACAGAAATGAGGTAGAATATTTCTGAAGCATTTATTGGTTACAATGTAAATTCTATACTGCGTTATGAAACATACTTAGCCCTGAATCCTGAATTAAGTAGGCGAGTGCAAACATGTTGCATGACTGGCCCATAGGCTGCACAGTCTCACATTTCTGGAGAGTCGGGGAATTGGTCAGTCACATGGGCACGCACCGTTACCGATTTAAAGCGCCACAATTTTGCACATGTGCCAACTAAGAACTTCCAAGCCTTGAAGCTACATATACCGCACTACACCATACTGCACTACGGTCGCACCTCGAGCTCAACGACCTCAAATTACAAAAGGGAAAAGTTGTAAAATGTCCACTCTACTAGAAACTCCAAATGTTATTTTCTGCCCTTTAAGCCCACCTCCTCGGCGTGGGACACATTCCACCACCACCTTGCCTCCAAGTCATTACCATAATACTGCAGATATGCCCATGGTGATGCAAACGGCACATGCAAGTCCCGATATTTCAGTTACAGCTGTGTTGCTTTGCCAACCTGACACAGAGAGCCGCTTGGGCGAAAAATGGGCACATGGCACACAGGTTCTGCATGTTAATATTATTGAGGAGTCTGAAGCTTCAGACACTGACTCTATCACGGATACCGAAGATAGCCAAACCAACGGGAATTTCTATGTGGTACGGCTAGGCCGTCGCCCGGGTGTATACAGCATGTGGTACCAATTTATTTTTCATCAGTACTTCCTTCAGCTCACACATTGCTGTTTAGGATAGAAGCTGTCCAGCAAATTGATGACGTCCCAGGAGCCATGTCTAAATACCAGACTAAGCGCGAGGCAATAGCAGATTATAGGGGCTTTAAATACGGCAGAGGCCTCCATGATCCATCTGTTGCACTGATGAGGAAACACGAGTAGGCTAGTAGCTGGTCATTGAGTCGATGTTGACCACAGCCTGGATGCCTTCTTCGTTATCTTGTCATTATCTTTTCAATAAGTTCACATTTGAACCGCCGCCGTACATAGTGCTGATGCTACATGCTACATACTTATTACCACGTTGTCAGAAAAGCCAGCTTCTCTACTCTTGTAATAAAGCGAAGAAATAGCAGACTGTGCATCTCAAATCAGGTGTTTATCAGAGGATGTCAAGAGAATAGTTACGTACTAACAGTGAACTAGAAGGGACACCTTCGGAAGATGGATTGAGATGTATGTAACGTGGACTCAAGGAGGCCAATGAATGGCTGTAGTAAGATAGGTAAGTCGCAGCTTCTTCCTAGATACACTTACATTGATTTGCTTCCAAAATCTGCGTTAATGGACGTTCGTCAGCAGAAGGAAAGTAATGAATTGCGCGACCTTACATGATACTCGAAAAGCTTTTCAATGTCAGTGTTATTCACGAGTCCACGGAGAACTATCTCTGGTGTGTGCTGTTCCACCAGGGTTTTATGGATGTTCAAGTTTAAGGCAGGACCTCCTGGGTTATTGGAAACAGCATGTACTATTGTTGGTCCACAACAGCATCTTACCAGGCAAAAAGAACTCCTTATTGGCCACACCCTGCAAGTAATTACCGTCATTACTAACACAGGGCCAACATCATGATAAACAGCCATTACTTGTCACATTGTCATCGTCGTCTTCACGTTTCATGTTACCTCCACCTGCACCAGTGTTACCACCTTGGCGCCCTCTACCTTTACCCTTCCGGTTGGTGATCTTCCCAGCACTTGGTGTGATCATACCAGCGTCTATCGTGCCGAACAGTCCTTGACAACACATAGTATGATCTGAACCCTCAAAACAACCTTCCCTCTCAGCTGAACTCTATCCATGGCAGTCCCCATATCCCCACCCTGTCTTTCTCTCTCTTATTTCATCCACCATCCTCGATCCTCATCATTTAGCTCCATCGTGCTATCATGCCTAGTTGCTTGGAAAGCTGATATATCAGAATTGAAGGCAAGTTCCTCCATATTACCTTCATATCTATTTCATGATCCTCACACTCTATCTACACTGTACAGTCATCAACACCAGAAATCTTTTAATCCCCTCCTGGTGTATTCCCGCTGGCATTTATGTGTCCATCAATGTCGACTCGGGGAGATGCCGGAAGTCAGCCATCAGCGTCTTATCATCCGATCAATCTGTAGCATGGGGGAATACTATAACCTCATGGTGACTGACACAATACAAGAACTGATCTTGAGTTTATAGGTCATTACATGCCTCACCTGCATTGTCAGTCAAGATCAGGGCATCCTATGAGTTTGTTCGAATGCTAGGCGGCGGAGAGGTCATTGTAAAACTTCAAATGCCATGGGATGAGCTACTCGATCATGGAGATGAGCCATTTGGTGAGTGATTTACTTCCTATTCATGTACATATACTAACATCTCATAGATTTATCCTTCTCACCCGTGCGCAGTGTCTAACCTTCCATCACACTGAAGGCCGCCGTTGTACATGCTTGCGACAATCAAAATGGTGCACTGTTTGATGTGAGTGATGCCAGACTCCAGCTTGTTAACTTTTACTGAACGTCAACTATAGTCCCTCGTAGATTGCGAGATTGCTCGAAACACAGATGCGGGCCATGCACGATTTGTCAAATACGCGACAACCCAGAATGTCTTTCACTTAAACACTGCTGTACAGTATTTTCAGTTGGCTCTAGATCAGTGTCCGTTCAGCCATCCAGACCACGCGACAGCTCTCACCCACCTCGCGTGGGCCCGCTGTAGCACTCGAGTTCGCGCTAGGCTCGTATCCACTGATTTCCCGATATATGTTCAATGCCCATCACTATCCGATGTAACCCGCACAACCTGACGCAAACCCGACACTTTGACTAGCGGACCCGACGTTTCGGCTGCATCGGACCCGATATTTTCCTGTGCACTTGTCCTATCCGTGTCCTGTCCTGTCTTGCTAGCCCCACTAGGTGCGTAGTTGATTATTTCACACATTACTCATGTTGTAGCCAGCGCTATTACATGTTTTCCCATCATCCGCAGCGCCTCGTGTTTATTTACATGTACTTCGGACCCGAAATCGTCGGCCGCTACTTTCGCCTACGGCCTTCCAAATTTCTATGTACTTATATATGTATTGGACTGACTACGAGTATTTTCATTATCCAAGTAGTAGGGAGCTGTTTCCTGATACTTAGTGGTCAAACCCGATATTTCGTAGTTCTTAGTTGACATTGCAAATATTACCGCTCTTTCTATCCGAAATACCCGTCATTATCATATATCCACATACCGCTCGCTTTCCTAATGTTCGCTATCGCCATTCCCGCTAACCCGCTAAACCCGCACCCAAAACCCACTAACCCAAAACCCAAAAACATCGGACCCAACACTTTGGCATCGGACATCATAGATATACCTTCGGACTTTGTTTCCCGCGCTCGGACTGCTGACTGTTTTATTATTTCACTAACTACAGACCAATCCAATAGCTAACCCCTTGGGTTGAACGCACTTGTCTTGCAAGTATAAGCAGACTAGGCTGTGCACGACCACAACATTTTTATATTGCTGGCTACTTACTTTGTGTAGTGCCCAGCAATTGTCGTATCTCTACACCGCCTTCAAGGGTATATTTGCAAGGGCCATCAAGACATTGACTCCACCATTTCCCTCTTCCACGAAGCCCTTGCATTGTGTCCGCTGCCTCATCCCGATCATCTCCTATCTCTATACAATCTCACCAGAGCACTAAATTGGCATTATCATAAGACAAGTACTGCTGCAGACATCTGCGAAACTGCCTACCTCTATCATAAGCTCTTGCTTCTCTGTTCAGATGGCACGTACCTTCATAGCATCGTGGCAAGGAAAATTCATATCGATAATGTGATTGTCAAATGCAACAATATTCCAATAGACGCATCCAATGAAGGTATCCACCTTCGACGAGTTGTCCTCAAGCTCTGTCCTCTTGGCCATCAGCTGATTCAGCTCCGTCTCACAGCCCGCTACAATCTCGCACAAGCAGTTGAAGCACGTTTTGATCAGCACAGCAACATCGACGATCACACCTAACCTGTTTGATAGGACCTCATCAGTCTTCCATCATCATCTGAAAAGGAAGATTCAATCGAAATTCGACGTGATCAAAGCCAGAAAATGGTGGGCTTTGCTGGGGGAGTCACGGTCTGTACTAGTGGCTCAGAGAGAGCTTGACGAGAGATGGGCAGAATGCAGTCGCGAGATTGGGTTTGACAATGGGTGTGGATATGGGCGGGACTGCTCTATCTATCTGAGTTGTTAGCTATGGTCCCCTATTATCAATCAGACCTTCATGCAGAAGTCACTTCGCTAACCTAATTATAGAATTTCGCCCAAGAGAATGCAACATTAAGTTGGAAGGTTAGCGAAAAGATTGGTATACTAGTAGTGGCTAGTGACAGAACCTCTGTACTCTCTGTTCTTCTGTACTGCATGTCGATAACAACCACGAGGTCAATAAACAGAAGGCGTGAATGAGTTGGTCTGTGCATAAGGCCTTCTTAGGGTCAATGCCTGGCCTTTTTCGATTTTCCTCCGTGGTACCCTTACTTGCAACACGCCTCTTGTCTTTAGATCCATTACTCGTCACTCAAGGCCACATCCATGAAACGCAGGGTTTCAAGTGCATCTGCTAGAATCTGCTTCTCCCCGAGCCGCACTATGATGGCATGTCTCTTGAGTGTGAGTGATTCGGATGCAAGAAGCTTTGTGTCAACCTAAAATGAGGCATAATTTCTGTGTCACTGATCCCCGAGTGGGACAATGACTGAATGAACGTACTTCAAGATCTGGCGATTGATAACTAGTCAAGCGCATCTCAAATATTTTTCGTAATAATGGAGAGACTTGGTGATCAAACTAGGCTTTCGAGAAACACCCTTTCTCTCCTGTGTTTTGTCCGATTCTTCTTGGGTGAGAAGAAGAAGTCTTATGAAAGATGTCAGCGCTGCAGGGAGAACTGGGTCTGCGTCAATCATGAAAACGCTGGATAACGTGCTTGAGCACAGGAAGAGAAAAAAAGTAAGCGAGTGCCATACCCATCGCCCCCTTCGTTGAGCCACCAGTCGATCTGTCGTTGATATGTCTCGCCAGTAGATACATCACCACAAATAACACTGACAACAAGGTCTGCTCATATCTCCACGATGTCTTGTGGATTTCCAAGCGAACCCTTTAGATGGGGACAAGGCACGAGATCAACATGTCTGTAGCGCCGGTGCAGGTCTGAGTTGGACAGGTCGCCGTATGTATTGAACTTGATTGTAGGTAAACCAACATAATCACTTGGTGCAGACCGACTTACTATTTGTTCTCCAGCTTTGATGGGCTTCATGGTGACCATTTGAAGATGATGCTTCTCATAGAAAAGTTTAAAGACTGGGACAGAAAATTTTCATGTCCACTTGACAGAGTCATATCGAGCATTCAGAGCATCAGCCACAGGTACCATTGCAATATCCAATGTATCCTCTATCTCCTCATCATCACTACCTCTGTCACTGCTCTCTTCGTTTACAGCTTCACCACCATCTCCTGAATCATCAACATCCATTGTGCTCCCAACACTCACGTTGGCCTGGGTATCTTTGTTACAGTCTTCTGCGGTGACATGTTTGGCATCCCGCTCATCTTCACCTTCCCACCTCTCTACATTGAAGCTTCGAGATAAAATTCGGCTGCCTGTAATATGGTACTGATGAAGTGGGTACCATGTGTCGATTTGATTGAAGGGGAAAAGATCCGGTCGAGTCTAATTTGTCCAGTATTTGAGTCCAAGTGGGAAAAGTCAAAAAAATAGATCTACCTTGATCGCCGGAGTTAGCTTCTCATGATAGTCGCGCTCAGCCTCATCCCAACCTATCTTGTCTAGAAATTATAAACGAGAATACAATGAAAAAATTACAAGTGACCTACCACAGCCGTTCCTTGGTTCTTGTAGTTCTTCGTCGCTCCAGAATATTGAGGTGTCGAATGGCGTCGGTAGACGCTGTATATTGAGTTGAGAAAAAAACTAACAAGTGTTCATTTGGAAAGACCTACCGAGATATGTAATCCGCTTTCCTTGATTTCCTTGAGCTTCCTCCCACATCATACAAAGAATCAGCCCAACCCAACCCTTGTGCAATTTGTGCTGTCTCCAATCTTCAAAACCGAATGCAGAAGGATCACAATGACCGAATGTAGCGAGTCTTCCAACGTGCTCGCATTCCAGTCATCCTCGACGTTCCAATTTTCATTACTCACTAAACTGATTATTTAACATCAGCATAATTCAACTGGTAGAAATACGGGTAGCAGGGGAGTAACGTACCTCTGATCGGGATTGCAAGTAGCCAAGTAGAGCTCATAAAAATGATAAGCTACTAGTGTCTTATCAGAAGATCATTGTGCGCGCTCTGGATGAGACCAGTGTGGATCAAGGTTTTTTCAAGCTTGGTCATAAAAAGCGAGTGGGCCACAGAATTTTGAATTGCGCATTGAGGCAGTAGCGATTGTATATGGTCGTTCTTTCTTGTGAAGGTTCCAGCAGATGGCAAAGCATTTAGAATTATGTAATATTGGTTCCATTTTACAGGCCTCAACGACTTGCAGAATTGAGTAATGGTCAAGTGCCTTCTCGAGCACGACCCTGGGACCATTACACAGAGATCACTAATTTAAAGTTTAGGCCAAGAATGCACAAAGGAAATGAATATCATGCCTCATGTGAACCCATAAGTATTTCCGAAGGCAAGGTCCAATCAGATACCACCATTAATGTCGATCGTATGTTATTTTCTTTTCTGAATTTCAATGTCTGGTAGTGCCCCAAGACACCGTTATCAATTTCTTCATTTGCGACAGGTGTTGAGATCTCTGGGAGGGGAAAGACAAATTGAGAATTTGCAGAGGAGTAGACTTATTATCATACCAGAAATGCGATCACCTTCTTTGAGGTTATAGATAACTGAAATGAAGACCAGATCGGAGCTCGAGACATTCACGTGTGATAAATATGTGTGAAGGGGGAGAAGAAGTGTAGGCATGTTGGTATTTTCAATGAGGCGGCATTAGTATTTTGAATTTTCAGTGTCAAGTGACAGCTGCGATGTCTGGATGAAAGGATGAAGAGATCTAGGTCCGTTGGTAGTGGTATTGACATCGTGTCAAGCGAGAAGTTACGAATAAACTTCTGTAAGACTTTTGAACAAATCGAGGAGTATTCCAAGCTGCTGGTCCGCAGCTCTTTTCTGCCGCAACAGATCGCTACCAGGTAATCCAATAGAAAGATCAGTTGAGCTCTTTCAAGGCATCAAGTTCGCCTTTACTAGTCCGACCTGGAGAGAGCAATAACAGCACCAATATTGTCAATGATCTGCGATTGATGTATCAAGATTCGGATTTCCTCCATGACACAACTTGAATGAACTGCTCCTTGCGATCCTGATAAAAACTAACCATGCAGCCATGTGCTAAGATCGGGACTTTCCTTGGATATGCGGGACACAGCTCTCGCTGTGCCTGACAGAAAACCGAAGAGGTGAAGATCTGTGACGGCAGGTAGAAGTTCGTTGCAGCGACTTTAGATGACGGCACAAGTAGAGTGGAACGTTCTCGCGCAATGATAACCAGATACCAGCCTAGTTCAATTGGGAGAAATTCTAAAGACACATCTAGCACGAGCGGGACTAAATACTTCATAGGTAGGAAGCTCATGATTATTCTGACTTGAAAATACTGAAACCGTATTCTTCCTAAACATTCTAGACGGCGAGTCTAGGCCTTTTGTTACGGGCATGACGGTTCCTTGCGCCTCGATCAAGGCAACCGCCACAAGATCAAACACGGACTGAGTACTTAAGGATCTTTGGTCGCCAAAGCACAAGGGTCCGAGAGCCGTACAGGCTGCAGGAAGACTGGGTAAGAATACCAATGCTATTGCAATAGATATCATTGTAGTCATTTGATATGTTGTCTCTTACCGAACCATCAAAATGCTCGCGTCTCACGAGTCGCCGCTCGTGCTAAGCGGACGGTAATTGCAGAACCAATGCTGGTTCAATTCTTTTCTGAAATGGCTTCTGAGTTGCCGTCATCAATTTCCACTGTCTATCATTACAAGCGTGGATATCACTGGGGAGGGGAAATACATATCGAGAAGGTGCACAAGCCAGAGTAGAGTATTCTCATGCCAGAGATGTGACTACCTTCACCGAGGTAGATAACTAAAATGAAATCGGAGCTCAAGATAATCATGTGCATACATCTCAAATTTCAAGGACGTGGTGGGTGATGAGGAGATGGGGGTCCGTTTGCAGTCGACATTGTGCCCCGCCAGTACTAGGACAGGCACAAAGTAGTTAATCCCATTGACAAGGCTCTGGTGTGTCCTTTTGCAACACCAGAGAAAGTTGAACCAATTGAAGAGTATCGCAAGCTGCTGATTCATGAGTCAGCCTTGCATGGGCAGTGTGCTCGAAAAATTGGGCATTTCACTTACAGCATTTTGAAGCGTTAACAAGTCCTCTAGTACGCCAATCGAGTCAACCTGGCCTAGGATGATCAGGGCAGTACCGATGGATCTGCGGTCGATGGATCGAGATTGACACTATAATGTCCTGTTCCTTCCGATCCTTGAAGGTATGTGTCACAGGTATCAGCATGTTTCTTGGATGTGGACATCGTCTATACCGAAAATGAGGATTGGCTGCAAGTCAGTAGTGAGTCAGGATCAAAGTACATAGATATATAGAAGAAGACTCAAATAATGCTAGTTCGCCTTCACAGCATAATGATGGAAAGGCAATCGTTCCTCCTGTGAGTTCGCTTGATTTGATTGACCATTATCATGGGTGTCTAGGGATGAGGAATGATGTTAACTTTGTCACTCATACACACCAACAGCAGTCGATAGTGCAGGGCTTAGGATGGATGTTGAACTTCAGTCTTCACCTAGGATAGCACTGGTTGATACTTTCTGACGTTCATGATAGATCATAGCATGGACCATACTATTTGTAAAGCAATTCGAACGTCATCCAATTGCTTGAGCCATTGATTTGACAACAATAATCAAGTTGACATTTATGCTGGGCAGCGTAAGTCACTGCTATGTAGTTGGAGGTCTAGACTCTAGAGGCGACACAATCATTATGTAATGTTGCCAACCTTGACCAAGCAACAAAGCAAACCCCATGACTTAAGGTAATTATGCAATGTACGAATAGTAACCAGGTCGACATTTCAACGCAATCAGGTCAACCAGTTGGGGCACAACCATCTCAAGCACTATCGATCCAAGCAGAAGCACAAGGCTCAACTGGCAGAGCGGAAGACTTTGTAGATGCAGGAGTGAGCTGCTGCAGATTTTTCTTTGGTCTCCATCATCCTGCTTCTCATCAGTCCTGAATGATGGAAGACATGTGGCATGTGTACACTCAGTTTAGCTCTCTTTCCCCCACACTTGTGGCTAACTCCTCTCATAATCAATATTAGCCGCCATAACTATCACCCATGCACTCGGATCCATCTCTCCTTGTGCACCTCCTTTCCCTTGCGCTACTTTCCCTGGATCCACACCATGTGTTGACAACACCACCGGGGAAGTTAACCCTGTTGTCTGGAATGCAGCTTTTGGTGGTTCAATGGTCTTCTGCGCGGGAAGCTTGATGATTGCTGGAAAGGCAACCGTTGAAACGTCGAAGTTGAATTTCGTGCAGCATTGTATGCAACAAGAGGCTCCCATACTTCATATGTCTTGTCTTCATTCAAACTCAAAACCAACTCTACTCATGGACTTTTATCGATAAGCCACAAGGTATGAATTGTCCCAAAAACCTCAGACGTGAGCTAATGTTTGATTGTTTCTATGGCATCTGCAGCAGTTTAACTATACCTCTTGTTTACCCCAAACCCTGCTCAATGTTTGAACAATGGTATCCAATGGCCAGACTAAGAAAGTCGATGTACTACTATGCCAGTCCAGTGTGGTGCATGGGTGTGTGTCAGCCCTTTGATGATTCAATAAATCAATTCAGTCTCTTCAGGAACTTGAAGTAGCAGAACAGCAGCGTGGCGTACACACTGACACTGACGCCCTCACAAAGGCGGCCACCTCCAATTAGTGCTAGTTCACTATTCCTGCGGACACCCCATCGGTAAGTCCTTCCACCACTCTCGTTCCAACGCGAATGGTATCGGGGAGGTGTGGGCCCCTGACACAGTCAACTCCAGATTCATGCGTTGATGCTGATTTTGCGAACCTCAGATTTCCGGTTGATCTACCCATCCCCATGGAATGAATGTGTTAGACGACGCACGTCACAACGAAGTCGCTGGCCACTTTATCAACACGATCGGTTTATTGTCTATGTCGGCCATCCATTCTAGGTATGATGTCTTCGTAATGGTAGATTGATTTCGATGCAGCCGGAAACCTTTTTTTCACACTCCACTGGGTTTTTTCTAGTAATTTGGCAGGACCTGAAGCCCTGGTGGCAAACTAAGTGCATACGTTATAACACAAGTAACAGGACGATATATCTTGCTATCCCACTAGTACAAAAATTACCTCATTGCGAACATGCTGACGATATGTCGTTGATTCGATCAACTCGTGACTGGATGGTTAAGGAGCGACCCTTATCCTGAGAAGACATCAGTCCCCGATGTCACCAGGAGGACCATGGCATTTCCATGTGTGATAAATAATCACCCAGACCAAATCGCCAGGTCGGCATGAACATCTGAAGCATGCACAAGCCCTCAGAGGACGCAGATGTCGTTGTGTGTGTTGATAAACAAATAGGCAGGCAATACATCATCTGTAGAAACACGTGGCTACTCTGAGCTCACTTGGGTATTGCAGGAAGTCCTCCATTGGAGACATGGGAGTACTCGGTAAATTTTGCATCTTCACCATTGTAAGCCTGAAATTACAGGGGTGATGGGTACCTCCCCTCATCTGGTAGCAAGTGCTCTCCTGACGTTCATCGCCAGGTGAATGACAATGACGTGGCTAGTGGGAATTCAAGAGGCAATACTTCGAGATGTTGCCCACACCTGACCCACCAAACCCCAGGCTTGCACCATGCCGTGCTAGCCTCTCGCGCCCACCATGACTGAGGTACAAAGAAATTAACTGCCCCAGCCTTATAGTAACTGTGCCCGCAATCAGCTCGATGCTGCTGGAGGGCTGTGATAAATACAATGAGGGGCCATGCCATAATGATAGTGACTGCCTACGCTCTGGATCGTTGTAGAGACTCATGCCTCTCATTGTGCAATATGGCAGTTTTCACTGGGGAGTACATGGCACGAACTTGTAGCATCACTCTGTGTGCTACCTGCAGCTATCTCTATATGAGGCGCAGCTTTCCCGCGCAACGCGCGCCATGCGCGCGTACCTTTCCCGCGCTTCACGATGTATATGCGCGCGCGCTTTCCCGCGCTTGAGCGCCCTATAGCGCCAGCCATCCGGAAGCATCCATCCACTGTCCACCAAGTTCCCTAGTGCGTATATTTCCATTTCTCACATTTGCTGATCATTCCATCTTTATTTTTATCATGGACCCTTACTTACATATATCTTTACATACCTTACTCGGTAGCGCTTCGGCTCCGTATGACAGCGCTTAGGCGCCATACTTAAGCGCCAGCAGTACAAACTTACTCACCCACCGGGACAAACTTACTCTCCCACCAGAACGACAGAGGACTTACTGGTTACTACCCACTATTTACCTAGCAGAACATAGTAGAAATCTACTTGTTTACACCTCGCATCTCTCTTCTCTTGTCTTACATCATATCATCACTTAAGCAAACTCACTCTTACTCTCTCTCGTATCTGTATACACGTGCACGCTTTCCTGCGCTTCGCGCCGTACACGCGCGCATTCCCGCGCCTCGCGCGCACCTGCGCTTTCCCGCGCTTCGCATTGGCCAACCAGTAGCGCTTTCAGCGCATACCTCTAGATCCTTGCTGCACTCGCTTCCCCTTTAGGGTCGAACGCACTTGTCGTCTCAAGTATAGCAGACTAGGCAACGCGCGACCTTACAACATTTATAGATACAGTCAGGAGCACTGTTCGTGCCTTGCTGTATCGTTGAACCTTCATCGTACTCGATATAATGTTTCATGAATCCAGTGCATAAGTTCACAGGCTTCATCTCGAACTACTGCGGTGAGACGTGATTTAACATTCGCAAATGTTCCGACAGTGTCCACATCCCCGTCCGAACCAAACTTTTCAGCACACAGCCCAGGTCGTAACAGCCACCCTCAATGCCCAAAGAACTACCCTCGTCACTCCGCTTCACCAATAGCGGAATTTTCGAATGGGTCAAACACCACTTTTGGCGGATAACCTGGCACAAGAGCACTGTCAATAAGACGAAAGGGATGGCAGTGGTGATGATGGTGCTAGTAGGAACAGTACTGGGCGAAGACCACCTGGAGGATGGCGGGAACCAGCAGGTGAGCCAGGCTGGGACGACTGCATCAGTGCCAAGTGCCACCTAACAACTCGGCCTGGTCTATTCAGAAAAGTACAGCTGTCCTTGCGCCTCGAAGCATCTCCAATCTGGTTGCTATCATGTCCACCCTCAACTCATGATCTATCCCCCCAACCACAGCCTCCAGGGTGAGCTCCCCAACAGCAGAAGCACGAATGAAGCCCTAAAGGGTGCTGGTAAATCTTGCCACTGTTGGCAGCTGGGCCAGATGCGTCCTTGATCATCAAGTTGACACATCTGCCAAGGTCCACACTTTCTTGAATGGTCATGTACTCGGGCTCAGGCCGGGCTTTACCCCCTCCTGATGGCAGAACGGTATGGCATCAATGTTCCAAGTGGGCTACCGTACTACCCTAGAGTGAGGAGGTCGTCTGTGTCCTGCACGGCCGCAATAAACTGCGAGCGCTGATAGGCGCACAGAACAAAATGGCATCAAATACGATGCACAGGAATCCACATGGAGCCCGAAGAGCCTTTTCTTCCATCTACGATTGACGGCGAGCGGGAGCATAAGAAGTGCTATACACTGGATACTGATCTGCTATTTCATAGGGTTTTGTTCTCATCTTCCTCCGTAGGTTCGGTCAAAGGGATGGCTACTGGCACATGAAAATGTAGTTGATATGTTTTCACTAATCGCAGACTGGTACAACCTCATTGGAAGCCTTCCCATCCATATTGCTTGAGGAATGGGTTGTCACTCGCCCCGTCCCAGCTACACAGCTGCCAGTCACGATCTCGAGCAGTGCATGGTGCCAGCTCAGTAAGGATGCACTCATAACAAACTGGCCGCTCAGCAATGACCACCTGGGTGGTGGCATTGAGCTGGTCATTCGAGGGCTGGGGTCCAATACCCAGCAGCACAGGTATGGGCGACAACTGCATCGACCTACCGCATCAGTTTCAGTGGTCAAGTAGGCGAAATCACTAACAATTACCTTTTGAACGGGCTTCCATGACTTCCTGTTCGAAGTCATGGGACCAGGATGGGTCCGGACGGACCCAGATGAGTGGTGCCGGAGCTTCCTGATTCCAGACCTTCGGAACCGCAGAGCTCGAGTGGGAGTCATGAAGGGTAGGCCCCAGCAGCTCACAAGACAAATTGGTCTTAGAACTACTGTCGAGAGAAATGCGCCCAGCTGAACCCCTCAGCCCATAAGATATAAATCGGCCCCCCATTCAGGTAAGCGAGTAAGGTATCTGGGGCAGGGTTAGCATCAGAAGAGAGCAGTGCAACTGAGGCGTACTGATTCATACTTCCACCAGGAAGGTAAGCCCTGAGCCTCTTGAAAGGCATTTCCACCGAAAAAGTCGCAGACTCTGTGGGCACAGAACCCGAGTCAGCGCAATTCCTCGAGTGCCTGCCAGGGCACTCATATCCAGGGTGGACAGAAGATGACCTGGGAGAAATTTGGGCACCATCCCAGGAACTTGGCGTCCGGGCCTGGCTTTTCAGGGTGAAAGCGCCCAAGACAAAAGGGTAAAACACAAGAACAGTGATCCCCAGGTGCCAGAAGCTCCCATTAGGGCGAGTGCAAGGGCATTGACATTTGCAGGATTCTTAAAAAGTATCCTGACGCACCGAGCTCTCGGGGACCCCTTCCAGAAACTTCACCGCAACCTGAGGAAAACCATTTAGTGATGGTGGTTGACGTTGGGTTGATGACAATGTACCGCAAGTTCATAAGTCGTTATTTGTCTTTGTTGTGACTTTGTGCTTGCTGCAAGTCTTTGATTCCAGAGAAGTAGCGCTCAAAACCAAAAGTGAACCCTGCCAAGTCGCCCTCGCCAATCACCTGATCTCGTCGTGTTCGCCTATTATTCGGATGACTATTTCATGTTCCGTTATTGTTAAACTGTTTGGTTTGGTAAGTCCCTGCCATTTTTTTACAATGTCTTCTGCACAGTCACCATGCCTTGCCGATCACATTTCAACACCTGGGGTTTGGCCGGCAACATACTTGGCGGTCTCGCAATAAATAATCCAGTCACCATCCCATATTCACATAATTAATATATCTCAGATGGGGAGTCCGACTCTGGTACTGCCCACACCGGCAATGAAGTCGATGCCAATCATTTCAGCACCTCTCGAAATAGAGCTCACAAGTCCTGCAGAGTTTTATCTTAGTGTGGACAGGAACTTCCACCCACCCACCAGTGGCACCTGCATCCATTATGCACGCCCTTCAAATTGATCTCATGGCATCCCCATACCCACTCACTCATCTCAAGCACACAATGAACAGTCTTCAGCATCACTATCTAGTTCTCATGGGTCGCTGTCAACATTCCCCGCCGCCCCAACTAGACACCTCTTTGAAGACGCAGGACCTTATCTGTGTGAGACACTACACATTCCATCCCACAAGAAAATAGACTTGTGGGCGCTTCCAGATCCACTTGAAGGAGAGAAACCAAACCAGCCCTATCCTATATTGATCAAGCTGGCAATTTACGGAAGCCCAAATAAGCAGCTCACATTGCAAGAGATATACACAGTACTCGAGGGTCATTTTGAATGGTTCAAGGTTCAACGAAACGAGAAGGCTTGGAAGTTGGGTTTTTGTTCTGACTCCTCACCTATTCTGCCTCATGACTATGCACAGAACTCAATTCGCCATAACCTTTCTTTGAACAAAGTCTTCAAACATGTTCCCCATACCATCATGGAGCCAGGCAAAGGAAGCTATTGGCAACTTGACTGCTCTGATGGCGAGGGTTACAAGCGCCCTCATAAGCGCCGCAGCAAGTCTGCTCGAGCAGTGCTTGAACAAAGCGATGATGATGATTCTTCGTTTGGAGGTGGTGACGTGGAGGGGACGAATGCACCTCTGGCTGGTGTGCTAGCAGGTTTGGGTCATGTTCCAAATCACCCTAGCCTTGCAGCATCCAACAACTCCTACATCAATCCTAAGTTGAGACAGGGAAGTCACATTGTTGGTGAAGGTCGAACCCGATCTGTATTGCGCAGGCCTGCCACCAGTCCATATCAGCGTAAAGTAAGTTACCCGCCACCACTTGTGCCGTTCTCCGGGTTGCTCAAAAAGCTCAAATCAAGTGCCAAGGACTGGAGCAAAGGGACTATGAAGCACATTGTACATGTATCTTGATAGCCAGTCGGAACATTTTCCCATCTAGTCTTCAATTGCAGCTTGCTATCAAGCTTCTCACTTTCATGCGTTTTGCTCGATCAGGCACCGTGACCTAATACTATGTCCCACAGAGCTTACACACCAACCTACCTACGTACCTTTTGTACTAGTTCATAATGCACATTCAATAAAACCTTTTTACATGATTGTTTAACTTTCAGTTAGATGCCATGAAGCCCATGTACTTAAAGCTGATACTATACCATATGTCTCGCCTGTCTTATCTACAGGCCTCTATGCGACCCATGACGAAGTTGATCTTGCCTTGGACCAAACATGTAAAGACTACAACTTGCAGGGAGGCGTGAGTCAGATCTCAGATCTCAGACGTGGTCCTCTGTGATAACACGAGTGTCCAGCCGGCCGGGAGTCTCCATGATAGCCCCATGTTTCTTGATGCCTGCCAGCATTGCCATCACTGTGCTCCTTGTGATACTTCTACATCAGCAAACTACAACTTTCCCCACAGAAGGCACATGACTTATGTTCCCACGACAGCTGATCACAGATTTCACAGTTCTGCCAAGAGTCACAGCAAATAGTACCACAAGGTATACATTTATTACAATCACTCACAGTTCGACATGAATCACAGGACTTTGCATTTGAAAGCCAAAGGAGTCCGAGTTTGAGTAGCTACTAGTAGTAAGTAGTATATACTAGTACTAGTAATACCATAGAAATGCGAACTCAATATTTTATTTCGGACTATGGATGGACTTCAGACAATGCAAATTTACATTCAAACACCGAGATAACAACATGAGCATAAACATTGTATGAACTGTAAGGGACACGCATAGTACTAATAGTGCTAGTAGTACATGAGGCGAATATCATAATGTGACATATAGTAGTGCAAACCGTCCATGACAAACAGGTCAGTCAAGCTGGATAGTGAGAGCACGGCCACTTGGACCTTCTGTCATAGCAGATGATGAATTTTCTGCACTTGATAAGTACGATTGCTTTCTCTCACAGATCATAAACTTACCGGCACACTGATGATCACTTTCACATTGTCTTGCAGATAAATGAGACCAGCCATGCTGTTTGAAGGCAAGTCTCATGCACCCCAGGCCAATGTCTGCATCATCTAGCATCTTCCCCACGACATCTACTCGGAATCTGAGCAAGCTCGACAATACTTCATTTTCCTGTTGTAAACACTCTGCAAGTGCCTTTTGTGCCCGAAATACTTCACGCTTGGCTCGTGCGAGGTCCATAACAAGTTTCGCTTCAGAATTAGTTGGATTCTGTATCGACTGATGAAATTTTAGGTGCCTTCTAGAAATGAGAAATGTAAAATTGACTTTACCAAGGAACTAATGGCTTCAAGAAGCTCATAAAAGTCCATCCCGTGTGTCCCTGGTCTCGTGTCATCATGGTGCTGATGAAGAATGTCGTCAGCTAGACCTGACACTTTTGTCGATAATGCACGCAGATTGATAGTCATTGTATATTGAGAGATAGTTTTGGGAAATGCCGGTATGAGTATCAGCCATATTACTGAAGTCTGATGGTGTGTTTCTTACTAGGCTGACCGTCTTACTAGTATGTCTCATCATGATTCCAGCTGCCCCTCATGTGGCAAAATCTTCAAAGACCACACTTCTGTTGCTCGTCATATGAGCCAGCCTCGGTCCGGATGCAACACATGGTTAGAGGATATGATCAACTCCATTTCACCCGGTGAAGATCATAACATGGACTCTGCAGATGATGAGGACTTCGCTGGACTTCCTCGTGATGTTTCTTATGATCCGGGACTTGGAGGTGAGGAATATTTCGGTGGAGGAGGAGAGGACATCCCTGATGGAAATGAAGTGCACGCCGGTGAAGTAATCGACTACTTTCCAGAGCTTCCTCTGGCCTATGAGGACAGCTACACATTTCTGGGGCTGTTTGATGCAGATAAAAACAGCGTATATCGGAAAACAAACCTTTATTATCCGTTTAGCAGTCGACGAGATTGGCAACTTGCAGCATGGCTCTTACGTTTGGGCCTAAGCATGGGGAAGATCAACTCTTTTCTATCACTCGAAATGGTCAGTTTGTCTACTTCACTTTCACTGCTAATGATTCATGTCTTTTTAGATCAAGGATTTACCCTTGTCGTTCCGCTCTGCCAGAGAACTACACGGTCGAGCTGAGATGCTGCCCAGTGGTCCATGCTGGAAGTCTCAAGTCATTCATACATCACATCCTACAAAGTCGCCAGTAATTCTGTACTGGTGTGACCCTATTGAATGTATTGCCAGCATCTTTAATCACCCACTATTTCACTGTCATATGGATCTCACGCCTCACAAGATTTACTCTACTGCCAAGAGACTATGTCGTGTATACACCGGATGGATGTCAGGAAACGACGCATGGGATATGCAGGTGAGTAGATAGTTGAATATTGAGGTCTGGCACTCATGTATTCTTAAAGTCAGCGATAACAAAGGGTGCAACCCTCCTCGGCACCATTCTCTCCTCTGACAAGACGAACATCACTGCATTAACGGGGTATCACGTAGCTCATCCGCTCCTAATTAGCCTCTCCAACATCCATATGAACATACACTTAAAACCGTCAACCAACTCTTTCGTTCTTGCTGCCCTGTTACCAGTCCCCAAGTTCATTCACAAGTAAAAGCGAATGAAGGGCGTATTGGAAGATCACCTTATACATCAGTGCCTCAATATCATTCTTGAGCCGCTCAAGCAATCCGCTCAACATGGTATCATGCTGTCTGATCCTATCGGATGCAGTCGGTATTGCTTCACTGCTCTTGTGAGCTATATCGCCAACACCCCCAAGGCCATGATGCTGGCAGCCGTTGGTGGAAAAACATCGCTGGTGACAATGGCAATGTATAAGCAGTTTGGGGATGCATTCCATCATGAACCCCGGACAAAATCAACGACTATTGCACAGCTCGCTGTTGTGCGCTCATGTGCTGATCCTAATGATCTTGAGGCATATTTCCATGAGGCACAGAGATTCCGACTGAATGGTGTCGACAAACCATTCTGGTGGGACTATGCACTAGCAGACCCCTCCCGGTTTCTTACACCGCAATCACTCCATCATCTTCATAAAGAATTCTTTGACCATGACGCCCAATGGCTCATTCGCGCTGTTGGAGATTCTAAAATAGACTTCCGATTCTCAGTGTTACAGCCCATCACTGGTTATCGACACTTTTACGGGGGCATCTCCAAACTAAAACAAGTCACTGGTCACTGTGAACGAGAAATTCAACGTTATATCATCGCTATCAGTGCGGATGAAGCACTTCCTCATGTCATCGCTGCTGTATGTGTGCTCATGCAGTTCCGGTATCTCGTACAGTCGCCATGTATTGACGAGGAAGATCTTGGGCGCATCTCAGGTGCTCTAACTGAGTTCCACACAAACAAGGATGCAATCCTTGCTGCTGGGGCTCGTCGGGGGAAGGGCAATAGAAACATCGACAACTTTTATATCCCCAAGCTGGAGCTAATGCAGAGTATCATTCCCAGCATTCGCAACTCTGGTGTCATAGGACAGTGGTCTGCCGACATCACTGAACATGCCCACATTACGGAGATCAAAGACCCCGCCAGATCAAGCAATAACAACAATTACGACACACAAATTTGTTGACACCTCAACCATGCTGAAAAATGTCGTTGTTTTGAGCTCACCACTAGCCTTCTGGATCACGGTGTAGAGACTAACATCTCTGTGGCCTCGTAGAGGTCTAATTCTCCAATGTCCCAATCACCTCCCAAACACAGCGCGACCCGTATCTCATTTCTGTGCACTTGGCACTTCGTCGGCCGCTCGCGCGCACAGGCGCTCAGTCGCGCATTGGTGCATGCACCTTCAGTTCCGTCGCTCGTCCTCCGTTTATCCATTCCATGTCCCTTTGGTTCGTCGGTACGTGTTCCTAATTTATTCTCATGTATTCTGACATATCTCCGGCGCTTGCGCACATATTCCATATGTTTCATCACGGACCCTTATTTTACATATCATCACGTACTCGCTTCACTTTCCGGCTCACTTTAGCGCTTGACAGTGCTTAACGCTACTTACAATATATATACTCATGTCTCGATGTAGAATGATCATCTTCTTCCCGCACAAACGTTGGACTCTAAGTCTAAAAATCTCTGTTGTATCTGCCGACCGACACTAAGCGCTAAAACCGACATGAGCACCAGTTCTCATACTCTAATATACAAACATCATCTTACTTGTCTCCCGACTCACTTAAAGAGTCGCTGCACTCCACCACCTGCACGCGCGCTTCGCTCACTCTCAGCGCGCGCCATCATACTCGTCGCTCGGTAGCGCTTCATAGCGCTCTCGCTCATCGCGCTTCGCTCATCGTCGTGCGCCTCACCAGGCTTATCCGACAGTCTGGTTCAGTGTTTCCCTCCACTATTATATATAGAGGAACCTTCTCAGTAGCAATCCCCTTGGGCCGACATTAGATTCGCGCATAGAGGACCATCTGAGTATATTCATACCACCCCACTTCATAGCAATCTACATTCCTCACCTACAACGGACAGAGGGGTGAGGAAGAGGGGTTGGACTTGGATGCTGAAGATAGCAATATTGAAGCTGATGTTGACACAGAAGATGTTCCTATCAACCCAACTCAACACCCATGCCAAACTACAAATTATTTTGCAATTGTGAAGGCGCTTCAGCACCAAGAAGTGGGTTCTGTGCCTGTACCACCTCGTTCCTTTGTCGACAAACACACTGCCTTTCACCTTGGATATGACCCCTCCATTTGGAGCATCACCATTGATGAAGTCGCGATTAAATTTGGCTTACCAGATCTACGACCAGCCATAGCTGATTTCCTTCAATGCGAGGCGACTTATGGACACCAGCATGTTCATTCAATAAGCGGCCCTAGAAGGGCTGGATCTACTGCTGTCCTCCCATTCGACAAAGTACAAGTCTGGTTCAAAATTCGCTTGCAGGAGATGGATTTCCACGACACTCACACAATCAAACCAGCTCAGACACTAAATTGTGTACCACCAAACAACCCATGGATTCTAGGCCGTTATGATACAGTCATTATTGAGACTAGTGCAGGCTACCCATGGCCTAGTAGTCGTCTTTTGGGTACTTTCTGTCTTGCGTTACAATAAATGTATGTTCACTCACTGTTACAGGTCATACAATCGCGCAGATTAGACTCATTATGCGACCTATTGGCAAGAGTGGTACACAATGGTCCTGGAAGAATCGTTTCCTCACATATGTCCAATGTTTTGATCTTTCAAATGATCGTGATCCAGCCACATGGCTTTACACACTGAAGCGAGCGAAGCGCTTGAATGGAAACCGGATGGGCAACATTATTCTGGTATCTCAATTGAGGGCTCCTGTTCAACTCGTCCCTCGCTTTGGCGCTACTGCTGACAAGCGTCTCTCAGCATATAACAGTTTGGAGCATGCTGCTGAGTTTTGGCTGAATGAATTTTGGGATAAAAGCACCTTCTTTGCGCTATCAGTCTGAGATTTGATACAAGATAGGGTCATTTTTGTAGTAGATATTCCAAATGGATCAAAGATTATTCCCACACCTGTATCCACACATTCATACTAGCACTCCCTCATGCCACTCAGTAAACATTTCTGTTCAGTGGGCCTCGGGATGAAGCTGGCATCTTTGATGTCAGCTCCAGAGGTTCATGACGTAACAACAATGGATAGACTCACCAGCTCGGAACTTATTCGCTTGATTTTGCAGGAATCTTCACCTGCCAACAGTGACGAGCTCAGCCATGTATTATCGCTAATTTTCAAGTCCTGTGTGACTGAAGTTCCCAAAACAAAGGATCTCAAAGTTCTGTTGAAGAAAATCCACCCCAATACCAGGATTGAAGCATTTCAGCACATTGAAGATGAAGCAACCCTTGTACCACTCTATGACATGCACGCATGTCGTTGGAACTGGCCACTCCCAGAGTCACATTTAGACAAACTCACTGCTAGTGGGGAGAGAAGTAATCAGGCAGAAGAGAACAGTAGCACGGACCAGGGAGAGAGGGAAGGAGAAAATAGTGGTGCCACGAATCAGAGGTCGGGAGATTGGGTTTTTGTCGATGACACTGGCGCACCCGCTGCCTCTGAGTCACAGGCTGAGAGTGTTGGCCAGCCTGAGGACGACGTAATGTTAACAAATGCCAGCTCTGCCAGTAGTGACAATGCCCCAGTGCTCCATGAAATCAACTGCGATTCTACAAAACCATGGACGACCGAACAGGTTTTTGCATCCTTCAATAACCTCCTTGCCTTTGCCCTCCTCCTGCAGCAGCCTACACTCACTCAGAAGCGTACCTTATCTCGTATCTGGAGCGCATCGAACTCCTCATCCACAATATGTGGCAATGAAATCATGTGCAAACCAGACCTCATCCTACTTGATGATATCGAGGCTAGATGGGATACAATCAAGGCTGTATGTGAGCTGACTTGCTTTTGACGAAAAGGAAATTTGTGAGCAGCTGATCCTCTAATTGTATAAATGCTCATGATGTATTAAGATGTACCGGGACTGGTTATATAACCGGAGAGCTGAGAAGACCGTCAAAAAACAAAGCAAGTTCGGTAAGAAATGGACTACCTGGGTGGTGATAGAACACCAGTGCAAGAAGGAGATCCTTGAAGAGACCGGAGCAAGGCCAGGAGGGAAGGAAATGATTAAAAACTACCAGGGTGTGGTCAATGCAATTATGGGAGGTTTACCTGAAGAGCAGCTGGAGGAAGCAAATAAGACAGTGATAGAATGGTCTAGCAAGGCTCCTCCTACAGATGTCCAAGTTGAGTTCGCTCAGAAAAAAGCTCCTGGTATGATGAAGGATCTTGCAACTCAGTTATGGAGGCAGGCTGGTATGAGGATATTCATATTGTCGGCATGGAAAACTGAGGAAGGCGAAGTGAGGATCAATGGGTGAGTGACATTTTCATTCTCTTGACTGGTAAAGATGGCCTGATCCGGTCATAAGAATTGACTTCAATGAAAAGTTGGAGGGCAGTAGTTTCACAGATACAAAAGACTGGAAGGCCACATCAGGAAACCTACAATTCTGCTGATGTTCCTGTCCCCCACTGAACTGTCTGATATCAGGTATACAGGTGGTGCAGTTACACAGCAACTGCTGAAATCAGTACCATGCCTGAAATCAGTGGTGAATAGTGTCACAGACACTCAGAGATACTGTTTATATACAATTTAGACTGCCAGTTTTCAAGAGATGTGATATACCAGACATATAGTTAAGCAATCCCCTCAATTAATTAGCATCATAGAACATCAGATCATACAGAAATATCAGCCATTCAGAAAAATATAAACACAGGCTTGCAGAATTACACAGCAGACTGTGTACAGCCTGACAGGTATTACAGTCACTTTGACTAATTAGCAAAGCAAATTAATAGATTGACAATACATCACGTATCTTGTAAATCAGCTTGAAATTTTACTGGAGTTACAGAAAATATGACTTCTAGCATTTTCTACATAACAGTCGATTTAACAAACAGTTCTGCATTTTCAAGTATAGCAGTTCATCAATCGGTACACATAGCAGCTTGTTAGAATCTATGCCCAATAGATTATTGGATAATCAAAAAGACTGATCTACCAATTTATCAGAGAATCAAATGTTTAAACAATCCAAACAACAGATTTGTCACAGAAGAGATGACAGCCTGATAAATCGTCAGATTATTTGAACTATTTGTTCATCAATGCTACAGTTGGCTTTATAATCTGACAACCACTCAATCAGGCGATAGTAGACCAGTATTTTGGTTTGACATGTAGGTAAATACTCACTCATTCATTTTCAAGAATATGCAGAAATATACATCACAGTAATTATTCAGTGCAGATAGACAAACTGTTAGGGTAACTAGACGGACTAGAAGAAGAAATAGCAGATGCCAGATGTTCATGATAGAAGCTAGCCAGAAAAACAATAGAAATGAGGGCATAGAGGGCGATACAATGTAACAACATAAAAAAATTAGTTGCAGAGCTATTAGGAACACCAGTTAGCATATCAAGAAGAACTAAACCAATGAATGCTTACTACTATTAAACAAAATCATCAATTTTCAAGTTGCGTCACTCTCAGATTCAGTATCCGAAGCAAAACATGCTGCACGTCCAGATGTTCCAGTTGCCCTCAGAGTTATGGCTCCTCTTGATCGTGCCTTAGCTTGATAGCGTCCTTTGAAGGGCTCTGCTAATTCCAAAATCTTCTTCCATCTCTTGTCAGAAAGATAGTCGATAGACTCCATCACCTCTTGAGTTGCGTATCCCCACTGTGTCTCTGAGAACGCATCACCTGTCTTGCTGTCTGGTTGCACACATTCACCTGTTGACCACTGTCTAAATGTGCATTCACTCTACAATATAAGTGAAAGATACAATAACAGACATTTATAACATACCGCTACAACAGTCAATGCAAGGGCGCCACATGGCTTGCCCTTCATCCTACTCTGCAGGGGAAGTTGATCGATGACCTCCAGGTAATATGCGAAAGTATTGAGTATGACGTCTGTGAGAAATGGACCCTCTTTCACCTGTACAAGTAACGTTAGTGGAGGAAATAAAGAGCGTATATCACTTACAATGTGCTGAGAGTCAGTATCATCAACTGAATGCCACATAAAGGGATAGATAGGTGGATTTACGAGTATTCGTTGTCCATCATCTCTAACTTCTTCCTTTGGTTCAGGAACAGCCCAAGCAACCCAATCTGCAATATCATCAGGCTCATCAAAATTTTCATGATTAGTGAAAAAGTCGATAACGGCAAGCTCAGACTGCTTTGCAAGGGTTTTGCGAAAATCATATGTTCGTTGTTTGAGCTAAGAATGACTAAGACAATGAATGATATGAAGGGTTAGTACTCACCAGATACCAGACTGGTTCATTCTTTTTGGTCAACTGGTGCGTTGAATTGATGAAGAGTTTGTCCCAGAGCTCCTGAGCTGAAGAAAGATGTGGAATCAAATCCCAAGGATTATCCAAGCACCCTATGAAGTTAATCCACATCGGAATTGCTCTTGCTTTGAAGGTGGCAAGCGATGCACATCTAGGAAGATCTTCATCTTTGAATGTACGTTGTCTTTTTTCTGAGGTAGTAGCTTGGACTCTTGAGCTTTTAGGCAGCTTCTCCTTGAGAACATCTAAAGATCGAGAGACACTGTTGGAAGTTGCCTGAAATAAAATAAAGAAAATGACGTGAAACAAAGTTGACAGTGTACACTTGGCCACTCACTTTAACATCACGTTTAGCATGAACATGTTTTTGCCTCGTCATTGACGACTTGGTACTAGGTTCAGATGCTCTTTTCAGATGAGCCGACTTGATTTTCTTAGTGGCCACCTTGTTGCGTGATGAAGGCATCTTTGCCATAGTCTTCTTCTGAGACACCTTCTATCAAAGAGTGTTCCGATATCAGTCTTATGAACAGAATTTGGAAACACTTACTTTCTTATTAGCATCATCTGAATCTTCTTCATCTAAGAAGTCGTCGTCTGAATAGTCCTTCTATTTGAGAATAATCCAATGTCACTAGTATCGTTGGCAGAATATATAAATATTCACCTTCTGCTTAAATGTGTCTGAATCTTCTTCCGTAGAGTCTAACTCCTGTTGAAAAGTAGCGACATAAGTGTGATCAAGGAAAAATATTTTGATCCATACCCACATTACGAGCCTTCATTGGAGCATCCAGTGGGCTAGGTTCCTGAACATCTTCTATATCATCTTCTATACGGTCTCCCTCCCTACCTGAGCTATTTTTTTGCAGATTATTGAGAGTGGTGAGGTCCTGAAAGTAAAGGTGATCATCTTTGATGTCATTTGTATCTCCACTTGGGTGCGACCTACTGCCAATATTTGCTCTAAGTTTACGAGGTCACCTATGGCAATGTCTTTCAGTTTGTATGACTGCATTCAAGCACAAAAAACTTACTACATGATGATTGAGTTATGATAGCAGTTGACTTCTGGTTCTGCAATTGGTTTGGAGGCGGAGGAATGTTGTTGTCATCTATATCATCAAATATACTGCTATAAGGTTGAATGCCTGTGATATTTATGAGTAAATGTAAAATTATAAGGCAGAGATAATGATAATACGCTGGTTATTTGATTGTGATTCCGATATCATGCCTAAAGCAGAAGACTTGGGTTTTGAAGACGCTCTTGCATTGGGAACTTCATCTTCAACTATTGAGCGCCAATTTGGAAGTGTGCCACTTGTAATTCCAGGAGGTGAAGAAGTCTTGCTTGTGTGCCCTTGTTTGGATTTCTTGCTTGGTGGTCTGCAAATACAACACGAAACAGTAATAATCATGGTTGAAGGTTTAAATTATCGGTCCAGATGACAAGAAAGGATAGAAGAAGAAAGACTTACACATTAGTATCATCGCTTACTTGAGATTGCCGGCGCCTGTTTGCAATTTCCTCCCTTGCACTCACACGAGACTTTGAAGGTCTATTGGTCTCTGCTCCACTGTCATCAATAATCAGATCTGAGTCTACTTCATCATCAGCTTCAGCATCGACTTGAATATTCCCCGTAGTTCTTGGTTAGTATTATGAATAACTTGTGTAGTCTGAAGAGCGTACCTGAAGATATTTGAGATTTGCCTCCAGGTTGTCTCACAGCTTTCTTGCTTGCCAGTCCAGGAGGGCGGAGTGCCTGACTTTTTTGCAGGTTAGCTTCATCAGCAAGGTCGTTCTGCACCTTTGCAACTTTGGCCATTTTGCCTGCCCTTTCATTTGCCTTGATGCGTTGTTTTTCTCTGGCTGCCTTTACCTTGGCTGATTCCACGAGTTCAACATCTGACCCATCATCTGAACCATCGTCCCTTGTACATTTTCTACTGGCAGGCTGGTCCACAAGTCCAGGGTGAGCATCCTTGTTTGATGGGCGTGTTTTCATCAGCACTAAGAAGAGTAATGTAGCCCGGCTGCAGCTGAGACTCAGACTGAACTGTGCAGAACCAAGAGTTTGTGAAAGAGGTGAGCGAAATCTAAAGGTGTGAGGATAAATAATTTCAGAGTTTGTACAAATTTTCACAGAATATTAGTTTTATGTTCAAGTTTTTTGAATTCTCCACCTAAATATAACTAGAAAGATCTAAAGAACTTTAGTTCAAGTACACATTGTGTTGCCACCCATTCCGCCCATCTTGCCACTTGGAAAATTCCCTATCCGTCTGTAGAACAAAAGAAGCTCTCTTCCCCTCATATTCTAAGTTGAAATGAGTTGTTTTGTCAGAGCCAAATATTGCGAAGTCCCCATTCCTAAGCTCCAAAACCAGACCTGGCTCTTTCAAACCCAGAGCACCGCCTGTGAATTGACCTAGAGCTAAGACCAAACAAAGATCTTTGTCTTTACCATCTCTGTGCGACAAAGTGCAAACATTAATGTTCACGACCAGAGATACAAAAGGAGCCACTGGTGAACCAGGACTTCCTGGCAACAAATCAACGATCTCGATCAAAACTTTGTATTCTTCTGGTAGATGCATCTGAAACTGATAGTGTGGAGTTAGAACCAGTAAGGCGATTGACTAATATGACACATACTATAGTCTCAATCCACTCAAAAACATCTTGAAAGGCGGTGACCAAGTTGGTGAAAAGTTGTCCAAAATCCTTCATGTTGTTTGAGGGGTATGGAATCATTTGAGAGAAATTTGTGTGACTGGTGTTCTGAATGTGTAGATTGTGAGGGTGCACTTCAGAAGGTGCTCCTTCGCCCTATATGATATATCGTGAGTTGAATAATCATATTCACCAAGCATTTGAAAAAGCTTACTTGTGTAGCGTATCGATTATACCAGGAGAAATGAGCACAAGTAAACGCTTGGCCATGATCAGCTGGTGTACGATATGTGAGACTAGGGACACCATCAAAGCATGCTATGAGGTTCTCATGCAAAGTCTCCCTCATATTTGCAGGCATCGCACTACAAATGAATGCCATAAGAGAGCCATCCTTGTTGCATATGTCAACAGTGCCACTATCAGTGTCTAAGGTTAGCCAATTTAAGAGAGTCAAAAGTAGGACTTACTCAACAAGTGCAGACATAGAAATACGTAGATATTGTCTAGGCAGTTTGTATCCTTCTGGGTAGAACACTTGCAGCTGGATAAACAAATATTATATTTATTATCCTAGGAGTAAGCATAAATGCACCTTAGACTCAAGCATGGCCAAATCTGTGATTAAATGACCAGCACTAGCTAGTTTCCTCTCATGTGCAGTCGCTGCAACATTTTCATCATGATTAAGGTTCGTGAAGCTGCGATTTTGCGGCAAGTTGCGATCATAATTGGTGTAGATTACTTTTGCTGAAAGTCGCTGAGATGGTGCTTGATTAGTGACTGATGAAGCAGATGATGCACCAGAGGATGAGTCCAAGGGAGAGATCATCATGCCTCTATTCGAAGAGTCTGAGAGAAATTGGTGCTCTAAGAAAGAGATAAGTAGTGGATCGTCATGGACCACATTAAGACAAGGTTTCCATGCTGAACGATTCTGAAGGGATAGTTTCCAGTTGCTAACATGAAGGATTGTTAGCGGTTGCAGCCTGACCCTCAAGTAAGATAATGAAAGGCGTCGACTCACTTGAATTTGATGTTGTCAAAAAAACTATCGGAACTCTTGAGATTAGTGCAGTCTATGCTGTTGAGAGCAAGAGGAAGACTTTTGTGAAGTAGATTTATTGTAGGAATGATGCGCGAAGTTATAAGCTTTGCAACATCAACATCTAATAATCAAAGGGCTTGGATAATCTTTCTTTGAAAGGCATCATATGCTACTCACTGGCACTATCAGGATTTCATAACATTTTCCCCAAATTCCAAGAAACCTGTGTATTAGCCTTCACTATACACCAGCGTAGGTCTAGGCCTGCTATAAGGACGAGTGCATATATACTTCCTCCTCCTGCAATGAGCGCATATCTCCCTCCTTGATTAACCCACCCTCTGAAAGTTCTCAGAGATGGTGCTCCAGTCATGTTAGCAATTTCAGCTTCATAGACATCACCAATATTTTGTAAAGTACTGCCTGGAGATATCAGACTACTGTGCATCAGCTCAAAAAGTTAGCACGAATATTCAAAACCTCACCTTTGAGTTTCGACAAGGAGCTGAATTTTATTGAGCATAAGGAGAAAGTTGCCACCAACCTCCTTGGCAGAGAGAACTCCGCATCTCCTCACTACAGATTGCAGCGAGTTGTCCAAAGAATTCCGAGCTTCGACAACTTGAGAGCTAATGCTTTCAACCCACCTTTCAGGATTGTACATCCTGGAGTCCGTGTGGGAAGCTGCCATACTTGAGATCAGCCCATCAGCTGTTACATTACTCGTGGTGGCCATGTCCTTGCCGTGAGTCCACTGTGTAGGAACATTCATGCGTTGACCATTCTGATGACATGTGCATTGAAGCACTGGTTGATGCTGAAGCTGTAGTAGATGCTCAGCGCTGAGGCAGCAGTAAATGCTGAGATGGAGGCAATGTTACCGGTTGGACCATGTCAGCTTCTTGATCCACATTGGCGTCTAAGTTCATTGGACCGTTTGGAGATACTGATGGCGATGTCATTGAAGCGGGAGGTTGTAAATGCTGAAGTAACTGTGTAGCATTGTCGCCTAGTGGATAGAGACCCTGCAAGATGAGCAGATATTCTGCTGCAGTGACATTTAGTTGTACTAATTGATGAGAAGCCATCAAATAGTTAGCGTTACGCAGTAGTTCAAGAGCGTGAGAAGGCAGGAGTGCATACATCTGCAATCCCAACCCCGCCGCTACCTGCCGCCCTCACCCGCGCCACCTCACAATTACCACCGCGACAGAGATAATATTCAATTTCGATGATTTGCTTCTTAGAAACCTAGTTATAGCAGGTCATGATTCAGTCTTCAAAGCTTAAAGTTTACATACTATATGTGGACCACCAATTGCCTCACGGTCGCAAGCACTTGATTTGATGCGGTTCCAGAGTCCCTCTAAATTAACTATAACCGCTGAGATGCATCTTGCTCTGGACATCAAACTGGGAATCACACTCGGTGGTGGGAGCCTCATGGAGGTATACTGCGGTTTTGCAATGCTCGCGACACACGGATATCATGCCCAAACTTTGGTGTTCATTTTGTGGCTCCGAGGCCAATGGACAAACAAGGTAAATTGATGCAGGAATTGTAGGTCATAGTGCGAAAATGGGTGTGAGGAGGTAAATGTTAAGGCTGTGGCGCGATGGTTGCAGCACCTGCAGCCCCATAGCAGTCGCACCAGTCAGAGGTCTGAAATCCTCCATTCCATCGCATCTACGGATAGCCTTGACCTGCTGTCGCTTGGCACTTGCCGGCGTGTCATTGGGTCGAACGCTTGGTGTTGGCGTGTGCTGGCGTTGGACGGGTGGTGCGGGTGGTGTGGGCATCGCAGCAGGTGGTGGTGGCGTCGCAGCAAGTGGTGGTGGCGAAAGGACTAATGGTGGTGCTATAATAGGCGCTGGTGACGTGGCACACGCAACGTCGTCGTTGGCTGGATATCATAATGTTGTCGAGACGGGGACTTACTGACACGTTCCGTTCTTCATCTCCCTCCTTCCTCTGTCCACCTTCCTCCTCTCTATCCTTCTCATCATCTCTCTCCTTTCCCTCCACTCGTCCTTCTCCATCGCACATTCGCGTTTCGACGCCGTTCGCAGTTGCTGACGTGCTTCGGGGGTGAACGCTCTTTGGGGGTGGTTGTGCTGGTTGAGTGCGCAGTGCTTCGCATGGCGTTGGCACAGCGTGTGTGGAAAAGGTGGTATTTGCTGTTGGTGCTGGTGTCAACGCGGATGACGTGGCCCGTGCTGGTATGGCCATTGGTGTTGGCACGGGAGTCGCAACAAATGTTGCAGAATGCGAAGGTGCTGATGGTGACGCAGAATGATGCAAAAACACATGAGCACCTGGCTGCGTTTGCGAGAGGGAGCAAGTGGCGCGAGTAGGTATTGCATCAAGCCGAAGCTGCAGCCGAAGAAAGGAAGGTCATGTCACGAGAGACAGTAGTAGAAGGTTGGAATATACCTAGTAATAATAAGAGACTACAGTAGCAATGGTCAGACAAATTTAGATATAGTAGATAGTTAGTTTTGTACCTGATGTGCAGATCTGAGTCCGTGGAAGCTGGTATTGGAATAGAATTAGAGTAAAGATAACACGTCAACATAGTTGATAGGAATTTGCTGGCAGGCTTTGAACAGTCATGTGATCATATTTGCGTCACAACACATAGTGCCATCAATGACCCTACACACCAATAGGCGTGCTCAATTCTTAAGTTGTCATGGTCAAGAGTTGTCAGCTCTTTGTTTGTACCATTAATTTCGGTTCCCAGAAAGGGTTAGAACCCAGTCTTCTGAACATTTTCTCTGTTGATTATATGGGCCCAGGGTCAGATAGCATACTCAAGCTCGCGAGTACTTGAAGTCCAGCGCTGAGAAATGCAGCACAGTACAATGACTGTGGTCATCATTGTCACCATCGGCGAAAACGAAGTGCTCAAGTTCGAGGCGAGTGCATTGTGACAGACCCAACACATATAGAAGATGAGAAAGGACAGTCAAGAGCTCACGAAACTCCTGTTTTTGCTGCATAATGAGCACACTGGTACTACAATATGAGCACGATTGTTTAGTAAACACGGTGGCTGTGGTGCCCAAATGGAGCGTAACCCGGTCGGCTAAATTGTTTGGCTCTAAGGCACAGTGGGACTTGACAACTCTTGACCTGACAACTTAAGAATTGAGCACGCCTAATATCAACATCTTGTCATCATTCTGTTACGCTGACTGTTGGTCGGCGTGTGCGAACTAGGATAGGTCTTCTCAGCGACGACTCGAGTGAGTCTACTGAAGCTGAGCATGGTCTAGCCTTGACGGAACGTCAAGGATTCCTCCGGCGATCTCGGTAAGACGGCGCTCGTCGAGATGCAGGGCTAGCGGATATGTGCTAAGTCGTATGGGGGCGACTTAGAAGTGCGGTCTCACACAAGGAAGCTGGTAAGCTTAGATGAGCAAGTTCTGGGGATGAACCTAGTAGATTAAAGTGAAGTCTAAGTACAATAATCTGTGTCTACTTATAGGGAAGTACTACAAGTATTCTAGCTCAGTCTGTAATCAATAGTATATCGTAAATCTATGATAGCCAGACATGAGGTTCAGATAAGATACATGAGGCTTAACCTCTGATCAAGCATGCTGCGCCAAGGGCAGCTGCGCATAGGTATGGGAAGCGCCAAGCGCGCTCCGGATCTTCATGAAGCGACATGCGGTATGCATGCGCTGATCTAGGGTGACCATGAGGCGTACAGCCTTCATGGTTCAGGTACAAGGCCGTCTAGGCCAGGGGCGGGGTCATAGCGCCAGGGGCGGGGTCACAGCGGTCCAGACCACTGTCTTTCTAGGCGCGGGCGGCGCACCGCCGCGCGGGGAGTCTAGCAGAGTGGGGACAGGCGTAGGGAGAGCTGGGGCTCTAGTAGGTGTTACAGATCCCTGTAACACGTTCCAGCTTCCTGACCTCCCAACCTAAACAGTTTGCCACGGCTTGCTTCATCCTTCCCGAGCGCTGCCTTGCCAGCACTGACACGACATGGTTTCACGCAGCTCCCGCTGTTAGCAGTGATGACCCTGACTCAACCCTTCTCCTCTCCTCATGTACACCCACCATATCCTTCTCTTTACCTCTATCCTCTAAATGACACTTTTATCATATCTCCCTTCACAATGGCCACCACGTAAAGGACAGTGGAAAGGTGTGTCTTGTTCCCTGTTTTCGAGAGGGAAGACTGACGGACGTGGCAGAAGATATACGTCAAAGACGTGAAAAGTTCTAATGGCACATTCATCAATGGCGAGTGACTCAGCCCAGAAGGAGTCGAGTCCGAGCCATTCAAGCTCAAAAATGATGATATTGTGGTATGTTTTCCCTTACTTTTCCCCGGTTTGACCCACCCAACCCCTTCGCAGTAATTTGGCATCAACATCATTGGTGAAGACAACAAGACCACAATCCACCACAGTCGCTGCACGCGTCATGTGTGTATTCACAGACGAAGATGCGCACCTCGCTGCCCGTGTAGAGGCCATCCCATCATCCACCTCTCTTCCTCCCAATATTCCCTCCGTCCTTCCTCCCATCACTTCATCATCTGGAAGTGGTAATTGGTCCGTCTTCCATTACTCTCTACATCCATACATACTGACTATCTCCACTCCCACAGCCCCAAAACCTACCGCATTTCCCTCAATCGCTCCCTCCCGTACGTTCACAACAAACCTCCGGAAACTCTGCACCCATACCCGCATCTGCCGCACCCGCAAATCCAGAACCTCCTGCACCTCCCCTGGAGCACCCTGCTCTTTCTGAGCTGCGCACAGAGCTGCACGAGACCCAAGCCAGCCTTGCAAGCCATGTCGACAAGGTCCGCACACTCGAGGACATGCTTGCAGAGCACGAGGCCATTAAGGCCGAGGTTGCAGCTCTCCGTGATCTCATCCATGCTTCATCCGCACGTTCTCAGCACGACAATGCCATGAACGTAGACTCGGAGCGCGGTCGCCGTGGACAAGACGACGACAACAGATCTAGCATTCGTACAATCACCCCGCATGAGTTGGAGCGCGTCGAGGACGAGGACGAGAGCGAAGAACAGGATGAGAGCAAGGAGGATAGGGAGCATGCACAGAGGAGGGAGGAGCTGGGTAGGCTGCGGATGCCAGAGCCATCGGGGATGGGAATGGATGAGGACGAGCTTATGCATGCCCGTGCATCAGAAACTGAACCTTCGACATCACGATCACGACCACGATCTCCTTCGCCACAGCCATCGCACCCTGCACTAGACGAGCTCTCAGCACGGCTAGTAGCTCTTAGTGGACGCATAGACAGCGCTGTAGAAGTCAACCAAAACACTAAATAACCCTTTCAATTACTGTGACATTGTTACCACAACGACGTGAGTTTTACGCTCACAATCGAGACTACTTTCACACTGACATATATCAGCCACAAGACCCTCCGCGGCCCTCGCGCTGGCCTAATCTTTTTCAAAAGAGATGGACTCAGCAGCCAGGATCGCGAGAAGCGCGTTAACGACGCTGTTTCCCTGCCTGTCAAGGTGGCCCCCACAAATACTGACTATCTCTACTCCCACAGCCCCAAAACATACCATACCTTCCTCAATCACTCCCTCCCATATGTTAACAAACCTCTTCGAGCATCTCTAGTAAGTTTTTCTCAAAAATTTCGCTAAGTCCGTAACTAATACTCAACCGCTATGGCAGATAATACTATCAGGCTTGAGCTGCAAGGGGATTGAGGTGCGTGTACCTTGCTCTCGCTCACTCACTGCTCTTCTCACTCACTTGTTCTGCTCTCACTTAATAGCCTATTGCTGCTATCCTCCTCGCTCGCTGCTCTCATTAGTGGGAATCAGTCTCATATTGCACTTGCAGGTGAGAACTCGAGAGATTTTCAGAGGATGCTGACAACTGAGTTTTTTTAAGAAAAATCCACTTCACGTTACTTAGTCTAACTTGCTCACAGGTGTTAAACGATACTTATGTGTTATTTTTGTTCTTGCTTTCATTTCCTCGCTGTCTTATGCTACCGAGCTGCTGTACTATTGACCTACTCATATTTCTCATATTCCTGCTCTGATGTCTGCTCTCTTTTACCTGCATTTGCATACATAGGTTTGGGATGATGCAATCAATTGTACCTCACTGTCTTATTTTCAATGCGACGTCTGATTACTCTGAATACCTTTGTGCCGTAATAAGGCGGCACTGCAGCTGTCAGCAATCCCGCCCTTTGCTTTCCCACCTCAACTGCTGTCATGGTGAAGGCTTTCCAGCACCGCAAATTTTTCTGTGTGGACCCAACCACACCATCTTGTAGAAAGGGATTCCTTACACACGCAGGATTTACTCAACACTGTAATGCAGTTCATAATGTTCCTGCATGTCCATCACGCCTACCTCAGCATCCATTTATACCTAATAGACACCTTCATCCACAACCGCTGGACGCAATACATAATCCAGAAGTTCATGATGAGCCTGATGGACCTTATTTCATACAGCATCCAGTACTTGATGGTAAGCTTAAACTATCTTCATACTAATAATGGTTATCCATTTCTCATACTAGGTACGCCCTGTGATGAAGATGGAAATGACCTTCTTGAAGGTACAGACCCGCCTCCTGTACAAGATGAGCATCCAGACATGCCATGGTATCCCTTCCAAGGACGAGATCGCTTCGAGCTTGCAGATTTGATTTTTTGTCGAAACAAGATGTCCAAGAATGAGTTCAACAACCTTATGCATATCTGGGCCAACATTGAGGGTCGCTCTCCTCCATTTCGAAATGTGAAAGAGCTGCATGATGTCATTGATTCTATACCCTACGGTGATGCACCTTGGCAGAACTTCACTATATGCCACACAGATGCAGATCAGTTGCAACCTGATGATCCCTCTGTACCTCCGTGGAAGCTGGCTGAGTATGAAGTTTGGTTTCACAACCCCAGGGACGTTCTAAGAAACCAGTTATCCAATCCCAACTTCAAGGATCACATCGACTATGCACCAAAGCAAGTCTTTGGTGAACACAATCAGCGTGTTTGGAGTGATTTCATGTCAGGGAACTGGGCATGGAATCAATGTGTAAGAATATTTATAAACCACTTTGTGATGCTAATGTGTTGAATTAGAACATCGTTGCTGAGGATGAAGACTGTCATGGTGCAATGTTTGTGCCAGTCATCCTAGGCAGTGACAAAACTACTGTCTCAGTCGCCACCGGCAATAATGAATACTACCCTCTTTACATTTCAACTGGCAATGTTCATAACTCAATAAGACATAGCCATCGGGAAGCTGTCAGCATTGTTGGATTTCTTTCAATACCAAAATGTAAAGTATGATTGTGATAATTATTGTTTGCTGATGCATCACCAAGGTGACAAGGATTACCATGAAGACAAAGAATTCAAAACATTCAGACGTCATCTTTTTCACAAATCTATAGAAGCCATTCTTGAGCCTTTATGTCCCTCAATGTCAAAACCAGAGATAACAAGATGTCCTGATGGACACTTCAGAAGGGTAATATACGGCATTGGGCCTTACATTGCCAATTATCCAGAACAATGTTTATTGGCATCTATAGTTCAACAGTGGTGTGCCAAGTAAGTGGTTTTGAATTGTTATCAGTGAAACGACTATCTAATGTGAGATCTATATAGGTGTACTGCAAGAAGAAAACACTTTGATGAAGAAGACATCATGATTACTCCTAGAAGCCACTGTCTTACCAAAGCTTTGATAGAAGCTTTGACATCTGGAGAGCTTTGGGAGGAATATGGAATCGCAGACAATATTTTGGTAAGTCAAATATTTTACTGATTGATTATCCACTAATGGGTACATGGGAAGCCCTTTACCGCTTCATTTCCTCAAGCTGATATTCATGAGCTGCTCGCACCTGATCTATTACACCAGGTAATCAAGGGTGCTTTTGAAGATCACCTAGTAGAAGTGGGTAGGGTCATATTTGGAGATCACTTATGGCAAAAGACGTTCAAAGAAAATATTAGCTGAGATTGATAGAAGGTGCGTCCACTATAAACAATTTCAGTGTAGTACTATTTATATCTTGACGAGTAGAATTGCAATTGTACCATCTTTTCCTGGCCTTCGACGTTTTCCCCAAGGGCGTGACTTCAATCAGTGGACTGGAGATGATTCGAAGGCGCTGATGAAAGTAACTATTTCATTTATTCATTCGCTGATGCCTGATCTGAGATACAAAGGTGTACCTTGCAGCAATCAGTGGTCTAATACCAGATCAGATGGTTCACACAATTGCAGTTTTCATGGATTTCTGTTATATTGTCAGGTGTCCTTATCTTGATGAGGCTGATCTAGCTGCCTTGGATGACTCGCTACAGCATTTCTATCAGGACCGCTCAATTTTTGAGGAGACAGGTGTCTGCCCAAACAGAATATCCCTTCCACATCAGCATGCCCTGAAGCATTACCACCAGCTGATTATCCTATTCGGAGCACCTAACGGACTTTGTTCATCAATAACCAAGTCAAAACACATTGATGCTGTGAAGGAACCATGGCGTCGTTCAAGTCAGAATCAACCTCTTGGAGAAATATTGCTGATCAATCAGAGGCAGGATAAGTTGGCGATGTTTCATGTCATACATCTTGCACGTCATCTTATGGACACACCCCTGCTTCCTCCTTCTATTCAGCCAATCCCATCACGGTTCAATGACCCGTTAGTCAGAGATGATTCAAACATCTGTGATGCGGAGGCTGCAGATGGTCCAACAACCAATTCAACAGTAATTCTGGCCAAGACTGCTGGTGAGCACCGCACACTTGCTTTCTATTTGTTCCAAATATTTAATCTTCTTATTAAAAACAGAGCATAATTACCCAGATCATTTGCCAGAGCTTGGTGACCATATTGGCTATCCACAGCTTGTTGAACTTGTGCAGCATTTTCTCTATGATCAACGCAATCCAAATGCACTCATATCTGGAAGCAATGTGGATCTCTCTCTTTGCCCAGAATTCCATGGCAAGGTTCAAGTTTTCCACTTGGCAGTCGCATGCTTTTGGGCACCAAGTGACTTATGTGGAGTTGGTGGTATGCACCGGGAGCGTATTTGTGCAACACCTTCTTGGCGCAATGGCCCTGCACGCCATGACTGCATCTTTCTTGAAAATAATCCTACCCTACCAGGATTTCAGGGATTGTATGTTGCCCAAGTTGTTCTTTTTTCTCTTTCGTCCACTGCACTACTACTTATCCTTGTGCACTTGTCAAATGGTTCTCTCAGGTGGGAGATTCTCCTTGTCCAAGGACTCATATGTGGATTGTAGCACCTGAATTTGATGATGACTCTCGCCTTATTTCAATTGTTCATTTAGATAGCATCATGAGACCTGCAGATCTTATTCCTGTGTATGGACCTCAGAATATTGACCGTGATTTACTACATACTGATTCTTTGTCTGCTTTTGCCTCATTTTATGTTAACAAATACTCTGACTACCATGCATTTGAAATAGCATACTAAGGATATTTATATAATGTTATTCCATTTTCTAAAGTCGTCAGATAAACTATGGTTGCTCTTATTAACTGCATGTAAGTTGGTTTGAACAATATGTATGTAGAAAAATCTGCATCTCAAGTAATCTAAATAAATGGCTGGCTGAATTAACTATATATCTGTCAGTAGAACAAAATATAGTAGTGCAACACTGATAAATAGATTAACTTATAAGCTGCCTGAGCTGAATAAACTGTATGTCTGTAAATTTAGATGATGTTGGGTTATGAAACTGTGACTTAGATGATCTACTACACTGTATCTACTGAAATCTGTGCTGATTAGACAAACTGCAGAATTGTATATCTGTATCTTCTGATCATTTGGTCTAGTAGAGCTGATGTTGCTGAATGACCTGCATAACTTTCTTTTGAAAGTCTGAAGTACCTGAACACTCTGTGATATTTTTAATCTGATAATATGATATCTCTGCACAACTGATATGTGCTGAATGATACTGATTTTTACTGATATCAGATAGTTGTCTGATATCAGACATGCAGGTAAATCAGGCAATTCAGCAGAATTGTAGGTTTCCTGATGCATGTTACCAGAGTGGAATGCCTATGTTGGAGAAGAGTTTGGTGAGGTTTCTTTTTGTGTAATGTTGATTGATCCGGTCAAGTACATACACCATGTTGTAATACCAGCAGTTGACCGGAATGATGATGAGGATGGCAATGAGGACGGGGAGGGAAAGGCAAGCAGAAACCAAAGGAGAAATAAGGAGGGATTTGCTTTGGAGGTGGATACCTATGGGCTTCCAGTCATACCGGATATTAAGCCACTTAACCTAGAGGACAAAAAGTCTCTTATCTGGACATTCCTCACAAAACACTACAGTAAGTGTTACAAATCAAATATCCGGAGAGTTGATAAAGCAACTACATATTTTGCAGGGTTTTGCAGTCAAAAGCCAAAGGCGTCTGTTCCTTGGTCTGCAGTGATGGAGGCTCAGGAAGATTTTATTGAGGCCAAGTTTTTACCTACCGGCGGGAAAATCAAGGACCCGTTGAAGCTTCAGTTCCATGAAGCCGACCAGCTCTTAGAGTTCTGGCATCAGCGACAAAAGGACAAGGTTTGGCCAACATTTGAATTCAAAGGCTGGCAAGACCATGACAAGGAGATGAGAGAACCAATGGACAAGATCACAGGGTACAACTCTAGCACTATATGCAGTCTAGCGACAGCAAGGACCAGAGTCCTGGTTAAGAAACCAACTGGCAAGCCAACCGGAAAGTCATCTGGGAAGCCAACTGGAAGAGTGGAACCGGAGTCGAGTACTGAGGATGAGGATAAGGATGAAGACGATGAAGTCCAATCACTGCCTTCCAAGCCGAAATCAACCGGAAAGCGGGGAAGAGCTGTCCAATCTGTTCCTGTTAAACAACCTTCTGCCAAGTCGACCGGAAAGTCATCTGGGAAGCCAACCGGATGGGTGGAACAGGAGTCGAGTAGTGAGGATGAGAATAAGGATGAAGATGATGAAGTCCGATCACCGGCTTCCAAGCTGAAATCGACCAGAAAGCGGTGTGAAGAAGTAAAGGTGACTGGCCAGCAAGAAAGCTAGAGCACCAATAAACCAACTGAGTGCGGGTGTGTTGTCTCGACCCAAGAGGATTGCTATGAAGCACTTCCTTCAAGTAATATGCGAAGGGAGCAAATGCGGAACAGAAAAGAACTAAGTCGACCTTGGAAAAGCGAGTCCGCTGGTAAGAGCGAAAGCGAGACCGCGGGTCCGGTGAGTGCATGATGAGAAATGAATGAACGTGAGAGGATCCTAGGTAAAGAGCGGGGGTTTCTAAGTAAGGCGCGGTTCCGCAAGTAGTGGCTAGGTATAAACGAGGTTTGAGACCGAGGTATAACTAGGTATGAAAAATGCTAAGTCGGAAACTGAGAGCAGTTCGGATCCGCACAGAGCCTAGGTAAGGAAACTTAGAGGCGCATTCTTGGAGCGGTCAAGAACACGTGGGTTCGAAGTGAGAAGTGAACAAAGCTTGTCAATTGATCAATAATACTAGGAACGTCTAAGTGACTCCGCAAAAACAAAGGTAGCGTCCGAGGGAAGGGAAGTAAAGTACTGTATGTAGCGCGCGAGATTTTATCCTACTACGTGAGCATCCGGAACCCGTAGGCAAGAACTGTAGCGATGAAACGAGGCAGATAAGTAATATGTAATGAGGGAGCACGTGGAACGAAATGCGCGGTTACATGTAATAAGCCTTGATATCGTTTAGTCAAACCGAGAGAAAATGAATACGCACCAACGGAGATAGCGGACATGGAAAGGACATGGACGGACAGTGCGGAGTGGAAGTGCGGAGCAGATACGCCTGCGGGAGTATGTCGGATATCGTCGACCAAGGTATCCTTGCCATTGGAACACCAGAAAATGAGACAGAACATATATCTCTCCATACTCTTTGACACCAATATCAAAAGACACACTTTGCAGCCCAGGGAGGATGCGAGTGTTACAGCGGGGCAGAGCTGTCTGATCTCAATCGGAGGAAGATTCCTGCCCACCGGTCAAGAGATCTAAACCAAATGCGACTAGGAGCAACAGACCACAGGGGGACAACGCTGGCACTCCTTTAGTAGAATCATCCAGTAACCATCCTACAGCACGACCACTTTCAAACAATACCTGCAGAAGTCGCTTAGTTGGTCCTGCATCAGCCGTCTGGTTGAAGGAGATGAGTCAGAAGATACCTGCACCCAAACTAACCGCTCCATCCACCACACAGGCCACTGACAAGAAAACCAAAAGACATGGAGCTCAAGTTGACAATACGGAGCCAAAGTGGTCTACTAGAACTGCAAAGGTGTCTTATAAAGTGAATTACATGCAAAGGGTGTAATCATTGTGATTCATTGAATGTACTATACAAAGGGTGGAGAGTATGGACCTTACATATATATCATGTCGACAGTCAGTATATTGATATCAGTTGAAATGCCAACAACAACTCATTGGTGGACTGAAGAACTTCCCGGCTGACAGATGCTTCTTCCGGTGACATTGTGCCATGGGCCCTTTGCATCTCCAACCAGTGTGTCGCCAAGCGCAAATCCCCTACAGCGCGCTGAATGACAAATCCAATGGGTTCCAGTTGATTCACTGACTGAATTTTAGTAATTAACAATGTGATATTGCATGGAATGACCTACAGGACCAATCCGACGAAAGATATACCAGATCCGGTGTCTCAAATCCCATGTCCAAATGCATATCGTCAGGTCCAATATCCACTGAATTTACATTTAACAGTGCAACCAAATAATGAAGTGACTTACATGACTGATCCGGAAAATTATGAACCAGATGGATACCAAAGCCCATGTCCAAAGGCCTGTCTTCCGGTTCAATATCGACTAAATTCATATTTAAGAGTGGACACCATCACAATGATAAGACTGACCTGACCGATCGGGTACATAATCAACCGGATTGATGCCAAAGCCCATATCCAAAGGCATCTGGTCCGGATGCTCATGTTGAACTGGAAGTGTGTCGAAACCCATGTCGAGAAGACTGTCTTTCAGTGGAATTACATTGACTGAATTGCAAAGATGAGTTATGCAATATATTACATATTTAGTCGAGACATACCTGAGTTACTGGCCGGATGATCCACTGCCAGGAAGTTTGAAGAGCTGTTCGCCAGGTCAGGCAAATGGTGGAAATCCCATATCCAACTCCAATATGGGTGCCACAGGTGATGACCAGTCAGTATTACACAGGTGGGGGAACCCCATATCCAACACTTCTGGCCCCGGTTGATCTGGCGTCCGGTTGGAAGTCATGTTGAAGTTTGCTGCTCACGCCTCGGCTCCAATGTCTCAATCAACCACAGCCGGATAATGTTAGTTTTAATAACACTGATTAGGTAATGATGATATGGCAACAATTGCATTCATACGATCACAATAAAAACTATTCTGAATAGAGAACCAGTTCTTGAACCGTGTATTCGGCAATCTCTGAAATTACCCGGACATCCGGTAATTTTCAAATTGCCCAAGTATCCATTGTTCCCTTCCAGATCTCTTCTTCAAGCTAACCTGCCACCACGATCGTCTTACTGCTACAATGCCTTCCAACGCCATTACCACAACTGCTGCTGCTGCCACTGCCAACCAGGCGCTGATTGCTCTTCTTGACAGGCTGAATCAGCTGGTTGAACAGGTCCTGCGGTCCCAGTCAGAAGAGGAGAAAATGGGATTGAGCCGGACCATTGCGTCTCAATTGGTATGTTTCACATTATTTTATGTATTGTATGTATTGATACCCTCCAAGAACGATGCAATCCGTTCTTACCAGACAGTGGCTACCTACATCCCCCTTCACCTGCTGTCAATGGCAGCCGAAATCCATCGGGCTCAGAGGGGTACCATGTGCTTGGTGCAAGTACCGGATTGGAATCTAGTTGGGAGCAATGAGGACATCTGCCAGGGTCATCCCTTATACCCCAAGACATTGGGTCCGGCACCCAATGTTACCATCCCTACTGCTGGCGCCACTGGATCTGCACCTTGACTGGCACCTGTACCAGCACCTGCACCACCTTCCCTGTTGCCTCCTTCAATCGCTACTTTACCGGCTCCCAGTACAACAATTGGCATCCCTGGAGGTAGCAACTCCAGTGCAATTCCAGGCCCATCCAAACCTCGCAAACGGCAATTTAGTGCCAGCCCCCCCGTCCGGTCAAGAAGGCCCGGAAGGCTGCCCAGAAGTCAAAGTGGATCTTGACCGACACCGATACTGACACTGATCGGATCCGCATTGGGAATGGTAAGGTGAAAGGCAAAGGGAAAGGGAATGCAAAGGGAAAGGCAAAGGCAAGGTCACCGTCACTGGATAGTGACATTGAGCAAATGACAATCGATGTTGATGATGATCTGGAAGTTAATGTAAGTTGTTCCATTCATGTATTTAATACAACTGATCACAGTACCCAGACCCGGAATTCAACACGCAACATGATGAATAAGGTATGCTCATTTTTTCAATCTCAAAGCAGCCGATATTTATGTTCACAGAAATTACGGGCGTGGTCATCAATACACGGCTGATGCCACCTGCAACAGCGGATGTGACTGATTCAGAATACGAACCAGAGGAAGATGATGAAGATCGAATGGAGCCCACTGATGACTCCCAATCCAAGCGAAAGGTAAATATGATGTATCTCTACCGGTTGGTGACTTATCCAGATGTAGCCAAATGTCAAGCCGGCCAAAGGAGAAGAACCGGTATGTTTCAATATCATCACAGATGGTTAGTACAGCTCATATCACCCTGTATTATAGTCCAAGTCTGGCAAATATGGCGCAGGAGCTGACCAGCCCAAGGTGAAGGGCAAGGGCAAGCGTCCACATCCGGTAAGACATCTGGTACTTGTCATCCAGTAGTACCATACTGATTCTTCATAGAAACCCATTGGTGCACCTCTACTGCCATGTGAGAGATGCACGATAATGCACTTGGAATGTGAGAGCTGGGTGACCAAGAGGGGTGAGGTTGCCCATACTTGCACCCTTTGCAATAAATGGAGGATGAAATGCATCCGGCCGATGCAACCGGACACACCTGCAACTGGTACCGGTACGACCACCACGCCTACCCCGCCTGTCACACCCATCGCCACTCGATCAAAGACCACCGCAAAGAGCAAGACTGGTAAGTGATCCAAATGAAAAGGCAAGTCTCTTATTTCAGCTCGTGTTTCTACTAATTGATTTTTCCAGACATTAACGCTCAGCATCCGAGTCCCATCCCAGAGGAACCGGATGTCAATGTTGAGATGGACGCTGGAGTCACAACCACCGGTCTTCCCAGTACTGCCCCAGATGAAGTACCTGCGGTATCTGCAGACAATTTTTGTGTGGACCGGTGGATCGAACTTATGGATGACAGCATCTTACCTCCAGCACCATTCATGGACACACCGGACGATATCCGGTACTCGCCCATCTATCCGGCTCGTACTCAAAGACCTCCCTCCCCTCCAACTACTTCGATACCTCTTCAGTCTCACCAGCGTCCCTGTCTTTTAACTGATTTGGAGATGCAAGCCATGTTGGCCCAAATTCAGATCAACATGGATCAGCTCCGCACATGTGATGACATGATTCATGATGAGCTGTCTCATTGCATCGACCGGCTGCAAGCTGACTATACAGAGCAATTGAACAGCCAGAAGGGACTGGTGGATCACTTGACTGTTCAGATGGGCGGCATTGCCCGGTACCTCAGGGACAACTCAAGAACCACTGCAGCAATGGCCTCAACTCCACCCTCATTCAATCCACCACCCATTGTCATCCCCGGTACCCCCATATTTCCTGAGATTGGCTCCATCAGTGCCTTGGGTCGCGCCATCACCAACAATGTCTTTACTCCAGATGTGTTTTCAACCAATGCACGCCCTGGTGGCAATGGCTCACCGGTCACAAGGCATGAGCAGGCACCCGCACCCGCCTCTACCTCTACCTCCACCATCAACCCTGTGCCTACCACAGGGGAATCCGGTCCACCCATGCATCCGGTTGGTGCACTTCTGGTACCACCTTCCACTGTCCCAATGGAATCTATGCCCTCTACTAGCACTCTTCGCACGTTCATCACCGGGCCATCAAATGTGCCAGCAGATGGTCAGTCCATCTCAGCTCCTTTGCCCAACCGGTCATTTGCACCTCAATCCCGTCAACAAGGTCGGTCAGTGAGTGCTAGGCATGCTAAGAACACTTCCGGTAATGGGCCCAAGTAATGGTAGCATACATCATTCTTTTTTTCATTTTTACTTATTGTTTATACCGGTGAACATCGTGTTGTGCTTTCAATGTTTACAGGACAGTTTGTTACATAATTATAAAGTTGACTTGCATAACCTGTTTGTGAACACTTGTAAGGCCAGTCTCATACCATGGTAGATTGTACCAGATGGTGTACTAGATTGACCGGTTCATGTATCCAAGATATACCGGACAATAGGCTCGAGATGGATTATTGGTGTACCGGATACATCAGGAAATCATCGAGTTCCTTTTCAGTCCTTAGCGTACTTAAAGTTACTTAAAAATAGTCTTAAGGCAGGTAAGGAGAATAAGGAATTAGTGAGTTCCTTAGCGACATGTATTCTAAGGAGCGAAGTCGTTACAAGGCGGTTAAGGCATCAAAGGTAGATTTATTTGCAAAAGTAAAATAAGGCGCCTGCTGAGCGCCCAAAAAATATACATGTTATTTATGTTAGCGTTTTCTCGAATAAGCACTGATAGACGCGCTGTAGAGACTCATGCCTCTCCTTGTGCAATATTGCAGTTTTTACCAAGGAGTATACAGCACGAACTTGTAGCATCACTCTGTATGCTTCCTACAGCTATTCCTACATGAGGCGCAGCTTTCCCGCGCATCGCGCAATGTGCGCGCAACTTCCCGCGCTTCATGATGTATATGCGCGCGAGCTTTCCCACGCTTGAGCGCCCTATAGCGCCAGCCATCCGGAAGCATCCATCCACTGTCCACCAAGTTCCCTAGTGCGTATATTTCCATTTCTCACATTTGCATATCGTTCCATCTTTATTTTTATCATGGACCCTTACTTACATATATCCTTACATACCTTACTCGGTAGCGCTTCGGCTCCGCATGACAGCGCTTAGGCGCCATACTTAAGCGCCAGCAATACATACACTTACTCACTTACTCTCCCACCAGAACGACAGAGGACTTACTGGTTACTACCCACTATTTACCTAGCAGAACATAGTAGAAATCTATTTGTTTACACCTCGCATCTCTCTTCTCTTGTCTTACATCATATCATCACTTAAGCAAACTCACTCTTATTCTCTCTCGTATCTGTATACACGCGCACGCTTTCCCGCGCTTCGCGCCATACACGCGCGCATTCCCACGCCTTGCGCGCACCTGCGCTTTCTCGCGCTTCGCATTGGCCAACCAGTAGTGCATACCTCTAGATCCTTGCTGCACTCGCTTCCCCTTTAGGGTCGAATGCACTTGTCGTCTCAAGTATAGCAGACTAGGCAATGCGCGACCTTACAACATTTATAGATACAGTCAGGAGCATTGTTCGTGCCTCGCTGTATCGTTGAACCTTCAGCGCGACAAACAACAACTCGCTTGACATCCACTCATCGACCGCAAAAATCTACAAAATCTAAGAAAAAAACATCATTGTAAGTTTTAATTGATAATCATTGTGTCAATCGTTGCTTACCAGGTGCTAGTGAACCGCATGGCTCCAAAATCTCGCGTGCAAGTGCAACAGAAGACGCGCAAGTGGGGAGATGTGACTGTCCGGGCGGAGGCCGCAATCAGAGCTGAGGTGTTGGCAGAAGAAGCAGAGGCGAGAGCAGACAAAAGGATGGGGAGAGCAGACAAAACAAAGGCGAGAGAAGACAAAACAAAGGCGAGAGCAGGAGCGGGATTACTGGGCTTCTTGAAGAGGGCAAAGAGCCGCTTTTGCAGGAATCGAAATGAAGCACGTGGCTTGAGCCTCAAGTGACTGTAGACCATGGTGGGTACAAGTATATCTCGAATTTGATGAGAACTTACCAATAATTTTTGCAGGAATCGAAACAGAGCGCGCGGCTCGAGCGTAGAGTGACTGTTGACCCCGGTGAGTACAAGGATATATCAAATTTGATGAGAACTTACCGAACTTTCCAATAGTCTCATCTTGTTGACTCGAAATTAGTACTGTCAGTTTGGTACAAGTGTATAATACAAACCTTGAGATCCATATCGTCCGTGCCAAAAAGTGCCTTGAAGAATGACTCTACAAAGATAGAGTCCTACCAGATCTCCACGGCTGCTGTCATGGTACACAAGCAGACTCTCTTCAGCAACGTCAGGCTCGAGGTAGACAGTGAGGGAAGGTGTTTTGATTTTGGTAGCAACATTGATGATCTCCTTCAGACATGGGACACCGAGTGTCACATTCTTACTGGAGACACCGGCATAATGGAATGTATTGAGCATCATCTGCATAGCCGGTTCACCAATCGATTGAGTGGTAAGCATGCCACACATTTCTCCCGGGTTCACCAGCGACTGGTTGAACTTGGCCTCCACTTCGCCAAGTCAAATGCCTCTCTGGTAAGATGGCACTGTTCGAGTACGCGGCGAGTGGAGATGGTGGCCCGTGGGGGAGGGGAGTGTTACGCTGACCGTCGGTCAGCGTGTGCGAACTAGGATAGGTCTTCTCAGCGACGACTCGAGTGAGTCTACTGAAGCTGAGGGTGTTTCTCAGCTTGACGGAACGTCAAGGGTTCCTCCGGTGATCTTGGTAAGGCGGCGCTCGTCGAGATACAGGGCTAGCGGATATGTGCTAAGAAGCGGGGAGCGACTTAGAAGTGCGGTCTTATACAAGGAAGCTGGTAAGGCTTAGTTGAACAAGTTCTGGGATAAACCTAGTGGATTAAAGTAAAGTCTAAGTACAATAATCTGTCTACTTATATGTGCTACATGTAAGTGTTCAAGCTCAGTCTGTAATCTATAGTATATCTAGGATCTATGATAACAAGACATGAGGGTCAGATAAGGTACATGAGGCTTAACCTCTGATCAAGCATGCAGCGCCAAGTGCGACTGCGCATAAGTACCATGAGGCGCTTAAGGGTGCTCTGGATCTTCATGAAGCGACATGTGGTATACATGCGCTGATCTAGGGTGACCATGAGGCGTACAGCCTCCATGGATCAGGTACAAGGCCATCTAGGCCAGGGGCGGGTCATAGCACCAGGGGCAGGGTCATAGCGGTCCAGACTGCTGTCTTTCTAGGTGAGGGTGGTGCACCGCCGCACGGGGATTCTAGCAGAGCGGGGGCAGGCGTAGGCAGAGCAGGGGCTCCTGTAGGTGTTATGGATGCCTGTAACAGGGAGGAGAACAATATACCTGGTAAGATGGTACTGTTCGAGTATGCAGCAAGTGGAGATGGTGGCCTGTGGGGGAGGGAGGAGAACAATATCCTGGTAAGATGGTCTGTTCGAGTATGCGGCGAGTGGAGATGGTGGCCCATGGGGGAGGGAGGAGAATGATATACCTGGTAAGATGGTACTGTTCGAGTATGCGGTGAGTGGAGATGATGGCCCATGGGGGAGGGAGGAGAACGATATACCGATATTGTCCTGGTTTTGGAGCCTGCCGTACTCAATACGCTGAGCCTCGGATCTATAGGGTATTTGGTTAGCGAAAGGACGACAAAAGGAGAGGGAAAGACATACCACAAATCACGCTATTTCAAAAGCGTGGTGATCTGCGTATCTGTTGACATAGTACGAGCTGAACATGTCATATGAGTTGTGTGGACTTATTTTTGGGATAAAGTCCAGGCCATAGACTGGAATGAGATGGGCAACGCAAAAGATACAATCAACGTGAATAATTGAGATGTCTGGGACGTCGTCACCAGTTGTTGTCGGCGTGACGACATACATGCCTGTGTCAGGATCGCGTTCTTCGCAGACATAAGAGTACCAATGAACTATGGCGCAGGGATAGTATGATATCCGATAGTTAAACGAGAAAAAGCAAAGGACTCATGCAACTGCGAGTCCATTCATGGGAGAGTCAAAGTCAACACCCATGTTGACGAAGATACAGTCATGCCTCGGTTTGCCAACGCGCCATGATGGTGTTGCCCGGATGTGCTCGCGACACATACCTCCCGTACCACTCAGATCACTGGGTGCATGGAATGAGGCTGCAGCAGAATTAAAGATGGCGAGGTTCCCTAGGAATACTTGCGCTGTTGCCGGATCAAACTCAGGAGGGTTGGGATCTTTTGAATAGTGTTGATCATGTATGAATTCTTGAATCATAAATGGGAGGCGTGGAAGGTCGAGTTCAAGGCTGAGTGCATGAACACTTCGTACACAACCTATTCATTGTCAGAAAGGGTCCAGGAGCAAACTGATTAACATACGGGGAGTTAATGCAAGCCCAACATGGGACTCCACAGCCAGTCCATCAATAATCTCACCAGCATCCACTTCAACAGAATGATTTTGAGGCTCATGGATATGCAGATGCCCAGGATGGCCTTCTTGCACCATATCAGCCACCAATTCTGAGTCGTTGTCTGCAGGAATATTCTGACCTATTGGGGGTATGAGAAGGGCTAAATCGTCAGAGAGAAAGATCATGTACATCTCCGGAGTTCTCCCAAAGCATTGGACAGACAAGAGCCATGAAGCATACCACATGCCTCAAAGAGAAGTATCTGTTCTGGATAGTCCACAATGTAAGGGCTTAAGCCGTACACCGTTCGTCGATAGTGGCCATCCGGAAAGTGTGTGACATCGAAATTTTCCATGAAAGGTTTCACAGACTCGAAAATCTTCACAAGGGAGCGCTGGAACAGCTGCCGTCGAAAATTTCTGTATTTAATGTTGTCATTATGTTCCTTCGTAGCTAGACAAATGAAGGTTATGATACAGTGATGCATTGAGAATAACAAGTACTTACATTTCAGTATCGCAAGAAATCCAATGAGCACAACACCATTGTGATGTGCCTGTCGTACGCTATTGTGAATGTTCCCAATTGAGAGATAGAGTGGGTGGTATTCAGTCTGACCAGTAGTGACAGAAACAACAGTCTTATCACTGCCAATAATCAATGGTACGAATGTTGAACCATGATTCTCCTCATTTCGAGCGATATCATCCTTGAGATGATTGTTAGTATGCCAAAAATGTAAATATGAAAAAGGTGTACTGCCTGTTTCCACGCCCAGTCACCAGACATGAAGTTCTTGAAATATTGTTTGTCCTCGGTAGTATAATCGCGGTAGGGTGAATACTCGATTCCTCCATCGAAAGCACAGTTTGCCAAAATGCTGCGCGTCATTTGCAATGGATCTCTATACCACACATCATATTGTCCATCCGTCCACGGTGGTACGTCTTGTTCGGGTTTGGCTCCATTGTAGCACAACATAAAGCTCTTCCAAGGGGTATCGCCGAGTGGTGTTGCATCGATTGTAGCGTACATGTCCCTATGGTTTGCAAATGGGGGGGCATCGTTGTGCTTAATGAGAGTCGCAGCCCACAAGTTGAGAAGTGTATCAATCTGCTTTGCAGACATTTGATTGCGTGTGAATAAGAATTCCGCCATCTCAAATTCAGCACGATTGTCATAAGGCGTCCAATCAGTTGGGAGGGCATCCGTATGAGGTGGTGGGGGTGCATCCTGGTCAATAAATGCCCCATTAGCATCGCATTTGAGTCCTAAGACAAAAATTGAGTAACAGTAAGATGAACTCCTTAAAAAACGCCCACCTGTGAGGTGCGGATGGAAAGTACGGAATAAGCGCCCCATATCCACCCAAGTACCTTCCTCCGGTACAAAATCCTGGTCGCCTGCCAGGTCTTGATGGAAATTCTCATCGATAACACCTGCTGGAGTGGGAGAACAACTCTGTGGAGGTATAAATCCAGGACCTGCGAGCGGAGCTGTGCGATTGAGGTTTTGTATTTGTGGGGTGCCGTGCCTCGCATGTGTGTGCTGAGTGAGGCCAGACTTGTTTTTGAAGACCCGATTGCAGTTCGGAAACCGACAAACAAGCCTGGTGACAGCTGGGGCCATGTTGGACAGTGGGCAGTCGTAGCGAGATGGATACCAGGGAGCAGAATACGTAGAATGGAGACTAGACTAATACTAAGTGTGTGAATCAGAGATTATGACATGCTCAATCGAAAAAAATATAACTTCACCCGTTCGTTGCCACCTTTTGCTAGGGTCCATATTCTTTCAACACCTCGCTACCAGCATTCCTCCAACAGCTTGTCCTAGATCTCAACATGCCTCAACCTGCAATGCGCCCAGGGAATGTTAACAAGCATCCTGGACAGATAGTTCTTGAAGCGAGTCGCGTAGCACGCCCAAAGGATGTAATTGCAGCTGAAAAGAGAAAGGCGTCAGCAGAGAAATTAGCCAAGGCAACCGCCTTGGAAAATGCTCAAAAGAAGGTCGCTGCAACAGAAGATGCTATGGCTGTCGAGCAGATGGCTCAACGTGCTGGCCCAGGACACCTTGTCAGACCAAAGCCTAAGCCACGCCCAGTGACCAAGGCAGCGCCAACTGCAAACCCCAACAAGATGTGTAAGCCTTACACAATACAATGCTGTTGCAAGACTCACCAGTCCTTTGACATTTATACAGCTGTTGAGGCAAAAACGGTGTCCCAAAGCACTGATGCCCTGAAGAAGAAATATCCAGGCTTGAAACTCACCTTCAAGGATGGTGTCAACGCCAGTTGAAAGGTGTCCAACAATGGTATATATGCATCGACAATGTGTGTTGCACTAAGCACAGGCAGTAACAGTGGGAAAAATAGAAGGTTGCTGTAAGTTCGTCTTAACTGCGATGTTACTTTTATCAGAGCTGACTCTTCATTACTTCGATATATTTCACTCACTACAATGTAGGGAATCTGAATCATCCATATTGACAGAGGAGGTGGAAGTAGGGAAGTGGGCTAGAAGTGTGGCATCGAAGTCCCAACAGAAGCCATCTGCACCACCAAGCGCACGTGCCAGTGGTAGGTACAGTTCCATGTCTGCACACATTACTAACAGTTTTTAGTGATTGCAAGCAGGGATGCGGACGTATCTGAAGATGAAAACCTACCTGAAGATCATGACGAGAGCGTAACTGTGAGTCGGGGTGGTCAGGTGAGTGACTTCATGATTGTGAATGGGGAATGCTTAAATCAATGCAGGGTGTCATGCATATTATTGAGACTGTTGATGATGCCACGATGGGACGAAAGTGTACCTTGTCCACGACCTCGTTGGATGACCTCGAACCCGAAGAGCGGCGTAAAATGGAAGAAGACCAAGATGCCGACAAACATATTCCGGATGAGGATGAGGATGTTGACATGACAGATCAGCAGGGTGATATGGAGGTAAGTACTGGTGGGTCCTGTAAGATAGATTAATTGCTCACCACAATCATGGATCTTATAGGTCTGTGAAGTGTCAAGCAGTCGACTCACAAGCTCTGTATGGAGAATTTGCTCTGGTCGCTTGACAACGCTGACAAATTCCTATGCAGATGTCAGTTAGCGTCATGGATACCATGATGGACGGTCCAAAATCCAAGTACATCAAAACCAAAAATGGACGTGCGCAACGTACTATACTCAATCTGAAGAAAGAAAAGCCGAAGAATTCTCACTTACCCAGCGCTGCTCATAATCTAAGCTTTTGTTCCATATTTATTCCAATGGTCATACACTGGGTCAGCAATAACAACTATCCATGGACCATCCCCGATGAGAAACTCTCAGACGTTCTCGAGGATATCTTCATGGTGGTGTGTAAGCAGCCTGGAGACTTCAGGAATGATGATGGCTGCAATCTCGCCTTCAACCTCCTGAGTGAATTCCCATTCCGGTACTTCTAGCTGACAACTATGCTGGCAGGTATGCCAAAGGATCTCTGAGTGGAGAGGTAACTTTGGCTCCACTGCTATCACCATTCTCATGGCATTTTTCGCCTCCACGGACGAATACAAGACCAAGGAGGCACGCAAAGAATATGCTGAATATCAACTTGAAGATTCACGCTTTGTATATGAAGATCCAGATAACAAAGACTCACCTGGTGTTACACTGACCGTCGGTCGGCGTGTGTGAACTAGGATAGGTCTTCTCAGCGACGGCTCGAGTGAGCCTACTGAAGCTGAGGGTGGTTCTCGGCTTGACGGAACGTCAAGGGTTCCTCCGGTGATCTCGGTAAGACGGCGCTCGTCGAGATACAGGGCTAGCGGATACGTGCTAAGTCGTAAGGGGGCGACTTAGAAGTGCGGTCTTATACAAGAAAGCTGGTAAGGCTTAGATGAACAAGTTCTGGGATGAACCTAGTAGATTAAAGTAAAGTCTAAGTACTATAATCTGTCCACTTATATGTGCTACATGTAAGTATTCTAGCTCAGTCTGTAATCTATAGTATATCGAGGATCTATGATAACAAGACATGAGGTTCAGATAAGGTACATGAGGCTTTAACCTCTGATCAAGCATGCAGCGCCAAGTGCGACTGCGCATAAGTACCATGAGGCGCCAAGGGCGCTCCGGATCTTCATGAAGCGACATGCTGTATACATGCGCTGATCTAGGGTGACCATGAGGCGTACAGCCTCCATGGATCAGGCACAAGGCCATCTAGGCCAGGGGCGGGGTCATAGCGCCAGGGGCGGCGTCACAGCGGTCCAGACCGCTGTCTTTCTAAGTGCGGGCGGCGCACCGCCGCATGGGGAGTCTAGCAGAGCGGGGGCTGGTGTAGGCAGAGCTGGGGCTCCTGTAGGTGTTACGGATGCCTGTAACACCTGGAGCTTTCTTATTGGAATTCATCTTGCGCATCTTTGCTGTTTAACTCAATGCCACCCAAGGACGCCAGATAATTGACTCGCTCGACTTCGGGTTACCTGGATATCCAACGGCCCTTGCACTGACCACTGCAGCCGTGAGTTTTGCACCGCCTTTACAAAACTTCCTAACTTTCATTTGCAGGCCGAGCGTGCACTTATTTTAGCTCGCGACGACCTGATTGTGGAAGATGCTTCGGACCACAGGAAACACAAGATCGCCCTAACTCTCAATCACTCCACAAACAAAATGAGTAACACAGGCACTGCTTTTTCTGCGGGTAATTGGGAGACTGACACACTCGTGTACATGGAATGAATTGAGGAGCTGCCCTTCGACCGCATAAAAGAAATTGTCGAACGAGCTCAGCCGTACATGAAGCGTGCTCGCCGCAAGGGTCAAGATGAAGAGTCTAGCATTCTCGACGGTCAAAGTCAGCCCCCTGTGCCAGTGAATCCACGCATGTGTATCCATATTTGAAGTATTTGTTTCTTTATTCTAATTCTTCCTGCTCTAACGCAATAATTTTTAACAGAACTCGCTTGGCTTTTCTACATGTGCGCTCATCTCCCAGCCTCGTATCGTTTCACTTCAATCACTGCTCTCGTCAATTGCTGTCCTACACCTTTTTTAATATTTTTTGGACATTTTCATAGAATGTTTTGAACTCATTGATGTCCTTATTTTCACCTTAGCCTACTTGGATTATTCTGTGTCTACTGAAATAATAGTATGCCTTGACTGCCTTATCCGCCTGATTTTAAGGCCACCGCTCCTTATTTCCTTAATTTAAGGAAATGAATCTCCTTAGTCTCCTTAATTTAAGGATGAAAAACGGCCTTAAAAGTTCCTTATTGTGCAAATTAAGGCAAATAAGGAGCAAATAAGGAACTCGATGTTTTCCTGATGTAATATACCTACTGGATCATTTATTTACCTGATGCTAGATGAACCGGACCCACTGGTGTCCATTGTGAACCGGATTCACAATTCACGATGTCCTATATACTGGCACATATTCCCTTGGCCCATCCGTTGGCCTCGGGTACGCACATTCACTAGGCCAACTCATATACCCGGCCCATCTGTTTGCCTTGGGTACACACATTTGTCCGGCCCACCCATCTCCATTGTAAACTGGATTCACTATGGATAATATCCTATATCCTAGTACATTCCTATACTATTGTCTATATTATATACCCCCGGCCCATCTGTTTGCCTCGGGTATGCACATTCACTAGGCCCACTCATATACCCGGCCCATCCGTTTGCCTTGGGTACACACATTCATCCGGCTCACCCGTCTCCATTGTAAACCAGATTCACCATTCATAATTTCTTATATATTAGCACATTCCTATACTACTGTCTATATTATATACCCCCAGCCCATCTGTTTGTCTCAGGTACATACATTCAGTCAGCCCACTCATATATCATGGTACAATCGTTGCCATGGGCCCACATGGGATGGCCCATCTCTATAGGTACATTGTCAAGCTGGGCTGTCCGTCTGAGACAGGTGAATTCACTGAATGGGCTCCCTTGGTTCCTCCTTCATGGACCCTCCTTTGTGGACCCTCCTTTGTGGACCCTCCTTCGCGGACCCTCCTTCGCGGACCCTCCTTTGTGGAGCCTCCTTTGTGGAGCCTCCTTCCTGGACCCTCCTCCCTCTTATACTTGTTTTCTGTCTTTTGTCGTGTTATATATGTATATATGTACTTACATCTTGTTTGTTTAATTACAAAATGAATTGTTTTTTTGGAATTGAATGTGTACAAAGGTCAAAAAATTAGCTTTTGTTTGAAGCCACCCAATATTATCAAACTTTGTCATGGCTGCCAAGTGTTGGCAACATTTGCCGGTTTGGTGAGAAATGGCAAGTAATTGCAGGTAGACTATCATGATTGTGCTTTTGGCAGTTTTCATCCAACTTACTCTGGGTATATAAAGCATTTTCTAGTGAACTATCATTTTGATAGATATTATACAAATTTTAAATCAGGTAAAGCTTGACAAAACTTTACCATTTTCACGTCACTTCCCTGATGTCAAAGGAGATGTACATGTCAATATGAAGGTAGCACCTTGTATCAATCACCAGAATGAAAACAACGCATTAGATTTGTACAGAGAGAGCTACTGCTTTGCATGGTTGGTCTTCTCTCATTTATGTTACATGGTAGTCATAACGTCGGCATCTGTGATTCTGACCTGCAATATAGTTATATCATGTATAATAGCAATACCCCTTTTGTCATGCTATACCGAGTTCTCTTGCCAAGATCTGAAGACCCTGTATCATGGCATTCATCAAGAGATATACAGACAGACAGAGAAAGGTAGCCCACCAGACGTTTACTGAAGAAACGCGAGAATAAAAATGCACCAGAGGCAAACCAAAGTCCCGGATGTCCAGAGGGTCGATATGTCTGATTAACTTCTCCCTCTGAGTCAAGGCCCATTACCTCCTGCGGAAGAAGTCGATCGGTGATCTCATTGCCAAGAAGAGCTCTCGCAGTCTTCATGATGGGTTCATTTCCTGTACTGCAACGTGCATGAGAAAGATTGACGAGAGACTACCAGTCAGACCATACGCTAGGACGATAACATCTGCTGAAAGCTTGGAGCCGTCTTTAAACGTGATTCCATCTTTATCGAAGTGACTGATTTCTTGGCCTTGCTTTATCTGCGCGTATCGCAACAATTAGACAGCCCTCAGAAAACGAATACAAGTCCTACCTTGACTTTGCCTTCGATGATTAGCTTACCACAGCCGATATCAATCACTGTAGGGTGTTTGAAATGTCATTAGTCTCAAGAACAAAGCCGAACGCACTGGTTCCTGACGCCTGGCGAGTGAACAAAAATCCATCCAGGCCAACCTCGCCACTGCCGGGCGAAAGTTCCCAAGTTAAGTTGAATCCAGCCTTGCGCAAACCGTCGTGGAATTCCTTATCGAGCATCTTCATGTGTTGTGCCCAACCTGCGATGTTGAGTTGCAGGAGCAAGGCCAGAGGCATTGAATTTCTGTGGAAATCCACTTCCTCGATAGGGGTGCTGTCAGGTAAAGGCAACTTGAAGTGGGTTTTCTCTGCGGTAGCTGAAGTTATAACGCATGTAGCGCTTCTTTGGACCATTGTAACCTTTCCTTTCTGATGAAATAATGTTTTGATATGGTTCAATCCATAGGCGCACCTCGGTAGCGCCATGCGCCACAAAATCTTGACATATATCTGCGCCAGCATTACCCTGACGCTCTCGTGAGTGTGCACGCAAATATGAAATGGAGACACGACTTACTGCACCCACAATGACAACGCGTTTGCCTCTGAATTGCTCTGCGTCTTTATGAAAGTCGGAATGATACAAGGCTCCTTGAAATTCATCCATTCCATTCCAAGTAGGAATGTAAGGACTCCCGCTTCCTGTAGCAAGTACCAGGTACTTCGGGTTAACGAACACTTTCCGGTCTCCGCGCTGGACTTCCACAGTCCATCTTGCGGATGATGAGTCGTACACCGGAGTTGAGACTAGGCTACTCGAGTGCCAGATACACAATTCCTGATTCACAGCATACGAATCTATGAAATTAGCAAGTTTTCCCTTAGGAATGTAGTTCGGGAAGTTTGTCCTAGCATCACTGAGATAGATGATACCGTTGAACGACGGAAGACACATACGGATAGGGACTGTAAAGCACTGTGTATAGATTAACCCTAAGCCTCTTAGAAAGATGATAAGACGTACTGGAGCTTTGATATGTAGGAGTATGCAGCTTAAGGTTCGGGTACCTGTAATTTGCATCTATAGCAAAAAAACAACATACTAACGCTGTGTTTCCACGTACCGTTGTCGCCAGGAGTCTCCAACGCGCGCATTTTTGTCGATGACAAGCACACGGATGCCCAACCTACGCAACCTCGCTGCAGACGTAAGGCCAGATTGTCCACCACCAACTTTTTATGCTCGTCAAGTCATCGTTATTAAGGAGAGAAACTGTACTGCACCAATCAAAACAGTGGGGTCCGCCTCTATGGCACGGAATTTTGCCTCAACATCCTCCTCCCAGGTAACACCTTCATCTAGGCCGTGTTGATCTGCAGAAGACTCCTCATGCCCGACGAGGTCCTGCATGTTTGTGAAAAGAGTTAAAGCTTTCCACTTCCCATTTACATCTTGCGTCAGACGGAAGAAACCTCGTCCGAGTGCAGCCGGTTTCGCAATGGTAAACGTGAAAGCACCTTGTACTCCTTCAATGTCTTGTGGACCTGGCAGTTTGAATGGTGAGGGCGCATTGGCAGTGTGATCGTCTATCTTGAAGTCACGAAGACCAGAATGCTCAAGTCGCGACTTTCCATCAACCACCTCCGAGAGAAATCCGTGTATTTTTTCGGAACCAGATAGCGTCCTAAAATCCCAAGAGAGACATAGAAGATCTGAGAGAGAGAACAATTGTCAATTTGTGAGTGCGCCTCAGTTCCTTAGACAAGCACCGACCTCTGAACCACCCGTCCGAAAGGAAATGGCTTACAAATGACTTAGAATCTCCGGTAGATGATGCAACCTCTAGGCTTCTGAGCCAGTCAGCGGAGATTGCATAAAGGTCTTCTGAAGAAGTCATGTCGGTACAGCAGGAGATAGCGAGTGTGAATATAACGCAGGCGTGGAAATATAGATGGAGCCAACGTCCTTAAAGCTTGGAATGACTAGAGAACTCTCAGCTAACGCCGCCCGATAGTACATGAGCAATGGAAGGCTACGGTGTGAGCAATTTATCAGCTATCAGATGGTGCAGTACTCACTTGACTAGTGCTTTCCCACCAATCGGGAACTGAACTATGGAGCTTTATTTAGTTGGTTCAGTTGCTGTTGTAAGGTGTAAAGAATTCCAGAATCCGGTATCGTCGAAGGATGATTGAAAGTCGTAATAAAGAAAGACTGTCTCGTGAGATAGTAACAGAATGGACGAGACTCCGGTATATCCTCAGAGAAGAATGCGTGGCACATTTGGGGACAAAGATTACCCCAGGTGAGTGCTAGCAAATGATGGGGTTAGCCCGGGCAAGCATGATGCGATCGATGAGGCCCTGGAAACGGTCAGAACTGTTTGTGCCCGTTAGTACACAAAAACATCATTTGAGTTGGAGAACATCATTTTTGCACCGGGAGCTTGGCACATGTAGCGTCCAACTCGAAGACGATGTCCGCGTGATTGCATTAACGCCGCTATTAGCTACTGTAACTCTGAATTGCCTGAAATTTGAATTGAGTGACTGTACGATGTGAGGCTTGGTGATAGTGGCAGAATCACGTGTTGTTCTCATCGTATTATTATGTAATTTCTGCAATCCTTGTCCTTGTCCCACTTCGTCTCTCAACAGGCATGCCTATCTGGACAATCTTCTCTCAGTATGAGAAACGATATGCCCATCCAATGCAGATGAATGTATTCCGGGTCATGAAAACTGCCTACCACATGTTGTGCCCATTAAGGGAGCCCTCCACAATCGACGAAATATCATCACAACCCCTAACAATCGGGTATGTATCCTCAGAAGGACCTCCAGACCTATCAAGCCTTGTCATCCGTGTTGATCGCTTTTCTGTCCTGTTCCGTGACATGCAGATCCGAGACCATTGGCGTAATGTCTGCATTCCCGTCCCTAGTGAGCTCACGCCGGTCATCATGGACATCTATGAGTTTGCCCTCGCGAGGTCCGATGTATGCTCTCATCAGTGGGATACAATGACGGAGAGTTACTTTGCACGTAGGATATGGAAACAACTGCAAGTGGAGGTAAGTATTGATTTGTTCTTATATTATCATGATGCGAATTGACTACGGTACTGGAGATACCATCAACGTGTTTCACAACGACAGGTTCCTGGTGGCACAGACACCAGATTACCACCAGCCTTCTGGAAGTGCTCTATATGCGCCTCTGATCTCATCAACTGCAACAGCTGTCAGGTTGCATCGTGTGAGTCGCATGATTGCCGCGGATCTTCCGAACCCCCGCTCGCGCGGTGCATCACGCATCCAAACAAAGTGCTATGTCTCCCATGCCTCGAGTATCATGATTCTCAGCGGCTGGTACAATGTCCACAGTGCAACTCCTGGTGCTGTCCGAAGGATCAGCTATCATGTACTGGTCGTCCCGTTGGCATCGAGTCCAATTCTTTCTTACGGGCCCAACGCTGGCCTAATGTACGTCTCATGATGGCCTACTACACTCACGAACGCGTTCACCCTCCCAAGCCTAATCCCTGCCAGGAATGCAAAACACCCGGCTGGCGGACCTGCGCCAACATTACATGTTGGTCTAATCATATCTGCCCAGAATGCGCGAGCTATGGCGTGATGTGGTTGTGCGAAAGAGTGTGGGCTTGCGACCTCTGTGCAGAACGGGTACATGGAATCTTCGTTCGATGTCCGCGCTGCAATCGGCCGTTCTGCATCACTTGCTTCTCCATCAACCAATGCAAGGAATGTTCGCCTGCGTGAGCCTGTGCTACGACTGCGCTGAAGAAGCGCCAGATGCAGACGATGTATTGCCGGCTGAAGTTGCCTCGTCCATGCGAGAGTTGCGTGGGAGGTGTGCGAATGCGTAGGATTTATTCATGGGAGTCACATTGGAGGTAAAATAACTCAGTCTCAGACCGAGGGGACCATGCTCGCAAGCCGAAGCGGTTCCGAGCCAGAGGTCAGGATGGAGACTTGCTAAGCACTTCCTGTGAATAGAACATCCAGCCTGGGTTCCGACTGTTTGTTTCCCATATCACATAGTGATATAAGTTCACGTATATCACAGATCAAACAGCGTACCCAGTTCCTCTCTCATCGCGTCGAAGTTTGATACTGAAGGTATTCGAGAAAAACAGTGTACCATGACACGGTCCTCATAGTATTTTAACATAAGTGTAGAACAGGTCCATCATCAAATTTAACAATAACCACCCAGAACGGTGTATACAATACGATAACCTCTGCACCATTCATTTGCTTCACCTTCGAGGAAGCCACGACTGCGCAGCCACCCGTCTAGAAGAAAGTAAAATGGCATTGTAAGCGGATCAATCAGACTATAGCATGATATGATAGATCGTTTCGACGAGAAAGACAATCATTGAAACAAAACATAGGGGACCTGATATGACTTACAGGAGTGTGGATCTTGATGATATCGCACGTCTTTGTGAGCTTGGATGAACCAGTGTATGCTCAACTCCGTGGCTCGTTTGGAGGACAAGCACTAGGAGGTCCCAGTAGCTAGCAGTAGGCGTAGTTGATACTCAGTCACCATTTGGGAGCACTGCAGCAGTGGCGCAGCAATTTTATGATACTCATGTAATCGGAAAGAGGTGTTCAGCGTTCAAACGTTCAATAATGGGCGGGAGATCGATCGAATAGGGGATCGAGAAGGCGTGTTCATCCTGATCTCAAATGGGATAAAGAGTTTCGCCTGTATAACAGGTCAGCGTGAAGCATGGCACGAAGGCGGAACTTTCCCACCTATTAGAACTTCTTCTCTGACTGGGCCTCTGCCCTAGGTATATGCCACTGTAAACAAGTCCGTCGCGAGACTCTGAGAGCCAATCGCAAGAAACATTGTGGTGGATAATATTGCTCTATGAAAGTCAGATAAATGATAAAGGGCTATGTACTGATGCAGAGCCACATGTGCAGCGCTTGCAGGAATGACGCGGATGCTTCGATACACCAATCCTCAGTCCAACCCCGTTCAGATACTACTTATTGGAGTTTCCACCATTGACAACTTGAAAGGTTCCGCCGAGGAGCAGCATGGCATCGTCTCATTCAACACGGAATCAAACTGTGCATAAAGTTTCGGTAGAGTCAGAGTTCAAAACAATTGGAACAAGGTTTGAAACCGCCAATTATGAACAATAACCAAGTTAACAATAGCACGTACACCCACTACATCAAAACTACTTACGTTACCGGTTATACGACATCTCGAAATCCTTTAAAAGAGAGAGGACTATCAGCGTAACCCACAAAATGACTGCTGTTGAGACAAATCAAAAGTTTTGGGCGAGCTGTGGTAAGTACTATGCGTTTTTCACGTACCCAGCACCTGACTTGACCAGGAATCCTGGACGCCGCAGAATCAAGAACGGATTCAAAGATGCTCACGGTGTGACTGGAAAAATCGCTTGGAGCAATTTTTCCTCTCTCACAGTGTTTATTTAGAGCGTTGTCGAGGAACGACTCGAAAGCACTAGTAGAAAGTAGGAGGGAGCTTTAGGTGTGTCGTCGACTTTGACGTTCACAATTATCAGCAAAGCTCGCCGCGCGCTGGAAACTGTACCACGTGTTCGAGTTGGGCAAGAGCTGTTACCGAGATGCTCTGTTTTCGACTCCGAGCTTGAGTTATGTTGTTGGTTGGCTGCTGAACGAGGTTAGGGTTACTAAGGCCCGATACGATACTGACGCGACGACCTTATTTTCCTTGTGCAGGTTTTGGGCAGAACAGGTGTAGGCCGGTGGAGTGGGAGTGAGGGGTAGTAGAGGTGGCAGGGGGCCTGACGAAGCCCGGGGTCGCGATTGTACATAGAGATGACGCGGACGATTCCAACTTGAGAGACGTCATGTAGGCGCATCACATTAACTTCTGAGGGAAAGCTTATACACGTGCTTTGGTGAACGATGGACCGTCATAATACATGACGCTGCGTCTTGACTCCATAGGATCTGGCATGGCCCTATACTATTTAGCCTGAGCCTGGCTCCAAACTCCTCGCCTCAGCTCCAAACTGATTTTCCTTCCCTGCGATACGGTCTTCCATCAGTCACAATACCAAGTACGATGGCCGGTTTACACCTTTCGACGCAAAGTCATCGGCTGCTTATTTGTCTGCCACTAATCACTGGCTTATTCTGGTTTGCAATGCTGCTCGCCATGCTTCTTACCTGGCTTATCTCTGGGCGTCCCAAGTACGTCTCTCAAGAGGGAAACGTCGCATACATATCAGACGTTGCCGCATCATTCCTCAAACCACTATTCATTGTCGGTTGTTGCATCACCGGAGTGGGCTTCATGCTCTCTCTCGTGCTAGAACGTCTTCTACGGCACAGAGGCAGGCTCCCTCCCTCCATGCGCAAAAAAGAGCGCGTGTTTGAGACTCTTGCCATCGCAGGATCAATTATCGGAATGTTGGGCCTCTGTTTCCTATCTGGCTTCGATACAAAACGCTACCACACCGCGCATTACGTATGCCTGTTCTTCTTCGCCCTCGGTGTCATTCTCTCCGTAATCTTCACTGTGCTCGAGTATCGCTGGTTAGTTCAAACCCATCCTGACATTAAAAAGCTTCGGTATGCGTACTTGGTGAAGGCCGTCATTGGAAGTGTACTTATTGTTTTAGCTATCGCCTTTGGTATCGCGCTATTTTACGCTTCGGAAGTCGGAGCAGTTTTAGAGTGGATCATTGGATTCGGGTTCACTTTTTACCTACTCACATTCGCATATGACCTAAGGGCTGCAAGAATCACGCTGGAGGAGGGAGAGGACATGACGGAGAAGGGCCAGGCCTCGCTGATCGCTGATCATAGGGAACCTGTCTAGTGAGGTGGCATTCGGAACTGTTTGGTTGATATGTAGAAGGATGCGAGTTGCTGCTCTTACAAGCTCCCAAATTAGACCTTGGAAGAATACTGCGTACCCGCCCCGATGACGATATCTTAACGAGTGAAGGTGAGGTGCAGCGCTTGCCTACCAAACGCGACATCGTTGATCATTTGCAGTGTGTCCCGTTGAAGAAATGCAGAACAGGCACCTATGTCATCATACTCCTTTGCAATATCTCAGATCTCATATTCAATCGAACGTGTCTTTCCGCAGCACCACTTTGCCGTCAGCCACGGAATCATAAACAGCCGCCATTGGTGTCGAATGGACTGCGCGACAGTTCCAAGCATATATTTAGAATTTGGCGTGCCTCGTGCGCAGTTATCCGATATTCAATGCCTGTCCGATCGGAGTGAGCAGCTTGTCTTCATTGCGTTTTGTTCGTTGGGCCATCGCCAAAAAGTACTAGCTGGAATGATTATCAAACATGCGCGAAGTGATGTCATAAAGATGACATATAGATGAGAGGTCACCTATGATGCGACAGACTCACCGCGATCGTATTCCTTCCTCATCGATACGATAACCGCCTAGTAAAGAGTCAGATGAGTACTTTTTGCAAGGTAGTCGAAGCAGGTGACCTGTTCCTGGAAATATTCTCGGCAGATGACCAGCGCCTGACACTGATAGTGGCTTCTTGTCTGAAGGATGTTACCCAGAAGGGCTCATATCAGCGATCAAGCACGCCTATCTGATAGAGCGCCATCACCAGACACACTGAACAGTCGTCATCGAGGCTAGAAGCGAACCAGCTGACTTGCCACTAAAGTACTAACAACCGATGATCGAGTCAGGTGGTCGCGATAGCCTTAGTGGGCTCAAGGCGTCGTTGCCTAGTATATAAGCTATAAGTAGTTGACTGGACTGCCGACACTATCATCTCTCCCGACCAGACTTTTTTCTTCTCCACCGCGATATCAAGCTACCTATGCTAGTCGGGCCAAAGTCACGACTATTCAGACAAGCCTAATAATGAAATCCAACGTCCTAGTTACGAACACTCCACCGAATCCAAAAAGACAGCTAGATCGACAGAGCCTGGAGTTCACTGGACCAATCCTATCGCGTGTGAGGGTAGTATGCGTCGAGTCAGCCAGTGAGTTAACTGGAAGTTTTAGTTGATTTCCAATTCCCCAGAGTCTTCGGGGTCGCGTTGTTGCCAAGCTGAACAAAACAAGGTTACATATGTGAAACTAATTACTAATAACACTAGTATTGCTTGCGGTCCGTTCGCCGCCATCAAATAAGTATATCTTCCCCGCATCCATAGCTGCATATGGACCTACTCTTTCGATTGGACATGTTCTACATTCTCAGCGCCTCTCATCGGATTCTAATGCAATGTCTCCGATTGGCATATCTGCACCAGTTCTATCCTCGACCCTGGTGAAGAGTCTGGTAGTTTGCCGTCGTCCCCCGAACGCCTCAGTTCTTTCAGAATCGCTCTAGGTCCGTTTCATATTTGCACTTGGCCAGCCTGTCATTACGTCAAACAAGTGCGACAACTCCCTTGGGCCTTTTCGGCTTTATCATCTCTTTCCTTTTGGGACACCCGCCAACCAACTTCGCGTCCCATGGGCCAAGTACACTTGTCGCTTCTGACAATCAACATTAATCCAACTGTTCGACTTCGTCGTCTCCAAGACATCGTTGACCAAACCAGGCTATAATAACCTCGTTAATATCATAAAAACACCATGAGAAGAAGAGAGGAACACGGTCGTGAGGAAAAGGATGCAGTACTTTAGGCGGTATGTATCCTTGCATGAAATGCCGTCACGGTATTGACCTATCTATCCATTCGGGCCATAGGTTGCCCCAACTCCTTTTACTCGTCGCCACCTAGTTCGGACGACGGTCAACACAGGACTAGAAGACGCTGTCAAATTCATATGGCGTAATAGCCCGTTGTCAAGAGATCTCAATTGGGTTGACCCAGTTCGACAGTATGCTTCCAAAAAGCGGAGCGCACATCTGTACCGGACCATACGTTGCGCCCCTTGTTGGATTTACGTGTACGTATTTTCAAACTTCAACTGAGTTGCGCTTGGTTCGCGCTGATTGCCGTAACGACACCGTGGAACAAATTTAATGGAAAGCCAGCAACACTACCTGAGAACATCTTCCCCTGCAGTTATCTTCCTTAGCCGGTGGGGATTATCCAAGTTCAGGGGAAAGACGATATATGAGCGTTGCCAGTGCATCAAAAGCAACCTTGATGCATCGATGCATGAGGCACACTGTTAGCCGGCGGTATTTTTTCGGAGAATCCTAGGTGAGCTACAACTTCCTGTCAGGGGCATTTGTCTCTTGCGCCAACGTTTATGGACGAACGTTTGGTTGAAACAAACGACGGAAGCTTCGTGTACCGTTGTCTCGGCCTGTGGAGTATCACTCAAAATCCAAAAGTTACATATCTCGCAGACACTTGCCCTTACAAGGCTGCGGAGCATGCTCCTCCCGATGTACACTACCTACTACTGAACGCCCTGCAATCTGCCACGTATCAGCTCCCCTCTCCGCATCGATAGTTTCGACACAACTGGTTATATTCCATCTAATGAAGGCCGGGGGTTATTTTTCGCCCGGGATCCGTCCTATTCGCAGATGGTTAACAGTCCATGGTATTCCCATTGACCGGCACTAAGGTCCGGATAATTGACCCTATTCCTGGAAATCTACTCTTCTTGCTTGCTCAGATTGGTCAGTGTTGTCATTTTTGGATCGGCGCTTGTGGATGCATATGTTCATTGAACTATGATTTAGTCAGCCACAGCTTACAAGCTTGCCTTCGAATCTGCAAAGGACGGCACGACGTACGGGCCGGTCACTCTACCTCACGGAACTGTTGCTTCTCGTCGTGCGAATTCGTACTGGCTCAGCCCCAGATCTTCAGACCATCAGTGAGGTTCCCACGGTGTCGTGTACCGTGCTGTTCTGTCAACCCCCAACAACTTCTTCACCTTGTCGAACCCACTTTCCTGACGCCGGCCGAACCCTTGAACACCACGCACTGCTGCGACTATTCCGTCCTTCTACCGGTGAAAAGCCTCTGTTGTCCGCGGTGGTGTTCTAGAATTGATAAGTTCCCTTGCCGTACTTACACAACTTAACCAGTGTCTCCGATTTATTGCCGTCCCTATCCGCAGGGCGCCATGTCAATGGTGCCATTGCGCTCTAATACATGCTTCCCTGAAGATATGGTTCAACTATGCTCCTACATTATATCGTCCGTCGGCTTTAGTCGGATGCTATCCTCCGTTATCCGCGGTAGTGCTTCCGGTGATCTCCCGGCCTAGCTGCTGTTCATAATGCTGTGTCTCTTTTCTATTAAACTCGATTCGCCCCTTCAAGACACTACAGCATGTTCTCAGGGTCGTATGGTTTGACGAATTTAAATATCGTTCTTGATAAGTTTCCCAGATTATCCGAATCCGAGTCGGATCGCTTGCCCTCCTGTCACTACTGTCAGGCTCCGTCAGTAACCAGCGGAGGAAGATTGTGCCTTGTGCAACCAAGCTTGATGCCGTTTCATTGTCGCGCATTGGCGATGCGACAATTTCTTAACCTACGTCGTAAGGGAAACTGAACGCCTGAGATACGTGGGGCCATTTATGGTATGTTATTTTACGGTGCATGTGGGAATTGGGGCCATACCCCTAAGAACTGATGCTTTCCATCAATGCGTCTTCTTGGTGCCTATTCTTCCGTTCATTATTTCCATGATCTGTCAGTCGAAGGGTGTTCTTTCTTACTAAAAACGTGTCGGATGGCTGAACACTAGTCCGCGAGCGTCTACTGATCATTTCAGCGATGATGATATGACAAGGATGAAACAATCTACCACCGTCATAACATTGTGCGCTAATTTGGAACACGATAAGGCAGGCCAGACCTAGGTGCATCCAATCTTATCACTCACTACGCTTCCGCGATCTCATCACATCTAATCTTAGGATTATAACCTTACGCCCGCGGGCGCACCCACCCCCAGTTCATCGTCATTGAGAATCCTGGCACAGACGTGCGACGTACCTAGGCCACTCAGCGAGCACCGATATCAAATACGATAATTATCGTTTGCCAAGAGTTTCCCAGTCCCGTCGATACCTATACTCTCACATATGCCATACTTCCCGCCTTCAATTGAATGGGTTTCTTCGAATCCATACGTTCCCGGTCCGCCTGGCCCGCCTGTGTAGGCGTGTTGTTATTAATACCAACGGGTACCACACTGAGCGGTGGAACTTCATCATTGCCCACCCTGTCATATTTTTTCCAATGCAGGCGGGTTCCTTGCATACTCCCGCCCATTCATTCAAAGCCTCTCGCCTATTATTCTTGTTTCCTTGGAATGTAGGCTGTGTCTGTTTACTGGCGCTGGCGTTTCAGATTGGATCGACATAATGCGCGCTCCACATGCTACTCCGCCTCCGTTGGTCGCTCGTACCTCATGCATCACCGCAGTAATCAGTAATCGGATTATGTATGTAACTCCCTGACGGCTTTCCGTTTGCAGGCTTATCTACTAGGACGGGACGTATCCCGGTCAATAAGAAGGGCGTATTTGTCAGCGTGCGATGTAGTAGCTACCGTCTGGGCGGTTGACAACCTGTGCTAAGCTTTTTGGAGATATTATGTTTAATGAATTAGTCGCTTTCACCAGTGTGCCGAGATAGAAGGGAGGCACGACCGCCGACGCCAACGCGGCCCATGCCTACACAATTTCTCGACGCCCAGACATAACTCAATATCTCACCCCTGTCTAGAAAGGCGTCATATCTTACGATGGAGTCTAGTATTGTGTGATAAAATATTACGATAAATCCCACTTATATACGACAGAAGCAGCTATAGTAGGTTAATGCGACATAGAGTTCAGAGTTAATTCGATACCAAAAAAAAGAAAGTTAGGCTTATGTGGCGGCAGGAGCGAGCCGCGCCTGGGAGCAGAGAGCATGGTCGATTAGTGACTAAAAACTCCACTGGTGTCGACTGGTCGTGAGGCGAGGCGATTATAATCGCCCAGTGAGATGAGCTCATGCAATAAAAATTGACAACGGCGTCCCGGGGGGGATCTGTAGACAAGATAATTCCGAAGATGTGCCTTGTCCCCTCTATCTTGTTCGCGAGATCAAAGGTAAACTCATCTGCGTCTGAATAACTGTTGTTTCCTGATCTGGCAGGTGGTGGGTTCTATATGACGTTTCGATCAGATTTGAGGGTGAGGAACTTGTAGTGTAGGTGGCATTGCGCTCGCACGTAAGACTGATTTAGCTTCGTACCGATAGGTCCTGGGCTAGGCGAAATTGTGATCTAGAGAGTATACATAAGTAGGTGGTTCTAGGGTGATCAAGGAAGTCGAGGGTGGCCTGAGGTTAACTAAAAAACGGGCCTTGGGTCTATTGTTTGCAGTTTATTTTGTGTTGCATGAAAACTGTCCGAGGAGTGGGTCTAGTGTTGTGAAATTTGGCTTTGTGTTCTGTCAAGTGAAATATCGGGCGCCATCGCGGAGATTGACGAGTCGGAGGATGTAGTAAACTCAAAGTGTGTCGCGATGGGGGTTTACATTGCACGTCGTGTGTCAAGGAACCTTAATGATTAGAGTAAGGTGGCGATCTTGGACAGTCGCGGGAGAAGATATGGTGATGTACATTGGTGTAGGGTTGGGAGGAGAGATTGACGGTGCCGAGGGCTACGAGGGATCGGGGGCAGTAGGGCCTGAGAGAGACAAACCTAAGGATAGAATGAAGATGTAATAAGAATTGTTTTTATTTATTTGTTTTAATATTTTGTACCTGTTCCCATACTCGGACCGAGACCCCGAATTGAGCGAGAAATAGATCAAAGTGATAATAAAGTGAAGTATTATAGACTGACAGATCGAAATCACATAGTATCCACATCTTCCACTTTGTATCCTCATCCTCTCATGTCCAGCTATAGTACAACAACAGTAAGACAAGAAGGTTTTCAGCTTCCTTCACCTGCACACACCGTTTCCTCCCTGTCAGAGACGCCTACCTCACCCCCTCCAACCTCTCCCAACAATCTTTTCATGCCACCAAACCTATCTTTTCTTCCTGACTCATTTCGTAAATTTCCAAGCGCTGCTCAAGCTCATTCTCATCATCAACCTGCAACACCAAGTAGTGCCATCGACTTCGCCGACGATCTTGCAACACTCATCGACTCGCACCCGCACCATGCATCGCACGAACGCAGTACATATGATGCAGACCCGTACCGTCACAATATCTTTGATATCAGTGCTCCTACAACTACTAGCCATTACCGACCTCCATCATCAACCGATATCTATCCAAACAGCCAACAACAACATACCAATGATCTCCATTTTAACAGTACCCTTCCTGCCTTAAATAGCAGTATGCGGTACGAACCACACCCAGATCCGCCATCACATTTCGCGTACCGCCACACCCCATCCCCGCACAACCCCAACTCACCCAGCCGTAGCCGTTCACGCCCCCCAAGCATCGGCCCCACCCGAACCTCCCGCCGCGATCGCCGAGCTAATAGCATTAGTTCACATGTATCCGGCACTTCACCACCCCCACCCCCCCGTCCTCACGCCATAGTTATCCCCGGTAGGGGTGGTGGTTCAACAATGGGCGGGTTTTTTGTTCCCGGTCAAGGCGAATACTCGCTTCCCACACCCGACAGTCTCACTCATTCCTTTGGCGGGTTCCAGGGATATAATGCGGCAACCACTTCATACCCCACGCAACCCGGTTCATTTGCTTCGCAAAACAATGTGGCTGTAAATTATGGTAGTTTTAATGGCCGTACCGGAACTCCTAGCATGGGAATCAGTCCCAGTGAAGTCTCTACTTTGGGCATGCTTGGGAGCAGCACGACTTCTCCCCCTCCCTCTACCAAGGGAAAGCATGATGGCGATGGTCTATCAGAAAAGAGACGAAGAAGGCGGGAGAGTCATAATGCTGTTGAGAGAAGGCGGAGAGACAACATCAACGAAAGAATCGGCGAGCTAGCAGGGCTAATTCCAGGGGTGTTGTTTGAATGTGATGGTGGGTATTCCTTCCTTTTCGCGGTCCTCGGCCTCCCTTTCCTAATTTTAATTTTTCATTCTCGTTTTGAATCCTCGGATCTAACTCATAACCATAGCCCCACTCATTGCTCCAACATCCCCCACACTCCTCAGCGCAACTTCACCTACAGTGGAAAACAGCGATCTCTTCTCACTCCCCCTCCTCCCGGATGCAGCAAACTCTGATGAGGGTCTCGCTGACGTTCCTGAGCATGGGGTACCCGGCGCTCCCAACGGGAATGCTGTGAAAAAGGATCCAAGCGAAGATGGAGATGATGGTGCGTCTTTTGCGTGCTGTGGAAGGCACATTCTGACGTTCCTGAGCAGGCCGAGGTAATGCGAATGGTGGTGTGAATGGCGGTATCCCTACGAACGGGATCACTACCGCAAATGGCTCCGAACCGCAAATGATCAAGGCAAACAAGGGGATGATTTTGAGGAAGGTGGGCATCCTGATTTATCTATTTCTCTTGTTTTTATTTCTTGGCGGTTGGACGGTGCTTTTGCTTTGTATTGCCTATATGCGCTGTGTTGCACCATATACGCTCATTTGCTAGATACGCGCATCTATTTACTGCATATATGCGCCTTTCCTCGTGGTGATTCACTTGAAAATCGTTCAATTACTGACTCCGCTTCCCAGTCCGTGGAGTACATCCGTTATCTCCAACAGCTCGTCAGCGTCCAAGCTTCACGCGGCCGAGATCTCGAAGAGCGCAACCGCACTCTCGAGCGCGAATTGGCAGCAATCCGCGGAACCCCCACCCCCTCCTCCCGCTCTGCCTCAAACTCAAACTCTGCAGAATCATCCAGACTTTCCCTCGTATCGTCACAAACGTCCCTGCCACCCTCATGGGAAGCTGAGAGGAAGTGGGAGATGGACGTTGAGGATCGGGGCGAGGATGAAGAACGTGGTCGGGGGCGCGTGCGTGCGAGGAAAGAGGATGTTGGTTCAAAAATCCGGGAGGATGATGTGGTCATTGGGGAGGAGCGCAATATGGAGATATGACGGTCTCAGCTGGCAACATCGCAGACGCCTCGCATATCTACACCCATCAGCTCTGGCACATCCACTTCATCATGCTCATGCTCACGTCCCTTCATGACTGCACGATATTCTTTCATGTGTTTTTCCCGCGTTTTATCTGTCTTTTATCACCTGCCTCCCATGCACACTGTATCATTCATAGCCATGCTTTGGTTTCCTGTGTTATTTCTCCTTATTGGGTCTTTTCGTCGTTCTTGACTACATAACGCCTCCACCTCTTGAACTTTGCCCCATACGAGCGCAGGGGTCTGATGGAATTTCTACCCCGAACAGTGCCTTTTAGCTTTACCCACCCACCGCCGTCGCAATCGGGCAGCATGGCCCGGTGACGCTATTTTGGTATCTGCATTGCAACACCATTGAAGCCGATGCCTTTGCGTCTACCCACTCCCTCCCTCCAATATCCATCATCTATTGGAAGTTCTCTTCATTTTAGTTCCTCCATCCTCCATCCACCCACCATTTTATTCCTTCGCTCGCCATTCCACTCATCCGCCCACCAATTGGTGAACGCTTTCCTTCCTCCTTCCCGGTGCTCATATCATATCATAGCACTTACCATTTACCCATACATCCTCCACCGAAAATGTACCAATATATTTCTCTTCGAAACCAAGGCCAAGTCAGAGTCAGTATCTATCTATCGTCGTATCTACTGGCATTATCTGCGTCAGTATCAATATCAATAAAAAGGGATTTTATGCGTCTTTTGTGGATCTTGAGATTGTGGCTGAGGCATACTTCGTGGTGTGAGGCCTAGAGCGCTGTCGAGTGTGCGCGCCAGTGACCGATCAGAATGTAAAGACAAAAGTGGGGAATGCGATAGAATATATCAAGAGCACTCGGCAGCAGTACGAGCACCAATACTTGGAAAGATACATGTCAATTAATTCAACGACGAACAAGCCCTTATATACGTTCATCCGAGGTCCAGCCAGTATGTGCGTGACTTGAACACGTTCATACGTCTTCACCCACCTGACATGGGGGTGATGATCACCTGGCGCAGTTTTAACGCAATCTGGCGAGCACGAGGAGTCCGAGGATCGCTTGAACATGCGAGCACAGGTTACAGGTTAGTCTTGGCAGTGCGCAGGCTAGGCTCGCTCGGTTGTTGTTTGTTCTTATCCTGGAATCTAGCCGCATCGATTGATATTGGTTGATTACAATTGGATAGTATCTGATGCTCTTCTTGAACAAAGATCGGTGCACTCGACACTCAAGGTATCAGTTGGGTACCAGACGTATCGATATCGTCACCTCGTACGAGTATGCCACTTGTATCACTAGGCCATCAACAGGTACCATCGGATCGTGATCAATCAACAGTACGCACGATTCATCTCAGCGACTCCGATCTCACCAGCGATCATTATGAAGCAAAAAGCAACAGCCAGTGGCTGAGAGAACTATAATATGGCTCAAAGGACGCACCTGGGTGCTTCGATATCCCCTTGGAGTAGTAGTAGACCAATAAAAGAAAGACAAATGCTGTCCGAGTCGTTCCTTCCATGTGAGCGCCTGATATAGCGTGCGCTCAATCGATGAAACGCTCTTCTCCGACGCTCATCAAGTCCGTCCTCGGGCTATGACAGCGCGAGGCAAGGCTGTGAGCGGAGCAGAAGAGTGAAGCGGTATGCGTAGCTCCGCCGAATCTGGCACCCAGGGGCGGAACAACGCGAGAAAGTGCCATGGCCGCTGGCAGGTCTTCCCACTCCATCAGATTACCGAAACTGTTGGCGCTTGCATTCAGGAGCTCCGGCTAGTTACCAGTGGCATAAGAATCCACCATCGATAATGAGGGAGTTTTCCCGTCCAATGTTGATAAAACGGCTGCAGAAGACGAAGACACCTCGGAAGTTCGGAACTCCTCCAGTTACTCTATGAATAGCGTGGTTGAAAGCTCAGAGCCGCGGTCTGGATGGTGCTTGACAAGAATAGTGATGTGCTCAGCCAAAACACTAAGTCTAGCTAGTGTCGTAAGTCGCCGGGCGAACGATAGTTGAGGTGTTGCTTCGTGGAACTACTCCGATTGGTGTGGTGTCTGTGCTGTTTTGAGGTCGAAAGGAAGTTTAAGTTATTGTTATTCTCAGCCAGGCTAATGTTAACCACGAGAGTCCCAAGTCCAACTGCGGATAAGACAAGATCGAAGATAAGATTGATCCTTATTGATCTAGGGGTTAATTCAACATCGTGTTATATAAGTAGACCATGGGCATCTATGTCCGCACACGTTTTCAATACATCTATCACATATCGCAAGATAGTCAGTGCTTATAAGTACATACCGGCCCCGACCAAAGACCTCACTAGTAGAGCAAATAGTTCGCCTGGTTCTGCGCCAAGCTATGGGTTATCTTTCCCGGTGCATTATCAAGCGCATTACCACTAACACCAAACCTCCAACAAGACATATGATCTTATCGCCACAAGACGCTCAGCAGGAGAAAAGCGAGGACGATCACGACTACTCACCCCACTGAAGAGCGACGGTATCAACCACCTATATTGAGGTGAAAGTAAAGCGCCTGCTATCGGGCCACCTGAAAACATTAATACAATGGGAGATAAAGACGCGGCAAAAAAAATACTCACTGAGTAATGCACCAAATGCTGAAATTCACAGTCTGTCAGGAATTACGAAACAGAGCTGACTGATACACACCGGTAAAAGTAAAACATATGCCCATCCGTGCCCTGTATAGGAGGTCGACATGATTGGCCAGACAATAATACGTGTAATATGCAACTAACCCTAGCTCCGACAAGTCGGGCGTCAAGATAGCCACCAGTGGGACCAACAGCGAGATGTCTTGGATCATTAGTGCCAAAAATTACACTAGCGGCAATGTGAAACATACAAGTTCCAGCAACGTAGCCATATGCAATGCCTATCCCAACCGCACCGAATATGTTATTCAGAGCTATCATAGACAAGATGATGACGCCGCATGCAGTAACAGATGCGATTGTCAAGTTCAACAATCCTGTGTACACTGCAATTATTCCTGCTGTGCAACGTCCAACGGCATTGGCAGCGTTCAAGATCGCAATCTAAATCGGGTTAAGAGTCGACAGAGAATAAGGAATTATTGAACATACCAAGTAGAACGAGAATTGTACGTCGATCCCATGTTTGATAGAGTCCAGTTGTAAGTAGTATGTAGGGAAGAAAAACCCGATCTGAGATAGTGTGGTACTAGGCGTAATCAGCTCCAAAGACTTCATGCGGATGCCAAAAAGAACTTACCCAGCGGTCATGAGGATGAAGGGGACATCACGAGAGCATTTTTGTGCCACTTTACTAAAACTGATAGTTGGTGTCGGCAGTGCTCTCGTACGCATGGACAAGCAGGCGATCAATAACAGGGCACTAACCAAACCTGCACTGGCACGGGCACCTCCCGCAAAGCCAACAGTACCATTCAAAAGGTGATTCAGCATGATCGAATGATTAATGCCACCCAGTGGTGAACCGGCCGCGACAAGAGCCATTACCAACGTGCGTCTTTTCGAGAAGTGCTGAGAGATGACCGCCATGGAGGGACCAAATGTTAGACCCACCCCCAGCCCGGTAAGGACACCTTGAAATATAAAGATCTAGTCACAAATATAGGTAGCCCACCGATGAGATCAGCAGGGCTGCTCACCATGTAGAATTGATCAGGCTTAGCGAAGGATAACGCAAACAGGGACAGAGATTGGAGCAACGAGCCCACGATCACCAAATGGTAGCTATCAGCAATCAGCGTGATGAACAACCGATTATGAATGTATGAAACTCACAACCACCCATTGTCGTATAGTCGACCAGAGATCAAGGTGCCACTGGCGGTTAGGAAGAAGCCCAATGCGCCAATCCATCTAACGCTGACTGAGATCATAAACATCAGAGTAAAAGTACATTCACTTACGATATTGTAGACGGTGGTTGGTTGGTTAGATAAATTCGTGTGTAAAAATCTTTCAAGTTTGTTTGTCCACCACGTACACAGCTGATCCCACTGCTGTGTACTTACCTTGGTAGACTCCAAAAGAGTTTAAGTATCTGTTTGAGAGCTATCAGCTGATGCCTCAATCGGACAGATTTAGGACCGACCCGTAGCCACAAAATTGTATCAAAAAACTAGGAAACATGGCGAATGTCAGGCGCACAACTTGTGAATACCATTCGAGAACATCTTACGATCCAAAAGCAGTTGCCCATGCTTGACGCCCGCCATCCGGAGGGCCAGAATCTGAACACAGTGTTGGGCAGTCAGGAAACTGTCTGGGTCCCAGCTCTTCCAGAACGTCTAACTTCTCGTCCGTGGTAACCTCATTGCGGAATTCGTCCTGTGCCATAGTCGGTATCGAAGAAAATGGCGGGTAAGTAATGTGTTATGCACAGGAGATGCAGGTATTCAGATTTATAGGGACAATATTGATTGTGACCCTGCAAGAGCGCTGTGCAACCCCATTCCAAAGGGGTTACTTGGTAAGAGGGTACGACAAGTCGTGGTCAAGTCATTGACGGCGGTCTAAATGCAGGTATAGAGTAATCCATAGTCTTGCAGGGTCCATCATTGTGATCATAGACACCTGACGGCATTATAACAGCTGTCTTGTCTGGAATATTTGAAGTAAGATTACCAACTGTCCGGCTTGTGTGGCCGACGGCGGATCCGAGGGAAATAAAATCCAATACTTGCCCTGTCGGGAGAGTGACCTAATCAGTTATACTAGGAATGAATGCCGACAACTTACCGAAGAAAAATAACGAAGAGAACAATAGAGAATATATGCCGAAACCAGGAAATATACACATTGAATACCATAAGGGGATACACAAACATGCAGAAAAAAACTATATAGAAATCAAATCGAAACCACACCCTTGATAGGATTTCCCTGGAGTGAGGTCACCAACATCGCTTGAGCCACAGTATGTTAGCATTAGCACATTTCCTGCCCTTGAATCATTTGTGAGCAATTCATACTCGTAAGGGAATGCACTCACCTGAGGGGAAGCGCAAGGTAATGCTACAACTTGCTCAAATGTTATTACTCAACTCAGAGATGAGGGCCCCGAGGCCACTGACGCGGACGCCCCATACGTTTGGCAAATGTGTGGGATAGAGATGAAAATGGCAGTTCTGTTCACGCGTTGCAAAGTTGCGGTAACGCATCCCCCAAATATTCTCGTAGATTGTCTATGGTAGTATAAACAAGCACAAAATGTCTCGTGGACTCAATGTGGGTTGTGGGTGATGCAAAATATAATTTCCCTTATACAAAGCCTTGGGTCCGTTCGCCGGAGGTCGAGAACACCGCGGGCTAGTCGTAGAACTTCGAGTCCGCCGGATCGGGGATTGCCTTTGCCCAGGTTGGCTTAACCTCAGCTTACCTTGACGGGTACTGCCAAATAGTGTATCTGGCGCGTGGGCTTGTCAGTTGTTGTAGGCATGAGGTGAGCGGAAATGGCGGTGAATCGTGATCGGTCGCGAAGTTGCAACTGCGTGGCCTACAACAAAAAATTAAGAGTAACATAGAATCTGGAAAAAGAGCTTACCAGCTGGGAATGTTGCCACACGATGATTCGTCGATGAATCTGATGATGGCTCACTTGTGCATGAGCCGACGTCGAAATGCAATTGCAATTGTTGCTCTAGGATATACAACGATAAATATAGCGGACTATGAAAAAATCGCACTCGGCATGACGGCAAATTGAACCATCAGGCCTAGGCAGTGGCAAATACGTATACAACCCATGTATTCAAAATGCGCGTAGGTGTACACTATAACATCGCGCCGACAGCACAAGGGTGAGTATGTTGAACAGACAAACAAATATCGGCCCGAAGGAAAAGCGCTCATAGAACACGTAGTTCACCTCATTTCCACGCGTTGTGGGTGGCTAGTGTCTCTTCCGTTTTTCGTCTGCGATATATCATCAAGCGCATCACCACAAACATGGAGCTTCCGACAAAACAGATGAGCTTATAACGGTAGATGAAAATTTCAGCATGATGCAGGAACAATGCAAAACTCCTCACCCCACTGAAGAGCGATGCTATCCACCACCTGTATTGAGAGGAAAGCAAAGCACCCGATATTGGGCCGCCTGAAAATATTAGCTCAATGACAAATAAAGACCGGAAAGCAACCACTCACCAAGTAATCCACCAAAGGCTAACCATTCGCGCATTGTTAGTAGTTCCAAGACACAGCCGGGTGCTACACACCAGTGAAAGCAAAACATATCCCAAATCGCGCTCTGCATATGAGGATTAACATCGCCAGACTGTACACGTAGAAGAAGCTAACCCTAGCTCGGACAAGTCGGGCGTAAACACAGTCACCAACGGTACCATCAACGCAACATCTTGGAAAGTCAGTGACAGGAGTTACACAAGCTGTGGTGCAGCACATACAAACTCCAGAAAAGTAGCCATATCCAAGCCCTAATACAACCACACCTACTACGTCGCTCAGCGCTATCATGCAAATGATCAGGGCACTGCATGCGAGAGTGGATACCATCGTGAAGTTTAATGCCCCTGTGTACGCTGCAATTATTCCTGCTGTGCAGCGGCCCACGACACAAGCAGCATTCATGATCACAAGCTAAAACGTGTTAGAAGTCAACTACGAAGAAGACATAATCAGACATACGGAATAGAACGAGAAATGGACGTCAATCCCATGTTTGATAGAGTCAAGTTGCAAGTAAAATATAGGGAAGTAATACCCGATCTGGAATATTGTTGACCTAGACACACTCAGCTGTGAATACTTCGAATTGAACTCGCGCAAGCGCCAAAAGCGACCTACCCCGCGGTTATGAGGATGAAGAAAACATCTCGAGAGCATTTCCGCACAGCTGCATTATAGCTTGTATTCGGTTTTGACATTGAGAGTGCTCTCGTGCGCATGGATAGGCAAGATATCAACAATAGAGCACTAACAAAACCTGCACTGGCACGGACACCTCGCTCAAAGCCAACAGTGCCGTTTAAAAGATGATTCAGCATGATCGGATGAACAACGGCACCCATTGGTGAACCGGACGCGACAAGAGACATCACCAACGTGCGTCTCTTGGAGAAGTGCTGAGAGATAACCGCCATGCAGGGACCATACGTTAGACCCATCCCAATCCCCGAAAGGATACCTTGAACAATGAAAATCTAGTCGTCACATATAGACAGCCCGTTCACAGAATCATCATGGCTGCTCACAAGGTAGAACTGACCAGGCTTTGCGAGAGATAACGCGAACAAGGATATTGACTGGAGGGCCGAGCCTACAATCATCAATTGGTAGCTATCAGAAGTTAGTGCCAAAAAAAACTACCAACATGTGGCAACTTACAACCATCCTCTGTCGTACAGCGGTCCTGAGATCAAGGTGATACTATCCGCCAGGAACGAGGTCAATGCACCAATCCATCTGACAGTGACTGAGACAACAGACTCCAGAGTGTAAGTGCGTTCACTTACGATATTGCGGACGGTGGTTGATTGGCCAGGTAAATTCGCGTGTAAAAATCTTAGTTCTTGTGTCAACCATGTGTATGATCAATCATATCACCGCTGCGCACCTTGATACACTCCATATGACGATACATATCTGTCAAAGTGCTGTGAAATATCGTCTCGAAAGAATGGTGCCAGAACGAACCCAAAACCGCAAAACTGTATCAAAAAACTGAGTGTCGTGAATGTGATATACGCATCTCACGAGCCTCGTTTGAGAGAACTTACCACCCGAAAACAGTTGCCCACGCCCAAAACCCGCCATCTGGAGGGTCAGATTCTGAAGGAAGTGGCGAGGAATTAGATGGATGCACATGTTCCAGTTCTTCCAGAGCATTCGACTTCTCGTGTCTCATGAGCGTATCACAAATTCTGGGCTGAGCCATAGACATCGAAGGAACTGGTGGGCGCGTAAAACATAATGTCGACAAATGTTGGGCTTGGGGATTATAAGCCAAGCTCGTCTTGCTGTCAGCGAAATCTCGAGCCGGAATGAAAGAACCAGATGGAGCCAATGTTGAGCCGTCTTCGTGTTTCGGGTGTGCCAAGGGCCCTAGCCCTCAGGCAAATCTTCGTGGCTAACACTCTGCATGAGTCTTGGTTCACTTTTCTAGAGATACTGACAGATATATGAAACGATCGACTTATCCGAGTCCAATAGAGTTTCGAGATTTTCTGTATGCGCGAAATAATTTATGTGGTCGTCGTGGCGCTGATGCAACCTAACTTGATTGGCCAGGGAGGTAGAAGGACCATTGTGGCATTGAACTTCTCAGGAGGCCGTCTTCGTTGTTTAGGGTGTGCTGGCGCAGCCAGTCTGTCCAGAGCGATCTACGAGTCTAAGACACCGCCATTCACAGAGACCACAGCTGCCAAATTTCGACAAAATCTAGAAAAAGTAAAACATATTGGAAAACGAGGACAATCAACGTCAGTAAACCAATGAGTCGTGGTAGGGTGCACCGTGTAGCGGGAAAAAGGTACGTAAAATATTGCTGCCGTCTTAATCTAGTAAATTTGGGGTCGTCTGATTTTGTACCACGACGAGTCGGACTCGGATTGGCTTGTTGCCGGCTTGAACTTCTGGGCCAGTTCCAACTTCCCTTCATAAAGGATCCCCATATGTCCTGCGTCGACGCAGATGAGAACGCTAAATCACGCCAACTGGAGTCACATCTGAATCAGAAGCGTACTAGACGACGAGTTGATCGCACCCTACCAATAGTTCGAATCGGAGCTCCGTTGTGGAGCTCTGGTTATGATAAAAGCTGAGTCCACTTCGATGATCGACATTCAAAATCAGGCTTCGGAGTTTACCGCCAATTGATTCAGCGTATTGGATAGCTCTACGTCGCAAGAGAATGAGGGAAAGACTGAACGGGAAATCATTAACCGTGTCGTGACTCGTCCGAGTCTACTTCGAGAAGGAATGTTGTCATTGTCGGCGGTATCGACACATCTCTCACTCTCGTGAACCGGAGTTCTGCTGCACTTAAGGCCCCCATGCCTCCAATTATTATTTCATTGCGTATCCCTCCTGCCTTTTTACCTGTACCACCGATGATCGCCTCACGCCTATGTGCACATAACGAATCACTTCACAGTATGGCGGCTTCCCGAGAATAACGATGCCGCGTTTTGATCCTATAGGTTCACAATTGGAGCATACGCATCTCTCAATTGACGTCCTCAAGCACGCCAATTACATATTTATTTCAAGTCTGTACGTATTATGGGTAACTGACGGAACGATTTTTAGCGGCTGTACACAATAAATCCCCATAATCTGGGGTGCAACTAGCCACCTCTGGACCCTCCCGAACCCAACCATTACTGGAACGAACCGTGGTTCGGCTCAACCGGGCGGCAGCAACATTAGCCTAGACTCGCCTAAAGTTAGTTATCCGCGTATCATTTATCTACTCTTTCTAAATATAGGCGAAGGTAGAAGAATACTGGCAGGACGAGCAATCTTGGACTAGCTTGGTAGCGATATCCCCCTAAAGTTTTCGTCTGCTCGTTAAAACCGCCGCCAACCTGTCTTCCTATAGCGCTTACAGGAATATATTCTCAGAGATACGACTGGATGCAGCCTGTAGTGGGTAAAAAGCATGTGGTTCAATCAGTGACGCGCGCTTGGACGCTGACACCCTTGACCCTGCCAGGATGCCCTGCAACCTCATACTAAAGGGACTGCTTGGCATTACATCGCTGACAGGTGTTAGCGAGTCATCTCGATGGGTGCCATATACTTATAAGAGTCTTGGACTGCAGGGTCTCATAGGGTTTGCGCCCTTGTGATCGGAGGATGGATACCTAATGACATGATAACAGTCACCTCGTCAGGGAAATTTAGTCAACTATTCGGCTTGCGTGATTGACACCGGGTTTGACCTTGGCTGGACGACTTTCCACAAGGAAAAAACGTTGAGTAGATTACCATTTTGCCGCATTAGGGGGGGACGTGCCGCGATGACACTATTCATTTCCGGTGAATTTTTTGCTTTACGCCCCGAAAACAAGCTTTCCAGATAACATTCTTTCCGTTTCAGGCCACTGCGCCAGCGATATTCACTGACATAATAAACCTTGCTCGACGTGCGTGGCGTCGCGGACTAGTGCCACATGATGGCGGCTCACCTCTGTTCCACTGGCTATTACGCATACGGAATGAATCGGATGATAAGCCGCACTAGAAGTGAACACCAACGATTTACCTAATGATGCGAAAGTTGAGTTATTGGTGAGTAATGTTCGGCTTTGGTGCTCGCCGGTCATTTTTCCTTTGAGATGACCATCTGACCCTGTCATAAGTATGGTTTTTCATCTGAGGATAAAAGACTGGTGGAGATAAGAAGCGATGCTTGATGATCGTTGACACTATGGAGATGAATTCAATCTAGTCCTGTTTCTTTATCTTGGCATGAAAGCGGAGTACGTCGGTTGTCAATGATTTCATCACCATGGAAGCGTCTGCGAATCGGAGACTAGACGTTGCCTGCTGTTGTCCGTTCAATCTAAAGCCGGGGGTTGGTGATAGATCAGTCCAAGAATATTCGTGCTTCTGCACACACGTTCAATACACTAACATTTCATACACATATTTCCAATAACAGCACGAGTGAACGCCGGCCTCGATATAATCCAACGGAACAACTGCTTCACGTATCCCCGCTAGCTATGGAGGTGTTCCCGTTTATTCCTCGGCGGTATATAATCAGGCGCATCACCACGAAGATCAAACTTCCCATGAGGGAGATCAACTGAATGCAAATTTCAGCACAGGGCTCGCACAAATGCAGAAACAACGTGAACTACTGACCCCACTGAAGAGCGACGCTATCCACCACTTATATTGAGAACCGAGCAAAGCACCTGATATTGGGCCGCCTGAAAATATTGGTTCAAAGGCAGGCGAAGACCGGAAGTAACTACTCACTAAGTAATGTGCCAAAGGCTGACCATTCGCGCATTGTCAAAAGTTCCGAGACAGAGCTAGATGATACGTACCAGTGAAGGTAAAACATATGCCTATTCGCGCTCTGCATATGAGGGTCAACATCACTGGAATGAAAATGTAAGAGAAACCAACCCTAGCTCAGACAAATCAGGCGTCAGTACAGTCATCAATGGGACCAACAGCGCGACGTCTTGGAAAGTCAGTGCCAAGAATTATACGAGCTACAGAGTGGCACATACAGACTCCAGAGAAGTAGCCATATACAAGTCCTAAGACGACCACACTAGACATATCACTCAGAGCTATCATGGATATTATGATGGCACTACATGCAACAGCGGATATGATCGTGAAGTTCAACACTCCCGCATACGCCGCAATTATTCCTGCCGTGCAACGTCCGATAAATGAAGCAGCATTTAATATCGAAAGCTAAAGCGATTTGAGAATTGACAATAAAGAGAATGATGCTGGGCTTACGGAGTAGAACGAGAAATCGACGTCGATTTCATGTTTGGTAGAATCCAGTTGCAAGTAAAACAAAGGGAAGTAATACCCGATCTGGAATAGTGTTCCCCTATGTATGATCAGCTGTCAAGACTGAATCCTTTTGGAGTATGCCAGATGCAACGCACCCAACCGCCATGAGGATGAAGAGAACATCGCGAGAGAATTTTCGAGCCACTACAGTATAACTAACAGTCGATACCGGCAGTTCTCTTGTGCACATGGATAGACAGGCGAGCAATAACAGAGCACTGACAAAACCTGCACTGGCACGAACGCCTTTTGCAAAGCCAACGGTACCATTCAAAAGGTGATTGAGCATGATCGAATGAATAATTCCACCCAGTGGTGAACCAGACGTGGCGAGAGACATCACCAATGTGCGTTTTCTGGAGGAGAAGTGTTGAGAGACGACCGCGACGCTGGGAGCATACGTTAAGCCCATCCCAAACCCATAAACGACGCCTTGAACCATAAAAGCCTGGTCGCAATGTATAGGTAGACCATCGACAAGATTGGTGGGGCTGCTCACCAAGTAAAACTGACCAGGCTTCGTGAAGGACAAGGTGAACAAGGACAGTGATTGGAGCAGCGATCCCACGATCATCAATCGATAACTATCCGTAATTTGTGCAGGAATTAACGACTGACTCTGGATAAAGATATAGCAACTCACAACCACCCTCGGTCGTACAGCGGACCTGAGATCGACGCGACAATGACTGCGAGGAACGAGGTCAATGCACCAATCCATCTGACACCGAGTGAGACCAGAAACTGCAGAGCAAACGCATATTCACTTACGATATTGCAGATGGTGAATAGTTGGTCATATAAACTCGTGTGTAATAATCTTCCGAGGTCGTTTATCAATTTTGGATAGAGTATCATGCGACTGATGGGTACCTTGGTAAACTCCGAAAGACGATATGTATCTGTTGAAGTGCTGTTGACTGATGTGTCTCGAACGAATGGAGCTAGAACTAACCCAAAGCCACAAAATTGCATGAGGAAACTAGGCATCATGATTGTTAGACACAGCATGCGGGTATCATTTGAGACACGACTTACCACCCAAAAACAGTCCTCCAGGCCCGAAACCCGCCATCCGGAGGGCCTGATTCTTGTTCTAGTTCTTCTGTATCATCTTCTTTCTTGTCCTTCGTGAACGTATCATGGATTGCGGACTTTACTGACATGGAAGTGAATGGGGTCAAACTCTATGCACCAGCAAATGTGAGGCTTACAGATTAAGACCAATATTTAATCCTAACCCTGCAAGGACGCCTCGTGATAAAGGGGCTGCGAGGTAGGAGGCGCATTACATCACTGACAGGACATCGGCAAAACCTTGACGGCGATCGAATGTGCCCATAGACGAACCCGTAGGGTTTGTCAGGGCCTATCCCCGTGGTGGTAGACACCTGATGACATGATGTCAACTGTCTTATTAGGACAGCAGATTGTTCGGATTGGTTGACAGCGGAGGCGATTGAGCATCCGCTTTGTCACATGGACAGTAGCTACGCATGCAAATGACTACTTAGAGCACTAAGAACACACACGGAAAGATAACTTACTTATTGCAAAGATTGTTTGAGGAAGGATTTGAATCTGTTGACCAAAACTGCCAGGGGATACAGAGGTATGGTGTACGTCCGATCTTAAAAGTTGAAGAGGGACGATGCTCAGATCATGATGACCTTCGAGACCGTTTGCTAGTCGAATTCTGGTATCCTTGACTGTAGGCCATTACTTTGAGGGCTACGAACGATAGAAGTAAACGGTCTGGTCTGGTCACGGAGACCCCTCCCACCTGGTCACCTATCAGCTGTCGCCTGTCGCAACCCGCAATGGCACCCAACGCTGCAAGTTACACTAGTTGCTGCTTGGTCAGACACGTAAACGACGGCTTCACGCAAGGATCTCAGACTCACTGACATGTCAACTCGGACTAGAGTAATAGATGATGCCTTCCTGAGACTTGTATCACCAATTGTGTACTATGCAATTTACAACCACAACAAACTGCGTGGACCTCTCACTGAGTCACGAGAGAACAAGAGACGCGGCACACTTAATTGCCGGTCCGACGACCTTTTTTGGACTGTGGAAATTTGTTGACGAATCGAGCTCTTCCTGCCTTTGAATTCTAGAGGTACTGTCAAGGTGTGGAATGAAAACGTCTGATTCTTCGAGGCTACAATATCTCCACCATCCTGACGTCCATTATATCATCAACAGAAGTCATGTCTCTGACTTGCGCAATAATATTGTTATCCGAAGCGATCCTCTTATACTCTCCACCCCACTGCTGCGCCAGCAAAAGTGCGCCAAAAGGCTGTCCAAGGCGAACGATCAACCTCAACTCTTGCGTAATTGACTCGTTGTATCCAGGCTCGGGCCAATCTTCTATGGTCTGCGTCTCGTCCGCAAAGTTAATCAGCCCGAGATCATACCGATTCCACGGACGGACGAGCATGAATGTCTGCCGAGTACGCCTTGTAGGCCAGAATTCAACTAGTTTGTCTTTTGTCGTGACCAGCAGGTCTTGTAAGCCGTGTGCCTTGATGTCATAAGCGAAACGTCTAGCTTCATCTTGACCAGGCCTCCGCCTAACTTCTGTGAGAGTAAATGCGATGCAAGGCAATTGCAGTCTGGCATTTGCGAAACGAGGAACGCTAAGATTCTCCAGAGTGGCATACAGTTTTGAAGCCGACTCCACAACCACAATGTCGTTTCGCAGCGCGGAGACCGACTCCTGTATGCCGTGTTCAGATAGAGATGATAGCATGCATGGCAGAGCCTTGTATGAGGAAATATCGGCCGGGAGACAACTGTTGAAGTTGGACGATTGTCCCACCCAGTCCAGGGCCGTGATGTCGCCCGAATGGGCTATGATCTCCTGTAAGAGTCGTCCGAGCGCCTTTTGTCTTTTTTCTCCATAGATAACAGGAAGGTTGACATCAAAGATGCCAAACAAAGAGTAGGCGATGTCTTCCTCCCTCGTGGTGTCTCGGTTCGATGCCCATCGAAGTTTCTCTCGGGCATCTTTTGTCCCAGGATGGAAGTGGATGAGCGCCCGCACATCTATGCCAGTTGAACGCTCCAACTCATTCATGATTCTGAAAGATTGCTTGTGGTTGCGTGAGAGGTTGCCGAGATATAGGCTCCAATCTGCTTGGTAGAAGAGAACAATTTTAGGAGCGAGGAACTCCTGAACAGTCCATCCTCGTGTGTTCCAAATGCTGTTGGCGAGCGCGCCTGACTTTGACGAAGGAGGAACATCTGATAGGTAGATGATGGTGAGCGCTGAGTGGTGATACCAGACGAACATGGAGTTGACTGATTGCTGGAGCTCAACATTGTTGTCCTGGTCGATGCAGCATGTGTCGCTCCATGCCCAGCTATAGCCCGCATCGCGAGCAACTTTGCAGAACTTCTGCAACTTCACCATGGTTCCGACCGGATTCAACTCATATATGACCTTGTCCTGAATGTCGTGTAATAGCGGCTCCTTCCTTTCCCACCTATGGGATAACATGACCCAACTGAAGTACTTTGTGACCGCTTCTTCGACGGGCTCCGTTTTGAGGGGCGCATGCATGTCAAATGAATGCAAAAGTTTTTTGTACCCTGTGCTTCCAATGAATATGTTGATTTGCACATCTCGATTGCACAAACGTCCAGTAGAAGTGTTGATTAGCCGAAGGGGGGCATTTTCCAGTTTGGCGTGAATGGCTCGTCGAATAGCATCCTCTACTTCAGATGGACTGACGTATTTCTGGCGGAGCTCTGCAAATATATATATATCATTTTCAAGTCGGCACCTGAGTTGTTTTGAGCTTACGTCGTATATGCGGGTCGGGTGCATCATCCAACATGGAAAGCATTATCTTGAAGGCCTTAAACGCATCATCATAGTGTCGTGCTCCACGAAGAGCCGCATACTTCAGTTCGTACCCGAGATAAGACGAAGGGTTGAGCTCAATAACCTACAAACATCGTCACAAATGTTGAAACAAAGATAGATATCGTCCGCACCTTGTTCGCATCCGAAAGGGCCTCCACATAGAGCTTTCGTTCAAGCTTCCTCTTACTACGATGTGCAAAATAGAAATGGTGTAAGGAATCCAGCGCAAATGTTGCAGAAAGTATGTTCTCGATCGACCAGAGCCAAATATTCCCATCACAGTCTCCACTCGCAAGTAGTTCTCCACTAGGAGAAATTGTGACGCAGTCAACATATGTGGTGTGTTTGAGTGCCTGTCCTATCTGGAGATGTGACTTTGTACTCCATAAGCGTACAGTCGTATCGTGCGAGGCAGTGGCAATGAAGGAATCATCAGAAGAGATGGCCAGGGAGTAAATTATCCCAGTGTGACCAGTACAAGGTAGACCGATCTGGAAACCATTCGAGGAGTCCCAAAACTTGATTGTTTTGTCATCTGATGCGGAGACAAGTTGCTGGCCGTCAGGCGACCACACAACGCTGTTAACCCAATCACCATGAGCGTCGATCTTGAACAGAAGCTCGGCGTTATCGGTGCACCAAACCCAAATGTTACCACGGGATCCGCCGCATGCTAATTTTAGCCCGTCCGGGCTGAAGGCGACACACAAAACGTGTGAACCAGCGTGACCCTCGAGTGTTGAGAGGACAGCGCCGGTCTCTGCATCCCTTATAATAACTCTATCATCCCATGACCCACTTGCAAGTCTCTCTCCATCGGGGGAAAAACACACCGAGGACACACGGCGTGTATGCCCCACCAGCGGTTTGAATACCATTTGCTTGCTTTCGACATCCCAGATGATGATGGTATTATCTTCTCCACTGCTGGCAATTCGCCTATCGTCTGGCGATACGGTAACTGACATCACAATGTCCCTGTGTCCCTTGAATGGCCATCCTATAAATGCTCTTTTCTCCACGTCCCAGATGCGCAATGTTTTATCCATCGAAGCAGTGACGATCCGTCGGCCGTCTTTGAAGAACGCGAGTGCCTCCACTGAGCTCGTGTGCACCCGCACCGTTTCTATTAGTTCAGGCTGGGTTGTCTGCGCCGGGGGCTGGCGCCTTCTCACAGTAAGATAGACTTTTTTTGCTACATCGCGCAATCCTAGCATATCGCTAAACACGAGGATAAACGGTCAGTAGCATATGAAGTTGATGAGGAGCATTACCGTAGTCATCGATCCTGTGTGTCGTGAGTAGAGTTGGATTTCAACCCATTTATAAGACACTCAGGCTGTCTCGGTTCCGGTTCCACACTTACCACGCTGCCACTGCACATCGTGCAGCACATTCGTGCTGCCACTCTTCAACTGCCCAATATATATTAATCCCTTCATTCTGTTCACAGTAAATACCTGATTATACTTGGTACCTAGATGCGTTTTAAATACTAACCAATCCATGAAAAGTACAGGTTGTTGCCATATAGTGCTGGAAGGGAAGGAAGAACGAGAAGAAACTCTCGTTCATTGGATTATCACTGATGAAAAGAGCGGCCTGACTCTGGTTCAGGATTAGCAGACCTTCAACGCTGCAACCTTTAAGCTTTAATCATAACACTTCCGTTTGTCGTCTTATTCCTTGTTTTACCAATAGTTCGAGAACTCCTATCATGCCAAATGCTCTCATGCATCGCCCCCTATTGTGTCGTCAACCAATAACTCACTCGACACCGACCAGAATTGACATCTCCTAGAGGCACAGATGGAGGTGCCCCACTGCAGCTCCTTGCGCAGCTCGTACAAGGACACCAAGACTTCGGACAGGCTATAAATATATCTCAGATTTTGAACCCACCCACAGGCTGCAGCACCTCCTTAAGGTACCGACAAATCCGCAACACAAGCCAAAGCATATCAGATCTATAGCAGATTCTCCTGGCTTGATGGGGAGTGTTGTTAATCGAGTAAGTCGAACAAGCCATTTGCGTGCCCTCCCCTCCTTTTCACCTGTAAGTTGCTTGTTCATAACACTATCAGCCGTACATGGTACCACCAGCTGCACCTTTCAGCCGGTTTTAAAAATGCGTCGAGGTATCGATATCAGAGCAAACACTATCAATATGGAATATAACGGTTCCATTACTTTTCCCGAAGGCGACTTAGCTGTCGTCGGTTTTACCTCTGGCGCTAATACAGCTTCCGTGAGGATCACACCTATTAACGCACCTGAGAAAATACCAAACTACTTCAGTGAATCGTGATGCTTACTGTGCCAGAAATTCCTCATCGACTGGATATCAAAATAAATTGTATATGCGCCATACAACACAAGTTCTCTTGAAAAGGGATTGTGCACGGATAAAAGCTCTACATCCTCGATTTGTTGAAGTACAATTGCTCAGCTAACAATCTCGAGAACCACTGTATTCCGTGTATCACGCTTTCTCTTCATCCCTGCTGCTCGAGTTCGACGGTCGATCGCAAACAATTTCCTTTGAGACTAGTTTACACAACTACCTTCAATGGCCGCCAAGGTCTTCACGTTCTTTCGCACAGTTCTAGATCTCGGAAGTGATTTGTCGTGTGTATACAGCATTATCCCATGCGTGCTTATCTTCAGGAGTAAATAAGGAGAAAGATTGCGCAAATATAGGTACGAATATCTGCTTTTGTAATGGAATGGCACAAGTGTGCCAATAAAAAGAAACGACCGAAGATCATCGCATGTTTCCAATCATCTAGCACGAGTGAATAACGGCCTCGATAGAATCCAAAACTAGTTCACGTGTCCCCGCCAGCTATGGATGGGCTCCCATTTATTCTTCGGTGGTATATAACCAGGCGCATCACCATGAATATCAAACTTCCGACAAGGGAGACCAACTGGATGTAAACTTTAGCATAGGGCTCGCGCAAGTACAGAGACAATGTGGGCTACTCACCCCACTGAAGAGTGACGCTAGCCACCACTTATATTGAGAACCGAGCAAAGCACCTGATATTGGGCCGCCTGAAAATATTGGTTCAATGGCAGGTAAAAACCGGAAAGCAACTACTCACCAAGTAATCCACCAAAGGCTGACCATTCGCGCTCTGTCAGGAGTTTCGAGACAGAGCTAGATGATACGTACCAGTGAAGGTAAAACATATGCCCATTCGTGCTCTGCATTTATGAGGGTCAGCATCACCAGAATGCAAATGTAAAAGAAGCCAACCCTAGCTCAGATAAATCAGGCGTCAAGACAGTCACCAATGGGACTATCAGCGCGATGACTTGGAAAGTCAGCGCCAGGAATTACACAAGCTGCAGCGTGACACATACAAACTCCAGAAAAGTAGCCATATGCAAGTCCTAAGACGACCACACTGGTCGTGTCCCTCAGAGCTATCATGGATATTATGATGGCACTGCATGCGACAGTGGATGCGATCGTGGAGTTCAACACCCCCATATATGCCGCAATTGTTCCTGTCATGCAGCGTCCGATAAAACAGGCTGCATTCATTATCACAAGCTAAAGCAAGTTGAGGATTGATAATAAAGAGGATAATCCTGGGCGTACGGAGTAGAACGAGAAATTGATGTCAAGTCCATGTTTGGTAGAGTCCAGTTGCAAGTAAAACAGAGGGAAGTAAAACCCAATCTGAAATAGTGTTGACCTAGGCATGATCAGTTGTCAAGGCTGTGAATTTTTTGGGGTATGCCAGATACACACCCAACGGTCATGAGGACGAAGAGAACCTCGCGAGAGCATTTTCGTGCCACTACAGTATAACCGACAGTCGGTGCTGGCAGTTCTCTTGTACGCACGGATAAACAAGCGATCAACAACAAAGCACTGACAAAACCCGCACTGGCGCGAACGCCTTTTGCAAAGCCAACAGTACCATTCAAAAGGCGATTGAGCATGATTGGATGAATCATGGAACCAAGCGGTGTACCGGATGTGACGAGAGACATCACCAACGTGCGTTTTCTGGAGGAGAAGTGTTGAGAGACGACCGCGATGCTGGGAGCGTACGTTAGGCCCATCCCAAACCCAGCAACGACTCCTTGAACCATAAAAGCCTGGTCGCGGCGTATAGGTATCCTATCGACAAGATTGGGCGGGCTGCTCACCAAGTAAAACTGACCAGGTTTCGTGAAGGACAAGGCGAACAAGGACAGTGATTGGAGCAGCGACCCCACGATCATCAATCGATAACTATCCGTAATTTGTGCAGGAATTAACGACTGACTCTGGATAAAGATATAGCAACTCACAACCACCCTCGGTCGTACAGCGGACCTGAGATCAACGTGACATTGACTGTGAGGAACGAGGTCAATGCACCAATCCATCTGATACCGAGTGAGACCAAGAACTGCAGAGTAAATGCATATTCACTTACGATATTGCAGATGGTGGATAGTTGGTCATATAAACTCGTGTGTAATAATCTTCCGAGGTCGTTTATCAACTTTGGATAGAGTATCATACGACTGATGGGTACCTTGGTAAACTCCGAAAGACGATATGTATCTGTTGAAATGCTGTTGACTGATGTGTCTCGAACGAATGGAGCTAGAACCAACCCAAAGCCACAAAATTGCATGAGGAAACTGGGCATCATCGTGATTGTTAGAGACAGCATGCGGGTATCATTTGAGACACGACTTGCCACCCAAAAACAGTCCCCCAGGCCCCAAACCCGCCATCCGGAGGGCTTGCTTCTGTTTGGGAATTAGATGCCGGCATATGTTCCAGCTCTTCCACATCATCTTCTTTCTTGTTTGTCGAGAACGTATTATGGACTGCGGACTGCATTGACATGGAAGTGAATAACACTATGCACCAGCAAGTGTCGGGCTTACAGGTTAAGACCAATACTTGAACTTGACCCTGCAGGAGCGCCTCATGCTAAAGGGGCTACGTGGCCGCAGGAGGTATTCCATCACCGATGGGGCCTAGTCAACAACACGTTGACAGCCTATAGCCCGAGAAGAGCCCGTATGGTCCCTCAGGGTCCATCCCGTGACGGTACAGTAGACATCTGATGACATGATGACAACTGTCTTATCAAGGATATACAGGACAAATTGTGGATTGTTCGGATTATGTGGTTGACAGCGGAGACGATTGGATATCCGCTTTGTCACAGGGACACTGGCTAGTGGTCACGCATACAGATAACTATTTATGTCACATTAAGAACGAACACTGATAGATGACTTACTTGATGCAGACTGTTGGAGGGAGGATTCAAATCCATTCATCAAATACCGGAGGTCCTTAATTCAAGCTACGGACAAGATATTGAGGTGGGAGTGAACCAGTACTTGATGTCTGGCCAGTACTCGACATCTCCGAGTCTATTCGCAACCTGCAACACAGCTGCAAATTGGTTGCTGTGTGATTAGAAACAACGGCTGCACGCAGACGTCTGAGACTCACTGACGTGTAAACTAGTGCGTCGATCTCTCATGAAAGAACACTGGCAAGAGCAGCACTGTGTAGTAATTTAGTGAAGTTGCACTGAGTAAGTGTTTAAATTAAACGTTCACTGGCAGCGCTAGAGCAAACATACACAATTATTATGTAATAAAGTAAGAATCGAGACCTGTGACGCCATATGTCGTGATCGCCAACTACCCACTGCTCAGGTAATGCATAAGCCTGAAAATGACCAGCAGGACCATGTGTTCCACAATTTCGAGTTCTTTACTCACCAACGCTGATTCAGATACCCATGTTTGTAGTACCAGCCAGCCAACATGGCCAACATGGTGTCCACAGCCCTTCCAAGTTCGTGGTCGACGTATGGCTCGTGATTATGAGGTATCTTTCCGTCCTGGACATCGTGAGACTTGGAAGTGTGAGTCTGCGACATATTACTACTCTTTCCTGAACCCCCCTTTTATACTTCATTCATAGACATGTCGAACATTACACGAATTTGCTTCATTACGACATGTTTGGCGCGACGTCCTCTTTCAGCATCGTTTTCTTGACCAGTGTTACCCCCATCTGCGTTCATGCACCGCGGAAGATATTCGTCACCAGCTGAAAACCGCTGCCCGACTGGACCACCTATGGACACAGCCTAGCATCGTCCCTAAGCGTCTTTACACGTTTCCGCTGGATTTCCCTGGTGTGTTTCAAGGTCTCAAATTTCTTCCGGGTGGGACATGGCTAGTGTTGCTTTTCCATTGTCGAAATCTCAACCCTTCTCGACACTCCAACTTATGCTTAATGAAACCAAGCACGGGAGCTGTATTCCCTGCTGTATCCACGACCTTTCAGAGCGAGATGTGCTGGCTCCCCTTCCTTGACCAAGACGGTCCGTATAAATCATCTCGTGGTGACAATCTCATACTACTACGAACCAAGTGTAATGACGGGTGCGGTGTATCCTTCGGGTCCTAATTTCCCATATTCACGAACTCCAACTAGATCTAATGCCTTCGGAATTGTGCATTTAAATACAAAGATACCCTCAATCACGATACCTCTCATTTTTCGCACAAATGTATTTGTGCGGAACTATGCAGCATCAGGAGACTATATCGTTTATGGCTGGATTACTGCCGACAGGAGGCATTTCCTTCGTATCATGCAGCTAAACGATAATTATGACGGTTTTCGAAAGGATATGACTGTTGAAATTGACTGTCCAAAGGGACACGACGGCAAACTCCGCGTAAGTGCAAAGATGAAAATATTATAGTTGGAGAATACCGATGATTATGTACAGATACGGTACGACTTGCGCCTGTCCGGTCGGGTTCCGTGCATCTTGCTTGTCAGCACGCGATTGATGGCTGCATACAACATTCCCTCCAATGTACCCAACAGCGTCGACGCAAACCTACCACCGTTGCTTACGCCATTCTGGCAGCTTCGCCCTGCTGCTGTGACCTTTGGACGCTTCGTCAAATTGTTTCATGAAGGAGCTATAGTATCTTTGTACGAAGGCCAGATTCGATTCATACGACCTCACCTCGATGCCTCAGAACCCAACACCTACGCCATCGAGAAGTACAATGTAAGCTTTGCTCTGCACTACCGCATCGGGGGAGTGACTCACTCTCCATTGCAGTTTCATCCCGCACGTCCACAGAACTCACAGTGGCCGTGCTTGTTCTCAGCCCAACGAATATTCTGGCGTTCTTCCCTGCACAACCAGAAAGGGGCGACATCTCCTTGGCAAATGATTATCGAGACGAGCGCAGTCCCAGAAAATGTTCATCGTGAAGACCGTGTACTTATTGACTTACAGGAAACTCAGACCTCGGCTCCATCTGCGAGCACTCGAATAGTGCAGGATTGGGATGAGCTTTCGGGAAGACTTTGTATCAGAAGCATACAAAGCCGCTTTACGCAGGATCCGAGATGTCGAAAGACTACTTGGCGGGTCACATTGGTAGATTTTGTGTGAGAGTTATACGAACCTAATGTGCTATGGTATCGTGAGACCAAGGTGCGAGGAGGACACATTGCACATTAGTTAGCTAGTTTTTTGTATCCATTTACGTTCATTAGAGCAGTGCTCTATGTTGAACGTTCAACCGTTCTGCTAGATTTGCATGCGTAAGCACAACGTTATGAATGACTGGCAGTTGCGAGGTCACCAGGTAGCAGCAAAGAAATCTGCAATCAACCCCATGCACGTGCTCCACCTAAGCCCCGATTGCACCTACATGCGATCGCTCTGTTATCTCCTTACTATGCTCCTGTTCTTGAAGCACCATGGTTTCGGCGTGCTCTTTTCACGGTGTTATCGGTATCCAGAACGCTACTTCTCCGAGTCATGCTTTGGAACCGAGAAAGCGGTTTTGGAAGGTGGATGGGTTTGTGCCGGTCTCTGTTGATCCAAAAGATAGCGTTGGAAGCAGAGCAGGCTCCTTCAGACGCACCCGAGCAAACTCCAAACTACCTCGCGATGTTGGCTCATCCAAGCACGCCTCCCCATCGATGAGATTTGAAAGTTGGTGCCGTGTCGAAAACGGATCAGTACGAAACGCTCGATTCGCGTCGTCGCCATGTGCACACTTCACTCCAACCTCTTCGATGCCTCACTTTGGCTCAGGTGTGTACTCCACTTGAGCTTGTGTTCTGAAACGATTTCGCACGCTTGGCGTTGGCGTTTCAGGCAGATGATCGAGCACTACACGTTGAACGTTAAAGCCGAAATTGAGTGTACATATCGTGTAGTATAGTCTCAAAGTCTGGAATATCAAAGTCCTCTGAAACAGGCTGCGCGTGGCCATGGCCGGATGCTGGATGCGATGTCATCGAATTGTGTCAAGAATGCTTTGATCAACTAGGTGGGAGCACGCACGGAATCGATCGTATACCACTATGCACTTCGGAACACTATGCGCTGGTCCAAAGGCATGTCCACATCACAAGCCAACGACTGGACCGCTCGGTAGCTCGTTTGAAATTCATTGTGCCATCCCCGCAAAAGTTCTTGTAGAGTGCCTCGACTGAGCGCTATACGATGCTAGTGACTACCGACGACTTTCCATGGTGACTTGAGGAAGGTCAACGATAATCGCCAGTACCTGATATCCCAACGCTCGGGCCCCAGACCCCGGAAAACTACAGGCCAGCCGCTAGGTATATCACATCGTCAGGAGTACTAAAGGTACCGACTGCGGTTTCACAGGCTGAAAGAAATGTAAATTCATGCTGAGATAGATCAGTTTGTGTGATGTCGACGAGCAAAAGAATGAGAAAAGGTCGCGCAAAAGAAAGGCTGACTCGGACTCATGTAAGCACAATATCTACCGATGATTTAAGGTTTAAGCCACTAAAATAAGGTTTTGGCCATTTCTGAGTCGAGCTCAAGTCCTCCACGGAACTGGCAGTAAGGTTATCTGCTTCTAGTCAGGATGCCAAGAACCGGCAGAATTATATACACTGTATATGTTGGGATTTGAAAGAAAAAAATAAATGCCTAGTTCAATATTTAGTGTTAGTTTGGCGGCACAAATGCGGTGCATCACAAAAACACATTCGACGATCAGAGTGTAAATTCATACTTGTCATTCGTACCATGCTCGATCTCATCAGTCGTAATTGCAGCTGGATTTGAAGGACTAGTTCACTCGGGGTATCAATCTTGAGATGTAGCGTGATGATAAACACTCTCCCGGAACACGTGTGAGATTGTGGAAAGGATCCATGCATACAGCTACAGTACCTCTAGTGTCCTCATGTCCATCAAGTAGCTAATGGAAGCCATGTCTTTGACCCGTGCAATGATATCATGTTCGGATGCGATCCTCTTGAATTCTCCGTTGCGCTGTCGCGCTAGTAAAAATGCACTAAACGGCTGTCCAAGGCAAACAATCAACCGCAATGCTCGCGAGTCCAAATCCGAATAAATCGACCCAGTTTGTGCAACGGGTGAATTGCACAACGGAGATTCGGGTACGGACCAATTGTCCACGCTCTGCGTATCGTCTGCAGTGTCATGTAATCAAGTATTTGATATAATTGCGAAGCCGGCTGTAGATCCACAACACCTCGCAGCGAAGAGACCGATGACTGAATCTCTTCTTCGGATGGAGATGACAGCTTGCGTGGTGGAGCTTCGTATAAAGTGATGTCGGCTGGTAGACAGCTATTGAACTCCGATGACTTTCCAACCCAGTCCAGGGCAGTAATATCGCCCGACTGAGCTATGATTTCCTGCAGGAGTCGCCCGAGCGCGTTCTGCTTCTTCTCGGTATAATCAACATGCAGGCGGATGCCAAAGACGCCGAATAACGAGTATGCGATGTCTTCTTGCAGCGTGGTGATACATGTCGACGCCCACTGAAGTTTCTCTCGGGCGTCTCTCATCCCGGGACGGAAGGCCACGACGGCTCGTCGATCTATCCCCGTCACATCCTCCAACTCCTGCATGATCGCGACGGAATCCTTGTGGTTGGGAGTGCGATCATCGAGATAAAGAGTCCAATCCTTTTGATAGAAGATAATGACTTTGGAAACGAGGAATTCTTGAACTGTCCATCCGCGGGTGTTCCAAGCACTCCTTGCCAGTGCGCCAGGTTTTGACGAAGGTAGAAGTATACGACTGTAAGCGCGGAGTGGTGATACCAGGCAAACATGGACTTCAACGATGCTTGGAGCTTAACATCGATGTTCTTGTCAATACAACATGTATCGCTCCATGCCCAGTGATACCCCAAATCACGAGTAGTTTTGCAAAAGGACTGCAACTTCTTAATGTCGCCAACTGGATCCAACTCATAGATGACTTTGCCCTGGATATCCTGCAGCAGCGGCTCCCCGTCTTCCCACCTGTGTGATAGCATGACATATCGGAAATATGACATCGCCACTTCTTCGATGCGCTTCATTTGGATATCTCGATGCATGATTGTTGACGATACAAGTTCCTTGTACTCTGTGCTCGTTTTGAAGGTGCATATCTGCATCTCTCGATCACATAAGAGACCAGTGGTGGTGTCGAGTACACGCAAAGGAGCATTGTCAAGTTGAGCATCGATGACTTTTCAAATAGCACGGTCCAGAGTCCCATGGACTGAGATACTGCTGGCGTAATTCTACCGAAACAGTCAAAGCATGTAGACGCACGAGTTCTCTGAAGCTTACTTTGTGTCTCATTATCAGGAGCATTCAATTTTGAGAGCATATCTTGGTATGCCTGTACCGCTTCATCGTAGCGTTGTGCACCATGAAGCGCTGCGTGCTTCAAACTGTATCCGAGATAAGACGAAGGGTTGAGTTCGGTGACCTATGTGTCACTACAATAAGTATAGGTTGAAAACGACAAATGCTATCGCACCTTCTGCGCATCAAGAAGTGCTTCCTTCCATAGCATTTTTCCCAGCCTTGCCTTGCTGCGCTTTACAAAGACGGCATCAGATGCAGAATTCAAGTTGATCGCTGACGAGTAGAGGTCAATAGCCCTGTCATAGTCGCCTGCAGCGAGGGCAGTATCTCCGTTGGTAAGAAAGATGGTGCTGCATTCTTCCTTGAAAGCTGAGTGAAATGGGGGCGATGATTATAACATCGGATGACATCACTGAAGACTTGCCAGTGGACCAGTCAAGGCAGCTGGCCTTTATTGTTTCGTGAACGTTGTCCATCATATATTCGTGTGATTTGAGTTGATTTTGACTGCGGAAAGGAAAGCTTGGCACTGTTTCTGGTGTTCAGTGAGCTGCAACGATTTGAGATCCCAGCCGAAGAGCTGGACAAGGGACTCGTTTATGAAAAAGATTTCGGATGTGTGTTCACGCACCACTACCAAGTCCTCATACATGAAATGGATAGGTGAACTCCATAAGAGAGCGCTGGAATCGAGAACTGCGGTAAAATGTTTCCAGTGTGAACTCCAAAGGATGCGACGCGTTTTCTCGTTCCTGCATTATAAATTTGGACATCGTCTTTTGTTGCAATGGCAAAAAGTCCTCCAGGCGAATACCATACGCCGTTGACATCACTATCACATTCAATTGAGTCTCCTTGTTGCTCCCACGTGCTGGTGTTCCACAACTTCGTGATTCCATCATATGAACCAGTGACCAGCACGGTGTCATCGAGAGAAAAGTCCAGTGAAGTAGTCCCTAAGCCCTTTGAGGTGGGTTGAAATTTTGGTGAGTAATTTATTGGATGCCAAAACGTTAGGTGTCTTCAAAGTTCATTACTTATCTTGCTACTTGGACGTTAGGTGTCTTCATTACCTATCTTGCTACTTCTTGCTTCCTGGTACTATACAGTACTTGACTCATTCACCTTCGCTCGGCCACACGCTTACAAACAACTCCATATAGTATGAGTAGCGGTGCTTTCGCATTTGTTTTTCCCTCAGCGTATGTTCTACTCTCTGAGCCCATAACCATCCGTCGTTTATCGGGGAATACTGCGACTGCCACTATGCCCTCTTCATGACCTTTGAACTCTCGCAGGGGTGTAGTGATTGGAAGGAAATCTGACATTTCACTGGAGGCGGATGGTGTTGAGTAATACGGTCGAAGTGAATTTTGGGAGGTGAGTGGGGTGTCTTTCTACAGTGGTGCGTGTATTGTGCGTTTTATGTGTTGACCTGTCTTATTTCAATAGATGCCCAGGACACTTCTTGAGGCTGTTCGCCTCCACGCTACCATCGCCGTTACGGCAAGAATACAGTATGAAAGGGATGCTGAATTCTCAAATGTCGTTGTAGTTTGCATAAGGGAGCCAAACACACGCTAAGCATCGCTAAACGGGACTCGTATTTAACCCTTACGGTACGCAACGTCAACACTTGTAGTCTTCAAACACATCCTCAACCTCAGCAGTGCTCCTAAACCAGTCATTTTTGGCTCCTAACCCTCACAAGACTTAATCCTTGAGTGGATGCTACATGCGAAGTCGTCAGATTGTGTCAAGAATGCTTTAATCAACTAGGTGGGAGGACGCACGAAATTAATCGTATGCTAATATTCACGGACACTATGCGCTGGTCTAAGGCATGTCCATCTCACAAGCCAATGGCTGGACCGCTCGGGCGGCTCGTTTGGAATTCATTGCTTCATCCCCGCAAACGTCTTTGTAGAGTGTTTCGACTGAGTGGTGCGCGGTGCTAGTGAGCATTGTTGAATCCACAACAAGGTCGACAATAGTCACTAGGACCTCGTGTCCCAATAACGCTTGTAATTTGCACACCAACCGCTAGGTGTATCACTTCGGCGGGAGTACTAAAGGTACCGACCACGGTTTCACAGGCAGCAAGAAATGTCGATTCATGCCGAGACAGATCCGTTTGTGTGGTTTCAAGGAGCGAAAATGGCTGGTCGCGCATGAGAACGGCTGACTGGAAGGTTTCGTCAAATTTACGTGTCCCATGACACGCGAGATGGAGCCACTGAGTGTTTGTCTCGCAATCTCTCGATTTCGTGGCATCAACACTGATTATCTTTGAGAAGAAAGAAGCTCCTCCCAACAACTCTCGCTTTCAAATATTCCGACTTCAAAATATGCTCCCATTCCGGTTTGAGGACACGCCCTCGCAGCACGCTCCCATCATCATGGCGTTCCCCATACTCAATGGAAACAGTTAGCCCTCATCGACCAGGGTTCGCCATGAGCATTCACTCGTCCATCTATCCCAACGTCAAATTCGTGCTTGGTATTATTATACACGAGGAGGGCATTGTGTGCGTGCGAATGGACGAAGGAGACGGACTGAGGAAACGATATAACGAAGCTGCTCAGTGGGTGCTCCTTTGTTGAGTGATGATGTTTTTTGGGACGATTGACGGGAAAAAAGCCAAGGTTGTTTCTGGACCGAATAAGGATATGAAGCTCGTCGTCGACTTCAACCCTCTCAAAATCACGCTGATTCGGGGTGGACAGTATACTATCCAAAAAACATGTTGAGACTTTTAGAGTCATTCGCACGAAAGCATAATGCGAATACGAGTAGATAGCTAATTCCAGTAGTGATACAGTACATTGAGTATTTGTTTATTGTCCGTTGGGGCGATGCCCGATGGTACACATCGAGTATTGGCCACATACACTATCACTTCCAACTTTGGTACCAAACTAGCACCATTAACGAGTCCACGAGCAGAGTATCCAAATATTCGGTCCATTTTCGTGCTACACACTAATAGTGCTAGTCGACATGCATGCGCGCTCCGACTCGGAGTCCTGGAAATCAATGGAACTCATAGTACAAGTTTCTAGGTCGATGCTATGAATGAGCTTGGCATTATATTTTCGAACGCTAAGGATGAGACGTGGTCCCAGCACGAATAATTGCACGAATATGGCGATTTGAAGTATGGCATAATAAATTTGAGCTCCCACAGAATATGAGTCCTATAGACAAAATAGTGGTCAGACGCAAGATGTCGGTCAGGGATTGGCACACCTACTATTATGTTAGGAGACAGACAACCAAGGCTGAAACAAGAAACAGCAGCAAAGCTAGCACACGTGGAACTTCAGCGAAAGAAGATCAATCGCGTTAAGGTTAGGAGTTCACCTTGCAAAGTAAAGCACATGACTTTGTATTAACACCGTGAAACAACCTTTAGACCATCTTGGACGTAGCCACGGAATTTCACGGTAATGTTTGACAGCGATCCAGACTGCAAGACAGAGTACAATGCCCTCCCACACAAGGCGGAGTATCCAAACCCCGGCCAATAGAAGTTCAAGTTGTTGGCTTCTCTGAACCTCGTAAACACATTGATTGGTGCCGGAGAGGACGAGGTCATCTGAAATTTATCCTATCAGCTTGATGATTCAAGGTCTTTCATGATAATCGAAGCATACCCCAAGGCAAACTGCGGATTGCTAATGCAAACAGCACTCCACAGGCGGCTGTGATAGTTGGAAAGACTACAATGAGAAAGACGAGGATTTTTTTTGATCCCTGATACATGGCATATAATCGGGCAATCATGATGACTTGCAAGATATTTCAGTCGAATATCAGCGGAGTACGCAGTGACTCACTGCCGAGTATGGTATTTATGAGGAAATATGTCCCTGCTTGTACCAGGAAAAATAGGGTACCTGGAAAACATAGTTACTGAAGAGTCTCGAAGCTTAATACTTTGGTCAAACTTACAGCTATTTCAGATGTTATATAGAATCCCTAAAACAGGCATTTCACTCACCCCTAAGTAAAAGTGTAGTCAGTTGGACAGGCATGGCAGGCAGACGCTGGCACGAGATAATTACCACATCTGTCATCGAAATTCCTGGGAGACTCGCTGCTTACTGTTGGTCAGAAGGAATGGCAACAGAGTAAGGAGACATACGCAGTAGGTTGTTGCTGATAGTGAGAGATGACTTATTAGTACAGTGCCAACTTGTTGGCCTTGCGAACATACATAGAGTATAGTATTCCAACGTAGCGCACCTAGAATATTCTCCAGTCAGTATGTATAACTTGGCAAGTGCACCACAGCGCACGATATTGGCTACATACGATGACATATAGAAAGGTCATGAAAGACCAGCGTTGCTTCTGCCTCGAATTAGCTGTCTCGTTTTGGCGTCAATATGCGATAAGAGTTCTACTCACCCAGATCAGTTCAACCTATGAATCATTGTATGTAGTGAGATGACTGTTCTGGTAATGGCATCAACTCATCAACCTACCTCTTGTTGGAATGTCAGTGCTAAATGATACCGGGACGTCAACAATCGCCTAGACAACTTGTACTGTGTTGCTTACCCCAATCATAGAGCATTGCAGTCGAGGACGCCACTGCAAAACCAGTCATAAATAGTGTCAAACAGCATCGGGCCTGCTCTTCACGAACCTAAAACATAGGTGGCAACATGATGTGTATCGTTGTCCAGCCAACCACTGGGATCAATTGAGAGTAGCAACATTTCCAAGAAATATGGGTCAAAGAATAGCGGTTTTGGTGGAGCATAACGGTGATGTTGGCGCTACATATACACCATCCAGCGCTTGTGTCGCCGAAATAGGCAGATGCATCCTTGACCGACTGCCAGTGTTTTACGTATAATCATATAAAATCAAGTACAGAAACTTGAAGTCACAGTGGAAGCCTAACAAGGAAGTAGTACTGCAGGGGCAGTACTACTAAGCAGTGCATCACGCTTACCTGACACCCTGAACTATATACTACAACTGTGCGTGTAGGTCAGCCACGAGGCTAGCTACCAGGATACTAGGAATCCAGACAGCTTGAATTCGGATCACCAGGTTTTGTGGCACTATGATAGATGTTGAAGTCCTATACTTATGAGAAACAAAACAAAGACTTCCCATTAGCCGACTTGAACGACTGACCTCGTCATTACTAGTGACGCGCTCTACCAACTGAGCTAAACGGGACATGCGAGTTACTAAAACCAGCACATGTTGAAGCTTAAACATTGCGTGGGAACTAATACGGGTCGGATCAACAGACTGACTATCAATCGACCAGCGGGCTGCGGCTACTACTACACGGTATTGATGCATATATAATGCCGTGCCTCGTAATGATAACTTCTTCTGAGTCTTCGGCTTCCTACAACCATATATACTACTTCGGCCCCAAAAATTGTCACATTCCACTATTCCCGCATAATACCCGGCGCAGTGCTTCATCACAGCATCTCCTTCGCTATTCAACGTTCAACTGGTACCGTATTATCTATACATGTAAAATCATCCTTGCAATTCACTGCTTTTTTATCGTAAAGGGTTGCTTGCTGCCACCAGTTTATGTCCCATAAGCAAGCTTGGCCGGTGTGTCTGATGGTTAGCACTCGTGATACACTACGATTCGTACTCAGGAGCATCATTGGCACATTACCGTGACTAAACCTTTTTTACCGGCAGAGTTAATGCATTATTCCGCCATAACCTCTTTCCTAGGCTCGTGCTATAGAGAAGAGATACAGCGATGGTTGCACATCTGCCAGTAGTTCAGATGAGTCTCGACTAAGATTCTACAGCAACTTGCAGGTCGCTATCAAACTAAATGGATCTAGGTCGGTGTCAGTCCCATCAACTACTTTCAGGGTGTATTTGTTTTGATACTTCTATAGGTTACATATTCCGATGTGTATATCTGCTGGCCCTGGCCCGGGGCTTCTGCCGGATGATGGCTACGTTCTCGTTGCGAAGTTCTGTCATTCACACTGTATCATCCACTTTGATCCACTATTTGGCCAAACCAATCAGCAGAGTCGCTGATCCGGTGCATCGCTAGGTAGACTAGATCCTGGTGGAGCAGCCTGATTTTCCCTCGTGATCCTCGGTGGTACGGTCAATATTGATTCAGAACGTTTGCAGACGATCCAGAGCTTTCAGCTGTAATCAATTCGCAGTATTTTCCCAAGAATATATCCAAGCCTGCATGTTAGTTTTCCCACCCTTGACGATACCCACTCTCTGTGATCCAACAGCGTAACGTTATCAGCGACTTACTCACTATTGTCCCCTGTCATGCTCGTAATGACCTGAGAGGGATTACTGAGGAAGCTTGATTTACGTATGTCCATAATACTGATCTTATATACCTTGAATCCGGTGGGTTAGGGTATTTGCGAACTCTATTCTGACACTTGCTGTGTATCCTAGATTGACAGAACTAATATTAGGTGTGTCAAATAGTACCGTTGTACTCGTATGAATCTAATGACGCCTACAGCAACGTTCGGTTACAAGGTTTTGAGAAAGACCTGCACCTGCGTGGGGAACAATACGCCACAACTTTGTCCATCCTATTTGTTGGATACATTATCATGCAAATGCCAGGGTGAGTTTTGTCTTTGATTGAGAAACAGCTGAACGTGACTTTTCTTGAGGAACATGTTCCTGCACTGGCTGGAGAGGCCTTCTGTCATCATCCCGTGCTGTACGTTTACAATATCAGTATTGTCAGGTTTGTCGACACTGACCGTTCATGAAGATGTTGCTAATCGTGCTCAAGAATCACAACGAAGTACGTTTCCCTGTCTTGCATCGTTCAGATCCAGTCTCTGATAGTTTGACCCAAGCGATACTGGGATTGTCATCGCCTGCTTCTTTCTTGGCTTTTCCGAAGCTCCCTTCTTCCCGGAATTGTATTTCTCGTATCTAAACGGCACAAGCGAGACGATGTCGCCTTGAGACTAGCTCTCGTTTCTTGTGGAAGTTTTCTCAACTTTGCATTCGGATCCCTGTTTGCATCCGCTATACTCCGCGGCATGCAGGACAAAATTGGTCAAGCTGCATGGAGGCAGGTGACGATCGTTTCTATAACTGAATGATTTGTAGATGGTTATTTTACGTTGAAGGCGGTATCACCATCTTGGTCGTGGTTTGCGCGATGTTCATACTTCCTGATTTCCCGCATAACACCAGGTGGTTCACCCCAGAGGAAAGCACAATTCTTATATCTCGCCATGTAGAAGATGGCTATGGTAAGGCTGACAAGCTTGGGAAGCAGACGACCATGAAAGGACTGCGGGATCCGATATCTGACTGGGAGGCGTGGTTGCGGCCGTAGTAGGGCAGTGTTTCTTCGCCTACTTCCCGACGCCGTGCGCGAAACTGGGATATAACACGACTGTAACGCATCTCGCGGAGATCAGGTACTCTGACAAGAAGCAGAGGCGTTACAAATGCTTTATTGTCTCCAATGCACTCGGCGCCCTTGCATTCATGATGTCAATCTTTACGATGGACAAGGCTGCGCGCTATACTTCACTGTGAGTGGTATCGCCGGTCGTGAGTCGTCACTCTTGTACTCAGAAACATACAGGTTCCTGATGCGGCTCGAGTTACCGCTGGATACTTGGTGCTCTTAGGTTGGATCAGCAACCCTTTCTTCAGAGAACCTGCGAAGCGCGCCGTTGCTACTACTCTAATGAACGCACTGGGCCAGTCTCCAGACAGGCAATGTTGTTGGATCGTCAGTGACGTTGTCATAGATTTCGTGCTCTCGCTGACTATTCACGACTACGCTTTTCGTATAGGTATGTATGACCGTCGAACTGAAGCACGACATACCCTTGTTCCTATGCCGTCTGCATCCCTGCACTTGGAGTGTTATAGGTATATTTGGTAGTATGTATTTATATTTGAGGTATTTGGAGATTGAGAGGAATAAACAGGATATGAAGATATCAATAAGAAATTTGGGACTCGATTGGTTTTAGATATCTGGTATAGTTGACAACTGAAATATTGATGGCTTCTGACAGCCGGACAACTGTAAATTCAAGCTCGATGCTAGGTATAACACTGACAAGGAATCAAAGAATTGAGTGGTACACTGAATATTGCAACTATAAAATCGTCATTACGCGGAGCTACCAGGATTGATGTTAGCGACTACAAGGATGGATGGCAAATGCTAAGAACTCACGCATCTCGGCAACTCGACCAGCGCATCCCATGTGCCATATGGCTCAAATCAAGCTCAACGCCTCCTCTCGGGATTACAATTGCAGTACCAGGAGAATAAAATGGATATCGGGACAATGGAGGTACCCAGAAAAGGAGCTGATGATTGGGTCCCATTATCCATCCATTAGGCTGCAGCAAGAAAGGGGTTGAATGAGAATCATGATGTGAGGCGGTTTCGAGCAAGTCAGCGGGGTTGGGCAGAGCATATTCCAGGTTGGAAGAGAAGAAAATCAGGCGAGCGTTACAAGTGTTGGGTGGAATGATGTGGCTTTCTTGGGTGGGAGATGAGGTGTTTCGATGCAGCGAAAATGCGGAGGGATCTGAGTCTCTGGACCGGGGGGATGAGGATGGTTGCACGTTCACTCTATCCCACACCCGCACAGTGTTATCATCTGAACCAGACGCGATGCGAGTACCATCCGGTGAGAACGAGATTGAGTAAACCAGGGCAGTGTGCCCCTCCAAGGGCTCACCCAATGGCTGTCCCGTGGCTGCATCCCACACCCGCACAGTATTATCCCATGAACCAGATGCGATGCGAGTACCATCCGGTGAGAACGAGACTGAGCAAACATATCCAGTGTGCTCCTTCATTGGCTCACCCAATGGCTGTCCTGTTGCTGCATCCCACACCCGCACAGTGTTATCCGATGAACCAGACACGATGCAAGTACCATCTGGTGAGAACGAGACTGACAAAACCGCTCCAGTGTGCCCCTTCAAGGGCTCACCCAATGGCTGTCCTGTTGCTGCATCCCACACCCACATAGTCCCATCCGATGAACCAGACGCGATGCGAGTACCATCCGGTGAGAATGAGACTGAAAAAACCACTCCAGTGTGCCCCTTCAAGGGCTCACCCAATGTTACGGTACACTTATTCCCCTAACTTTTCCTTCGTTACCAGACAATGGTCCTTTGTTACATCTGTTACTGAACGTCCGATTACCTTCCAGACTCTTACGCACATTATCGCCAAGCTCACCTTCCATACCAGTAACCGTCACCATGCATAGCCGTTATCTCTCTTATCTCTTATCAAGCGGGCTGTCCGCCTTCTATCTTGATACACATTCCGTCTTCTATCTTGATACACATTTACAAGCTCCGCTTGAACACTCGCTATATAGACACATAGTGTACCACATGTATTCTGCACTTTAATCTACTGGGTCTTACCTGGAACCAAGTCCTTTAGCAAGGTCTCCAACCTTGCTATCTAAGAACCACTATTCTAAGGGAGTCGCCGATACTCGCCTTAGCCAGAAACCTTTGACCTCTCATTCGAGAGAAGAACTACGTCTGTCTCGCCGAATCTCAGTCCCTTCAGACTTAGACAGCTCGACATATCCCAGTCATAACAAAAGATTAAAGTCCCACCACAGACGCCGCCATCTGCGACGTCCCCTGACATCACGACTTCGTTAACTCCTTTGATCGGAGCTTTGAACCTAGGCACATTACCGCCTATACCGCCGCTAAACGCCATGACTACTACTACTAAAGAAGTAGAGATCAAGATCGGGTCTCCCCCTGAATTCGATGGGGACCGCGATGAGTCGCACAGGTTCATGCTGAACTGTACTGCATATCTCGATATCAACGATAAAATCTACGACACCGATAAGAAGAAAGTAATCTTCGCACTCTCGTTTATGACCAAGGGCAATGCAGCCGCTTGGAAGGAGGACTTCATGGAAGCCGCTCAGAACTCAAGGAGAAAGAACACTGCCGGACATATCATTGCATACAGCACCTGGGAAGACTTCAAGGTAGCCTTCAAAGAAGCCTTTGGAGCCATAGACCCAGCTGGAACAGCTATGGCCAAAATCTGCACCCTGGAAATGAAAGGAGATCTCATGACCTACATTTCCGATTATTGCCTCCTGGCTCACAAAGCTGGGATAACGGAGAACGTCACCAAGGTGGAATTCTTCCGCGAAGGTCTTGATATAGGACTTCAGAACAACCTCTATCGTACCGGAGAAAGTCTTGACGACTTTGAAACCGTTGTCGCTACCTGCATTAACCTAGACAATGCATTTCAAAGGTTGAAAGCAATCCAACGACGGGAGAACCCGACACAGAAGAAAAAGAAATATGGAGATCGCCACTTCACCCCTCACAGAAGCGATGCTATGGAGGTAGACTGACTCTCGGAGTCAGAAGTGAAGAGGCATATGAAAGAAGGGCGATGCTTCAATTGCCATCAAACGGGACACCGTGCCAACAACACCATGTTTCATCCTAGGGAGGACAAGAAACAGAAGATGTCTATCTGCAGAAAGGTTGAGAAAGCAGAAAGCAGCGATGAAGAGGAAGAAGTAAACCGACGCTTCATGGAGATGGATTTTTAAAACAGAAGACTGCATCGATGTCAGTACCTTCTGTCCCTATACGGCTTGTACAATCACTTGGAAATAAAAAGGAGCTTCGCATTCCTGCTGCCATTATCTCCACCAAGTGTATGAAAACCATCGAAACCTCTATGGTCGTTGACTCCGGAGCAAGTGGAACCTTCATTAGTGAAGCCTTCTGCAAACTACACGGGATCAAGACCCATAAACTCTTGAAACCCTTCCTTGTCACTACGGCGGATGGGTCTGACGCTAAAGGAGGACTCATATCCTGCTATTGTGTCCTCATCGTCAAAATTGATGAACGAACCATGATAGGAAAGTTCAACATAACCAAACTCGCAAAGAAAGACAAGATTCTGCTCAGGTACCCATGGTTGAAGGCATTAAACCCAGCAATCAACTGGACGAGCAAAGAACTTTCCCTCCCGCCAAATGAACGATCGCTTGACATCGAGAAAAGCATCGACCGCCTTAGGAAACACCGTGGTCTCCCGCCACTATTCCCTCGGATCACTCCTGTACAAAAGGAGTCGTGCCGAGAGTGGAAGAACTCCATACTAAAGAGACCCCACGTAGAACCAACTCACCCAAGAGCTTCTGTCGAAGAAATAGTCGACGAAGAACTTCCTCACCTCGTGCCTGATCAAGATGGGCCAGATTATGACACTAGAGAAGACGTATGGTCGGAAAACTACGCACCGCCAGTCATCAATTCCTCTCTCTACCCTCTCAGTAATGAGGAAGTCCTAATCGAATACTCTCCTGATGGCTCCCAAGTCAGGGTAATCTCTGAAGTCTCGTTTGATACTCCTCTTACTAGAGATGGTACCTCGAAGCAAGAACAGAGCTATGCAAAATCAAGTAACAAAGCTCAAGAATTCGCCCTCGCTGGAGAACAGGAAAAGATGAAGAAGAGTTTTGAGGAACTCGTCCCCTCCTACCTCCACACCTACACTGATATCTTTGCAAAAGACGGCCTCAATAAGCTACCTCCAGAACGACCTGGTATAGATCACCATATTGATCTGAAACCAGGATTTGTACCACGAACCTCCAAAATTTACCCGCTATCAGGAAAGGAAAGAGAAGCCGTGAAAACTTTCATCAAAGAAAATACCGAAAAGGGATTCATCGTACCATCAAAATCCCCGCAAGCCAGCGGATTTTTCTTTGTAGGAAAGAAAAGCGGCGAGTTGCGCCCCTGCCAAGACTATCGATACCTCAATGACTGGACCGTGCGCAACCAGTACCCGCTCCCCCTTCCTAAAACTCTCATTGAACGACTCTACAAAGCCCAATATTTCACCAAGATTGATGTACGATCTGGCTATAATAACATCAGGATCCATCCGGACGACAGGTGGAAGGCAGCTTTCACTACTGAAGAAGGCCTGTTCGAACCCATGGTAATGTTCTTCGGATTAACAAACTCGCCTGCCACCTTCCAATCCTATATGAACAATCGGTTTCAGACTGAGATCAACGAAGGATGGCTCGTCATATATATGGACGACCTGCTCATCTTCTCCTCGGACCTTCCCGAACATCATATATGAACCAAGAGAGTACTAGAGATTCTCCGCCATGAGCAGCTGTTCGTGAAGCCTGAAAAATGTACTTTCCACGCGAAAGAAGTGGAATATCTCGGAATGATCATTCGCCCGGGAGAAGTAGGTATGGAGCATGCCAAAGTCGACGGAATAAAGAACTGGCCCACCCCTACCTCAGTTAAAGATGTTCACTCTTTCCTCGGATTTTGCAATTTTTATAGAGCATTTGTGTCCCATTATTCCGACATTGCCCGGCCACTCATCAATCTCACCTGGAAAGATCAACCCTTCGCTTGGACCCCTGAGTCCCAGGACTCCTTTGATCAGCTTAAACAGCGCTTCACTACGAAGCCTGTGTTACGCAACCCGGACCCTACCCGCCAATTCGCCCTTGCCACCGACGCTTCCCTCGTAGCAACTGGAGCTGTGCTGTTACAGACGGATGAGAACGGAGTCTATCACCCTTGCGAGTACATCTCCCAGTCCTTCAACCCCGCCGAACGCAATTATGAGATCTTCGATTGAGAATGGCGTCACTATCTAGAAGGAAGTCCTCATCCCGTTGTTGTCTTTACAGACCATTTGAACCTCCTCTACTTCTCGAAAGCACAGAAGCTTTCTCAAAGGCAAGCACATTGGCAGCTCACTCTGTCCAACTATGATTTAGAACTGCACCATGTTCCCGGAATGAAGCTTGCAGCGCCTGATGCCCTCTCTCGACGCCCCAATCACGGTCTGGGTGACCATGATAACAAAAATTGCATGCTCCTCCCGGACTCCATGTTTATACAGTTACTCGACGACGAACTCTCCACCACCCTAGCCGCAAACTCTTTGGATGACCCCGTCTTCTCCGTCGCCAGCGATGCCCTGGACGGGCTGTGTTTACCTCCGATGAAATCAGCACTTTCGGACTGGAAAATCTCTGACGGCATACTGTACTACAAATCCCACACCTATGTCCCGCCCACACAGCGTGTGACCGTTTTACTCCGGCACCATGACCATCCTACCGCCGGCCACCCCGGTCAGTTTAAAACTGAAGAACTCGTCAAGCGCAATTATTGGTGGCCCGCCATGGGCACTTTTATCCACTCCTATGTCGCTGGATGCGCCCTCTGCCAGCAGATGAAGGCTGACACTCATCCCGTCACCCCCCCCCCCCCCTTGTCCCCATTCCCTCCTCCGCCACCCGGCCCTTCTCCCAGGTCTCTGTTGACCTGGTGACCGACCTGCCCGTTTCCAACGGTTTTGATTCTCTCATGGTCGTGGTAGACCATGGCCTTACGAAGGGGGTGATTATTTCCCCTTGCAACAAAAACATCTCCTCTGAAGGGGTGGCTAAACTATTTCTCAAAAACGTGTTTAAACGCTTCGGACTTCACAAGAAAGTGATCTCTGACAGAGGTCCCCAGTTCATATCGAAGTTTTCTAAAGAACTAGCCCGCCTCCTCGGATATCAGATTGCTGCCTCCACTGCATACCACCCGCAGACTGATGGACAAACCGAACAACTCAACCAGGAAATAGAAATGTACCTCCGAATATACTGCAGGAGTAACCCCCACGAATGGTCAGACCATCTACCTCTCGCCGAATTCATACACAACCACCGCAGACACAAAGCAAGGAACACATCCCCCTTCTTCCTTATGATGGGGTATGAACCTCGTGGCATCCCCCATGTCCTATCATCCTCGGACACCCCTGCCGTAGAAGAAAGAGTTCGCGCCCTCCAGAAGATTCGAGAAGAAGCCATTTCATGTCACAATATCGCTATGCAACGAATGGCAGAAAGAACGCATAAAAAGAAGTACCTACCATGGAAGATAGGAGATAAGGTCTGGCTATCCGCAGCTAATCTCATGACCACCCTCCCATCCAGGAAGCTAGCGCCCAAATGACATGGACCATTTCCCATAACCGCAGTCTTATCGCCAATCACGTTTACCTTGAAACTTCCAGAACAATGGAGGGTCCACCCCACGTTCCATGCTTCTGAGCTATCCTCCTATCACAAGACAGAAATCCACGGACCAAACTATGAAGAACCACCCCCGGATATAGTCAATCAAACGGAAGAATACGAAGTTGAAGCCATCCTAAGTCACAAGGGCATGGGTAAACGAAGACGCTATCTCGTATCCTGGAAAGGATACTCTTCCGGAAGCAACGAATGGATTCCAGCGGAGAATCTGGAAAATGCCGAAAACCTCCTCTCAATCTATAAGAAGAGACACAAGTTGAACTAAGTCGACCAGTTCCCACTTCCACTCAAACAAACAAACATGTCTTCCCAGCAAACCCCTTCTCCTACTGAGTCCACCGCCTCCACCCTCAGTGAATCCCCCTTCGCCAACAATGTCGTTAGCATTGAAGATGACGTCATCATCGAGACCACCATCCTCTCCATTGCCCATGCCCTTGAAATAGAGAATTATCTCAACTCTCAACCAGCAGTCCCAGCCGGCATCGCCGCCACCTACATCCACATCATAAGAACCACCCAATGCCTAGAGGAAGAATTTGCTCAGATACAAAACAATGCCCTTAGGCTTTCCTGTAACCACATCCAGCGGCGTATACGCTCGCTTACGCTCCAGCTATTCCCTCTTGGTTTTAGCACTATCTGTAGGGAAATTATACAGACTGTTGCTGATCGAAACTCCTTCCAAGTCGGCCGCCCGCTGCCTCCTCTTACTCATACTCCCCCCACTGTTCTACCTGATCCAACGTCGATCGGAGGAAATGCTCAACTGATACCTGTCCCATCGCCCAACCAGATCTATAAACGGAAGCTCCACAACGGAGCCATCGTTCACGGCATAACCAAAGCCAAATCGTCTAAAGGAAAGAAGCACGAGGTCATTGACCTCACCAAGGAACCCACCACCATCACTGTCAGAACTCCCTCACTAAAAAGCATCGTCGGCGCCATCGCCGACGCCAACTTCATCTGCCGAGTCTGCAAGAAGCTCGGCCACAAGCACAAGAACTGCCCCTTGTACTTCTGTCGCTTCTGTGGCGACACGAAACCTGGGCACTTCTCCATCTACTGCCCCTTTGACACCAACAAACCAGTCTTCCCATTGACTTATACTGACGAAGGCTTTTATGAAGCTTTGGCCGTGTGGGAGGCAGAGAAGGATAGGAAAGAAGAGGAGGACCTAGAGCGCGCCAATAGGGAGTACTTGGTGCAGCCGGAGGACCTCAAGTTCCACAATGCCGACGCCGACCCCATCTACTACGCAAACCAGGACAACTGATGACGTCGAAGTTGGTGACATCAACCATAATACGGGGTAATGTTACGGTACACTTATTCCCCTAACTTTTCCTTCGTTACCAGACAATGGTCCTTTGTTACATCTGTTACTGAACGTCCGATTACCTTCCAGACTCTTACGCACATTATCGCCAAGCTCACCTTCCATACCAGTAACCGTCACCATGCATAGCCGTTATCTCTCTTATCTCTTATCAAGCGGGCTGTCCGCCTTCTATCTTGATACACATTCCGTCTTCTATCTTGATACACATTTACAAGCTCCGCTTGAACACTCGCTATATAGACACATAGTGTACCACATGTATTCTGCACTTTAATCTACTGGGTCTTACCTGGAACCAAGTCCTTTAGCAAGGTCTCCAACCTTGCTATCTAAGAACCACTATTCTAAGGGAGTCGCCGATACTCGCCTTAGCCAGAAACCTTTGACCTCTCATTTGAGAGAAGAACTACGTCTGTCTCGCCGAATCTCAGTCCCTTCAGACTTAATAATTCAAATAAAAAAGAAGTAAAAGCTCGACATATCCCAGTCGTAACACCCAATAGCTGTCCTGTTGCTGCATCCCACACCCGCACAGTCCCATCCGATGAACCAGATGCGATGCGAGTACCATCCGGCGAGAACGAGACTAAGTTGACTACTTCAGTGTGCCCCTCCAAGGCCTCACCCAATGACTGTCTGGTTGCTGCATCCCACACCCGCACAGTGTTATCTTCTGAACCAGACGCGATGCGAGTACCATCCAGTGAGAACGAGACTGAGCGAACCGGGGCAGTGTGCCCCTTCAAGGGCTCACCCAATGGCTGTCCTGTGGCTGCATCCCACACCCGCACAGTGTTATCCAATGAACCAGACACGATGCGAGTACGATCCGGTGAGAACGAGACTGACAAAACCCCTCTAGTGTGCCCTTCCAAGGGCTCACACAATGGCTGTCCCATCGCTGCATCCCACACCCGCACAGTGTTATCCAATGAACCAGACACGATGCGCGTACCATCCAGTGAGAATGAGACTGACAAAACCGAGGCAGTGTGCCCCTCCAAGGGCTCACCCAATGGCTGTCCCGTCGCAGCATCCCACACCCGCACAGTGTTATCTTCTGAACCAGACACGATGCGAGTACCATCCGGTGAGAACAAGACTGAGATGACTTCTCTAGTGTGTCCATTAATTACAATCTGGACAACCACCCAGTTCAAATCACGACCAGATGCCAGACGAAGGTTATTCAGAAACCTTGGCGTAAATTTGGTAGCCATGGTGGAGTTGATGGGCGAGAATGGGAGCGCCGATAGATACAGATGCGGCGTGCTGTGCAAGATCATACCGCCAAACACTTGAATGAATCTTTGTACATCCATCATGTTAGACCGCAAATCGTCGTATCCAGAATGGCCCTGTATTTATTTATGGGTTGTTCGTCCGACAATACCTCGTAGGCGTTTGCTCACTTTCAGCCACTTGGCAACGAATGGAAGTATAGTAACTGCGCTGCTAAACGCATTGAGAAGTCCGAGTGATTCAATCCAGAACATCAGTCGCTCGTCGTCGAAGAGTGATCTCATTTCCTGTGCGAGCTTATCGTCAAAGTCAGTTGTTTGAACATGCTCAGCCCAGTATCGACAGGAATAGGAGAGATGTGGGGGAATGGATGTTTTGACTCGTTGAGGAAGCTCTGCGTCTTTGGAATTGGGGAGGTACGACAACTTTAAATCACAGATATTGAAGCGAAGATCGTGTTCCATCACTCGTAGCGATGCAAATGCAAGGTCGCGTTGTACGTTGGACACCTCGACGAAAAATTCTCCGCTGGATGACTTATCTGTCAGGAAGTCGTGGAAAGATGCGTGAAGGGGTTGGATGGGAATACGCGAATTGGTGGTGCCGCTGAGAAGGGATCCCATGCGTTTAATAATGTCCATGCTGTCATGCTTATTGTCGTCTGGAAAGTAGCTCCGCATGATATCGAGGGAATTGAGAGGGAGTGGTTCAGCTGTGCCGAGTATCTGTCCCATCACGGAACGAAACCCTGCCAGGGCTTCTTCGTACTCGTCGTCGTCATATTGATCCCTTCTCATGATTTCTTTCAAAATGACCAGATACATATCGTACAACAGGTTCTTCTGCTTGCCGGCCCTGCGGTTGACGAGAGCATTGAAGCAACGCATTTGGCGTACGCCTGGAGGGGTATCTTTGATGTATTCGCAAGCAAGACGGGCCCACTCAAAAAGGCCATCGGCTTTCGCAGCTAGATTTGTAAACTCTTTATGGCCAAAATCTGGTAGCCCCTTCAGCTCCTCAGATACGAACGTGTGGATGTCGCGCTCTGCCACTGCTGCTGGGATCTCGTCCATCGACAACCGTAGAATATGCTCAGCGCCGTGAAATGTATCTTCGATATCATGAAGTGGGCGAGACGTGACGAGAATCCGAAAGTTGGATGGAAGTTCTGTAATTTGGGGAAGACCTCTGTCCTGAAGTCTACCAGAAAGTATGCGCAGGAGGTTGTGCCGAGTCTCCTTTCCACCGCTCTCATCCAGTGCTTCGATGACGATCAAGACAAGCCCTACGCTTGACGCAGGCAACTTCTTTAGCGGTTTCATGAGAAGGTCGCGCCACTGCTGGATAATGTCCGTCATATTCTTGAGTGAGTGTGCATCCTTGACCGCATCTGCTAACGCTCGCTTCATCCCCGAATCACGGTCAGCGAGATCGCGCGCGATCGTAGAGAATATCTTTTCATGCTGACGATCTGCTTCTCTGTGCCGATCGAAACAAAAACATGATCCAAGGCCTCCCGATTCCTTGAACCAGTTGGCGATCGTGTGGGCGATGGCTGATTTGCCCTTGCCCGCAGGACCAGATAACCACAGCACCCGTTTGGCAGCATCTCCGCTGCCGTTGATCCAGTCCGTAATCTGGGAAAGAATCTCCGTGCGCGTCCCTGGTAAGCACTGTTTCATGGTATCTAGTCCTGCGCCCTTCGCATAAGCGATATCCCCAAGATCCAGGGTATCGCCTGAAACGGCGTGAGTGAATGTAAAGACAGAAGCGTGTCAGAATCCTTACCCGTACGTTGGACGAAGACGGCCACGTCCCAATCGACTTGATCCCGAAATTGTTGCATAAGGCCGTCCAAAGTGTCGCCGTACTGTTTGATCGTGTCATCAGTTTCCGAGATAAGATTTTTCCCGTCTCTTCCCTATAATATAGTATAAAATTCATGTATAAGGTACGATAGCTTGGTGACTCACAAAAGCTCTTTCTCTCCGAGTAGTCCCTGATGAAACGGGCACACTCGAGAGTCTGGTGAACGATCTTTTCGACGATGCCGCGCATCGATTCAATTTTTTCAAGACTATCATCTTGAGTCATAAAGCGGTAAACTTCAGCCAATTTCTTGAGAAGATTAAGAATCGATTGGTCACGCTGTGTCTGAGCAATTATAATCTTTATGGAATTAGAACTTCTGAGTAGGAGACTTCCAAACCAAAACATACCTTGGATGCAGCAGATAGCATGCCCAGCGCCATCTTTGCGTACGGATGTACCTATACAACGTGATTAGTTCCCTTTCAAACGACAAGAATGGCCCATACGTCTGTGATCTTCTCAAGGACAGCATCGATAATCTTGAGGGGTTGGAGATACGTCGTCTCAAAATCATCTGCAGCAGTAAGATCCGCTGGGGCATTCTCGACGGCGGATGCCATAGAAGTCGCATGTTTCCCGAGTAATCGCATGTTTTCTGTACCATCACAGGCACGTTGAAGTTCGGCATCAACTGAGTGAGGATCGGGTCTTCCTTCCTCGCCAGAAGGAGCAGCCTGAGCCTGTAGGACCACCAAGATTAGAGAAGAAATCAAAGTATTTGATGGAAATACCTGTGAACCGGACAGCCTTTGGTTCACGGACTCACTGGGAATCTCAGATGTGGTGGGATGCTCGCTTTCGTTGGAAGGCTGGGGATGCGACATGTCCTGAGCGCCTCTAAGAAAACGAAAGGACTGGGATAGCACTTACCTCAACTTGCTGACTCGATGAAGCCGCTTCAATTTCGACGTCGTGGATCGCAGTGACATGCGTGCGTGTTCGCTTGGAGCGTTTCTGTACAATCTTAGCCGTATTCAGGACAAACAGTTTTCACGTCTACGCACAGGAAGCTTTTGGGTTAACCCATTCTTCAATTTCCGCATGAACTGACAAGATCCTGTATGAGGTTGGTTCTGGACGAATAATGCGTAAGGACGACGATAGATTTCAAGAGACAACATACCGAGCTTTCAACTAAATTTGCCTGATTGGATCTGGAAGTTGCTGGAGGAGGATCGATATCTGGCCTATGATCTTCAGTCATCGCGAGTGGTTGTAGATTTAGATCGTTGTGAAAGAAACGGTGTCCACTGAGGAGTGGTGTGAGAAGGGAGAATGGATGTCTCACTCTTTGGCAAAACAGAATATTTGAAGCATGGCCAGCACATTAACTTCAAGGGCTATGGATTCAGCCACACAATTGCCATCGGTTCCGGCGGGTGGGCCCATAGCGACAGGTTACTGTGTGCGCACTGCGCATCACAGTGCAAAGTATCGAGAGACCCTGTTCAGGAAAAGTTGAGAGAGCTCGGTCTACTCCAGAGTTGAATTATGCAACAATCCCTTCAAGTCAAGTCTGGCGTTGTCAGAGCTCAAACGTTCTTCGTTCTTTAAGTGAGAGCCTGCGTATTCAGTGGTGCCAGTGGCATTTGTGCCTTGAGACATTTGAATACGACGTACGTACATACAAGCGCTCCGATCACCTTCGGACGGCAGCCCATTGATTCGTGATATGGGGCTCAAGTGGCGCGCGCACGCCGCACATGGCAGTCACACGAATTTCGAAATTGCACCCGAAAAGAGCAAGCGGAGGCCATTGGGGTGCGAATGGAGATCCAAAAAAGGGGGCTCAAGAAGCGTCAGTGGAGCTGAAGTGGCGCGCGCACATGGGAGTCACACCATATTGGAAATCGCTCCGTCCTTACAATATTTAGAATAGAATAAAAAGTAGAATATACATGAAACAATATATAGTACTCCCGTCACCATTAGCTATGTACTACATGACAAAGTTAAAAGTAAAATCTGGAACGCATAGGATCTGTCACCAGTTCAAGGGAAGGAAAAAGCGTAGCATATTCTGCCAACTGTTGATCAGTTGTCCTCACTCCACCGCCAAAGATCAGACTTTCCAGGGGACACTGCGAGCGTGTCACAAACGCCTTGAACTCTTCGTGAGGCCATTGGCCCATATTGCGGACTTCGACCGTGCGTAGATTGGGGAGCGTGATGGCATCGAATAGCCCAAGATTTACGGTCGAGTCCAAAAGCAAATGCCCGGACATGCGCAAAGATTGAAGTTTGGGGTGCACGAATGTCTCCGAGGTCTCGATCGTCGTGAATATCCCAATCATCGTCAAAGACGAGAGGTTGGGATACAGGTGGAGCAAGCGGGCAAAGGAATCCAGTCCGTCTACCACGATGTCAAGATTTGTGAGACCGGCCCATCCGAGAGAATTGGAGTGAGGTAAGACCCTGAGGTTAAGCCACAGGTCCATTAACCTGAGACTATGCATGTTGGGAGGCAATTGCGCGATGGAGTGCATGACAGCTGTTAAAGTATCAGAACCGCCCGTGTATATGACCAGCTCTGAAAGTCCCCGAAAGTCCGCCATCGCCAAAGAGCCAGCACCGGAGAAAAACCCAACAGACAACGACGATACTTGATGGACGTATGGCTGGAGCAGGCTTCGTAGCTCCGTCCAGTCATTGTCATGACACTCGAGTGTCAACGACAGTTGACGTCCTCGCGATCGCTTGAGGTAGGTGTCATAGCAGAAAGCTCTCTGTTGCCAGTCACCGTGCTCAACTTCCAGTCGGAGCCTGCGCCATAGATCCGGCATATCCACAGCAACCTCCCGCCATCGTCGACATACTGTGGTCAACAGCATGGGGGCCAGATCTGGCGCGGGAATCGAGTTTCTGTCTTCTGGGATGCAGTACAGGAAAATCTGAGCGACGATTTCCGTGGGCAAGGATGTAAATGTGCCATGAGACTTGTTTGACTGCACAGCCTTGGCTTTCTTTCGACAGCTGACACCTTTTTGGCTTGAGGCCTTATGCATGACTACATCCAACTGCTGAAGTGAACGTTTATTATTATGCTCAGACGTCAACACCTCTAAAATACAGTACTTACAATGTTTTGCATAGCACTGATAACATCAGAGACTGCTGATGAATCAGCGTTTGAGCTGAACGCCTGCATATTAACGCGAACTTGAAGGAGGTTTAGACGTTGGAAACGGAGGTTGGAGATATTCTAGCGTTCGGCCAACCGTCGCGTCCCTATTTAAATTACAGTGCTTCGTAAACCACAAGTCCACAACAAACACACCTTGCAATTGTAGTTTCTCATAACGGGTCTTAGGTACAACACCAGCCATCCACATCTAGAAATCTTGCATTGTTGCAAAGGGTTTCAGTGCGAACGCCTGTGGAATCTGTGGAAGGGTGCCAGTTATCTCGCTCGCCGGTGGTTTCGACATACCCAGTCGGCACTCCTTGGTCATCTGAGACCTTTTGTTTTCTTATGTGGACGACACCTGTCGAGCTGTGACCTTTATTTCGCCCTATCGTGCTAGCATTATGTCTTTGATTCGAGAGGTATGAAAAAGGTGCTCACAACATCAAGTTTTAGGTCTCCTTCGCATCTGAGATCTGACTTGGAGTACCGGGTCTCCACATTCCTACCGTACGCACTGAATGGCCGATTTCCCTTTTTACGTCAGTCACATCTCCTCCACTACATGCTTGGATCTTAGTGAATGACGCACCTGAACCTCAACAAAGTCACGTTCTTGTTCAAGTAGCAAACGATATGTTTCTTGTAGTGTCAATCTCATGGGAACTTGAAGTGTAACCCAAACAAAGCGAACTCATGATTGTCTCTGGGTTCTGAATTGAAAGGTTGACAATATGATCCTTCGGAAGAGCGAGTATACTGGACGTTGTTTGAGTCATATTTAGGAGGAAGTTCATGGTAGTAGTCAACGTTTGAGTCACTCCATGCCCGCCAATTTGTCTACTATGTAATTTTTCCTCTTTTGATCATCCCGACTCCCGAGTTGATCCCGATCACTATTTCCAGCCACGAATCCTTCTCTCACAATATGGGGGCTTATTACGACGAGATAGAAATTGAAGATATGGGATGGGATGAAGTAAAAGGCGTCTACCACTATCCCTGTCCCTGCGGCGACCGCTTCGAGATCTCTCGCAAGCAGCTTGTCAACTACGAAGATATCGCAACGTGTCCGAGCTGCAGTTTAATCATCAGAGTTGTCTACGATCCAGTACGTCATGTGAATCTTCTTCAGTGAAATGTATCATAAAACAAGAGCGGCAGCTTGATTTTGAAGACGAACCTCCAGATGACTCCGAGGAGTCTGCGTCGGAGAAAAGTGAAGAGAATGAGGAGGTCGATGATGATAGCGATGCCGACACGTTCGAGGATGCTCTTGAGAAACTTACTCTATCTGAGCGGTCAGCAGCGACGGTTGCAACAGCAGCATCAGATATCAAATTCCTCGAGTCCGTATCGATCATCACTGCAGACCGTGCTGCTGCAAAACGTTCTATAGCACATTAAACTTACAATATTTATGCATGTGGGTTGTATCTATTCGTCCAATTTATTGCTCATCTTCGACGGGCCTATACTCTGTTGGACGTGGGCCCAGGAACAGCTTCTGGCTCATCGAAAGAGCCTCGTCTTTCTCCTCGAGCTGTTGCTGAAATTCTGTAAGTCTGTAGTAACGTGTTAGGATCGTTGAGTCTCTGACCTCTCGATGTTGCCATGACTATCACGCGGAAGAAAGTGATAAAAGGCAAGGGAAAAGAGATAGGATGAGCTGACTTGACTCTTGATCATAATGGTCGTACTTACTATGTCAATGTGGGTAGCGTGGTCAAGACCTAGCCCTTGTAAGACGGCAGTTCAAATTTCTGCCGGAAGGTTCCGACATGGCCGAATCGAGTTGAAGGTAGCTGTTTTTACTGGCCTCTCTGGCAGCGTAGGCTTACTATTTCATATTAGACTTTGACAGCTGGTTGATATCGCTGGTCATCCGACGCAGTATGATACGCATTGTGATTGTCGTCTTTCCACCACGGTGTTCAAATTCCATATGACTTCATCACTCCTATGTGTAAGGCTACGATGAATTCATTTGAAGTTTGAACACTACTAGACATTGCGACTCGGATAGCAGCTCCACCGATGGCTTCTCCAAATACCGACCTCTGAGTTTGGGTGAGTGATCGTTTCAATTTGAACTTTACACAATCTGATCTAGATCACAGTGCACGGATGGGAGTTTGAGATCTCTTCCTTCTTGTTGACTCGGAATATCATAATCACTTCTATGTTCAGACTTGTTGTACAGGATTTGCAAGTTTGATTGGTGGGTGCAGTGGTGTCGTTTCTAAAATATCTAAGATTTCATGTAGGAATACCCAGCCTTGCTAACATCTAATTCTACCTGCTGGATACCAGCTCTGTTCTCTGGCTCCTGAGGTGAGTCAGCTGTCTCTAGAATGTGGAGTCGATTTAACCAAATGATAATAGATTGTTGCACTGGCTGCTGGCAAGACGTCTATTACCGTGCGATTTGTGTTCTTCAGAAGGCAACGTGTTGACATTGATAGCGGACAACCAAGCTGTAAACCGACTCCTGGCTGCAATTATATACACCTGTGTTGCCTGCGCTGTTGTCATCCGAATTGTTGAGTGGTTTGTATATGGATACGGGTGAGTCGTAGTCCCAAAACACCGGAAGGCCACATTACTGTCTTCAGATTCACACCGTGCACTAACGTGGTCGTTCCGCCTCACGACATTCAGCCTTTGTAAGGAGTGCTACTCTGCTGGCAACAAACTCCCCTTTGTATCATATGAATGAGCCACTCCTGGCTTTGTCCTCGTCACCTATAAAATCGCAGTGAATCGACCCCAATCACTCATATCTGAAGATCCATCACTCCCTGGCAAACTCCCATTCGAACTAGACCCTGTTGCGCATCGCAATTAGGCTTACTGAGCCTGAAGGAAAATTACAAACTTCGACATTGCCATTGCCATCCACGAAATTTGGCACTGTACCTGTATTATCTCTTCCGCTTCGACTCAAATCACGCCTCTCCTAGCTCAATGATGAAATGTCCCTTAACGATAGAGTCGATAAACACCGCAATGACACATTCCACGCTGGCAGCTCCCACCTTCAATACACTCTGGTCCGAACAGTCCAGTTTGGCACCCCTCATCATGTGTCTACCTGGAAGGTCGCGACGGATCATAGCATTGTGAGTGTATACCATTTGTGTCTTAACAGGACAATTCTCACTCTAAATCGCAGAATTTTTCCAAGGAGCCGCTACCCACGGAGTGGGAGCGTGTCAGGACGAACGTGTCAATAATTCTTCACGACATCAGTGAAGCCCATTACACACGTTCACCAAAGACACATGACAGTGGTCGTATCCTTCAGAGTTTCGTGTGGTTCCCACCTGCAGTGTTGTTTCCCAACTTTTGCGGATTGGAATCTGAGGCCGTGTCTGAGGATCCTTGGAACGCATCTGCATGGTCGACGAAACGCAATGGGGATGGTCCTGCGCTCCCCATACCATTTCCCTCCCAATTTTTCCGGCATTTGCTCAAGTTCAGCAGACTGTCGTCTTTTCTATTCGTCGGGAACTACGACCTTGACGACGCCTCCATGCATGATTCTTGCTGGGCATTCGGGCATTGAAGTCCACCTCAGATAAACGTGGCACTCGTAACGCCACCATTAGCGCCAAGAATCGCCGCACGCACGATTTGATGCCTCAAGCACCGGACGGGACTGAGGGGCTTCGGCCCATGCAAGCAGCCATCCGCAAGCTACATGTCGGACTCGAAAGTAGTTTTGGAGGTGGCGAGTGTCCCATATATACTTCCTAGTTGGAGTGTTTTCAAGTTCCACCTGGTATCACTACTTACTTAGGAATTCCGGGAGTATAGTTACGCACGCTGGCAGACGGACGGGAGTACGGACCTCCGAGTCATATCCGATATGTGCTGATGTGTGAGGCATCTTTGTGATGAGTACCAAGATACCTCCCACTTCGGCACATATCTGAGTGCCGTGAATGTCATATATATGCATAGTACGTCTGATCTGAATCTGTAAAAACACTCCAAAAAGATGAAAATTATCATATACACAATAGACAACTCCTAAGCTACGTACGTACGTCTCCAACAGCCCACCTCAAACCACCTGCAGACACAGACGTCAGTTCCTTCCAAGCCTGCACGGACATCGGCTCCGATACGTGGAGGTGAAAGATCTCGTGCAACTTGACGAAGATGAGGAATGAATAAATGGTGATAACATTTAGTTTCTAACCAAAGTCAACTTGTAGTGATAACCTAACTGAGTGTGGTCTTCCCAACACATACTTCTCGCATACACAGACGAATTTATTGGAAATCGGTAGTATCTATAATAGATTGGCCTAAGATTTAACCAATAACAGAAGTACTAAGCATACCTGTGAGACGAGACGTTGCACGTTGCGAGTGATACGATCGATACGAGTGCGAATGTTGCGATGCGCAGTGCGTAATGTGTCGTTCATACAGTTTACAATCGACGAGTATCGATTTCAACCGAAAGAAGCATAACTCGAGAGTCGACGTGGTACTAAAACGGTGAGTCTTCGAGCACAGCTAATTCTCACTGGGCAACGTTGAGGTGCTTTTCCCCCAACACCGGCAGGCAGCCTAGAACTCGACGTGTTAGACATTACGTGCGCTAACAGATACTAATCGACGGAAAATGGGGTAAGTACGTCGGGTTCTCTACTAACAAAAATGACAGCGAGTAAACGCGAGAAGAAAAAACAAAGACACGCAATGATTCAGTGGCGCGAATCGAAGGTGTCACTTAATTAGTAAGTGCTTCTCCCGGCTGAGGTGGAATTGTTGATCAAAAAAAAAAACTGTGCCAAGTATCTGTCCCATCGCAGAACGAAACCCTGCCAGGGCTTCTTCGTACTCGTCGTCATATTGATCCCTTTTAATGATTTCTTTCAAAATGACCAGCATATCGTACAACAGGTGCTTCTGCTTTCCGGCTCTGGGGATGACGAGAGCATTGAAGCGACGTATTTGGGGTGCGCCTGGAGGGGCGTCTTTGATGTATTCGTAAGCAAGACGCGCCCACTCGAAAGATCCATCGGCCTTTGCAGCTAGACTTGTAAGCTCTTTGTCGCCAAAATCTGGTAGCCCCTTCAGCTCCTTAGATACGAACGTGTGGATGTCGCGCTCTGCCACTGCTGCTGGGATCTCGTCCATCGACAACCGTAGAATATGCTCAGCGCCGTGAAATGTATCTTCGATATCATGAAGTGGGCGAGACGTGACGAGAATCCGAAAGTTGGATGGAAGTTCCGTGATTTGAGGAAGTCCTTTGTGCTGAAGTCTACCGGCAAGTATGCGGAGGAGGTTGCGCCGCGTCTTCTTTCCACCGCTCTCATCTAGTGCTTCAATCACGATCAAGACAGGCCCTACGCTTGACGCAGAGAACTTCTTTAGCGGTTTCATGAACAGGTCGCGCCACTGCTGGATGATGTCTGTCGTATTCTTCAGCGAGTGTGCATCCTTGACCGCATCCGCTAACGCTCGCTTCATCCCCAAATCACGATCAGCGAGATCCCGCGCGATGGTGGAGAAAATCTTTTCATGCCGACGATCTGCTTCTCTGCGCCGATCGAAACAAAAACATGAACCAAGGCCTCCCGATTCCTTGAACCAGTTGGCGATCGTGTGGGCAATGGCTGATTTTCCCTTGCCCGCGGGCCATATAGCCACAGCACACGTTTAGCAGCATCTCCGCTGCCGTTGATCCAGTCCGTAATCTGAGAAAGAATCTCCATGCGCGTCCCTGGTAGGCACTGATTCATGGTATCTAGTCCTGCGCCCTTCGCATAAGCGATATCCCAGAGATCCAGGGTATCTCCTGAAACGGCGTGAGTGAATGTAAAAACAGAGGCGTATCAGAATCCCTACCCGTACCGTGGACGAAGACGGCCACGTCCCGATCGACTTGGTCCCGGAATTGTTGCATAAGGCCGTCCAAAGCGTCGTTGTACTGTTTGATCGTGTCATCAGTTTCCGAGATGATGTTTTTCCCGACCCTCTTCCCTATAATATAGTATAAAATTCATGTATAAGGTACGATAGCTTGGTGACTCACAAAAGCTCTTTCTCTCCGAGTAGTCCCTGATGAAACGGGCACACTCGAGAGTCTGGTGAACGATCTTTTCGACGATGCCGCGCATCGATTCAATTTTTTCAAGACTGTCATCTTGAGCCATGAAGCGGTAAACTTCGGCCAATTTCTTGAGAAGACTGAAAATCGATTGGTCGCGCTGTGCCTGCGCGATTATGATCTTCGTGGAATTAGAACTTCTGAGCAGGAAACTGAATTCCGGGAGAAACCAAACATACCTTGGATGCAGCAGATAGCACACCCAGCGCCATCTTTGCGTACGGATGTACCTATACAACGTGATTAGTTCCCTTTCAAACGACAAGAATGGCACATACGTCTGTGATCTTCTCAAGGACAGCATCGATAATCTTGAGGGGTTGGAGATACGTCGTCTCAAAATCATCGGCGACAGTAAGATCCGCTGGGGCATTATCGACGGCGGATGCCATAGAAGTCCCATGTTTCCCGAGTGATCGCATGTTTTGTGTACCATCACAGGCACGCTGAAGTTCAGCGTCAACTAAGTGGGGATCAGGTTTTCCTTCCTCGCCAGAAGAAGCAGCCTGAACCTGTGGTACCTTCAAATTTAGAGAAGAAAATCAGAGTATTTCATTGAAATACCTGCGAATCAGGCTCTCCGGCCAGCCCTTGGTTCACGAAGTCACGAATCTCAGATGTGGTGGGATGCTTGTTGTCGTTGGAAGGATGGAGATGCAACGTGTCCTGAGCGCCTCTAAGAATACCGAAGGACTAGGATAGCAAGTTCAAGCACTTACCTCGACCTGCTGGCTGGATGAAGCCCCTTCATTTTCGACGTTGTGAGCCGCAGTGGTGCGGTTGCGTGCTCGCTTGGAGCGTTTCTGTACAATCTTAGCTGTATTCAGAACAAATAGTATTCATGTCTACGCACAAAAAGCTTTTTAGTTAAGCCATTCTTCAATTTCCGCAGGAACCGAGCAGATCCTTTACGAGGTTGGTCCTGGACGAATAATGTGTAAGGACGACGATAGATTTCAAGAGACCGCGTACCGAGCTTTCAGTAACATTTACCTGATTGAATCTAAGAGTTCCTGGAGAAGGATCGATATCTGGCATATAATCTTCAGACGAGTGGTTGTAGATTTAGATCGTTGTGAAAAAAACGGTGGGGTCCACTGAGAAGTAGGTGTGAGAAGGGAATGGGCGTCCTACTCTTTGGCAGACTCCAAAGAACGTTCGAAGCATGATCGCCAGCACGTTGACTTCAAGGGCTATCCATTCAGCCATACAATTCCCATCGGTTTCTGCGGGGCGAGCCCATTGCTGTAGCAGACACAGGGACAGACGAAGTCAAATACACATATTAGGTGTACCTGTAGAAGACACAGCTACAGAGGTTGTCAGTTACATAGGTGGTATATACGAGAATGATACTCACCTCAGGGACAGACGACCTACGGCACATAGGAATGGTCGTGAATTCATCCAACTTGATCTGGAAGTCGCATGTAGGACATATAGGAATGGCGCGTCCGCGTCAGTGACTGACGCGTGACATGCGCGTCATGCGGCGTCACAGCTGTGTCACGACCGCGGCAGGCGCGCGTCAAAATAGCTACGCCCTACTAATGATGGCAGGATTAAGTGATAGCAGTCGTATGCACCATACACACATCACCTACTAAGTTACGTGTGAACACCTCGAACCACCTTCATGCACAGACACGTCTGTTACTTCCGGATGTCCATGAACGTCAGCTCTCACTCGCTATTGCAGGATCGTGTTCGCCATGGACTACGACCCGTTTTGGATCAGCTCTTATCAGGCCTTCTTTTCTTCAGAGTTGACCATCGGTTCAGCCCGAAAGAATGTCCGTTTGCAAATTCTATGTTGACGTTGCAGCATCAGTTGTCCGACTCGGCGGACATAGAATCGCGGTGGTCAGGTGTGTGTATATAAATACCCAAGTACTGTACTTACTGTCATTGTCAATTCCCCCAGCCCAGGATGGCAGCCGAATCCGAACTTCGAGCAGAAGCGCCTTCCCTGCAAGACGACAAAGAGGGCCCAGAGATATCGGAAGCACGTCGAGTCTCCAAGCATTGGGACCCTCCCTCAAGCCCGCACGAGTTTTCCGAAGGTGGTTTGGCAGGTTGGGCAACTGCTTTTGGAGCGTAAGAAGGCAAAATATTTGAGCTAGCTCTTACTCAGTTCACACAGGTTTCTGCTACAGTTTTGTGGGTTCGGGTCAGTCTGCTGCAGGTGTTGGCAGGAAATAGCTCTATGACTGACTTGATTTAATAGTTATATCACTTCGTTTGGTGTCTATCAAGGTACAGTCTGCAAACCAAAGCGAGCATGAACCATTTTACATATTGCCTCCAGACTTTTATACCCAACATTACCTGACAAATGAGACGTCGTCTGCTATATCGTGAGTTTCTACTTACGTTTTCATGGCGGGTTTTCTCAAGACTTGTAGATGGATCGGGAGCACTAGCGCTTCTTTACTCATGCTCGTGGGCCTCGTGTCGGGTTCACTGCACGACCGAGGGTATTTGTGAGTGTAGATCTATTGGAGGTTCTCGACGATACTCAGCAAGCTCCACTAGTTACCATCTCATGATCGCCGGATCGTTTCTGGAGTGTTTATCTCTGTTCATGTTATCTTTGTCGAAACCGGATCAGTACTACCAGGTAATGTTCCCCAAATTTTAAATCTCGGTTTCTGACTCAGTCAGATATTTCTCTCTCAAGGATTAGGGTTGGGTATCGCGACGGGGCTCTTGTATATTCCTAGCGTGGCTATCATCTCCCATCACTTCCGACAGAGGCGCACACTAGTTATGACGTTCGTCGTTACGGGCTCATCGCTAGGTGCTATCATCCATCCGATCATGCTCAATAACCTCATCAACGGCCCTCTTGGTTTTTCCAACGGCGTCCGTGTAAGCGCAGGGTTGATCAGCTTATTTCTCTTGACTGCATGTTTGTGCATGCGAACCCGCCTTGATCCGCCGGTGACACCGGTGAACTATATCGTGGCGGCTAGAAAATGTATTCGCGATGTACCGTTTGTGCTCCTAATAATAGGGTGAGACCTGCAACGCACATTCTTCACTTTCTCCAAATAATCATCCTGCAGGGGCTTTCTTTTCCAGATCGGTTTCTACTACCCGTTATTCTTCTTTCAACTAGACTCTATCAAGCACGGTATCAGTGTTCATTTTTCGTTTTACTCTGTGAGTTCCAGCAATACGCAAGTCATCCGCGGCGTCTGCTGACAGAATCTCTAGTTAGTGATATTGAATGGTTTCAATTGCTTAGGGCGACTCACGTCAGGGTTTATTGCGAGGTTCACGGGAGTCGTGAATTTAGCCACAGTGGCGGCAATTTTGTGCAGCATGCTCATTTTTGGCATGATTGGGCTGAGTAGCTTGGCAAGCGTCGTCGTGCTTGGCGTGATTTATGGCTTTCTTTCAGGGATGAGTAAGTAATTTTTCAGCTATCATTAACATGGGTTCATCACTGCATGTAGACGTTGCGATGTTGACTCCACTCATGGCTACTTTAACACCCGACGTCTCTGAGCTTGGGCAAGTGATCATTTATGTTTGAACGTACGAACCATCTGACCTGTATCATAGCGCACGGATGGGCATCTGTCTCTTTACTGCTGGTGAATACTATCATTACTATTACTTCCATGTTATTCAAACTTGTCGCGATCACTGTATAGGAATCGGAGGTTTGATTGGTGGGCGCAACGGTTTCGGTTCTAGCTTCAGATTGTAATTCTTTGTCCAGGAACACCCATATCTGGCGCTCTGCTAACATCTAATTATACCTGGTGGATACCGGGTTTGTTCTCCGGGGTAAGTCGACCCTTACTATCATTTTATCCAGAGTTTGCGCTGAGTGCAATTAAATCGACTACATAACAGATCGTTTCACTGGCTGGTGCCGTGACATTTATCATAATGCGACATATGTTTCTCAGAAGGCGCGCGTCCTAGGTAGGTCTTCATGCTCGTGGCTTCCGGAGATGAAGACTTAGCTCTCTTCTTGCACTTGGTCAACAACGCTGGGAGCGGCAGCAGGTCCTTTCCACAAGGTTCATCGCAGGATGTATTATTCTGCGTCGCTTGATTGCTATCAGGATGATAAAGAGGCGTGTTGTGCAATTTCTTTCGATTGGATTCTGATACGCGAGAAGAGGGGACCTGAAGTGATTTGCCGGATATGGTTTTTGACTGTGATGGGATGGTCTCTTCGATCTGGTATGGAGTTCCCCCCACGCTCGCATCAAGTTTCTTCAGCTTTAGACCCCAGATTGGTAGGAAATATTTCAGAAGTTTTTCTTGCTTATTGACACTAGATATGCGCTAGAGCTCGTAGAACATAGCATGACAAAAATGACATCGCATTTTCCAGTACTTGGATCCCTAGAGATGTTTACGATTCAGTACGTCATGTAAATCTTCTTCAGCGAAATGTTAATATTCTATGGCACATAAAAATTACAATACTGATGCCATCACGCATGTACGTTGTTTCGTATCAAAGGTCGTGTCCTACATTTCACGTGGTTCCCTCCCGCATTACTCTTTCCTAACCTTCGTACATTTGAATCCGATGCGGGCCGTGTCTGACCTGCCGGAGTTTAGTTCAGCATTCTTCACGCTTTAGTATTCTTTCCCTGAATCAGAAGGGTTGGTGCTCTCCCACAGAAGCCGATGGCCTGCACCAACTGTCGATATCACCGGGTCAATGTACTTCAGCTTTTACGGTACTCCGAGCCTCGGAAACCCCGATGCTTTGCGTGCTGCACCGACACTCGCAGTCGCAGTCGACCGCAACCAATTTAAAGTTGGTCGCTGAGAGCGTGTAAGATGCATGGACTTCCCGCACAGATCCCAATGTCCATAAATATCGGATGCACGGCTATGACCGCCCGTGTGAGTTTAGCTTAGGAATGAATTGGCTGAAAGGATGTAAACATTTACTCACTCACATGTCTGCGTGCCACAAAAGTCACTACAGCGAGTAAATCCCGTGCAGGGCAGAAAGTGAGCTTGAAATCCACCGACAGTCCATCGCCGACAGAGTGAGTCCGGGAGTATCAACAGAACCAGACGCAGATGGCATTCGTGCAAAATGAATGTAGTCCGAGTCCCTTCTAACCGAACTAAACATACCACTGGCCCACAATCTCGTCGAAATTCCAAATATTGTTGAAGCTAGCGTGTCTGAGCGTGTACTTCTGGTATTCAGCATGTTGCGTCACGCTTTTCGAGTCCGGTTTTGTGATATGTGGGGGTTGGTACAGTCGTTTCGGAGAATGGGAAGTCACTGAGGTCGATGATGCTTTCAAGTTGCGACCCAAGTATCTCCGAAGGTGTCGACCATTGCTATTGCTTTCTGAGTTGGCAACGCTTCGCATGTCTGGTGTGATGGCAGTTAGCAAAATGAAATGAATATGAAAATACAAACAGAAGCAAAACACCGGACTTTGGAGTCCTAGCCGAACGTTGGACGTTGAGTCATACTAGTACGTTTTTCAACTTCACACCACCATGCCCAGTGGGCCAGTGCACCAACACATAGTTCCCTCGACCCAATACTGATAATGAGTACTCCAACTTGAAAGCAATTACAAACTTTGGATGTGCATCTACAACACGGCTGGCCAATGGCACTGTACTTCCTTTGTCTCGATTCAACACACGCCTTTCCTGGCCCTTAGCCGCATGGGAGCGCTGGCAGCCGGCCTCTGACTCGTTTTCGATAATCACTGAAGTGAGAGGATCTTTGTCAGTCAGTATTCGAAGATCCTCGGACTTCCGCTCGTAGTATGTAAATGCTACTGTCTGTATGGATACGCGCCAAACAAAGCAGCTAACCTAATTTCTAACGTTCTTCTATATAGTCTGATCTGAGTTTGTAGCAAGATCCAACCATACTGCAAAAAAACAACAAAAAGATCAAAGCGATCATGTGCACAACACGCACCACATAAGCTACAGGTACCCGTAGTATGGCTCTAACTCCAACTCCAACTCCAATACCAACACCGTGACCTCGAACCACCTTTACGGACACATGTGTCTGTTCCTTCCAGATGTTAGCTCCCACTCATCACCGCAGGATCAGGGTTGTTTTCGCACATGGGCTATGCTTCACCTTGGCCGCCCTTGGATCAGCTAACGGTTCCTATTAGGCCTTCTTTTTTTCCAGGGTTGACCATCGGTTTTGTCCGAAAGAATGTCTGTTTGCAAATTCGTCAATGTTGCCACATCAGTCGGCCGAATTGACGGACATAGAGTCACGATCAGGTGTGTGCATATAAATACCCAAGTTTTGTACTTACTGTGATTGTCAATTCTCCCAGCCCAGGATGGCAGACGAATGTGAACTTTCAACAGTTCATACTACAGAAGGGGTCGCCCTTCAAGAGGATAAGGAGTGCTCAGAGACATTGGAAGTATGTCATGTCTCCAATAATTGGGACCCTCCCTCAAGCCTGCACGAGTTTTCCGAAGGTGGTTGGGCAGGTTGGGCAACTGCTTTTGGAGCGTAAGAAGACTAATACTCTTTTGGATGGGGACCTGGTTCTAACTTGGTCTACTTAGTTTTCTCGTACAGTTTTGCGCATTTGGGTGAGTCTCGTGTAGGCGTTGGCGGGAAATGGCTCTGTGACTGACTCAAGTTAATAGGTATATTACTTCATTTGGTGTCTATCAAGGTATTGCTGCAGACGAAAGCGAGCATGGACCATTTAACATATTGTACTCCAGACTTCTATACCCAACATTACTTGACAAATGAGACGTCGTCTGCTATATCGTGAGTTTCTATATACGTTTTCATGAAGGGTATCCTCAAGATTTGTAGATGGATCGGGAGCACAACCGCGTTTTTACTCATGACTGTGAGCCTCGTGTCAGGTTTACTGCATGACCGAGGGTATTTGTGAGTGTAATTCTATTGGAAGATCTCGACGATACTCAGCAAGCTTCACTAGTTACCATCTCATAATTGCCGGATCGTTCCTGCACAGTTTATCCCTATTCATGTTGTCTATGTCGAAACCCAATCACTACTACCAAGTAACGTCACCTGGCTTTATAATCTTGTTTTTTCTTGACTCAGAAAGATCTTTCTTTCTCAAGGCTTAGGGTTGGGTATTGCGTCGGGGCTTGTGTATATTCCTACCATGGCTGTCATCTCCCATCACTTCCGACGGAGACGTACACTGGTTATGACGTTCGTTGCCACAGGTTCACCGCTGGGTGCTATCATCCATCCGATTATGCTCAATAACCTCCTCAACGGCCCTCTTGGTTTTGCTAATGGCGTCCGTGTAAGCGCAGGGTTGATCAGCTTATTTCTCTTGACTGCATGTCTATGCATGCGAACTCGCCTTGATCCGCCGGCGACACCAGTGAACTATATTGCGGTAGCTAGAAAATGCATTTATGATGTGCCGTTCATGCTCCTGATAGCAGGGTGAGACCTGCTACGTACCTTCTCTCGAATTCCTCTAACTAGCCATCCTGTAGGACCTTTCTTCTCCAGACCGGCTTCTACTATCCGTTATTCTTCTTCCAGCTCGACTCCATCAAGCACGGTATCAGCGTCAAATTTTCGTTTTACTCTGTGAGTCCAGCACTACGCAAGTCATTCATCTACTTACAAAAAATCTAGTTAGTGATTTTAAATGGGTCCAATTGCTTGGGACGATTCACGTCAGGGTTTATTGCGTCATTCACGGGGGTTCTGAATTTAACCATAGTGGCGTCAATCTCGTGTGGTGTGCTCATTTTGGGCATGATTGGGCTGAATAACTTGGCCAGCGTTATTGTGCTTGGCATGCTTTATGGCTATCTTTCAGGGCTGAGTAAGTATTTTTATTCAGCTATCATCGGTATGGATGTTGCAGATGAGTTTATGATTGCATGTAGACGTTGCGATGGCGCCTCCACTCGTAGCTACTCTAACGCCCGACCTGTCTGAGCTTGGGTAAGTGATCATTTATGTTTGAGCGTACGAACCATCTGACCTGAATCATAGCGCACGGATGGGCATCTGTCTCTTTGCTGCTGGTGAATATTATCATTACTATTACTTTCATGTTAGTCAAACTTGTCACGATCACTATAGGATTCGGAGGTTTGATCGGTGAGTCCAATGGTATTGGTTCTTTTTTCGGATTCTGATTCTCTATCCAGGGGCACCTATATCTGGCGCTCTGCTAACATCTAATTATACCTGGTGGATACCGGGTCTGTTCTCCGGGGTGAGTCGACCGTTATTATCATTTGCTCTAGAGTTCACGTCGAGTAAATTAAATCAACCACATGACAGACTGTTTCACTGGCTGCTGCCATGATGTTTATCATCATGCGATATATGTTTCTCAAAAGGCAGCGCGTCCCAGGTAAGTCTTGATCTAATTCATGGCTACTAGATCGAAGACTTATTCCTCTTCTTGTACTTGGCCAACGACACTGGGTGTAATCGGCCCTTTTCACTAGGTACATTACAGGATGCAGTCTTGGAATATATTCTGCGTCGTTTAATTGCCACCAGGATGATAAAAGAACAGACTATGCAACTTCTTTCAATCGGATTCCGATACGCGAGAAGAGGAGGAAACCTGAAGCGATTTGCTGGATGTGGTTTTTTTGTACCTCTGATCGACGGTCTCTTCAATCTAGTATGAATTTTCCCCTATGCTCGCCTCCTGTTTCTCTAGTTTTAGATCCCGGATTAGCACAAACTATTTGAGAAGCTTTTTGCTCGCTGGTACTAGATATCATGCACTAGAGCATCGCAGTCGCCAGAACATAGAGACTGGGATCCGACTGACGGTGAACGCATGATGTCCGATGTTGTCACCATCCACCAGGCCAGTGTAACACAAAGCGGCAAATTTGGAGACGAGAAAAGATCAATTGAACAGTGATCAACCAAGGAGCAGGCCTCATACTGTGAATTTGGGGATAGGCTGGGTGTACGCGATGAGGTCAAATTCATAACCTCAGGTAGTGGTTGTGAAGATGGACTCGTCCTCTTCGACGAGTTCTTGAAGGACGGTGGTTGTGACCTTCCTCTGGAGGCAAAATAAGATCATGAACAGTGTAACTACAGCGAACTTACTGTCCATTCGCGTTCACCATGTGGATCTCTCAGGACAGCCTAAAGCTTCGAATTAGTTACATGTAGCATGAATCGAATCATCGACTGGATATTTGCGCTACTAGTAATCCCATCAGTGGCACAAATATCAAGTCAATACTGATTCTTTATCCTCAGTGAAGGGTACAAAGCAAGGGAGAACGAATGATTTCATCGGATACAAGCGCAGCAGGGATGGAGTACGAGGAATGCAGTGGGTGAGGATGATGCCTCGCTAGACGACCATTAAGAATCCTTGGCATTCAAAAAATAAAATCTCGTACCTAGAACGTGTGCCGCTCCTTTGTCCAATTGTCCTCCAAACTGAGTTTCAAAGTCGGGTAAATCGGATATCCAGTGCAACAAAGTCGGAGAATCGACTGCTTCTATTCGTCAGAAGGTTGTCAGAAGGCACCCTTGATTTCTTGACAAGAAGTCCGCAACCCACCCTAAAACGAATTGCGCGAGGCTGATGGTAGAACAGGTGTCAGTGAAGTCAAATGTACACTCCACCAAGAGATGCAAGATAGGTTGATTTTGGACTTACCATGCGACCTTGCTTGCTTGGCACGTCGAAGGTGATCGGGAATCGGATTAAGGATGGAGCATTTTCAAACATCTCGAGTTTCAAATTCATCGTCTGCGCAGACAACATACGAACAGTAAAGATCTTACTATTTATCTTCAGCAGCATGGATCCGCGGCTCACCAACCAATCGTGTCTGTTGCGAGTGATGTGGAGGCATTCAATATTCAGTTGCTGGTCAATCGAAAGAGTACCGAATGCGGATCAACCAAAGTAGTAGAAAGTGAATGTGGATTACGCACATAACAATCCTTCTCGATTTCCTCTGGCGAGTGCCCATACACCACCCTTCTCGTGGTCGGACTCCTCGAGGCCTCCGCTTGGTAAAATTATGATGAACGACACGCGTCAAGTTGGGGTAAGACACGAGTATCGGTACGGCCGCACTATTCATCTGTTCGATGCCGACCCGACGGATCGCACTCCACTTATTGTCATCTCAAGTTTGCATTTTATTGCTAGTTTCATTATATTCATACCGCCGGAAGTTCTGGCACTCGGATTGATGGCGTTGACGATGATGCATCGATTGCACTGGGCGAGATAGTAGAAAGAGAGCTGTATATAGCTAATGACATAAGACATATCATGCAAAAAAAATATGCCACGAATAAGAAAATCGGTAGAACTCACGAGATGCTACGGAAGACTGGATAGAGTTCCAGCGTCTTTGGCAGTGCCAGGAACTTACAAAAAACCTCCGCTGCGCCCACTACCGAAACGCTCTCCAAGTCCTTTGGCATCCCGAAGCATCTTCTGCCTCTGTTTATCATCCATAAGCCGTCCACCTAGAGACATGTCACGTTCATGATCCCATATGACCGAGGGTTCGCTCTGTTTGTGCGTCTCTTCCTCTTTTTCTCGTTCTATGTGTGACTCAACAAGGGCTGAACCACGAGCCTTGCGCTGGCAAATAACGCGTCAAGTTACATTTCCAATAGATGAACAATCGAAGGATACGTACTGTGTGCTCTTCGACTCCTCTGCGGATCTCCTCATCCCGTCGTCGTCGCTTGGCTGTTTCAGGTGAGTCATCTTCTGGCGGTGCATTTGCTGCACGTCGTTTCCGTCCAGCAACTTCATCAGCAAGGCGTTGTTGTTTTTCCGCGGGTGTCTCAGTCCAAAGGGAGGATCCAGAATTGTCTCGCGATGGTGCAGCGCTACGTGCGAACTGACGAGGCCTGGATTTCGTCGGGTCAAGTGCTATATGACTTTGATAAGTACGCAACTTAGAGAGAGTCGCGTCTTAAATAAAACGTACACGCCAATAAGTCGCCGCTTTTTGGGGGTACAAGCATCCACTCTTCCCGCTGAAGCTTTTTCGGTTTGCTTGCCTCTTCCTGAAGCTTCCTTCTCCTTTCCTCCCTCTCTAAGAACTCTTCCACGCCCGACTTTTCTTCTATGCGCGAAGCGTAAATTGCAGGAAGCGGTTGGGGCCCAACATCTAAATCCGAGTCGTCATCGTAAGGAGCTTGCGAGCCAGGTAATGATGGTCCTACGTATTGGCGTTTTGGAGGCGCTATATTCGATTCGCTCTTTGACGGCAACGAAGGCCCAGCTGCGCGGGAGGCAGCAAGGTCGGGTGGAAGAGCTGGTGTGTAATCGTCGTCTTCATCAGAATCCTCGGCGGATGCGACGGTTGGAAGGAAGTGTGCTGGGATTTGTGGGCCTATGGAAGACATTTGGGAGTAGCGCACCGGGTGATTTCATTTGCAGCTCCCTGCTTATGTAATCGTAAGGCAGAACGTTTTCTGTTTGGAATGAACCCACTGCCCAGGCTGTATGACACTGGCCTCCGATCGTTGCTTTTTATTCGCACAGTTATGTTATTCCACTACAAAAGCAAACTTTCGTGATATCTCGTTGTAGGTTGTTGCAACGAAAGTGAGAAACGAAAGTCTATTATTGGAAGTTGAATAGCTTTCATCTGTAAACTCAAGTCCCAGCTTTGGAAACAACACTCACAGGCTCAGGTTCAGACACAGGTATGTGACAGACACAGGGTCTGTACCTTCGTCTCCTTCACCTCCTCACCACAAGATCAGGGCTCCACTCCCCCGCGCGCCTTTGTACGAAACATCACTTCTAGGCGCTCTACATATACCTGGATTTGTTTTCAATGTCAGGTGAGCATGCCATTGAATTTTTATGAACTTTCTGCTTATTAGCAATCGTAGACATATTACGTGGAATGATAGGAAATCGACCCGCAGGATTTGAGTTTTACGGTGTCATTCGCGAGGTGCTGAGGCCCTGAGTACTTATAAGGTCCGTGACAACGTTTGGTACTCTGCGTTCTATCATGCTGAGGTGCCTTGAAGCAGTCAAATATGTTTGACCGGTCGACCCTTGATTGGCATGTTACTGTATCATGGTGCTGTTGCTAAAGGCAGGCCTGATGAGTCAACTAGTCACGCTTGACCCTGATTGGAATTGTTATATATTCTGCTTACCAGGCACGGCGCCGTGCTCGATACTAGCACCTTCATTCGACTCTCTCTTAAACATGGATTCACAAACCTTCATCCATCTCTCAACCATCCTCCAGTCCCAGAATGTAAGTGACTGATATTCGTTGACATCTTCGTTTCACTCATCTATAATCTTGGCACTGGCAGTATTTTTTCGGTGCTGTCATTTCGACCATAATAATCTCTCATAGCTAACAGGGTTCGCGCTAGCATCACTAGTGGCCTCTTGGGTGCGTGCTCTTGCCGTTCGTCCAGTCGTCATTCATGACATCTCGTCACAGGTCTACGATTGTTTCCTAACCTTGGACCAGGAGGTGATTTCATCTTTGCGAGATATGATAGCATGTCTATCGATAGGCTAATTGTTGTGTATAGGTATCTTTGATTCATTGGCCACGGTGGAGCAAAGGAAGTATTCTTTATATCATGGCGAGATACATGCCAGCCTTGATGCTCTCTGTGCACTTATGCAGTGAGTCCAAATCGCATGCTCTATCATCAACTTGCAGCTAATAAGGATACTGAAGTGAACTATCTCCCGAATGAAAAAATTGTGGTGAGCATCAGTCGGAAACAATGTCACGTGCCATCCTGAGGATTCGCCGATGTAGACTTGTAAAATTCTACAGTCAATGTGGTATTGTAAGTATTGTAACAATAGTTTGCCAGTCCCGCCTCAAGTTTGTCCCTCAGGTGCTGCTGCATTGTGCGTGGCTGGTGCAGAAGGTATTCCAATGTTTATAGTGCATTCACGCAGAATACTCATAGGATCTCCAGGTATCTTCATGCTTCGTACCTATGCATTGTGGGGACAAAATAAATCCATTCTGGGCCTTATGTTGTCGACGGTACTGATGCGCATACAGTTGCGTTCCCGCATTCTGTACTCTGACGTACCTCACTTCAGTGCCTGGGGATCTTGAACATGGTAATAACACTGAAGGTTTGGAAGCAGTCGAGACGTGAGTGTCTTGAAGAAGAGCCACATGTAAATCGCTCAGTGTAGACGACAGTCCACCTATCAGACACAGGTGGCGGTTGTTACTCATTATCCTACAACACGAAGGCTGCATATAATTGGTCACTTCTAGCAGCATTAGAGCTTGGTGAGATCACGAAGCCATAAATGTAGTCGAGTGCTCACTTTTTTGCCTTAGAGATCATGGTACTCACCATGATTCGTGTATATTGGGCATACCGCGAAAGAAGGTGTCTGCTGCTCGATATCCTTTTACAACACAACATATTTTACTTTGGAGCTGGGCTAAGTAAGTAGTACCTTCATGACTGTCAACGGAATTAATTTTTCAATCCTAGTACTATCGGTGCTCAACGTTTTAACCATTCAATGGCTACCGGTGTGTAGAAACCCGAATCCAACTCGATGTCGGCTGGGGGTCCTGATACTTTTTTTACGCAGTTCAACTCCTCAAATATGTTTGCAACATTTCAAATCGTCATGCATACGATCCTCGTTACTCGGATGCACCTACAGCTTTGCAATACCGTTCGCGACTCCCCTGATCCCGGAACCACATCACATTCTCAATTGACAAATATTGAACTTCAGACGCGTTCGCATTTGAATGCATGATGATTCGATGGAACTTGTGCATTTCATTTTCATTCAGACTTTTTTTCTGTTGTGTTGCGACGAATCCAAGCTGTTGTTGGGCCATCAGGAAAAAGTGACGGATACAGGGTAGTATATAGTGCTTGCTAGGCTAACGAGTAAGAGGTGCATAACATTGCTGGAGTTTACGAACGAGGTTTCTCAGTCGAAAATTACCAGACGTCTCAGAATACGCTTATCGCTTCCGTCAGATTTGCATATTAGGAGCACCATCACTGAAATTCCCCAACTCGGATAAGGGCTGATAATGACTGACCAGGATGCACAAGGTCGCAAAAGGTGCACCAGGCGTATCAGTGTGCGGAAGGCGGGGGAAACAACTTATAAGATCTGGTTGAGAAACTCAATTGAAGATAAGATGGCGGAAGTTGGGTAAGTAACTCGTACCTTAGCGCAGATTTTGAGCTTAGAAGCATTGATATGCCAATACTACTTATATGTTCTGATCTGGTGATGAATTCTGATAAGACCATTTCATTTCGGTATTGCATTACATGGTATGAGCAGACAGTAAAAGTACATCTAAGAGCGGAACATGCACCAAAGCTTCTGAAGGAGACTCGGTATGACAACGACAACAAGAGGATGATTAGACAGCAGCTTGAATGCGAACTGCGAATGAGAAGTGGGATGACGACAAGAGTGAAACATGCAACGAGTGGACAGCAGCTTGAATGTTGCAAATGAGACAGACAGACAGACAGACGAGAAAGACACATCCTGAGTGAGAAAAATCAGTGTCGACAATGAGACGAACCATACACCAGCACCCGCATCTACCCCTTCTGAATAAGGCTTGCTATCTGCATGGGTTGCGGAGTTATGACTCGAACACGCTCTCATAGTCTACACATCGCCAATGACAACCTCCAGGGTGCCAGTTGCTGTTATCGATGCCAGGACTGGATGCTTCCAGTTTCGCTAACCTCTCGGTAACACAAAATCTCATCTGGACTTCCAGTGCAAATGAACTGATGTTTGGCTTTACCAGAGGGCCCATCTTCGAATCGCTGCTCACGTCAGTCATAAAGTACACTGACACCAGGAGACCTCACCTTCGAATGTACCCAACGACTACCTTTCCTGTACTTGACTACCGCTCGTGGAGACGCAGCCATGGCTTCCACATTGACAAAGGCAGCTGCCACGAAATCGATTCTGAAACCGGTAACGACTTTGAAGGGTCATGGAGAGTTGATTCAATTCATATCCTACTTTCCTGATGGCCAGCGAATGGTCAGCAGATCTGATGATAAGACCACTTGGCAATGGGATCTGAAGACGCGCACTCAGCCTTCCAGCGCTAACCACAAGAACAATTACTGCACATGACATGATGTAAGACCAGCAGAGGCGGCCACCAGGTGCGGCTGGGTTGGTATGTAAATGATACCCGGTATTGTGCATTGTAAGTTCCTACACAAATGATCAGCTATAGTTATAACTTATAAATGTGAAAAATTGTACCTATTGCACAAGATGTCGGACGCAGACACGTCGAGATAGGCATAGGCATGCACAAGCACACAGAAATGAGCAAAGATGCTTGTCAGCAATGTACGTACATGGATAAACGAAAACTTAGACGCACCTAGATTGCGCTAGTCTAGGATGGTTAACACCCATGTTTCGGAAGCTCGTTGGCTCCCTCTTCAGGTACTGTGAGCTGCGCAGAGTTCTGCATCAAATAGTTCGTTAGATTACGTGCCAAGGGAGAATTCACTTGGGAGGGTTTGGGTTGTCTAGCACGTCGAGTGACAAGATCTTTGGCCTTGCTGTGAAGTGGGGTGAGGGATCCTGGGCGGGATTGACCAGACGGCAGCTGGAGATCAGACAACTGCAGAGATATCAGATGCGAAGGAATGTAACCTGGTGAGCTTCTTACCTGGTCAATCATCACTCACCCAAGCTCAGGGAGGTCAGGTGTCAAAAGACTGTGAGATCAAATAAAGTCAATATATGCGCTATATTTTGGCATGTAATCTGAGAACTCACGATTGTGGATGCTTAGACTACTTGATTTTGCTCTTCCAACTTCGTTATGTGATGGCTTACCCCTCCAAAGTTCCATGTTCTGACTTTCAAGGGCACTAGTGATGACTCCGGTGATGTATATGTAGGGTGCTCACACTTTCCAAGTAAAGTCCCATATGACGAGAAATAATCAGAATAGGGATCAGACGAGTTTGAGTGCGACAGGCCAACATGGTGGTGGTAGGGCTAAGGGTTAAGACGTGACTGCCGACGAGATAATGTTATCAATATTTGGTGTTATTGACGTGATGTTTGGTTCACGTATCAATAACGCACGTGATCATCAAATTCACCGCATTACTCTCGCAAAATTGGTTGTATTCCTGTCAATTGTGCTATAATCTAATGATACAAATCCCTCGACTCACGATCAGAAAATGCGATATGCGACCAGAAAACATGATAACAATGCGAAACACGACAGGATCAACACGACGGCAGCAAATACAACGCAGCAACGAGGCTGGCAAGCAAGAGCAAACTGCAAGGCAATGAGGCAGGCAAGAGCAGGCAAGCGAGAGCAGATGACCATGAGGCAGGCAAGAGCAGGCAAGCAATAGGGACGACTAATACATTGAACCGTCGGCGATGTCGCTAGAGGGGATGTACCTTCGACTGTGGCAAAAGGGCCCATAGACTCATCTACTTAGTAAACATGAGTATATGCATTGAAAAATACCTTTTATACTACCTGAATCCACGAAACCCTCAGACTCGTGGAATCAGTGGAGGAAGGCGGCGGCGGCGGCAGGACAAGTTGTTGGGAAGAGAGTGGTAAGAAGAAAGGGGGGAAATGGAGTTGCCTGGAATTCCCAAAACATTCTAACTTTTGGTGTCAGTAGTAAAACTTGCCCAAACACAAGACTTCGTGATATTTACAGAATGTTGCGCGAGAAGCAGAGCCCAGCTGCAGAGTAAGCTGTGTGACACCGAACGACACCGAACGACGCGTAAATGTAACACTGTTGCATTGACGAAAACACGATCGACGATGCGAGTAACGCGATGCAAATCGACGACAATGTAATGATTTTGTCGTGTGACACATTGGTCAGTTGATATGGTAATAACATATCAGGGGACATCTGAACTTACCAGGGGCACGTCAGACTGATGGCAGCCTTACACGTTTAGGAGGGTGTTGAGGTATGTCTGAGGGAGTGTTGTTGAACCTGCCATCAATCGTCATCGCGTCATCAGTCCGTAAAAGTTTGTGGCGCGGGAAAGTGTCCGCATAAGGTAATTTCAGACTTGAGGAATTTTGGTGATGACGGGCCTCCGAGTCGTATTGCTGAAGTGCAAGGATCTTTGAATGACAACACTGTTCAAAAATCTTCGTACTTCTGCACATATCTAAGCTTTATTGTTTACAGATAGTCTGATCGGAATCTGTCAACCTTCACTAGCACTCATTACCATAGGCATCAGGGTTTCGACAATCGGGTCGGCCCGGAAAGCTTGTTTGCAAACTCTCGTCTTACACCCTGCCGCACGGTCGACAGCCTTTGAGAGCCAACAAATTGTCGAATCGCCACCGTCGTATTGCCATGTCCAATTTTCAGTGTGTGGAGGGGGGAGCAGAACTGACAAAACTCCAGGCTATGTAAACTATGTGGGCGACATTCCTTATCATAACATTGTCCCATCTATCATCCTCACTATTGTAATTGACCATCTCAACATCCTCCAAAATACGTGGTATCATTCTTTGTTCGGCCCGACCCAACTTGTCAAAATCAAAAGCATTTCCTTCGGGCACTTCAACTTCATCAATGCCTTCTTCAGACCTTTTCAACTCTTCAAAAACTGCGAGAAGGTCATCTGCATCACGGGGCTCGGTCGAGAGCAGAGGCGTCTACACGAAGTATGCTTCAAGATCCTGTGCAATCTTGGCATCGATATTTGCCAAACTCTTCACGAATGTACATGTAAGCACGTTGATGTTGGCATGGCGCGCGGACTTATCAGCCTCCGCCGCTTTTGCGGCGCTGTGTTATCGAAGGTTTGCACAACTTTCGTCGAGAAGTGAGATTACATTCAAAACTAATTGTGTTATCAGATCTGAATTACGTGTCCCCTGGAGTTCTGCCGCGCTCCCATTAGTTCTACCGTGAACCAGGCAGGCACAACCAGTTGCGCCAGACTTGTTGGCAGAACTTAAATTCTGCCAACGACACTATCAATTTGTTGATTTCCTTTTTCTGCAGAAAAGGAAGACTCTCGAGTCTGCCTTGGAATCACTGGACTTCCTTGCGCCCTCTCGGAGTGTGCTGTTGTTTGGCAACATTCATATGAACACGTCGATGCGCTACACGAGGTTGGTGAACCTTCCTGTATCTTTGTTTCAAGACTCCACTCGGCCCGGAACAAGTCTGTTTGCAAATTCTAATTGTGCAGGCCCTGCCAAAGTCGATATGTTGACGTTTCAACTATCAGTCATCTGACTGGACGATTATAGGATCGCGTACCTACAAATACCCAAGTACTGTACTTCTTGCAATTGTCAGTTCTCCTAGCCCATATGGCAACCGAATCTGAGCCTCGAACGGTTTATGCAGAAGAGACTCGCCTCCAAGAAGACAAAGGACATCCAGAGGTCTTCGAAGAATGTCAAGCCACCAAGGATTGGGACCACCCCTCAAACCCGCCTGAGTTTCTCGAAGGTGGTTGGGCAGGTTGGGCAACTGCTGTTGGAGCGTAAGAAGACTCATACTCTTTTTGGACGCGGGGCCTGGTTCTAACTTGATCTACTTAGCTTTCTTGTGCAGTTTTGTGGCATTGGGTGAGTCCGGTGCTAGTAGGGAATGGTTCTGGCTGACTCAAGTCGACAGGTATACTGCTTCGTTTGGTGTCTATCAAGGTATTGCTCCAGACAAAAGCGAGCATGAAACATTCAACATATTGCTCTCCAGACTTCTATACTCAACATTACCTGACAAACGAGACGTCGTCTGCTATATCGTAAGTCTCTACCTGTGTTTCCATAGCGGGTATCCTCAAGACTTGTAGATGGATTGGGAGCACAACCGCTTTTTTAGACTTGACCGTGGGCCTCGTGGCAGGTTTGCTACACGACCGAGGATATTTGTGAGTTTATATTTGTCGGAGGTTCTTGATGATATTCAGCAAGCTTAACTAGCTACCATCTCATGATTGCCGGTTCGCTTCTGGAGGTTTTCTCTCTATTCATGCTATCTCTGTCGAAACCCGATCAGTACTACCAGGTAACTTCCCCCAATTTTAAAATCTCATTTTCTGACTCAGTTTTAGATTTTTCCTTCCAAGGCTTAGGCTTGGGTATCGCAGTTGGGCTCACGTATGTCCCTAGCGTCGCTGTCATCTCGCATCATTTCCAACAGAGGCGCACACTGGTCATGACGTTCATCGCCATAGGGGCATCGCTAGGTGCTATCATCCATCCGATTATACTCAATAACCTCCTCAACGGCCCTCTGGGTTTCGCTAATGGCGTCCGTGTAAGCGCAGGGTTGATCAGCTTGTTTCTCTTAACTGCATGTCTATGCATGCGAACTCGCCATAATCCGCCGGCGACACCGGTGAACTCTATCGTGGGGGCTAGAAAATGTATTCGCGATGTACCATTTATGCTCATGGTAACAGGGTGAGACTTGCAACGTACTACCTTCTCTCGAATTCCTCCAAATAACCATCCCACAGGAGCTTTCTTTTCCAGATCGTCTTCTACTACCCATTATTCTTCTTTCAACTCGACTCTATCAAGCACAGTATCAGCATTGACTTTTCATTTTACTCTGTGAGTTCTAGTATCACGCAAGTCATCCGCGGCGTCTGCTGACAGGATCTCTAGTTAGTAATTTTAAATGGGGCCAATTGCTTAGGGCGATTCACGTCAGGATTTATTGCGTCATTCACAGGGGGTCCCGAACTTAATGATATTTGCGACATTCTCATGCGGTGTGCTCATTTTTGGCATGATTGGGTTGAGTAGCTTGGCCAGCGTCGTTGTGCTTGGGATGGTGTATGGCTATATTTCAGGGCTGAGTATGTAATTTTTCCAACATGGTGTCTAAGTTTCAGATGGGTTCATTATTTCATGTAGGCAATGCGATGGGGGCTCCACTTATGGCTCTTTTGACGCCTGACCTCTCTGAGCTTGGGTGAGTGACCGTTTGAAATGGAAGGTTCGAATTAATCTGGATTATAGCGCGCGGATGGGAATCTGTTTCTTTGCTCTGGGTGGGTATTATGATTATTTCGACGGTTCTAAATTGTCACTGATCGCCTGTGCAGGATTCGCAAGTTTGATAGGTAGGTTTAGTGGTGTCGTTTCTTGCTTCAAATTCTAACACTGTATCCAGGAACACCCATATGCGGCGCTCTGCTCACATCCAGTTATACCTGGTGGGTACCGGCTCTGTTCTCTGGGGTGAGTCGCTACTGTATTCTCCAAAATTCACGTCGATTCTCACTGCCCAACAGATCGTTTCACTGGCCGGTAGCATGATGTTCATCTTCATGCGATATACGTTTCTCAGAAAGCAGCGCGTTCAAATTGACGTATGATCATTGGACGGCCAGGCTGTGAGTTGAGTCGTGAGTGAAGCTGTTATGATGTTTACTAGTCTGCTGGACTTGGACGAATCGGAAGCTCCAGGAGAGCGCAATGTATCAACAATGATCGTAAACGACTGGCGAAAAGCCCTTTAAGAATGTAACAAATTCATGCCTGGATACTCGTCTTGTTTGCTTTTCTGACTCGCATCATACAATTAATGACCAGTGCAGCATCTTGGATCCGACAAAAAGTCGCGAGTGCATGGTATTTGATATAGATATCCCAGCGATAACAGATTCATCTTGAACGTGCGCAGTTAGATACTGGGTAGTCGTTTGAACGTTTTAAGTGGGGGTCCATGAAGGTTACCACCTGGGAGGTATATGCATGAGCGCAAGATTAACAACAAAGGATAAAACAAAGAACGAAATAAATAAAACAGACCTTCCGCTCAACAGCCTCCACATCCCTCGTCACCTGAGTCATCTCCACTGGATCTAGAAATGTCTTATTCCACATAGACATTCGTAATAGCCGTACACTTGATATCTAACCAAACAGCATCCACCGGAAAACCCTCGTCGTCGAACCTATGCGCGTCGTCTGAACTGACGTAGTTCTAGCGGCACCCGAGCCGCTTCTATAATGACAGACGCGGGCATATATAACAGGAACGGATGTGGAATGATAGTTTTTGGGAATGTGCTGATCGCAGTGACATCATCAGAAGATTCAGAACACCAATATTAAAGGCCTGTATGCATGAACCACTCGAGAGGAAAATTACTAGGACTTTACTTACATAAGAAATAGCCGCAGGAACATGGGGACCGGGAGTCCGGAGGTAATCGGATCAATCCGTGTGTGATTTTTGTTTGGCAAAGCCCTTCGAGGATCGTATGTAACTTGTAAGGGCACTAGCCAACTCGCCGGGTAATCTTTGTGTCCATAAACTTGTCTCTGTTCAACTCAATGATTTCAACTTTCCTATGTCTTATGCTGACTCTTGCTCACGTTCTCTCGTGTCCCACCCGTCTCTGTGACCAGCCTAGTCCCGCTTTCCCGGTGCGTCACAGTAAGTGTTGACCACAGCTTTCGAGTACAATGTTTTATGGCAGCATGCCTATGGCGGGTGTAACGGTGAGCACAATGAGATGGATATGCAAGTTGTTCACTTACCTTTTACACCTGCATTGGGTTGTACGTGTCTAGAAGCATGTACTTCATATGTACCACCACGCACAAGCCGTGCATCAACTTGGTTCCTTGGCCTGGCGACAGTCACTTCAGCCTGACAGCAGGTTATTTTCCCATCCACGACCGACCTCCCCCGCCTCGGCTCAAAATACGTTTCTCCTGGCCAAATGATGCGACCATGGAGAAGATCTATGATATTCTCGGAATCTGCGCTTCTGTATGTCTTCGTCGTATCATGGTGTATACATGCTTGCTGCCTCCATCAGAGCTGCACAGGAGCACGGCCCCCGAGTCCTATTCGATAATTGTTGAAACGTTGAAGTGCAAGGATTTTCGAACGTCACTTTAAATATCTTTGGCACAAATTTTTCTCAGTGTTTTAAATGTGTCAATTGAGGGATTACACCATCGCGCGGATTGTGTTGTGCCGAGATCAGAGAATGTGTGCTCTATGCCCTATAATCGAGAGCATCGTCACGGCAAAGACCTTGAGTAGGTGATTTTTAGAATTGATTGGAACAGTGATGCGAGCGGGCGTTCTCCAGCATACCATATCATCTGACGTGAGTTTATTTTCATGTTCTATGGAATTCAAAATCAAATGTGTTATCAGATTTACAAAACATCTCCGCAAGTCATGAATACGCTGGAGTTCTGCCAGACCGGTATCTTCAAGCTTCAAGACTCACCTGTTCTTGAGCTCAGCCTTTCACGTACCATACTATGCTTCCGCAGAGATAATCAACGTATGTAACACGTCACCCTCCTTTGCATAGGGAGTTCAAGCTGCCTACGAAAAACTGACAGCAACGCACAGATTGGTATTTCGAAATCTGGGCTTACGCAACAGTTACCAAACGAGCTCAAAGTTTGCGCGAGTTCTGCCGTAGACGAAGCACGACTTGAACAGTTTTTCCAGACCGGTTTCCGGGTTCTGCCAACAACACTATTCTTGTTTCAAGAATCGACTAGGCCCGAAGAAATGTCTGTTTGCAAATTCTAATCATATAAACCCTGTAAAAGTCAATATCTTGACGTTGCCGCCGCGTCAGTTGTCCGACTTGACGGACATATGGTCATGTCCATACAAATACCCAAGATACTGTACTTACAGTCATCGTCAGTTCTCCCAGCCCTAGATGGCAGCCGAATCTGAGCCTCGAACAGTTCATACGGAAGAGACAAGCCTCCAAGAGGAAAAGGGGTGCCCAGAAACATCGGAGATATGTCAAGTCACCAAGGATTGCCCCTCAAACCCCCACGAGTTTGTCGAAGGGGGTTTGACAGGTTGGGCCACTGCTTTTGGAGCGTAAGAAGACTCATACTCTTTTGGACGCAAGGCTTGGTTCTAACTTGACCTACTTAGCTTTCTTGTGCAGTTTTGCGGGGTGGGGTGAGTTTGGTGCTGGTAGGGAATGGTTCTGTAGCTAACTCGAGTTGACAGGTATACTGCTTCATTCGGCGTCTATCAAGGTATTGTTGCAGACTAAAGCGAACATGGGACATTTAACACATTGCCCTCCAGACTTTTATACCCAACACTACCTGATAAACGAGACGTCGTCTGCTATATCGTGAGTTTCTACTTGTATTTTCATAGTGGAAATCTTCAAGACTTGTAGATGGATCGGGAGCACGAGCGCTTTTTTACTCCTGTCCGTTGGCCTCATGTCAGGTTCGCTGCACGACCGAGGATATTTGTGAGTATAAATTTGTTGGAAGTTCTCCATGACACCCAGCAAGCTTCACTAGTTACCATCTCATGATTACCGGATCACTTCTGCAGAGTTTATCTCTGTTCTTGTTGTCTCTTTCAAAACCCAATCAATACTACCAGGTAACTTCCCCCAATTTTAAAATCTCATTTTTTGACGCACTTCTAGATATTCTTCTCGCAAGGCTTAGGCTTGGGTATCTCATTTGGGCTCACATGCATCCCTAGCATGGCTGTCATTCCGCATCACTTCCGACGGAGGCGCACACTGGTTATGACATTTATAGCTATAGGCGCATCGCTAGGCGCCATCATCCATCCGATCATGCTAAATAACCTCCTCAACGGTCCTCTGGGATTCGCCAATGGCGTCCGTGTAAGCGCAGGGTTGATCAGCTTTTTTCTCTTAACTGCATGTCTATGCATGCGAACTCGCCTTGATCCGCCGGCGACACCAGTGAATTATATCGTGGCGTCTAGAAAATGTGTTCGCGATGTACCATTTGTGCTCATGATGACAGCGTAAGACCTGCTACGCACCTTCTCTCGAATTCCTCCAAATAACCATTCCGCAGGGGCTTTCTTTTCCAGATCGGCTTCTACTACCCATTGTTCTTCTTTCAACTCGACTCCATCAAGCACGGTATCAGCGTTGATTTTTCGTTTTACTCGGTGGGTTTTAGCACTACGCAAGTCATTCGCCTTTTGACAGAATTTCTAGTTAGTGATCTTAAATGGGTCCAATTGCTTAGGGCGATTTACATCGGGGTTCATTGCGTCATTCACGGGAGTCCCGGAGTTGATGATAATGTCCTCGTTCTCGTGCGGCGTGCTCATTTTTGGCATGATTGGGTTGAGTAGCTTGGCCAGCGTCGTTGTGCTAGGCGTGGTGTATGGCTATGTTGCTGGGGTGTGTAAGTACTTTTTCCCATACGGTGCCCAAGTTTCAAGTGAGTTCATCGTTTCACGTAGGCAATGCATTAGGAACTCCACTTATAGCTCTTTTGACGCCTGACCTCTCTGAGCTTGGGTGAGTGACCATTTGAAGTGGGAGGTACGAACTAATCTGGATCATAGTGCGCGCATGGGCATCTGTTTATTCGCTCTTGGTGGGTATTACGATTACTTCAATGGTGTTCTAACTTGTTACGCGATCGCCTGTGCAGGAGTCGCAAGTTTGATAGGTGGGTTCAGTGATGTCGTTTCTTGCTTCATACTCTAACCCATTATCCAGGAACACCCATATGCGGTGCTCTGCTAACAACTAATTATATCTGGTGGATACCGTCTGTGTTCTCTGGGGTGAGTCGCTACTATTTTCTGCGGAATTCACGTTGACTCTCAACTGCATAACAGATCGGTTCACTTGCTGGTACCATGTTGTTCACCATCATGCGATACAAGTTTCTGAGAAAGCAGCGCGTTCAAATGGACGTGTTACCATTAGACAATCAGGCTGTTGAAGTTGAGCCATGAGTGAAGTTGTTATTACATCTGTGCTACCTGCGTTATTGTTGTTCCAATCCTTAAATGTTTCGATAAGTATATGGATACTGGTGCGTCTTGGTCCTAAAAACCGGAAGGCTAGGTCGTCCAAGCTTTCGACTTGACATTAAACAGTGCCGCTGAGCCCTGCTGACGATAGAATACCCTTTGTATCGCCTGTTAAGGGAAAAAATATCGTCCTTTGGGGTCGAAGACCCTGTGTACCCGCCTAACCTATCGTGTGTGTACCATGCATATGTATTTGATGAGCCATCCGTCTACTTAACGTCTAAGTGCGAGGTACGTCGGCTTCAGGTGCTACTTATTGCGTTCATACGTCATGCTGTGTTGTACTGTCCTTGAGGGAGGGATGTTCCTGCAACCAAGTATCACCATTTGTATGTGTGTACGTGGGGGGAAGGTGAAAAGTAGCATGTACGCACTTGCGAAGAAATGAACCCTCTGTGACAGAACTCTGTAAAGTATAAAACTCATCAACCCATAGGATACAGGTTTTAAGTGGGGGTCCACGATGGTTACCACCTGGAAGGTGTGTACATAAGCGCGAGATTCGTAACAAAGGATAAAAGAAAGGAATAACGAAACAACACAAGACTGACCTTCTACTCAACAGCCTCTACATCCCTCGTTCTCCACCAGATCCGAGAACGTCTCCTTATTCTACATAAAACACTTGTGACCCTCCGCATACTCGATCCAACCAAAAGATACCCACTGGAAAACCCTCGTCGAACTTATTCTGCACACTGCACGCGTCGTCTGAACTGACGTAGTTCTAGCGGCACTGGTGATTCCAGTGGGCTGGGAGGGGTGAGCGTATTGCGTGAAGATGTCGGTGGGTGCTGGGCATGGAGTAGGAATACGTCCAGGATCCCATCTAGTGCGTTTCTACGTCGTCAATTTCTACATGAGCAATAGAAATCCATGTTTCCGACGCAAGAGCATTGGAAATGGCCACTGTCGACGTAGCAGAATGAACGTGCATGAGCAGGATCGAGCCGTAGAGAGAAGTCGGCAAATCTGAGAGGTGTTCAAAGACGTCCGCGTTGTAGATACGGAAGGGGTCTGTGTACCTTGGTGGGACCTGTTGTAATTGGGAGGGAGAGGTTCATGGTATGTTCTTGGATTCTGTATATGTAGTCGTGGCGGGGAGGGTTATGTCGAGGGAGAGAAATTCAGGTCCTGTGGGCATTTGGTGTCGTAGTCTTAGAATTGATATTGGGCGTGGGACATACCTTTGGGTTTTGTGTCTGTCCATGGGGAGAAAGTTTCGTCCCAGAAGACGTCTTGCGTGTTGCCTTCGAACCATGCTGCAGGGTTGACTTTGAGAACGGATTGTCCTGCGCCTTCGATGTTCGGCTAGTTCAGAATCCTCCTTGGTTTTGAAATACTCCATGAGCTCTATGTCCTTTTTCGGTCCATAGACAGCCTCGGCTTTTCCCCGTCAATCGTCCAGACTCCAGAAAACATCATCGCTCACCAAAGGTTCTCGGCTAAGCACCCACTAAACAACTTCATTATATCACTTCCCCACTCCATCCTATTCGTCCATTGGCACGCGCACAATGCCCTCCTCGTGTGTATTTACATCAAGCACGAATTTGAGGTTGGGATAGATAGTAGACGAGCGAGCGCTTGTGGTAAACCCTAGTTGACGAGGGCCAAGGTCTGGGGGTTTGATTGAGCATGGGGAGCGTGCTGCGAGGGTACGTTCTCTGCGACAAAAATGACAAACTGACAACTTTGCATGTAGCATCCAGTCATGGCCACGCGCAACCTATTGCCAAGGACTTTGATATGATCTTGAAGACCGTAACCTACGCGATATGTAAACCCAATCTCGACTTCAATTTGTATTTTCCACTGGTTTGTTGCCTCGGAGCCAAGGGTGATCACTCCTAAGGTACACTGACGTACAACACTGATCTGCCTACACCTCATACGGTACTGAAATCCAGTGCTTAGTAGTATGAACTTTGAAGAACTTGGCCCTGGCAGGATAGACAGATCATAGACGAATGGAAATACGTGGACTATCGTTCTCTTTTCGGAATAGATCGACACTACAAGCGCTCGGCCGGTGACCTTCGGTTGTTGCTTTTTATTCAGTTATGTTATTCCACTACAACAGCAAACTTTCGTGATCTGTCTTGACTCTCGTTATAGGTTGTCGCAACGAAAGTGAGAAATGAAAGTCCGCTATTGAAATTTGAATAGCATAAACTGAAGGAGTCCTAGCTTAGGAAACAACGCTCCCAGGCTCAGGTTCAGACCAGACGTGACAGGGTCTGTACCTTAAGTCGTTCCTCACCACAAGATCACGACTCCACTCCCCCGCCTTCGCATTCATACTAATCCAACGCTCCCTCCTCCCGTCCAGAAGTCATCTTAACATCATTTCTAGGTGCTCTGCATATGCCTGGATTTTTTTCAGTGTCAGGTGAGCATGCCGTTGAATTGTTATGAACTTTTTGCTTATTAGCAGCAATCGTAGACACATTACGTGGAATGATAGGAAATCGACCCGCAGGATTTGAGATGCTATGGTATCATTACGCGTGGTGCTGAGGACCCTGGGTATCTATAAGGTCCGTGGCACGTTTGATACTCTGCGTTCTATTGCTGAGGTGCCTTGAAGCAGTCAAAAATCTTTGACCGGTCGACCCTTCACCGGGGAAAAAAGAAATTATATAGTACGAGGTGAGATACACTTGACCCTGATCGGAATTGTTATATATTCTGGCTACCAGGCGCGGCGCCGTGCTCGATGGCATACTAGTGCCTCCATCAAACTCTCTCTTAAACATGGATTCACAAACCTTCATTCATCTCTCAACCACCCTCCGGTACCAGAATGTAAGTGACTGATATTCGTCGACATCTCGTTTCACTCATCTATAATCTTGCCACTGACAGTATTGTCTCGGTGCTATCATTTCGACCATAATAATATCTCATAGCTAACAGGGCTCGTGCTAGCATCACTAGTGGCTTCTTGGGTGCGCGCTCTTGCCGTTCGTCCAGTCGTCATTCATAAACATCTCGTCACAGGTCTACGATTGTTTCCTAACCTTGGACCAGGAGGTAATTTCATCTTTGCGAGATATGATAGCATGTCGATCGACAGGCTAATTGTTGTGCATAGGTATCTTTGATTCATCGGCCACGGTGGAGCAAAGGAAGTATTCTTTATATCTTGACGAGATACATGCCAGCCTTGATGCTCTCTGCGCGATTATGCAGTGAGTCCAGATCGCATGCTCCATCGTCAACTTGCAGCTAATCAGGATGCTGAAGTGAACTATCTTCCGAATGAAAAATTTGTGGTGAGCATCAGTCGGAAACAATGTCACCTGCCATCCTGAGGATTTGCCGATGTAGACTTGTAACGTTCTACAGTCAATATGGTATTGTAAGTATTGTAACAATAGTTTGCCAGTCCTGCTTCAAGTTCGTCCCTCAGATGCTGCTGCGTTGTGCGTGACCGGTGCAGAAGGTATTACGATGTTTATAGTGTATTCACGCAGAATACTCACAGGATCTCCAGGTATCTTCATGCTTCGTACCTATGCATTATGGGGACATAAGAGATCCATTCTGGGCCTTATGTTGTCAACGGTACTGGTGCGCATACAGTTGCGTTCCCACATTCTGTACTCTGACATACCTCACTTCAGTGCCTGACGATCTTGAACGTGGTAATAACACTGAAGGTTTGGAACCAGTCGAGACGTGAGTGTCTTGAAGAAGAACCACATGTAAGTCGCTCAGTGTAAACAACAGTCCACCTATCAGACATAGGTGGCGGTTGTTACTCATTATCCCACAATACGAAGGCTGCATATAATTGGTCACTTCTAGCAGCATTAGAGCTTGGTGAGAACACGAAGCCATAAATGTAGTCGAGTCCTGACTCTTTTGCCACAGAGGTCATGGTACTCACCATGATTCGTGTATATTGGGCATACCGCGAACGAAGGTGTCTGCTGCTCGATATCCTTGTACAACACAACATTTTTTACTTCGGAACTGGGCTAAGCAAGTGAAACCTTTATGACTGTCAAAACGGAATTAATTTTTCAATCCTAGCACTATCGGTGCTCAATATTTTAACCATTCAATGGCTACCGGTGTGTAGAAACCCAGATCCAACTCGATGTCGGCTGGGGTCCTGATACTTTTCTTACGCAGTTGAACTCCTCAAATATGTTTGCAACATTTCAAATTGTCATGCATACGGTCCTCGTCACTCGGATGCACCTACAGTTCTACAACACCGTTTACGACTCCCCTGAGCCAGGAACTACATCACACTCTCAATTGACAAATATTGAACTCCAGACGCGTTCGCATTCGAATGCATGATCATTCAAATTTTATCTTCATTCAGATTTTTTTCTATTGTGTTGCAACGAATCCAAGCTGTTGTTGGGCCATCAGGAAAAGTGACAGATACAGGGTAGCATATAGTGCTTGCTAGGCAGACAAGTAAGAGGTGCATAACATTGCTGGAGTTTATGAACGAGATTTCTCAGTCGAAAATTATCAGACGTCTCAGAATTGAGGCGCAACTCAAACTACCTAAATACCGAAAGAGTTGACCACGATGTTAGAGAAAAAGGATAATTTCAAATCAAACAAGCAAGTAAGGAGCAACTCGTCCGACCCGCTGACATACTTATATTTTTTGCCTCTCACTATGTACTATCATACAGCACCAATACAGTGTGTTGCATATGAGATTGCAGTACCTGTTTTTGAAAACTGGGCCTCGCTACCTTTACCGGCATCTTTACACCCACCGTGAGTCACTCACACGCGTATTACAAGATGTCACATCCCTTCACCTAATTAGGGTGTAAAGGTGCCTTTGAAAAACACGGTACTACTGCAATCTCATATGCAACATACTGTAAAGGAGGCTATGCATGAACCACTAGGACTTTACTTACATAAGAAATAGCCGCAGGGACATGGGGTCCGGGAGTCCGGAGGTAGTCGGATCAATCCGTATGTAATTTTTGTTTCTCCTCCATCGCTAATGCAGTGAGTGTCGGGGATCGTACTATGTAGTAGTGCCAAAGGGCACCAGCCAACTCGGGTAATCTTTGCGTCCTCGGATGCCCCACAAACTTGTCTCTGTTCAACTCAATGGTTTCCTGACTCGTTGGGTGTGTGGACCGAGCAGCTTTCATCGGCAAACTGAAGTCCCGGCTTTGGAAACAACACTCACAGGCTCAGGCTCAGACACAGGGTCTATACCTCCGTCTCCTTCACCTCCTCACCACAAGATCAGGGCTCCACTCCCCCGCGCGCCTTCGCATTCATAATCCAACGCTCCCTCCCCCCGTCCAGAAGTCATGTTTTATTCTACTTGTAAGCATTATTTCTAGGTGGTTTGCATACGCCTGGACTTTTTTTCAATGTGAGGGGAGCATGCCGTTGAATTGTTATGAACTTTCTGCTCATTAGCAATCATAGATATATTACGTGGAATGATAGGAAATCAACCCGCAGGATTTGAGATTTACGGTATCATTACGCGGGGTGCTGAGGCCCTGAATACTTATAAGGTCTGTGACACTTTGATACTCTGCGTTCTATCGCGCTGAGGTGCCTTGAAGCAGTCAAAGATCTTTGACCGGTTGAACCTTGATTGGCATGTTACTGTATCATGGTGCTGTTGCTGAGGGCCTGAGGACTAAGGCCTGATGAGTCACGCTTGACCCTGATTGGAATTGTATATATTTTGCCTATCAGGCGCGGCGCTGTGCTCGATACTAGCGCCTCCATCCTACTCTCTCTTAAATATGGATTCACAAACCTTCATTCATCTCTCAACCATCCTCCAGTCCCAGAATGTAAGTGACTGATATTTGTTGACATTTTCGTTTCACTCATATCTATAATCATGGCACTGGCAGTATTTTTTCGGTGCCATCATTTCGACCATTAATAATCTCTCATAGCTAACAGGGTTCGTGCTAGCATCACTAGTGGCTTCTTGGGTGCGCTCTCTTGCCGTTCGTCCAGCTGTCATTCATCAACATCTTGTCACAGGTCTACGATTGTTTCCTAATCTTGGACCAGGAGGTGATTTCATATTTGCGAGAGATGATAGCATGTCTATCGACTGGCTGATTGTTGTGTATAGGTATCTTTGATTCATCGGCCACGGTGGAGCAAAGGAACTATTCTTTATATCACGACGAGATACATGCCAGCCTTGATGCTCTCCGTACACTTATGCAGTGAGTCCAAATCGCATGCTCTGTCGTCAACTTGCAGCTAATCTGGATACTGAAGTGAACTATCTCCCGAATGAAAAATTTGTGGTGAGCATTAGTCGGAAACAATGTCACCTGCGATCCTGAGGATTCGCCGATGTAGACTTGTAAACTTCTACAGTCAATGGGTTATGGTCAGTATTGTAACAACAGAATTTTCCAGTCCCGCTTTAAAGTTCGCCCCTCAGGTGCTGCTGGATTGTGCATCACTGGTGCAGAAAGTATTATGACGTTTATGGTGTATTCACGCATAATACTGACAGGATCTCCAGGTATCTTCATCCTTCGTACCTATGCATTATGGGGACAAAAGAAATCCATTCTGGTCCTTATGGTGTCAACGGGACTGGTGCGCATAGTACAGTTGCGTTCCCACATTCTGTACTCTGACATACCTCACTTCAGTGCCTGACGATATTGAACGTGGTAATAATACTGAAGGTTTGGGACCAGTCGGAACGTGAGTGTCTTGAAGAAGAGCCACATGTAAATCGCTCAGTGTAGGTCGACGACAGTCCGACTATCAGACATAGGTGGCGGTTGTTACTCACTATCCCACGACACGAAGGCCGCATACAATTGGTCACTTATAGCAGCATTCGAGCTTGGTGAGATCACGAAGCCATAAATGTAGTCGAGTGCTCATTTTTTGCCTCAGAGATCATGGTACTCACCATGATTCGTGTATATTGGGCATACCGCGAAAGAGGGTGTCGGCTGCTCAATATCCTTCTACAACACAACATTTTTTACTTCGGAACTGGGCTAAGCAAGTAGTACCTTCATGACTGTCAAAACGAAATTAATCTTTCAATTCTAGCACTATCTGTGCTCAATCTTTTAGCCTTTGAATGGCTATCGGTGTGTAGAAACTTGAATCCAACTCAATGTCGGCTGGGGATCCTGATACTTTTTTTATGCAGTTCAACTCCTCAAATATGTTTGTAACCTTTCAAATCGTCATGCATACGATCCTCGTGACTCGGATGCACCTACGGTTTTGCAACACCGTTTGCGACCCACCTGAGCCCGGAACCACATCACTCTCAATTGACAAATATTGAATTTCAGACGCGTTCGCCTTCCCATTCGAATGCATGATGATTCAATGGAATCTGTACATTTCATTTCCATTTCGACATTTTTTTCTGTTGTGTTGCAACGAATCCAAGCTGTTGTTGGGCCATCAGGAAAAAGTGACGGATACAGGGTAGTATATAGTGCTTGCTAGGCTAACGAGTAAGAGGTGCATAATATTGCTGGAGTTTACGAACGAGGTTTCTCAGTCGAAAGTTATCAGACGTCTCAGAATTGAGGCGCGACTCAAACAACCTAGATGCTGAAAGAGTTGATCGTTAGAGAAAAAGGAGAATTCCAAACCAAACAAGCAAGACCCGCTGACATACTTATATTTTTTGCCTCTTACTATATGGCACTATACAGCACCCTCGCCAGTGTCTGTTCCTTCCCAGCCTGCACGGGCTTCGGCTCCTTCACGCTCTTCGCAAGATCAGGATTCCACCCCCCGCCTTCGCCTTCATAATCCACCGCTTCCGCCCGTCCAGAGGACACTAAAATCCGCCTTGGACGGGATTCGCCACAAAAAGTCTTCCGTACCCGATACGAAAAACAAGCGGTACGTCCGGACGCATAATTTCGTTTCTAGTGTGCTACGTGCGAGCACCGCCAGGGTACTGGCAGTAGCCGAGGGAGGGACGTTCCTTCGTTGTGCTTGGCATGGTGTACGGCTATATCTCATCAGGGAAAGCCTCCCGCGCTAACTTAGATGTAAATAGACAAAATACTTCTAAGTCAGATAAATTTCGGTTCCCAGAAAGGGTTAGAACCCGGTATGCCATCTGGATGACCAATGACAGACACCGATGGACTTCGATGTTTGAAGTTTGAAGTTTTCGAAAATCTCGGTCTGGCCAGCTCAGAGAAATCTCCAAAAATTCACCATTGATTATATGGGCCGCACGAGCCAGGGTCGGATAGCAAACTCATGAGAGTACAATGACTGTGGTCATCGTTGTCCCCATCAGCGAAAACGAAGTGCTCAAATTCGAGGTGAGTGCGTTGCAATGAGATGCCCAACATAGAAGATGAAGCAGAAAGGACAATTAAGAGCTCACGAAGCTCCCGTTTTCGCTGCATAATGGAATGGTACCTTTGTGCCCAAATGGATTCCGTCTCATAACAACACCGCCGATATCTTGACTAAGGCACTCGCTCGTCCGCTTTTCTTGAAGCACGCCACTGGACTCGGAAGTACTGGTGTCTAAGTGAGGGTGTGTGTTGGAAGAAGTAATATTGGAAGCACCGTACCGGAGGAAGCATTGTACCCACAGGGGTACGATTAACGTTCCTTCTTTTCCTCACTTGCTACCGCTTATCATATCTTGCACTACGACACCACATGTCATGCTACCGTACGGTACAATTCTTTCCGTTAGCTTCTTCGTCCTTCTTGAGCAGTACTTATACGCGTCAGTTCCCCGCTTCACACCTCAGCATTGTTTCTCCAACTCTCGCTGAGACTTGTTCTAGCGCCGACATCTCGCATCTGTCGCACATCATGCCTCCCATTTCCAAACAACAACGAAGACTTTTGGAGCTAGCAGGAGATGTCAAGGTGATGAAGGTTGAATGACGCCGAATTGTTCACAGCGCTGATCAGCCTCTCCTTAGCACACTTCCTTCTCTAAGGTGGATTCAACAATGCTCGCTTCAAAAGCCGAAGCACTTGGACTTACCGGTATACCAGGGTGTCTTCCGATTGAGACTACCCGATTTCTGATAAGTTTAGTGCGCGGCTGCGTCGCGACGGTGGTATGTTCATACGGTGGCTGATTTCCATGATCGACTGTATACTCATTTAAACTCCAAAGACGGAAGCTGGATGTCGCATCTTGATCAACACACTCTTGTTGAGAGTTGTATCTGTCATGTGTCCGGATACCGCGACGGTGAACATAATTCCAGAATTCCCTATCCCTAGCACGATCTTCAACCAAGGGTCTGCCAGACGTTCGTTCAGTGGCATTGTCGACTTCCTGGTGACTAAACTCCCCACTCCGTACACCGGTTAGTCATTTTCTGTCGCGTGCTAGAATGGAATTGAACCGTTCTTTAGGATTCCTCCTGACCAATCCGACCAAAACACTGGTGGATCTCGGAAACACCCAGGAACCAACATCGCCCAACATCTTCGAAGCCAAACGCGATAGAGTTCGGGAGGGTCTACCTCAAGCTACAATTGCTGCGGCTTCGTATTGCCAATTGCGGGGGTCAGCTCTCTGTCGCTCTATGTTCCGTGACGTAGTCTAACTTTATGATAGCTTACATGTCATCAGGGGTGTTGTCACCAATGGAGAACAGTGGATTTTCTTCGTGTACAGAAGGCACACAAATGATACTGAGTGAGCTCTATTTCCCGCATGATATGAGCCGCCTGCAACAAATGCGAGATAGTGCTGCATCGTGTCAAAACAACTCAAACCATTCTCGCACAACAACGCACGAGTCTCAGGGCTGAGTAAGTAATTTTTTTCAACATGGTGTCTAAGTTTCAGATGGGTTCATCATTTCATGCAGGCAATGCGACGGGGGCTCCACTTATGACTCTTTTGAGTCTTGACGCCTGACCTCCCTGAGCTTGGGTGAGTGACCGTTTGAAATGGAAGGTCCGAATTAATCTGGATTATAGCGCGCGGATGGGAATCTGTTTCTTTGCTCTGGGTGGGTATTATGATTATTTCGACGGCTCTAACTTGTCACTGATCGCCTGTGCAAGATTCGCAAGTTTGATAGGTGGGTTCAGTTGTGTCGTTTATTGCTTAAATTCTAACTCTGTATCCAGGAACACCCATATGCGGCGCTCTGCTCACATCCAGTTATACCTGGTGGGTACCGGCTCTGTTCTTTGGGGTGAGTCGCTACTATATTCTCCAGAATTCACGTCGACTCTAACTGCCTAACAGATCGCTTCACTGGCCGGTAGCATGATGTTCATCTTCATGCGATATATGTTTCTTAGAAAGCAGAGCGTTCAAGTTGACGTATGATCATTGGACTGCCAGGCTGTAAGTTGAGCCGTGAGTGGAGCTGTTATGAAACTCATGATGTTTACTAGTCTGCTGGACTTGGACAAATCGGAAGCTCCAGGAGAGAGCGCAATGTATCAACAATGATCGTGAACGACTGGCGAAAAGCCCTTTAAGAATTTAACATATTCATTCCTGAATACTCATCTTGTTTGCTTTTCTGACTCGTGTCATACAATTAGTGACCAGTGCAGCATCTTAGATCCGACAAAAAGTCGCAAGTGCTTGGTATTTGTTCACAAATTTACCTTGAACGATAAGGCAAATTTGCGTCTTTGAGACATGATTCTGCGGAGCCTGATGAGATCCAGGGCGTGAAATGGTTGAGAATTCCGCATTATTGGTTTCACTTGTAGATCATACACTATCTGGTGTGTCCAGAGTAAGCTGCAGTGCGAATCAGATGGGGAACGGACATCCTAATTACTGGGTAGTCGTTTGAGCATTTTAACTAGGGTCCACGAAGGTTACCACGGCTGGAAGGTATATACATGAGCGCAAGATTAACCCCAAAGGGTAAAATAAAGAACGAAATAAAACAAAACAGACCTTCCGCTCAACAGCCTCCACATCCCTCATCATCTCCACTGGATCCAGAAACGTCTTATTCTACATAAACACTCGTGATCCGCTGTACACTTGATATCCAACCAAACAGCATCCACCGGGAAACCCTCCTCGTCGAACCTATTCTGTACACTGCGCACGTCGTCTGAACTAACGTAGTTCTAGCGGCACTCGAGCCGCTTTTACAATGACAAACGCGGGCATGTCACGTTAACGGATGTAGAATGTTAGTTTTCGGGAAGGAAAAACCATATAGAGCCATCGCTGATCACGGTACCGCCGTACCGGTGACATCATCAGAACGCCGATATAAAAACAGGTGTGCATGAACCGCGGGGACTTTACTTACATAAGAAATAGCCGCAGGGACATGGTCCGGAGGTAATCGGATCAATCAGTGTGTGATTTTTGTTTCTCCTCCATCGCTAACGCAGTGAATGTCGGGGATCGTATGTAAGGGCACCAGCCAACTCGGGTAATCTTTGTGTCCTCAGATGCCCCACAAATTTGTCTCTGTTCAACTCAATGGTTTCCTGACTGGTTGGGTGTGTGGACCGAGCAGCTTTCATCGGTAAACTGAAGTCCCAGCTTTGGAAACAACACTCACAGGCTCAGGCTCAGACACAGGGTCTATACCTTCGTCTCCTTCACCTCCTCACCACAAGATCAGGCCTCCACTCCTCCGCCTTCCCATTCATAATCCAACGCTCCCTCCTCCCGTCCAGAAGTCATCTTTATTCTACTTGTAAGAAACATCATTTCTAGGTACTCTGCATATGCCTGGACTTTTTTCAATGTGAGGGGAGCATGTCGTTGAATTGTCATGAACTTTCTGCTTATTAGCAATCGTAGACATATTACGTGGAATGATAAGAAATCAACCCGCAGGATTTGAGATTTATGGTATCATTAGTACGCGGGGTGCTGAGGCCCTGAGTACTTATGAGGTCCGTGGCAGGTTTGATACTCTGCGTTCTATCGTACTGAGGTGCCTTGAAGTAGTCAAAGATCTTTGACCGGTCGCCCCTTGCTGGGCATGTTCCTTTATCATGGTGCTGTTGCTGAAGGCCTGATGAGTCACGCTTGACCCTGATTGGAATTGTTATATCTTCTGCCTACCAGGCTCGATACTAGCGCCTCCATCCGACGCTCTCTTAAACATGGATTCACAAACCTTCATTCATCTCTCAACCATCCTCCAGTCCCAGAACGTAAGTGAGTGATATTTGTTGACATCTTCGTTTCACTCATATCTATAATCTTGGCACTGGCAGTATTTTTTCGGTGCCATCGTTCCGACCATGATAATCTCTCATAGCTAACAGGGTTCGCGCTAGCATCACTAGTGGCCTCTTGGGTGCGCACTCTTGCCGTTCGTCCAGCCGTCATTCATAAAGATCTCGCCACAGGTCTACGATTGTTTCCTAACCTTGGATCAAGAGGTGATGTCATCTTTCCGAGATATGATAGATATCATGTCGATCGACAGGCTGATTATTGTGCATAGGTATCTTTGATTCATTGGCCACGGTGGAGCAAAGGAAGTATTCTTTACATCGTGACGAGATACATGCCAGCCTTGATGCTCTCTGTACACTTATTCAGTGAGTCCAGATCGCATGCTCTATCGTCAACTTGCAACTAATCAGGACACTGAAGTGAATTATCTCCCGAATGAAAAAATTGTGGTGAGCATCAGTCGGAAATAATGTCACCTGTCATCCTGAGGATTTGCCGATGTAGACTTGTAAAATATTACAGTCAATGTGGTATTGTAAGTATTGTAACGATAGAACTTTCCAGGCCCGCTTCAAGTTCCTCCCTCAGGTACTGCTGCATTGTGCATGACTGGTGCAGAAGGTATTACGATGTTTATAGTGTATTCACGCAGAATACTCACAGGATCTCCAGGTATCTTCATGCTTCGTACCTATGCATTGTGGGGACAAAAGAAATTCATTCTGGGCCTTATGTTGTCAACGGCACTCGTGCGCATACAGTTGCGTTCCCGCATTCTGTACTCTGACATACCTCACTTTAGGGCCTGATAATCTTGAACATGGTAATAGCACTGGAGGTTTGGAAGCAGTCGAAACGTGAGTGTCTTGAAGAAGAACCACATGTAAATCGCTCAGTGTAGACGACAGCCCACCTATCAGACATGGGTGGCGGTTGTTACTCACTATCACACAACACGAAGGCTGCATATAATTGGTCACTTTTAGCAGCATTCGAGTTTGGTGAGATCACGAAGCCATAAATGTAGTCGAATCCTCACTTTTTGCCTCAGAGATCATAGTACTCACCATGATTCGTGTATATTGGGCATACCGCGAAAGAAGGTCTCTGCTGCTCAATATCCTTCTTCAACACAACATGTTTTACTTCGGAACTGGGCTAAGCAAGTAGCACCTTCATGACTGTCAAAACGGAATTAATTTTTCAATCCTAGCACTATCCGTGCTCAATCTTTTAGCCATTGAATGGCTACCGGTGTGTAGAAACCAGAATCCAACTCGATGTCGGCTGGGGGTCCTGATTCTTTTTTTATTTTTACGCAGTTCAACTCCTCAAATATGTTTGTAACATTTCAAATCGGTTAACGAGTAAGAGGTGCATAACAGTGCTGGAGTTTACGAACGAGGTTTCTCAGTCAAAAATTATCAGACGTCTCAGCATTGAGGCGCGACTCGAACAGTCTAGATGTTAAAAGAGTTGACCAAACTCGAGATCAGATGTTGGCCATGGTACCAAAGATTCCTTCCGAGGAATGGATGTGGAATGATAGTTTCGGGAAAGAAAACCATGTAGAGTCATCGCTTATCACGGTCACATCATCATGTACGCCAATATCAATGCATCTGAAAACTGATGTTAAAGCTTTAAAGGTGTGCATGAATCGAGCCTACTAGATACAGTACCTTCGCCACTCAGAGATCCTCCATAGAATATGTACTCGCTTTGCACCTCAACGTTGTTGTATTAATAGTCGAGCCTTGACCAGGCTTCCTAGATATGAGTAGCACAGGAGCACCGACCTAGTTATATTTGGCATGTGCAGAAGTGGAAGGTATCTTTGGCATGATCATGATGAAGAACCGATATCTTGGACATGGCACCCAAGATCCCTTCCACTTCAACCATCTATGCATTAGTGTAGCATGTCTGATCTGAATCTCTACAACACTTGAGCATGATAATCATATGTACCGTTATCACAAGATCAGGACTCCTCTTCCCTGCCCTCGCCTTCATAATTCGCCGCTCCTGCCTCACCTCCTTCCGCCCAAAAGTCAATGAATTCGCCATAGACGGGATCCTCTACAAAAAGTCCTCCCTACCCGATATGAAAAATAAGTGGTGCCCCCGGATGTATACTTTGGTTTCTAGTGCACTACGCGCGAGCACCGTTGTGGGACTGGCAGACGTTCCTGCAAAACAAGTATCAGCATTTGTATACGTGTGCGTGGGGGGAAGGTGAAAAGTAGTATGTACGCACTTACGAAGAAATGGACCGCCATATACTCTCCGTGACAGAACTCATCAACCCATGCAATACAAGTTTTAAGTGGGGGTCCACGATGGTCACCACCTAGAAGGCATATACGTGAGCGCGAGATTCATAACAAAGGGTGAAAGAACGAAATAACAAAACAACACAAGACAGACCTTCCGCTCAACAGCCTCCACATCTCTCGTCATCTCCACCGGATCCGGGAACATCTCCTTATTCCACATAAAGATACCTGTGATCCTCCGGATACTCGATATCCAACCAAAGACATTCGCCGGGAAACCTTCCTTATCAATCTTATTCTGCACACTGCACACGTCATTTAAATTGACATAGTTCTAGCGACACTAGTGATAGCCGAGTGGCCAGTGGGCTGGGAGGGGCACTGTTCCTGTTAGGTGTGCGTATTACGCGAAGATGTCGGTGGGTGTTGGACCTGGGAGTAGGAATACGTCTAGAATCCCATCCAGTGCGTTTCTGCGCCGCTATTGTCTACAATGAGGGATATCAATCCATCTTTCCGACGCAAGAGCATTGAAAACGGCCACCGTCGACGTAGCAGAATGCGCGTGCATGAGCGAGATCGAGCCGTAGAGAGAAGTCGGCAAATCTGAGAGGTGTTTAAAGACATCTGCATTGTAGATACGGAAGGGGTCTGTGTACCTTGCAGTGGGACCTGTTGTACTTGGGAGGGAGAAATTTGTGGCATGTTATGATTCTGTATATGTAGGCGTGGTGGGGAAGGTTATGTCGAAGGAGAGAGATTCCGGTCGACTCCTGTGGGCATTGGGTGTCATAGTCTTAGTGTTGATATTGAGCGTGTGACATACCTTTGGGTTTTGTGTCTGTCGATGTGGAGAAAGTTTCGTCCCAGAAGGTATCTTTGCTGTTGCCTTCGAACCATGCTGCAGGGTTGACTTTGAGAACTAATTGTCCTGTGCCTTGGATGTGTTCGGCTAGTTCAAAATCCTCCTTGGTTCTGAAATACTCCATGTGCAGTAAGCCGCGCCCGTTCAGTACGACCTGTTCTATGCCACCCCGGAAAAGTGTGATCTTGAGAGGGTTGAAGTTGACGATGATGATGAGCTCTATATACTTTTTCGGTCCATAAATAACCTTGACTTTTCCCCGTCAATCGTCCAGACTCCAGAAAACATCATCGCTCACCAAAGGTTCTCGGCTGAGCACCCACTAAACAACTTCGTTATATCGCTTCCCCACTCCATCCTATTCGTCCATTCGCACGCGCACAATGCCCTCCTCATGTATATTTATATCAAGGACGAATTTGACGTTGAGATAGATAGACGAGTGAACGCTTGTGGTGAGCCCTAGTTGATGAGGGTCAAGTTCTGGAGGTTTGATTGAGTGGGAGCGTGCTACGAGGGCGTGTTCTCTGCGACAGAAACAGGACTGAGAGCATGTTTTGAAGCCGGATAGTTTAAAGGCGGGGGCTATCGGGAGGAGAGGGAGTGGGAGGATAGTCCCTGGGGAGTCGGGACCGCATTTTCTTGGTAGTGATGAGTATCCCTGGGGCTGATCACTCCCAAGGTTCACTGATGGTAGTAAGAATGAAGTTGCACAATACCGTGTGATCTGCCATAACACCTCATAGGGCGCTGAAATCCAGTGCTTGGTAGTACTACATCAGTAAACTCAGGTCCCAGCTTTGGAAACAACACTCACAGGCTCAGGCTCAGACACAGGGTCTATACCTTCGTCTCCTTCACCTCCTCACCACAAGATCAGGCTCCACTCCCCCACCTTCGCATTCATAGTCCAACGCTCCCTCCTCCCGTCCAGAACTCATATCTTTTATTCTACTTGTACGAAACATCATTTCTAGGCGCTCTGTCACATCTGCCTGGATTTTTTTCAGTGTCAGGTAAGCACGCCGTTGAATTGTTATGAACTTTTTGCTTATTAACGGCAATCGCAGACATTACGTGGAATGATAGGAAATCGACCCGCAGGATTTGAAATTTATGGTATCATTACGCGGGGTGCTGAGGCCCTGAGTACTTATGAGGTCCGTGACACGTTTGATACTCTGCGTTATATCGTGCTGAGGTGCCTTGAAGCAGTCAAAGATCTTTGACCGGTCGAACCTTGATTGGCATGGTGCTGTTGCTGAAGGCCTGATGAGTCACGCTTGACCCTGATTGGAATTGTTATATATTCTGCCTACCAGGCGCGGCGCCGTGCTCGATACTAGTGCCTCCATTCGACTCTCTTAAACATGGATCCACAAACCTTCATTCATCTATCAACCCTCTTCCAGTCTCAGAACGTAAGTGACTCATTTGTTGACATCTTCGTTTCACTCATATCTATAATCTTGGCATAGTATTTTTTGGGTGCCATCATTTCGACCATAATAATCTCTCATTGCTAACAGGGTTTGCGCTAGCATCACTAATGGTTTCTTGGGTGCGTGTTCTTGCCGTTCGTCCAGTCGTCATTCATAAACATCTCGTCACAGGTCTACGATTGTTTCCTAACCTTGGACCAGGAGGTGATTTCATATTTGCGAGATATGATAGCATGTCTATCGACAGGCTAATTGTTGTGGATAGGTATCTTTGATTCATCGGCCACGGTGGAGTAAAGGAAGTATTCTTTATATCATGACGAGATACATACCAGCCTTGATGCTCTCTGTACACTTATTCAGTGAGTCCAGATCGCATGCTCTATCGTCAACTTGCAGCTAATCAGGATACTGAAGTGAACTATCTCCCAAATGAAAAAATTGTGGTGAGCATCAGTCGGAAACAGTGTCACGTGCCATCCTGAGGATTCGCCGATGTAGACTTGTGACATTCTACAGTCAATGTGGTATTGTAAGTATTGTAACGATAGAATTTGCCAGTCCCGCTTCAAGTTCGTTCCTCAGGTACTGCTGCATTGTGCGTGACTGGTGCAGAAGGTATTACAATGTTTATAGTGTATTCACGCAGAATACTCACAGGATCTCCAGGTATCTTCATGCTTCGTACCTATGCATTATGGGGACATAAGAGATCCATTCTGGGCCTTATGTTGTCAACGGCACTCGTGCGCATACAGTTGCGTTCCCGCATTCTGTACTCTGACACACCTCACTCTAGTGCCTGGCGATCTTGAACGTGGTAATAGCGCTGAAGGGTTGGAAACATTCGAAAAGTGAGTGTCTTGAAGAAGAGCCACATGTAAATCGCTCAATGTATACGACAGTCCACCTATCAGACATAGGTGGCGGTTGTCGCTCACTAGACCACAACACGAAGGCTGCATATAATTGGTCACTTCTAGCAGCATTCGAGCTTGGTGAGATCACGAAGCCATAAATGTAGTCGAGTGCTCACTTTTTGCCTCAGAGATCATGGTACTCACTATAATTCGTGTATATTGGGCATACCGCGAAAGAGGGTGTCTGCTGCTCGATATCCTTGTACAACACAACATTTTTTACTTCGGAACTGGGCTAAGCAAGTAGTACCTTCATGACTATCAAAACGGAATTAATTTTTCAATCCTAGCACTATCGGTGCTCAATATTTTAACCATTCAATGGCTACCGGTGTGTAGAAACCAGAATCCAACCACTTAATGTCGGCTGGGGTCCTGATACTTTTTTGACGCAGTTTAACTCCTCAAATATGTTTGCAACATTTCAGATCGTCATGCATACGATCCTCGTGACTCGGATGCACCTACAGTTTTGCAACACCGTTTGCGACTCCCCTGAGTCCGGAACCACATCACACTCTCGATTGACAAATATTGAACTTCAGACGCGTTCGCCTTCGCATTCGAATGCATGATGATTCGATGGAATGGGTACATTTCATCTTCATTCAGACGTTTTTTTCTGTTGTGTTGCAAAGAATCCGAGCTGCTGTTGGGCCATCAGGAACAAGTGACGGATGCAGGGTTGTATATAGTAGCTTGCTAGACTAACGAGTAAGAGGTGCATAAAATTGCTGGAATTTACGCACGAGGTTTCTCAGTTGAGAATTATCAGACGTCTCAGAATTGGAGCGCACACAAAGCTTGGATCCTGAAAGAATCGACCACGACGTTGGAGAAGGAAAATTTCCAAGTAAGGACAAACTTATCAACTTGAAGGAGCCACTCGTCCGACCCGCTGCGCACGTCACCAACATAGTCATCTTTCTTGCCTCTTACTATACTATGTACTATACAGCACCTTCGCCACTCAGCCACAGATCCTCCATAGACCCGTATATACTCGCTTCGTGCCTCTTCCCACCTCAGCGTTGTTTTATTAACAGTCGCGGAGTCTTCACTAGGCTGAGCCGCACAGGGCCGAGCATTGACCTCCTAGTCATCCTGAAGTGGAAGGTATCTATGGTACCAGACTCAAGATCAGATGTTGGCCATGGTACCAAAGATCCCCTTCCACTCCAACCATCTACATATTAGCGTAGCACATCTGATTTGAATCTCTACAACACTCGAGCATATGTAGTCCAAAAAATTCAATAACAAAGATTAAAATAATCATATGTACAATGGTCACGCGCGTCCGCCTCCAACACCACCACCAGCACCTCACCTCATACCGCCCTCACAGGCTCAGGCTCAGACACAGGCACAGACACAGGGATCTGTTCCTTCCCAGCCTGCACGGGCGTCGGCTCCTTCACGCTCTTCGCAAGATCAGGATTCCACTCCCCCGCCTTTGCCTTCATAATCCATCGCTCCCGCCTCGCTTCCTCCCGTCCAGAGGTCACTAAATCCGTTTTGGACGGGATCCGCCACAAAAAGTCTTCCGTACCCGATACGAAGAACAAGCGGTACGTCCGGACGCATACTTTCGTTTCTAGTGCGCTACGCGCGAGCACCGCTGGGGTACTGGCAGTAGCCGAGGGAGGGACGTTCCTGCAAAACAAGTATTAGCATTCATATGCGTGTGCGTGAGGGAAAGGTAAAGAGTAGCATATACGCACTTGCGAAGAAATGGACGTCCAACGCGGGACTGCGATATGCCCTCTGTGACAGGACTCTGTAAAGTATCAAACCCATCAACCCACGCGATAAAAGACTTTTATAAGGAACACGCACCGACACAAACGAATCCACATACGCCTGCCACCTCTCCGCCAACATCTCTGAATCATCAATCCTCGAATCATCTTTCCCGAGCAATTGAATCGTCATCGTTTTTGTGTCTGGAAGCTGTTCCAGACCCAACCGCGCATGAATACTCAAAAGGACCTGGAAATAGAAAAGACGCACCCAATCTATACGGAAAATGTTCTCATCAGGTCCAAGCAGATTTTCCGCAAACCGTCGACTATTAAGCTGATCTTGGATCGTCGGCACTTGTAATGCCCGATCGCGCTTCAAAAGCTCAAAGAGCTCTTGACTTCTAGAATCAGCCAACACAATCTGGACCTACGCCCACATCATCAGATAATGATCACTACTAAAATAGGAGGACGACGCACCTGCTTGATTAACGACCCGATAACTTTATCGATCGTAAATATTCGATATGCATCCTTCACCCCAAACATATACCGCATCTGCTCCTCGAACACATATTGCTCGATCTCATTATCAAATAGCCTCTCGCACGACTCGAGCATCAGATCATAGAAATGATCTGCATGAGCAGCACGGTCGTCTAACTGAGCGAGTTCGACAAGGGACGGCATCCCTAGCGGTGGAGCAACCGACTTCGCTTTAGACGCTGATTTAGGCGCTTCGGTAGCGATGCGCGCACTGAGCTTTTTGAAGAATAAGAGTCTGGAGTATAATACCTGTAGTCAAACGAACGGACGTTAGGGATGGAAAAGTGGAGAATCAATAAAAAAAACCACGCACCTCTAAAAGTCGCAAAAGCACATAAAACACAGTATTCCCAAAGAACACATTCTTCCTCGATGCCTTGCGCAACGGCACAACAGGCTCCCGTTCCCCCTCCTCCACGGCATCTACCTGCATCACATCGGGTATCGCAGGAGACGCAGGTCTCGAAGTAGGTCTCGAGGAAGACGGAGATGCTGCTTCCTGCGCACGCGTTTTCCTCCCCGTCAACTTCGCCTGCTCGCTCTTCAGCAACTTCTTCCTCAGATCTCCACCCGAACCAAGCCCACCCTTCTTCTTCTTCCCCCCATTCCCACCCGAAACACTCCCTGTCTCCCCATCATCCCCATCATCCCCCATCTCAACTTCCCCCGCTTCTCCAAGCACAAACGCTCTATGAAACACCTCTTGATCCAAAACGAAAAACAACGGAATGAACGTCCGCAAAAACCCTTCGATGCGTCTTCGCTCAGGAGCCCCGATCTGCCCTTGCGTCCTGTCCAAAAATGACAACGCCATCTTCACAGCATCCTGCAAGACACCCGTATCCGCAACCTCGTACGCCAACTGATGCCGCACCCTCGCACGCGCAAACAACGGATCCACAAGCGCAGCCCGCTGGCTCACCTGCGCATCGCGCGCAGCTTCGATCTGAGCCACTAGCGCTTTTGCTGAAAAGCTTTTTTGTCTGCGGCTTTACATGCGATCCCCGCGTGGTCCAAAGCACGAGAAGCGTTCCGGGCGTCTACTTCCCTCCATACTTTATTCCACTCCCTCTGTGCGCGTTTCCATTCCTCCTCTTTCTCTTTGAGGCGCATGAGGACGACGGGGATAGCGAGGGCTGGTGCATCTTGCATCGCTTGCAAAACGTCCAGTCCAGCTTCGCGTCCATATATCTTCTTGATGACGCGTGCGTGCACCGCTTTGCCCGAGCCTCCAAGATTGGGCTTCAGCTTAAACGCAGATCGCTCTTCAAGCGGGAGTTGGGAAATTTTGGCAGCGAGAGGCTCGAGGATAGCGATGGTGCGCGTGGCTGCTTCGACGTGGAAATCGTACTCGTGGCGTTCTTCTTCGGAGCGGTGGAGAGCCTCTTCGTAGATGTTTTTCTTGTGCGCTATGAAGCCTGCGTCTTCCGACGACCAGGTGGGGTGCGATACCCATTCGTCGTTGAGGACTGCGCGGCACATCTCGTCACGCCCTGCGCAGGTGACATTGGCTTCCTATGTGGTGGTCAGTATGGGGGACGAGTAGAGGGGTGGGGACGTACGATAGCTGGCATTCGACGGTAGCTTCCTAGTTGAAGCCCTGCACTAACTCTGCCCGGGCGGATTGGGACGATCATAGGGCCTCCCTGGCCTTGTGCCCTCGCCCAAGTCTGCTGCTGTTGACTCTCCTCCAGCACCCACCGCTCCCTCTCACGCCTATCATCCCAGCCAAGAATCTCCCTAAACTGGCGCATTAACTCGGCGTCTCCCAGGAAATTCCGTGCCTCACGGACGAGACGTGCAGTATCTATAAGTTCCTGGGTGAAGAGATTTACGAGCTTCAAAAACTCGTTGTAAGTGTCCCGATTCCCCAGCGCACGCTTGACGCGGTCGAAGAAGTGTGTATCGTCTGGTGGGAGGAGGGAGGGAGGGAGGGGTGGCTGTTTGAGCTTGGATATGTCAGTGAGTTATTTGTATTCGGGAGTCAGGGTGTCACCTTGGAAGGAGCTTTAGGTGCGGTGGAGACAGTGTCCCGTTCGTTGGCCTTACGCTTGCGTTTTTGAGGTACAGAGGGCTCGATGGGAGGTTGGGGGTCTGTACGACGGCGGACAGGCTTTCCATCTAAGGGCGTATTTGATCGCGTTCGGCGTCCTGTTGGGGCCGTAAGATAGCTTTCTTCTGCTTCGTCAAAAAGAGCCTGGCTCTTCTCTGGCATGAAAATCCTAAAGTCGGCACGCAAATCGGGATCGTCTTTGAAAAGACGGGCAATTTCAGCTGACACTTCGCGCTGTGAAACATGAATCAGGATTCAATTTGAATGCGAAAGGCAGAAGGCTCACCTCGTCGACGGCGTCGGTAGTGTTATGATACTTGCCGAGAATTTCTAGAAACCGGCGGTAGGTGGCCTCGTCGCAGCGTTGCTTTATCTTTTGAACATACTGAACGGCTGGTTCTATAGAGGAGCTATCCAGACTGCCGTACATGTTTGCATCGGGTTCAGCCAATACAGCAGGTGGAGGAGCTATCGGAGCAGAAGGCCAAGAATCGTCGCGAGTGGACTGAAGCATCGTGCCAGTAGGGGTTGTGACGGTAATGAAAGAGGATTGTTGTGGGTCAGAGGAGCACTCGATGCGATAACCGACAGGGAGGAAAGTGTTGAAGCCTTGGATAAGGAAGGGATGGCCATTAAAAAGGTGGGAGACGCGTTTTATAACGCCTGGTGTATCGATACTGTAAAAATATGAGGAATGGATTTAGGAAGAGGAGATACAACGCACAGTCCACTCTTAAAGTCCTTCATGATGTCCAGGAAGTGGTTGTAAACATCCGGCTGGTCATGAAACTGTACCTTGACAGCATCGAGGTAGCCCAAAGCATCTGTGACATTGAGAGGACGCTCTAGCAAAGGCTGAGAAGGGACTTGGAAAGAACCCATTGGTGGTAGACGTGAAGCAGGACGTGATGGAGGTGGCATTGCTGGAGATTGTGGCCGTGATACTGGTGGGATACTAATATCTCTAGTAATGATGGATTCTTGAGGTCTATTGACGTCAGGAAGTGGGTCCGAGTTAGATTTTTGTACTTCCTTGCCGTTGTCCGGGGCGATTATAGTCATTGGAACCTCTTCGCTTGTACAGGGTCCATCTGGGTTCGGGGTTGTTTCACGACCTTGCTCACCAGCGCCCGATTCGCCGGTTTCGGTTAACTGAACATTCTCAGCGACCTTGTCCTCTACGGTAGTCTCGTCTTTCATCTGCACGTCTGCAGTTGACATGTCCGTTGACAGCACCGGTACAACTAGAGTCGTGGGTACAGCGTCCATCAAGACAGGAATACAGTGTGACGAACTTCGCAAAGTACACGATCAAGGGTCCACCCGGGATTCGCCGAGACAACGATAAGTTAAACCAGATATCAATCCAAGGTGCATCTTACGCTATATAAAACACGGCAATCAAAGTACTGATCACCAGAGTATACTGCCAAAAAATCAATGCTTGAGAAATCCATGAGGACCACGACGACCATACATGTCTTTCCTCAATCATGGATATATAGGATCCATAAACAGGTGTCCTTTCGCGGGGCATATGGTGTAGCTGGTTATCACATCCGCTTAGCATGCGGGGGGTCTCCGGTTCGAGTCCGGATTTGTCCACATTTTTTCCTACGCAAATCAAGTAATGCAGTGAATTCGTTCCCTCATTACTTGCTCGAGCTATGCATACACGATCAAGATACTGATAGCTCTCGCACGCCATCATCGAATCTGGTATTAGATCTTCAGAAAGGATCAGGATCTCGATCGAGCGAGGAAATCCATATTTTGCCCGGCTCGCGAACCCCTTCACAATAGTACTAGTGTCGCGTCTGTGCGGTCATCAACACAACCCATCGAGGGCTCCAAGACTGACTAGATTCCTTCGAATTATCGAGCGATCAGTGCACTGTCACTCAACTTGGCTCTCGCGCGCACAGAGAAAAGAAGGGCCAGGTGCAAATCACTGAACTAAATACCACGACGAAACATTGTACATCCAAACCTACATATATCTCCTTGGAATCTACTTCGGAACGCCAAATAAACTTGATCAATACCATCACGAAAGTGAGATTAAATGAAAGTAAATTCCCCTGCTCTTTGTAGAGCACCAGACATCCATCAACATTACACACCACTGCCAGTCGATATATGCACACGCTCCTGGAAAGCGATCGAGGTCATACCAGTTGCTGCGTCAGAGTCGGCCACGAGCCTAGCGTGATACTCTCGAATGCTAAGTATCAGACGTGGTCCCAGCACAAACATCTGCACGACCTCCAAGATCTCAAGCAAGCCGTAAAAAGTCTGAGTTTCTACAGGATTTTGGCCCTATAGAAATGATGAATCGTGGTCACATGCAGAGCTAAGCGAAAGATTGACATACGGTCGAGAGTGTTGGAGAGTAATCAGCAATGAGCTGTAAGCAAGAAATAGCAACAAAGCTACCACGTCCGATCTCTCAGTGTGAAAAAGGAATAATAATCACAATATGAGCTCACCTGGCAAAGTAAACCACGTGAGTTTTCATCAACACCATGAAACAGTCCTCCATAATCCCTCCTTGTCGCGGTTCACGGAAGTGCTTTACCGTAATCCATACTGCGAGACATAGTGCGAGGACCTCCCACACAGTTCCAAGTATCCAAGTAATTGGAGCCAGAAGCAGGGTATCTTCCGCATAGTCAAATGCACACTGATAGGTGCCGGACAGAATGAGTTCCTCTGGTATCCATCAATGAGCCTCATATACGTAATGATCATCCACAATTAAGCGTATCTCCTGAAACATACATCGTTAATAGTATGACAACCACTCCGTCGAAAATGTTGACAACCAGAAAGGTGACAATGAGAAATATCAGGATTTTTCTGGATCGTTCATACATAGCATGTAACCGAGTGATGATGATGACTTGCAGCATGTTTCAGCAAAGTTGACATCACTGGAGTCTCGCAATTGCCAAACTCACCCCACAGCATCGCAAATACCAAAATATTCGTCCAATTCCGTACGGCGAACATAATAAAGCCTGACAAATCCAGTCAGCGAGCCTCGAATAGCATACACCAAACAGACTCACAACTATGGCAGTACAGCGTGGCAGTCATTAGTGAACCAAGAAGTTAGTAAGGAGTTACACCCACTCCTACATGGAACCACGGTCAATTGGAGAGGAATAGTAGGCATCTGTGCAGAAGACTCACTGTATCTGTCAGCGAGATGGTCGTAACACTACCTGTATGCCGTTGATCAGAAGAAGCAAAGACAGTGAATGTAATAACGAGACATGCCAAGCATGTTCAGGCTGATTGTGAGATAGACAATTAGCACAATACCGATTATTTAACCTTCCGAGCATACGCAGCATATACGATTCCAAGGTAGCGCACCTAGGATACTTACAAGTCAGCACCACATGGCAACCATGACGGGCAAGCCACATACACTAAGATACAGAACTGTCATTAGGGACCAGCGTTGCATCTGTAATTAAGTTTATTTCATCGTGCTCCTCTGACATGAGAGTCTACTTACCCAGACCAATTCAATCTATAAACTATTCTTAGAGAGATGGCTGCTCCGGTCATATCTTTGACATACCTCTTGTCCGAATGCAAGTGCTGAAAATACTTGTAAGATATCAGCAGTCCTTTAATATTATCATGCTCACCCCAATCATATGTTACTCCAACGACGGCGGCAACTGCGAGACCGCAGTCAAGGTTAGGTTGAGACATTGGCAGCATAAAATCCGACTACTCTGTACGAACCTACAAAATAGCTTTGAATACGATTTGCATTAATGTTCGGCCACCAAGTGGGATCATTTAAGACTATGGTCATATTGGTAGAGAATGGGTGTGGATGAGAGGTGAGCTTGGTGGACGTATGACGATAACATTTGCGCTAGTTATATCACCGTTCAGTGCTTGGATCACCAAAACGAGATCAGAGGATGGCCGTTCCTGCTTTGATTGGCCGAAGTAGATATTTTCACATGAAGAAAGATGAACTCTATCCAGGCGCTCAGTGTAGATCTTGGTCGTGAAGCAGTTGTATGGGCGGAATACTTGAACACTGTAACTGTTGTATCACAGAGATGCCAAAAATGGCGGGCGCAAAATCTTCAATTTGGAATGTAGTATTGGTGGAGTGGTGACAGGCATCGATTTGCGCAGCCAGATATACCCTGGTTGAGAATCCATGATTTGATGTCTGGTGAAGATACAGTGCCATCCTCAAATTAAGACAGCGCTAAGATAGGACATAGAAAAAGAAGACTAGTGCGCACCGTTATGATCGCAAGAAGCCTGACTTGTTGTTCTTCAAACCGAACCGGCTAATGTTGTGAAACGCAGGCCTGATCGAGGAGCCTCAGCAGTGTCTATATCCCAGGGTTCCTAATTGTATGATGACTCACCCCGGTCACACAGCTGCCAATGCACACCCCTCTACGCTAAATCAAATGAAACCCGATGCATGATGTACGACTTTGTCCGACAAAGGCCTAGGTGTGATGTGACCTTGGAAAAAGCTTGCTATTTCAATGGTTCTCGATGGGCATCAGCAGTCTCCGTTTCGCAGGCCTGTACATGACAACACCTCCGAGGTCGTTCAACAAGGCGGGCTTTCGTTAAAATGTAAAAACAAGGGAGGCCTAAATGAAGCAGGCATAACTCACCTATACAACGTCTTCAAGCGCACCTTTCAACGACCCTGCTCCTCCGTGTCCTAAGTATGTGCAACCTTCTGCACACCTTCTAGTCCTCCACCTCGATCATCGGCTATTCGTATGATAAGGATGTCGTCAAACGGTAAGTACAGAACTGATACAAAGCACACCATACTCGATTTGCATCAATTGTCACAGCCTGATTGAATATACATAGTTGATGTGGAGAGTACGACACATCCCTAGATTAAGTTGGCACGCCATCATACAAGTTAGAAAGGAAGTTAATGCGACAAATTACTAGTCAACTCACCTCGGGCTGCAAATGCACACCCCTCGACGTTCACTGTTTGATCCGATGCAGTACTTTACCCAATTCGCCCAAATCCTTGCTCCGGGGATTGGTCGCCGCGTGCGCAGTTGCGCATCCCACTGCGGAGTCTCATCCTTGAACAGCATCCTAGTAAGACACCATCAATTGCACGATGGATTTAGCACAGCGCATATTTTCATCAAAGTGGCACTAACAACTCACCCCATTAATCTGATTCCTGTGATGCTACAGCCCAATATATTAATATTGATGGCAAGCGGCCCAGAAGATGATGTGCAGGACTTATAGTTTGTGCTAGTCGTGTGAGGCAGCGCTGTTGATAGAAACGGAATTTGTAAACTGGTTTTTAGCCGGACCCAACGAGGGATGACATTTTCTCTTGGCCGTACATATTATTAGAGAGACCAAATAAAAGGAAGAAGGCCGTCCCAAGGCCTTGTTCATGATCTCAAAGATTAGAGCGCATTACTCTGCAGCACTATCATTACTGTACCCTGTGTAGACGCCTGTTATGCCCGTTTGAATCAAGCTTGATTGAAACGGTCAAAACAGGTGTCCACAAGCGTCTGCAGAAGTCCCACAATTCTCTTGCCTCCAACTCGCGAGAAGGTCATCAAGCCCAAATTCAAATACATCTAAACGCAGCTTGCAGCTCTACAGATTTCAACTAAACAAAGTTAGAGTTGGTCAGTAGCGTATTTTAACCAGCTGGTTGCCAGCCGCGTTGTCATCAAACTGCCCCGTCCCACAAAATGACAGCCAGCAGGTCAGTGGTCGCAGAAAGGGATGAAACTGGACGTATATTCTACACCACTGTTGGACATGGCACCGACATCTCAGCTAGGAAGGTACGCACCCTAGTAAGCCTCCCAGTCCTATCTCATCCCACAGCTTCGCAACAGACCGCACGTACCACCGATACTTCCCCAAACCGACTTTTCAATGAAAAACCCTTGCAAGCTCTAGGACGTAGCATCTCAGCGATATTCCTCCCAGCTGGATATCCAAACACTGTCACTCCTGGTAAGCACCTCAACACAACATTCCACCCAAACTCCCCCTCATGTAAACGCACGCAGATTATCTGCAGTCAGTAGCCTCTACTGCTGTGCGGGCGTCATGGTCTCAAACATGACCGTACCTTCGTCCCAGCTATCAAATGTACAATGATGTGCAAGAATTTTGCAGTTCTTTGTCAGGTTTACTGGCTTCCAGAGGCGCGCTCGAAGGTATACTCGCTCCTTCATGCAGATGCAACTTGAGTTCAATTCGGTGGTACAGGTTTTGGAGTGGGCAATGCGTCAGCATCAGCAACTCAGGCGCTCCTTTTATCAGTTCTGAAAGATGTTTGTTCGCGGTTCACAAGTAAGTTTTCCCTGTTTACTCCGCAACCATTGACATTGACAACGTCTTTCCAGCTATAATAGGCGCCTATTACTTTGGTACCTCACTATACCCCGAAACCAAAACATTCCGCTTTCTCGCAGACGTCATCAACGATACCTCCATTGTCCTAGATACTATATCCCCATATTTCACCAGCATATCCCTATCCTCCACATCTCCATATATCCCTTCAGGCTCGACTCTCCAAATCGCAGCGTTGTGTATGAGCGGAGCTATGAGATCTCTCTGCAGTCTCGTAGCAGGCGGATCAAAAGCAGCACTCACAGACCACTTCGCTTCACCCATGAACGGAAAAGGCGACGTAGGCGAATTGAACGCTAAAAACGCGAGCAGATCAACTGTGGTTGCGTTGACAGGTGTCTTGGTAAATTAAACCCTTTGAGCTTTGAATTGATGGAAATAGCTGACTTGACCGATATTAATAGCTTGGAACGCTTATTGTTCCTTATATCACGACCCGCACCTCAATTTACACCGCCCTTTTCTTTCTCGTCTTTGGCCATCTTTTAGCCAATTATCTTGCGGTGCGCAGTGTCGTACTCCGATCGTTTAATAGGCAACGGTCTAGTGTTCTTTGGAGTACATTCCGTAACCCAAAAGCAGGAGCGGACGCACGTTCTGTCATCCTGACCCCAAGATATGTATCAAACCGAGAGATCATTCTAGATATTCCCAGCTGCATCCGCGATGCAGTCGCCAACCGAGTCATCGGACACTGCTCATTAGGCGTATCAGTGCAGTACGCTATGACACGCTGCAACACATCGCACGTTCTCAAGATGCTCCAGCACTTCCAGGAAGAACCGTACGTTCTCTTTGTGGCGGAGTCCCGACCGTGGGGGCGACGCGGACCGTGTATCTTGGTGTCTTTCAAAGAAGGATACGGATCCCTGGACCAGTTACGTGCTTGGTTGCATGCACTGGAGATAGCTGCGATGTGGAGTACCCGGTACATGCATCCCAGTCTTACGAGTCCTAGTGACATCGAGGACATGGTGCTCTCGACACATGAGACCCTCAGACAGGAGTTCTCTCGTTTCATGGGATGCATGAAGGAAGCGGGGTGGGATATTGAAGAAGGCGCGATGATGATGGGGTCGCCGGGTAGTGTGATCATGTCGCCTGAGACTACGAAGGATGCATGATTCCTTTCTAGAGGCACGCAACAACACTCGGTTTGCGTGGTGTACTGTACACGAACATATGTTGCTTGATTTTCCCCCGACACAATTTGAGCTCGCTGTCCCCGTACTATCAACCCGAGAACTCACGCTAAAATAAAGCATCCTGGTGGTGTGAGTGTTTTAATGTGCATCATAATTGAATGGAGCAAGCGTCTTGTGAAAGGGGATAGGACGCCTTCGTCGTCTCACCGTTACTCCATTAGCATCTCGTGCAGACGTATAATACTCTGAATAACGTCGATCAGTCAGAAGAATATATCATTCTGCCCCTGTGTAGCGTGAAAAACTCAAAGGCTCTGAACCTGAATGAGTGAAGTAATACCTGCGAGAAAACAAAATGAGTCCTGGTCCCAGCGGCAGGTACTCACCATTTCGACGAAAATATTGCCAGAGATACGGTTGTCTGATACCTGCGAGAAAACAAAATACTCAAGCTGGGTTGATTCCTGGTCCCGGCGGCAGGTACTCACCATCTCGACATTGCCAGAGATACGCAGATCGGCGACATGTGAGATACCGTGATCAATAAAAATGCAGAGGTATGGATGAGATCTAGATAGGTAGGTGTGCATGATTCTTAAGTTGTCGGGTCGAGCGTCAAATTGCCAGCCAAGGTTTAGGTAGGTCGCACGATGGTGTGTACATGGGCAAAGTAGAAGTAGCTAGATACGTGTCGCTCGCACACGAAATGTGCGGATATTTCTCGTGTGCACAGCGAACGACAAAAATGCAGCTTGGTATACTGAGATTGGTGGCCTATAGCCTATCATATACAGAGCGCGAGTAATGAAATGTAAGTATAATACTAGGCTAATAATTCATTCACGTGATTCATTTGTGATTCTTCAAGCGTAGCGCAGTGCTGCGGCACTCAGTTTGAACAACAATATATTTTCTCAAAAATTTACAGGGAACATCTTCAGAGGTGTATCTATATAAATCCAAGTTTCAAGTTGCTGGTCGAGTGTCTTACGAAGCAAATTCGCAAATTCGTGATTCATTTACCGGTCGTCGACTCTTACGAAGCCAATTCGCAATTTTGCGATTCATTTACCGGTCGACCGAGTACTATATCCGATTCTGTCTTTCTTGGCTTCTTAACGAAAACCCATATGCGCTGGCAGCAAACAGCATGTCATGATATCCCTCTCGAACCGGTGTCGCTAGGAATCTTTGGAAAGTCCCATTCTCTAGGTCCAGGGTCGCGCCCAACGATCGTCAACTACTAGTGGCGGATTGTCAATTTTTCCACACCAAATTGCTAACGGACCCTGCTGGCATCGTAGATAGGCTCATAGTATCCATTGGAGGACAGAACGGCACAAGAATAATTTCAGGAGATCTTCTGACCTCGGATATTCACTTGGCTATCGAGGAGATTCCCGCAGATAGATTGTCCCTGTATCGCCATGAAGAACAATATTCAGCATATAAAAGCAAGCCATCTTCCTACTCACCTCTTCAGATTTATCTACCCCATCACAAACAATGCGTTTCTCCTCTGCGATTGTCCTCGTCGTCGTTGCTACTTTGTCATCTGCCATGCCCACTGATGATGGCACTCTTCTCGCTCGGAAGGCTCAATGTTCTACATTTTGCGTGAGGGATTCGCAATGCATAGGCTGCGCCAAGGGATATTGCGTAAGTATCAGTAGTCTGTGTCCTGGATTTAACCACATGACTGACTGGCATGGCAGACCCCCCTTTTTTGCCAAGTGAGTCCCGTTTCTGCTTTGACGTCGGCCCAGCATGGTTTTTGGCACTGACGCGCGAGTTACTAGTAATTTGCACAGTTTTTCGGCGTATTGGCTTCTAAACAATTTTTCTTGCCGCTCGAGTCGAGCAATAGAAATCTTAGCATGATATAGGGGGGTTTCTTGTAAATTGCTGTTTGTAACATGATAGCGTCCAGATGGCCCGACAGCTTTGACTGAAAATTTTGACAGTAGAAGTAACTTCCACGCACGGTTCTGAGTCTGCTGCGTGGGGTATTTGAGAAGAGCTCAGCAACAGTATGCGATGCAATTGTGTTAGCGCATGATGTGTGATTGCAACGAATTTTGTACACGGACATGATATAAGTTAACACGCAAGAGCAGCCACGAAAGCTACTGCTGAAAGTGAGCTTGGGTACAATATACATCTTTGTCAAGAGTTCTTCAGTTCTTCCTTGGTTCTCGTCAGCGTCGCTCCATCAACACCTGGCTCCAATACATCGAACAATAGAATTATCGCTTTACTCCTCTCCAGGCAGATGTGCCCCCAATAGGCATACCGAAGCTCCCAAAAGCAGCAGCAGCGCTTGGCGGAGTCCCAACATCGCTGGTTGGACTAGTGATGCCTCCCGTCGATCCTTTATGACCATGAGCTGCAACGCCGAACGAGGAGCGGAAGGAAGACGCCGGAGCGGACTGTATGGAGATGAATTTATTAGGTAGCGGTCGGTCATCTGTGTTGTACTGATAAGGAACCGTTATCAGTTGTGTTCCTATAAGGTGGCTAAGAACTAACCTGGAACTCGAGACCAATATTATCCGCTTCGGAGACGTCTAGAAGCTTTATAAGCTTTCTTCCTATCCCATTCAGCCTCTCGACGTCATCTTTGCTCCTCGTCCATACTTGAATTCTGTCGACCTTGCTCCGAAGACTAACCACCGCACCACAAATCTCGTCCCCTTCCTCGAGCTCTTCACCAACCAGCGCCATCGCAAGCCATTGCCAGCAGCGGTCTAGAAGTGCAGGATTATTCTTCATTGTCAGAACCCACTTGCCACCGTTGGAGTTCGCTGGATCCTCCCACATCGGCTTAATTCCCGATTTAAAAATGTGGTAGTTGGAATTACGGTCCAGTTTGGAGGGTGGTTTCAGCCAATTGAAGTACCGGCAGAAGCACTCCACCGTATTGAATTCTCCAATGACAGTCAGACCAGCTTCATAGTCTTCTGTCTCAGGTGGAGCTGAAAGGAAGGGTGTGCCGCTCTCTTCAGTAGGTGCCTTTTGATGAGCGAAGGGTGCTTTGGATTTCGTGTCATGGTAGATAGTCCTGCGCATGTAATTAGACGATAGCGCGGTAGACACATAATAAGAATATTCACCAAGGAAACTGTAACGGATGCTCTGGTGCTTTCATGGTAGCTCCTGGTGTCTTCGGATCCTCCACCAGCTCAGCTTCCGGCGGACGCGCAGACCCGTCAACGCTCAGCGATCTCGCTTTAGCCAAATGCGCCGTTATCGCGTCAAGAGATGGAATATTCTTATACCCCTTCACCTTCTTCTCTTTCAACTCCTGATTAAGCTCTTTAAGGTTCTCCTGTGTCAAAGGTTCTGAAGAGGCCAGTGGCGCATCCTCTGGTATCGATGGAGTTGTGGATTTCGGTGGTGTGGCGGCAGTTGTAGCGGTGAGCGCCGGAGACACCGAGCGAGTGGAAGGAGCATTAACGGCTATCGAGTCGTTCGTGGACGTCGTAGACAATGAGGTCTGCGATCCCGTGCGCAGGAGTGAAGCAGCGAGACGTGGGCGAGCTGGGGATGACGACGGCGTGTTTGCACCGCTGCCAAGATTGATGCGAGCAGCGAGCTGGTTCAAGGATGGCGGACGGACAGATGCTCGCTCAGGCTTTGGAGCGTGCATGGACGCTTGCAACGAGTTTGGTGGACTGGACATGGTGGTTAGACGCAAGTCAGCGATGACTCCAGATCAATCAACCGACAACAATACATCAACACCGCATTCAAGCTTTGACATCGTTTCAGGGACTCGCTGTCTGTCAAATTTTTCGACTTTCCCTTCGATTGTTCCACCGATTTGCGATCTTTTGGCGTCGTCAGAAAATAGGAATGTGATGGTGTAGGAATAGGTTTAAATATCCTGGCGAGTTCGATGTCGTAAACGCCTCATTTACTTGGAAACTAAGTTACCGCTCAGCTATCAAGTTCTTTCAAAGTGCGCTTGGCTGGAGGGATCCGCAAGCTCTAGAGCAAGTCCTTGCCAGTTTGAAATTTGTTCAGAATCTTCAGATGGAGTCCCTCAATTCAGGTGTCGTTGCGACCCACTACACGCAAATGCTACTAAATGATCTTACTACTACTGCCAAATTCAAAGCCAACGATTTCAGTACGGAACCCTCAGCTCCCCGATAACTCATTGCTCTGTCTGGTAATCTACAGTCACTTAAAGGTGGGTCCCTCACTGTCGCTGTGTCGTTTGAGTCCGTCCTGACTGATCATGATGAAGTTGCATGTTTATTATACTCGGTCACGTGGTACGTAATGCTTGACGCTGGCAGCATACGGTTCACACATGGAAGCTCAAGAACGTAACTCTTCGCTACTCACGCTCAATATACACTATCCACTAATTATAAGTAGGTTGCACCGGTACAGCGTAGGATTGGAAGTATTTAGTGTGCATAATAAAAATAGAAAATGCATGTCCCGATGGGGAAATTTGAAAAAGCTTACTGCTTTTCACCAACTAATGAGCGCACACGGGCAGTGTGACGCAAAGATTGACGGGCCTGATCAAGAGGATCATACTACACTGCATGAAACTACAGATTAATTGTTGTGGCAGGGGATGAGGTGGGAGTCAGCAGATTCTGATTGTACCACAGATACTTGAGAAGCACATCAAGTGCAGTTGGTTCTCGCCACTGTCTCGACTGAGGGTAACTGACATTGTCTAGATATGTATATACCAGTATTATCACACAAAACACCATGTTACACAATCATACAACAGTTCCACATCGCGAATCTACCTTGACAAACATTTCAAGCAACCTTCACAGCCCAGACACCTCTTCTCCTCTCCGAATCGGACCCTCATTGATCATGATGGTATGCTTGCATCATCAAGGTCTAGCTGAAAACAAACGAATAAGCGGGAGTGATGCCACAACGTGGCGGTGAAACGTACGCAAGCGATGATTTAGAGCGATTTCAAGAACTGCCTCGATTGACTCTGCCTTTGCCTGAGAGCACAAAGATTTCTTTTCCTTTGCCTGAGAGCATTGGAAATCTTCTTTTGCCTTTGCCTGAGAGTGTTCAAAAGCTTCTTTTGCCTTCCTCTTGAAGGGTTCAAACAGCAACTTTGCCATCCAAGCAGGCAGATTTCCTTGATATGGATAGACAACAGTCCTCACAGCTTCTTCATATGCGTAGGTGGCAGTCGCCACAGCTTCTTCATACGCCTGAATGGCAGGACTCACACCTTTCCTGACAGCAGCTGCATGCAGAGATGCCATGTACTGCTCGAGAGCAACATGAAATGAGGGATCAGACTCCTTGTCCTGAAGATAGCACCGCTTGTCGAAAATGTAGAAAGAATGTTTGAAGATAATGACAACAGCTAAATGGTCAATGATAAGCAGGTTCATCGCAATGTAGCCTTAAAATTCACCAGAAGTGAGCTGAACAAGATTCTCCAAGGGTGATGAGTCGGAGGCCTGGCAGATTCGCAACATGAGAAATGTATTTACAATCTGTAACCAATTAAACATACTGCACAGAGTAGCCTAGATCGTATCTCTACACGGTGATCTTCACCAAGCTGCTCCTATTGATGGATCAGCGATGTCATTCACTAGCAAGGCTCTGGACTCACTATCTATTGAAGGATGTGGGATTTCAATGATAAGCAAATCTCGAACTCAATGGAGGATCAGCACACTGACTTTCTGGCAATGGATGAGTAATGCCATTGGTGAACAGAGCTAGAGCTCGGATGAGGATGAGGATCGAGGGACTCACGTGCTGTCAACGGATCAATGATGTCATTGGTCAGCAACGCTCGGACTCAATGGCAGATGAACACACTCATGAGCTGTCAACAGGGATCAGCGATTTCATTAGTCAGTGGTGCTCCAATTCGACTGCGGATGGATGCGCTTACATCCTGTGAATGGATGGTCGATGTCCTCAGTCAGTATGGCTCGCGTTCAATGGTAGATCAAGAAACTCACAATCTGTCAACAAAGCGGTGTTGTGTTCGGTCAGTGAGGGCGACGTAGAATCAATACACCCACATCCTAACAATAAATCAGTGATTGCATTGGTAAGGAAGGCAGGAGATCAACAAAGGATGATCACACTCACAAGCTGTCAATGAATAGACGATATCTTCTATCAGTAGCTGAAAGTCGGTGGAGGATCAATGTACTGACCTCCTGGCGATAGATGATCAATTGCATTGGTCAGGAATGCTTGAACTCGACAAAGAATCAATGAGCTGACTTGCTATCAACATATCAGCGGATGATGGCTTGATTCAGGAAGGCTACACTTGATGGAGGATCAAACACTCACACACTTTGAGCAGTGAGCAAAGACTTCAATCAGCATGGCTTGAGCTCATTGAAGGAGGATCAAAAACTCACATGCTTTGGGTAGTGGGCAACGACCTGGATCAGCATAGCTCGAGCTCAGACGAGGATCAACACACTCACATTCTGCGAACGGTGGGCGACGACTTGGATCAGCATGGCTCTTGCTTGAATGAGGATCGACACACTCACCAACTGCGAATGGTGGGTGACGACTCAGATCAGCATGGCTCTTGGTTGAATGAGGATCGACACACTCACGTTCTGCGAACGGTGTGTGACGACTTGGATCAGCATGGCTCTTGGTCGAATGAGGATCGACACACTCATGTTCTGCGAACGGTGGGCAGCGACTCGGATCAGCATAGCTTGAATTCGAACGAGGATCGACACACGTACGCCCTGTAAGTAAACACCCAATGTAAATGAGAGCAATGTTCGAACTTTACGATAATCTTACCTGAATGTGTGGAAACCAGGCGCCCAAAAACCCGATTGTCCTCTGATAACCTTCAGATGTTGTTGTCTCTGCGTAGTCTAAACTTGTTGGGAGTATTCTGTGCAATATCAGTCACTAACGCTTGCGGCAGGTGAATGAGTCCATGGGTAGTTACCTCTCAACTGCATATTTCATGCAGATCTCCAGGTTGCTCTGCTGGGTCGAGACGAATAATTGCTGAAGCACTTCATTATCCAGAGTTCCAGCTGTACTCTCGATGAGTGTCCTGCAATCTGCATCATCCTTCTCCATGTCTAATAGATCAAAGGTCATTGTGTATCACGACTCGTCGACGAAACAGCTTACTAGAAAGGCATACATGGCATTTTTGAGGCCATCACACTTCCTTGAGAACCTTCAATTGTGGCCCGTTAGGGAATGACTCTTCGGCTTTTTTCGGGGCCAGTTCCTTAGTGTCTTTCCGAGATCTTCCTTCCGCCCTTAGCTTGCTGAATTCGACGTCGTATAGGGCGTCAAACTTTGTGAATAAAACTATCACCGGTACTGAGGATTGTGATTCTGCGCATTAGTCGAATGTCAATGAGGATGGGATATGAAAACATACTGCTTCCTGTGTCGCACTCAGAGAAGAATTTATTTTCACCTGCAGTGAACGACCTGCATGCTTTGTCCATGGGAATGCAGTACCTATGTCAAATCTGTGAGGTAACGCATTGTCACGATTGATCGGTTGCAATTACCAGATAGCATGTAGTTGATTCGTTATTTTGATTTCCTTAGAACAGCTCATGATGAATGCCTTGACCTTTTCAAATTCGTCTGCACCGCCTGCCTCAAAACCCTGTGAATCATGGAAAATGAATCCCAGGTTACTTTTGAACACCATTTCAATCTCAATGTCGTGTAGTCCGCGCTGAGAAGACGTCAGCTCATGACATCGACTAAGAGCACACCTTACCTCCCTAGATGCCGTTAAAACTCCAACATCGATCTGATGTCGATGAGTCAGTACCATACTCCTACTAGCAATGTGATGCCTACCTGTTCCCCGCACTGTTGTATATTTTTGGATTATCCCGCGTGTTGTAAACTCTCTGGAGTATCGTCGTTTTTCCTGCATTCGCTCTTCCTATAACGAGGATTCGAAAGCAACCGATTTTCTCTCTTATCCTTGAGGAATCCATGGGGGAAGTGGTAGTAAATGTGAGTCACGGAGAAGCGTTGATGTAGCCTTATAACCATTGCAGGGTGTGAACCCGGCAAATACCCAACCCTAAGCTGGCATCTAGATTCCGAGTCAGTACTTGGGCAATGGGCAATGTTATTAATATAGGAGAGCTGTGTACCACGAGGCGCACGAAGTGTGTTGGCACTTAGGGTTTCAATTCATTAGTTAACTGTCATAGGCGTGGCAGCTTGTAGTACTTGTCCAGGCCTATGATAACCTGGCTATGCTCGACACGCTAGCTGAGCTTTTCCCCAAAAGATGTTGCGTCCATCATTGGACCAGTTTGTTTGTGAGCTTTTGTGCCGAGTCCATGTCTTTGTTGCACCATCTGTTTGCGCAAGTTTCCAGTCAGCTAAAAGACAGACAGTTCCTTCATTTACCCTTGAACTTGAAGAACCCTCATGCCAAGTCCAACTCAACTAGTGCTGCCGAAGTTCGGTTTGGTCTGGTTCTTAGGCCTCTAAATGCGAACCCCGAACTGGACCTATGGTCCGGTTCGGGCAAGGAGGGCGAACATTGGACCGGACCCTTGCAAACACGTTCACAAGTGTTCGAACCCCCAAACACATGGAAATCACTGGGCTTACGGGTACTACCCGTACTGTACCGTATATCATACAATGTATTCAAAATGTTCGACGGTACGGTACGGGTCACTGTACGGTCATATGACCAGCTATACGGTCATATGGGAGATGAAACAACATCACTAGCACTCGCGGTGGGAGAACAGAGAACAGTGGGCATTGAGGTAGGTTGGGAGTGGGCAGCGCACCTTGTTTGTCTCCTCGACAACTTTCTTTCTCCCATTCCTCTTCTCCTTTCTCTTTTCCCCAGCGTCTTCCTTTCTCCTTCACCAAAGTGTTGTCCGCATTCAGCCTTAGCCACACCAGCATTTGCTGGCGTGTGTTGGGCGCATGCGCTAGACACTGGTTGTTGCTGGAGTGGGGTAGTGGTTGCAGCAGGTGGTGGTGGTGGTGGTGGTGGCACAGTTGATGCTGGTGGTGGTGGCGGCACAGTTGATGCTGGTGGTGGTGGCGGCACAGTTGATGCTGGTGGTGATGTGGGCGGGAGAGTTTACAACATAAATGTCCTGCATAAACAGATTAGCAATCTGTTTGGAACGGCTGAGGCGATTCAAGTATTAAAGACCCCCATCCAGAGCCGAGTCTACATGCGCAGCGTACCTAGATAGTCCTCGTATGTCACTTCTAGTAATGGCATGCTGAAGGTTTGGCAGCATTGGGTTCAAAACAGGCTTCTAGAAACATGTGAGATGGAGAGAGATGTTCGCCATGAGACTTTCTCACTGCCACCAAAGTAGTCCACTGTCAGATGCACCTGGCGCTAGTTGCAGATCTGAGCACTTTGCATGGTGAGTGGCTGCAAACAATACATAGACGAGAGTGGTTACAGGCACCCAGCACGAGGGAGTGGATAGAGACATCCAGCAGGAGGGAGTGGCTGGAAACACCAAACACGAGGGAGTGGCTGGAAACACCCAGCACGAGGGAGTGGATAGAGACACCCAGCAGGAGGGAGTGGCTGAAAACACAACACGGGATGGTGTGGCTGGAAACACCAAGTGCGAGGGAGTGGCTGGAGACACCCAGCGGGTGGAAGTGGTAGGAGACACTCATCGGGAGGAAGTTAACTATTTCTCGCATGAGTCAGGGGGTAACAGACATGCAAGATCTTCAGCGAACTGCAAGAACCAGAGGAAAGATTATCAGTCCTAGTATAGATAAATAGCAATAAGGGTGAGTGGATCATCTTCAGAAGTCCCACTCGGTTCAAATGGGTTCGGACGGGTTCGGACGGGTTCAGTATTTTCAGGCATCAGCTGAACCCCGAACCTGATAATGGGTTCGGTTCTTGCAATATGTCGAACCTGGAACCGAACCTACGGTCCGGTTTGGAAGGGTTCAGGTCCGAACCAAAGTTCTGAACTGGACTCCGGCAGCACTAGACTCAACAGCTATATCACATACCATGTTTTCTATGAGTCCGACTGCACAGTGTTGGCCAGAAGTTCGATGGGCGATATTAATATTGATATGGCTGTATACCATGAGGCAACCCTGTGCAATGCTGAGGTGCACACGACAAGTCCTTGCAAGGCCAACGACTCGGATATTTGAAATTGGTTCGCAAGCGGAGTGTGGAGTTAGATTTAATTTTATGTAACAGAGAACTTCGTGCAGCGGCTGTGCAGCATATGGGTTCTCTTCTCTGCCTACTATTGGCAGGTTAATTCTAGCAAGCTCCGGTGTCCTGTCTGCAGCCTGCTTTCTTTCAGATTTTCTTTTCTGCTACAAACTCCGGTAACCTCCAACGGCCCAGATCCTTGTGTGCACCAAAGGCATTGAAGTCTGGTGTGGAAGCCGGCTATGAGTAGAGAGCACTGGCACACTGATCTCTCAAGCTCACTTGTGTAGGAAGTTCACTGTTATGAACTTTTGTTAGGTTCCTTACCCCAAACCTTGATAAGTAAAGGAACCATTCACCCAGTCACCATGACGCCTTCTACCAGTGGCGAGCGTGAGCACCATCCTTGCCAACACCTGCTGCCGTGCGCATGTAGATTCCTGCACTTTCGTGGACATGGATACTTGCATTGACGCAGGTGCTTACACCGACGTGGACTCCTGCATTGACGCAGATGCCCGCTGTAGAGACTCATGCCTCTCATTGTGCAATATGGCAGTTTTCACTGGGGAGTACATGGCACGAACTTGTAGCATCACTCTGTGTGCTACCTGCAGCTATCTCTATATGAGGCGCAGCTTTCCCGCGCAACGCGCGCCATGCACGCGTACCTTTCCCGCGCTTCACGATGTATATGCGCGCGCGCTTTCCCGCGCTGTAGCGCCCTATAGCGCCAGCCATCCAGAAGCATCCATCCACTGTCCACCAAGTTCCCTAGTGCGTATATTTCCATTTCTCACATTTGCATATCGTTCCATCTTTATTTTTATCATGGACCCTTACTTACATATATCTTTACATACCTTACTCGGTAGCGCTTCGGCTCCGCATGACAGCGCTTAGGCGCCATACTTAAGCGCCAGCAGTACATACTTACAAAAGAACTTACTCTCCCACCAGAACGACAGAGGACTTACTGGTTACTACCCACTATTTACCTAGCAGAACATAGTAGAAATCTATTTGTTTACACCTCGCATCTCTCTTCTCTTGTCTTACATCATATCATCACTTAAGCAAACTCACTCTTACTCTCTCTCATATCTGTATACACGCGCACGCTTTCCCGCGCTTCACGCCATACACGCGCGCATTCCCGCGCCTTGCGCGCACCTGCGCTTTCTCGCGCTTCGCATTGGCCAACCAGTAGCGCTTTCAGCGCATACCTCTAGATCCTTGCTGCACTCGCTTCCCCTTTAGGGTTGAATGCACTTGTCGTCTCAAGTATAGCAGACTAGGCAACGCGCGACCTTACAACATTTATAGATACAACCAGGAGCATTGTTCGTGCCTCACTGTATCGTTGAACCTTCACCGCACTTGTGCTCACACGGATGCCTTCTTACTACTTTTGCTACTAACTGTCTCATGTACCCTCACCTCCATGTGTCCCCTTGCGGGCTTGTACAATTTAGGGATTCAAGATTCACTCTGGTGTGTCGCATTCACTCCTACTAATGTGGAATAACCGCTCACCTCGGCTCACTCCTGTACAGGTCGGGATCGCTATCAGGGCCCTGCTTGCAACCAAGCAGACATTTTTCTCATTCTCAGTAACACAACCGCATAAGAGCACCCACACAGTTTGTATCTACTAGTAAGCACTCCATTCATAAATCACACGCACGGTTCGATGAAATAACGAGTCACCATGTCCAATGAAGATGAAGCAGGCAATTCTCTCCTTCCATCCTCTCCAGTCTCACCGCCAACATCTGTGAAGAAGAGACAGGTAAAGTGGAAGCACAAGTTTTTAGGCTCGTGAAAGGTCTCGCATGTCGTTGCAGGTGTTGCAATATCTAGCTAGCAGTTGACAGAACGTTTGGATGGTGTGAGGTATATCCTCTCATCAATTATATCATCCAATGGTGCGCATGCAAGTGATATTGGAAGGTGTTACGCTGACCGTCGGTCGGTGTGTGCGAACTAGGATAGGTCTTCTCAGCGACGACTCGAGTGAGTCTACTGAAGCTGAGCGTGGTCTAGCCTTGACAGAACGTCAAGGATTCCTCCGGCGATCTCGGTAAGATGGCGCTCGTCGAGATGCAGGGCTAGCGGATACGTGCTAAGTCGTATGGGGGCGACTTAGAAGTGCGGTCTCACACAAGGAAGCTGGTAGGCTTAGATGAGCAAGTTCTGGGGATGAACCTAGTAGATTAAAGTAAAGTCTAAGTACAATAATCTGTGTCTACTTATAGGGAAGTACTACAAGTATTCTAGCTCAGTCTGTAATCAATAGTATATCGTAAATCTATGATAGCCAGACATGAGGTTCAGATAAGATACATGAGGCTTAACCTCTGATCAAGCATGCTGCGCCAAGGGCAGCTGCGCATAGGTACAGGAAGCGCCAAGCGCGCTCCGGATCTTCATGAAGCGACATGTGGTATACATGCGCTGATCTAGGGTGTCCATGAGGCGTACAGCCTCCATGGATCAGGTACAAGGCCGTCTAGGCCAGGGGTGGGGTCATAGCGCCAGGGGCGGGGTCACAGCGGTCCAGACCACTGTCTTTCTAGGCGCGGGCGGCGCACCGCCGCGCAGGGAGTCTAGCAGAGCGGGGGCAGGCGTAGGGAGAGCTGGGGCTCTAGTAGGTGTTACAGATCCCTGTAACAGAAGGCATGAAACAGATATAAGTAGAACATGGATTTCCGAGTGGTGTTATTGGGTAGCATAAGAAAGAGTGCAATGATGAAAATGGTAGTCAGATGGTGCCAAAAAATGTACTCAGTCCGTCTCCTCAGACTCGGGGCTTCCATTCAAAAGATCGAGATAGCTGTTAACCTCATCCCACTGCTTCACAAAGTAAATTTCGAAGTCCCATGAGTCTCGCTCAATGTGAGGGAGCATGGGGAAGAGGATACTGGCATTAGCTTCAGCATCTGCTAAACGAGACCGGGTCAAGTTCGATGATTCTAGGGTGGTATGTTGGAATGAATCGACTGTGAAATCGATATCAATTCTCACGGCGCCCATTGCTACGTCCAATCTAAACAAGCAGGGACCATCGAGAGAGCACGGAAGACACTGGGTACCGTTTCTCTATCCGTGAGCAGACGTGTAGTCAACTTGCCATGGCTTCCAAAGGACGGTTTATTATCAAGGTTGAAGTAGCAATGAAGAAAGTCAAGCTGTAGGGTCCGGAGCTGAGTAAAACCAAAGAATTGTGTGATCACTGTCAAAGAGCTGCTCGAGGGCTTCCTGACTGTTGGACCAGGGGAGGTGTTGAAGGTAACTTGGAGAGTGTGCGACAGAGTTGCTCAGCCTCTGTCCAAGACAAAACACTGGCTTCCATTACAAACTCTTCCAGTGAGGGGAATTCTGAGGATGCAGCCATTTTTACATAGAAAAAAGACCTGTGAGGTTAAAGTTGGCGATGTCCCAGCCCAAATTAAAGGCCAATGAGGAGGAAAACAACAAAATGGGTCGTGAATAACCGATAGATTTGGTCAAGTTTCTGAGCTTTTGTTCCGAGGCTTCTTTGATCGGGCAGACAAGTTGTTGTTTGATTGATCTGTGACCATGATAAAGTAAATACACGAGACCAACAAACATCTTTGACAGGGGAGATAAGTCGAGTGTGATTCAACAGGAGATAGATGACCTGAGTCTATACATATCACAAAATTATAGATGCGGCTAAAAATAGCTATAGCCGAGTTCCGTCAAAATATCGGCGAACAACGAACATTGAGCTTGTTGATTGAACCGGCGGCCAGTGATCTCGGTTGAATTCGAGCTGTGCTAACCTTGTATAACGTGTTGATTGCCTACCGAGTCATTTACCGCTTACATGTCACGAGCGTGTCCCCAGTCACAGCGATTCAAAGTACTAAGCGATGCGTTTGGAGAAGGTGTGACGATCGCGGAATAAAGTACAGCGATAAGGAAGATGCGTAGGAATACACGGTGGGCACAAACTGATAGATGACAGCAATTCTCTCGCGCACATGAACATTATGGGAATCTGCCTCTGTGCAGTCCTAAAAGCGCTGGAGCATAAGCAGCGGTGTATTCCTTAGGGACAGCTTTCTTATACGCGCTGTTTCTTCGATCTGCCTTTCACTAACACTAACCGCATGACAATATACACCATGCTACCAGCCAGCGCAATAACCTGTGATCCACTGAATCAGAGACTTTGATGGAGAAAACGGTATCACTCACCCCGGAGAACAGCGCGGGTATCCACCAAATATAGTTTGATGTCAGCAGAGCGCCAGCTATAGGTGTTCCTAGAATAAAACTTAGACTTTGAAGCAAGTGATGTCAGAAATGCACTTGCCGATCAAAATCCCAAATCCTGTAGTGAACGCGTGCAAGTTCGTAACAGCTTGGGAGTGATTATAATCTGACAAGACTCACCGCTCACGAAAAAGGATATGCCCATCCGTGCACTGTGACCCAGTTTAGATGATTTGGGCGTCCAAAATTAAACTATTACTCACCCGAGCTCGGACGGGTCAGATGTTAAATCAGCTATAAGTGGGGTCCATACCCCGATGTCTGCACCATCCATCAACCCATAAATACAACGAGTAGAAACAAAATTACTTACATAGCCCTGCAAAATATCCATAAATCACACCAAGCGCTATTGCGCTGGCCAGATTACTCAATCCAATAAAGCCCAAGTTGAGTACACCGCACGAAATCGTCGCAACTATGGTTAAATTCGGGACTCCTGTGTAGGCTGCGATGAAGCCCGACGTGACTCGTCCCACAGAATTGGCAGCATTTAAAATAACTAGCTAACGATACAGTCAGTAGACACATCACATGCATAGCGCTGGATCCCACAGAGTAAAACGAGAACGTGGTGCTGATGCCGTGCTGGATACAGTCGAGTTGAAAGAAGAACATCGGATAGTAGAGGCCAATCTGGAAAAGAAAGCCCCTACAAGATGGTTATTTGGAGGAATTCGAGAAAAGGTGCTTGGCAGGTCTCACGCTGCGGTCATTAAAATAAACGGTACGTCGCGAATACACTTTCTAGCTGCCGCAACGTAGTTTACCGGTGTCGTCGGCGAATCAAGGCGAGTTCGCATGCATAGACATGCGATTAGAAGGAGCACGGTGATCAACCCTGCGCTTGCACGGACGCCATTGGAAAAGCCGAGAGGACCATTCAAAAGGTGATTAAGCATGATCGGATGGATGGTAGCGCCCAATGAAGATCCCGTAGCGACAAATGTGAGAACCAGCGTGCGTTTGCGTCGGAAATAATGCGCAACGACAGCCGTGCTCGGGACAAACAAGAGCCCTGCCGCGATACCTGAACCTATCCCTTGAGCAAGGAATATCTAAACAAAGTCAGAAGATGAGACCGGGGAGCTGGGGAAAGTTACCTGGTAGTACTGATCAGGTTTTGACAAAGATAACATGAAGAGAGAGAAACTCTGGAGAAGTGATCCGGCAATCATAAGATGGTAGCTAGTCAAGAGTGCTGAGCATCATCGAGCATGTCCAACAAAATGACACTCACAAATATCCTCGGTCATACAGTGAACCTGATATGAGGCCTACAGATGTGAGTAAAAACATGTTAAAGCTCCCTATCCATCTACAAGAGACGTTGAGGATGCGCGCCGTGAAGACCGAAGTAGAAGCTCACGATATAGCCGACTGATGTTTCTTTTGTGAGGTAATGTTGGGTATAAAAATCTGGAGTGTAGTTAAGCATCCATCCGTGCTATCATCCGTGCTATAAGTCACGGTACCTTGATATACACCAAATGAAGTGGCATAGCTTTTAACTCAGTCATACACCGTTCTTGACTAGCACGAGTAATAGACTCACCCGAAGCCGCTGAACTGCACAAGGAACCTAGAAAAATCAATCAAGACTCAAGTTTATTGTCCAAATAACAATTATTACGATCCAAGGACAGTTATCCAAGCTGCCGGACCACCTTCAGGAAACTCGTCCGAGAGTGAGGGAGGATCGGACCCCTTGGTGACCGGATATGCTTCCACTAGTGTCTCCGAGGCTTGTTTATCCTCATGGCAAGGGGCTCCTGTATGAGGCTTGGATTCAGACGCCATCGAGAGCTGGGACAAACGACAGTGGCGACTGTATATATAGTACATGGACCGTCACCTGCATCGAGTCACGAGTTATGAAGCCTGCCTCGGCTTCACGGAGGAAAGTGAGAGCGTGTGGGAAACGTAAGGTCGATGCATTAACTCTGCAACTGACACTTTAATTTGTCACAGCCTGATGATAAGGTCAATGAAGTTGAGATGAACCCCCTACATTACCTTATACGTTCGACATTGTCAGCAAGATTTGACAATCTGTGCAAACGGAGCTAACTTGGTTCACATTATGCTTGGCCACCACAGGAACAATATGTCAAACCACGGAGGCCAGGAATATCGTACGTGGGGCGTTGAGTCCGAGTTGTACCCCGGTTTCTCAAACAACGGTACAATTATGGAAGCCCGGACATTCGCGTATTAGAGGGCTTTGTTGACGATTGTTGACAATACGCGTACGGAGGATTAGCGCTTAGCCTCCGGAGCTTCTTTACCTTTTCTAATACTTATCGTATCTTGGCACATATGTCGTTCTGTCGTTCTCACCGGTAACTTCCTACGTCTCGATCGGACTTCCTACTTGTATGTTTTCCTCCACGTAGTTTCACCTCAGACACTGAGGTATGCCTTTTCTTCATCGCTAGTACTTAGTCTTGCTGACGTGTATCCTATAGATCTTGTCCTAAGTAGATTCAATTGAAGCACGTCTCGCTGAGATCTTGTCTCAGCTTCGTACACATCAGCGGTGTCCTTGGTCCTAACTGTATTTTAGCTTACGCGAGTGTCCGGTGTAACGGGACGGACTGCAAGGGGAACCAAGGCCAGACCTCTAGCGGGAGGCTACGGCTCTATTATCGAGGACAGACTACGACACGCGCGAGGACTACCGACTGCGAGCCAGGACACCTGTGACCTAGGCCTGACACCGCGCCCGGACACCTGCTACCGCGCCCGGACCTGCCTAGGTCTGATAGGACGCCCCGCTCCACCGCACAATCGGGCCGATGATGCTGATACTATACTCGTAAGCACAGGAGACCAAAGTATACTCATAGTATCCCCTGGACCCCTAGTGGCGCACAGGGCACTGATCCCACTCTATCACGCATGGTTACATATTCCCTCGGAGCATTGTTCCACATACGTCATGCGTCATGTGCGGGACTCTAAAGGTCGTACGAACTCAAGTACCGAGCAAGTCTAAGTCAGGCTGGTTTGAGCCTGAAGATATCTTCTTTATTAGATGGGGCGTTTATGTGTCCGCTGCTATGGGAGAGTAGAAATCGAATGATAGACAGATTCAAAGCTGAGGTTTCGCATTAAATTGATGTGCAAAGACTGGGAATAATAGGAGAACAGCGGAATGTGTACATGGCATGTAAGTATCTGGGCAAAGCCCCGAAGGGGTTTCCGGCCAGAAACAACCCTTCCGATGAGCTGTGCATGTGATTAATTGATTCCCAAATGCATACTTAGACAGCGTGAGTAGCTGTTGTGTCATAAGCGATGGGAACCCTTGCTTCTCGTTCGCTACTGACACTCGTCACGACCTCGTTCTGTACCACAGTACAGCTTTCACGATAAACCAAATCACCTTTACTTCAGGACACACATCAATATATCCTAATGGCAGCTATCGGTGCCCAGGACATCAGAAAAAGAATTGGGCGCTTCCGAGTTCTGATCATGGGGAGAGCAAACGCAGGCAAAACGACCATCCTTCAGAAAGTCTGCAACACCACGGATCAACCAGAAATTTACAATGCCAAAGGAGACAAGGTGCGGGTGATGAGTGATCTATGCCATGCACGGGTCTATCGCTCATCAATTACGGGTAGGTCGACGCTGCCATCGTGGAATCCTCGCTCGGGGTGTGTGCATCATTTGCCCTGTGTGAATACGTGCGCTGACAGACGCTCAGCGAGGAAATCACGACATCACAAACGAAATGGTATTCAGAAGTAATCCTGTTTTCGTCTTTCACGACTCGTGCGGTTTCGAAGCGGGCACTGATAAAGAATTCGAGAGCATGAAGAACTTTATCTCAGAACGCGCACATGCGACGAAATTAGAGGACCGAATACATGCTATTTGGTAAGTAACACCCTTCTGACGTTCCGCGCTTGTTGATTACCGTCAGGTATTGTATTCCGATGGACGAGCATTCTCGAACGTTTCAGCGGTCAGAGGAGAAGTTCTTCTTGGAGTGCGACACTGGGAACGGTGAGTTTGCAACTTCATTGTCACTTGTCGTGCTTGGACTAAATGATTAATCTTCAGCTCCTGTGATTGCGGTGTTCACCAAGTTTGACGCTCTGCGTGCAGTTGCGTATGGAGATATCAAGAAGCAACTACAAGGTGTATCAGCAGAAGAACGCTCGAAGAGGATTGCCCAGCGCGTTGAGGAACTATTTGCGAATACACGCGTCTTGGAGAAGTTGCGCAAATCTGAAAACCGTGCCCGTTATAAGTCCTATGTACGCTTGCAGTGTAAGTGGTTCAGATCAACTTCTCCCATGTCAAAGTCAACATTAGCAACCGTCCTAGATATGAACAAACAGGATACAAACTGTGACACTCTACTGGAAAGCACCACTCTCGCATTGGACAATGAAGAATTGCGGTTGTGCTTGGTATCGACGCAACAATCGAACCTAGAGCTTTGCATCAAGTGTGCTGTGACGTGAGTCGCAGATTTACAAGTCACATATGTTTGTTCCAACATCATCTAGAATACTCGTGGATCGTGCGCATCAGCTATTCGGGCTACTTCTATTCGATTGTGGAGCCTATCAATATAAAATTGCTAGGTGGTTTCCACATCTTCAAGTAAGACAAAGATTGATTCAATCTGATGATTCCCTGGTAATGATGCTCACGGATGGGATAACAGCTGGTAAGATTGGGATTTACGAAGCTCGAACAGGATGGACAGCGCTGATGCCTTGTTGCTACTCGCCTGTTGACAGTGGGTAAGTGCCTTGATGGTTTCTAGTCATCGACCCATGCTCATGATCCCCATCCCTCGCTGCTGCTCGCCTGTTGACAGTATGTAAGTGCCTTGATGGTTTCCAGTCCTCGTCCCATGCTCATGGTCCCCATCCCTCGTTGCTGCTCGCCTGTTGACAGATGGTAAGTGCCTTGATTCTAGTCCTCGACCCATGCTCATGATCCCCATCCCTGGCTGCTACTCGCCTGTTGACAGAAAGTAAGTACCTTGATGGTTTCTGGACCTCGACCCATGCTCATGATCCTTATCCCTCGCTGCTGCTCGCCTGTTGACAGCCGGTAAGTGCCTCGATGGTTTCTAGTCTTTGGCCCATGCTCATGACCGCCATCCCTTGCTGCTGCTCGCCTGTTGACAGCCGGTAAGTGCCTTGATGGTTTCTAGTCCTCGATCCATGCTCATGATTCCCATCCCTCGCTACTGCTTGTCTGTTGATAGCGGGTAAGTTCCTTGATAGTTTCTAGTCCTCGACCTATGCTCATGATCCCCATCCATTGCTAATGCTCGCCTGTTCACAGTATGTAAGTGCCTTGATGTTTTCTAGTCTTCGACCCATGCTCATGATACCCATCCCTTGCTGATGCTCGCCTGTTGACAGAACGTGAGTGCCTAATGGTTTCTAATCCTCCACCCATGCTCATGATCACCATCCCTCGCTGCTGCTCGCCTGTTGACAGCCGGTAAGTGCCTTGATGGTTTCTAGTCCTCTACCCATGCTCATGATCCTCATCCCTCGCGGCTGGCTCGCCTGTTGACAGCGGGTGAGTGCCTCGATAGTTTCTGGTCCTCGACCCATGCTCATGATCCCCATCCCTCGCTGCTGCTTGCCTGTTGACAGGAAGTAAGTGCCTTGATAGTTTCACATCCTTAACCCATGCTCATGATCCCCATCCCTCGCTGCTGCTCGCTTGTTGATAGGTGGTATGTATCTTGATAGTTTCACACCCTTAACCTATGCTCATGATCCTCATTCCTCGCTGCTGCTCGCCCTGTTGACAGAGCGTAAGTGCCTTGATGGTTTCACACTCTTAACCCATGCTCATGATCCCCATTCCTCGTCTGTTGACAGGGGGTAAGTGCCTCAATAATTTCTGGTCCTCGACTCATGCTCATGATCCCCATCCCTTGCTACCGCTCGCCCTGTTGACAGAGCGTAAGTGCCTTGGTTTTTTTTAGTCCTCGACCCATGCTCATGATCCCATCCCTCGCTGCTACTCGCCTGTTGACAGCCGGTAAGTGCCTTGATAGTTTCTGGTTCTCGACCCATGCTCATGATCCCCATCTCGCCTGTTCACAGGAAGTAAGTGCCTTGATGGCTTCACACCCTTAACCCATGCTCAGGATCCCCATTCCTCGCCTGTTGACAGATGGTAAGTGCCTTGATGGTTTCTAATCTTTGGCCTGTACTCATGATCTCCATCCCTCGCTGCTGCTCACCCTGTTGACAGAGCGTAAGTGTATTAATGGTTTCTGGTCCTCGACTCATGCTCATGATCCCCATCTCTTGCTGCTGCTCGCCCTGTTGACAGAGCGTAAGTGCCTTGATTTTTTTAGTCTTCGGCCCAAGCTCATGGTCCCCATCCCTCGATGCTACTCGCCTGTTGACAGAAAGCAAGTACCTTGATGGTTTCTAGTCCTCGACCCATGCTCATGATCCTCATCCCTCGCGGCTGGCTCGCCTGTTGACAGGAAGTAAGTGCCTTGATAGTTTCACATCTTCAACCCATGCTCATAATCCTGCTGCCCGCCTGTTGATAGGTGGTATGTATCTTGATAATATCTTGTATCGAAATGGTACTGAATAGTATGATGATGTTCACTTGTTTTCATAGCCCAATGTAAGCATTTTCTATTCTCTCAGATGAATCGAATCATCATTACTCATATAATGCATAGTTCGTTGAGTGTCCATCCTTGATGATTTATTTTCCATATTCATTTATATTTCTTGTCCTGTGCAGAATGTGAGTCATTTGATCCTTATAACGCGAAGCATCAAATGTATCAATCGTTTTGATTCTTTCGCTATAGGATGTGAGTATCTTCCAATCGCCAAAGGTTCTTCTAGTCACATAATACCTTGTATTCATCACGTGCTCGCAGAATGTGTGTTAATCATGTCCTGTCTGAAATGATAGTACTCCACTGACAAACCATCTTATTTAGCTCGTACGTCCATGGATGGTATTCACCATTATATAGTGATGCTCATCAGGTTCCAACCCCTGACAGTTTGTAAGTTACCTGAGCACAGCAGTCATGGTCTACAATCTGGTAGTTGATTATTCACAACTGTCGTATCAACCAAATAGAACGTGCGTCTCTGTTATTAATCAAATGTTAATTTGCCACCTCATGACTCTGACATTCGTTTCCCGCAGGAGGCAAGTGCTTTGCTCTGTGGAGTTGATTCTGATACCCATACTTTCAACCTGTGGCTAGGCCATAATCAAGCGAGAGGACATTATCCGCCTTCTTCGACCTTTGGTAGGTCGGTTTTCCACATTGATTCTCAGCGCTGTAAGAGTGCAACAGGCTGCAAAAGGTTCATCAGTCGCGAATCAAATAATTCAGACTGGCATTGGTTAGTTTCTCACCGCATGATCAGTTATAGTCTTGATGACAGGAAGCAGCTACTATTATCGTCCTCGAGTACTCCGCCTTTCTCCCGAACCACTTGGGGGACTTGGAGCGCGTCGTCGAGTCTGCCGTGGACTACTACCTGAAATCTCCCACGGCTGTCGCAGTGGAGAAAGGAGCGAAAGAGATTTCTCGTCAAGGCTACGACAGAGAGGAACTGGGGAAGAAGATTCTTGAGTTCATTCTTGAAAATCGCTTGTGTACGTCCCTCGCTTGGTTTGTGAACCTAGAAGTCGAAACTTACTGACAGCCTGCAGCAAAGGACTTGACTGAAAAGAAGTAGATGATGCTCGAGCCAAGTTTTCTGTTGTTCGATGCATACTATGCGCTTGTATTTTGTACGATACGAAGCACGCCAGTTTCAACTCCTGAGGCCTGAGCGGTGCAGACTGTGATGTTTCCTTGTTTCTGATGCTATTCCTCATGCTATCATGATGTACTATACTTGGCACTCCAGTTTTAATTGCTGAGCGCTGCAGGCTGTATTGAGTTTCAACACCCGTTTGTCGTATTTCATCATATCGCGTTCTGTTTGTGCTATGTAGATTTAGGCTTGCACTCGTCAAATAATTGTTGTTCATTCTTATTTTCAATCATGATGTGCCACATACGTCATGCGTCATGCGCGGGACTAGCTGGTTTGAGCCTGAAAATATCTTCTTTATAAGATGGGGCGTCTCTACTATGGGAGAGCAAGACTGATCTGAATCGAATGATAGACAGATTCAAAGCTGAGGTTTCGCATTAAATTGATGTGCAAAGACTGGGAATAATACTAGGAGAACAGCAGAATGTGTGGCACACGCCACGGCAACCGCATTGTCGTTGCATGACTAGACTCTCAAGTCGCTGGATTTGAAGTTGAAATAGAGAAAGGTTGTTGAAGGGCAGGCCGAGGAGCTGAGCTGGAAACATATGGTCGGATCGAATGTCGGACAGCTGAGATTTCACAGGAAATTGTTATTGTTGTACAATCGAGATATCAGCAGAGTGTGGCCCGTGCCATGGTGATGACCAAAGCACAACCCACACTTGGCCCACACTCTCAAGTTGCTGGTTTTCGAATTGAAACAAGGAGTGTTCGCTGCTGGGGAGAATTACGAAACAGACTTATTACTTTTAAGCAGGGAAGGGAAGATGAATTGCTGCGGCATTTGCCGCTTCCTTCAGGAACTACTAGTTCAAGTCACATCAACAAAAAAATCGTGCATACTTACTGCAAACCACATAACAGGCCAGTAACTCTTACTACAACTGTTTCCTGTTGTCATGAATACAACGGTTCAATAACCTTTCATGGAAAGTTTCCTTGTGCCCATTCTGACTCACTCCAGGTCTGCGTGCACATTTTGTGAGCAGTTAGTCAGTATCGTTGTCATATTTGCGCAGCACGAAGCGAAGTCCCCACATCTGAGGTCAGTCTCATACTGCAATTTGACATTTATTAAACTCTTGACCTTGTAGTCCTCAGACTTAAGCTAAAACTGGACGACCCTTCTAATTCACGGTGGGATTCGACTCGGAGATTTGATTCTCAACGTTACCGAAGTCCGTCAATTTTCTTCTGGTCTCGCCAACTCCAGTTTCTGGCAGTGCCGCAGGCTCAGCTATAAACATGGTACGACAGAAACTTGGTTATTGTGCTATATAGCTAAAGCTATAGGGTCGGTGAATATCCTGTATTCAAGACAATATTATGGTATAAATCCGTTCGAACGTCCATGGCAACCTAAGGAATGTCCTTCAGGTACCGTGTTTCAAGACAACTGACAACTGCTGTTAATCTGACGTAGTCATGTTGCAGTAATAATAATCCTGTTGCAAACTGAGATTGACCGCACTGTTGAATCGAGTAGTGGCACTTACCGTGAGCGTGTAGCAACAAGATGTTACGTAGCCACTTGTGCAATTCCCCGAGTAGCATTGGCACTGCTCATCATCCACACTCCCCGGTTCAGACGAATCCTTTTGCAACACAGGTAAGCACAGGTGTCTTTCTACGCTCATGGATCATTCTCACCTCCGCGCAGCAACGAAGTTGGCCATCACCACAACTGACATCAACGACCATAGCATAGACTTGGCAAAGGAGAAGGAAGATAGCAGAAATCGTGAAGATGCGAACATACATGTCGATGCATAACAAGGTCGAAGCGAGTGCTGTTCCATGTGCCTTTTAAACCTGTCGGCCTCGGGGTGAACGCTTCCATTTCATCACGGAGCCAGTGACACTACAAATTGGGCAGTGTTGGTACTGGAAGTTTAAATTTGAATGACTTCATGTCTGATGTCACTAGGCGCTCCCCGAGGGCTCCCCGAGGCTGCATGGCAGTGGCTTCATAACTGCGGCCCTTACAGCATGGGTGGAGACGGGTCGCAGGTGCCCACATGTTACCCTTCCGAAGTACTTCGGCTTCCAAAGCTCCCAAAAATAAGGTGCGTATGTTACCTGATCTACGGCAGAGGTCAAGACTTCCAGCACCGCTCGGTGAGGTCTGCTCGTGTACATATAAGGTTAAGCACCTTTCCATCGCGTGTCTACTACTGCCCACCACGCCCGACCTGCAGTCTCCCGCTACCTACCAGACCACTCGGGTAAGTGAGAAGTAAATTTGCAGCTGATGAAGTTTTCCAGGTCTTGTCATTACGTTCTTTTGTTACGCTGCACGCACCTTGTTTTTTTCGGGAGCTTTATGGAGCCGAAGTACTTCGGAAGGGTAACCAGGCGGCGGGCACTCAGGTTCATTGTTAAGATTAACCGCGTCTGGACATCGCCGAAGCTCTATTTTTACAGACAACCTGGACAGCTCCATATATACCTATTGTTCGATCCATTCAGTAAAATTTACAAACAGCGACACACCGACGACGATGACCGTGGTGGAGTGGTGGAGTCCTATCTCAGCCAATGGCCAAAATCCGAGAAGTCTCGTAAGCCACAAATTCTAGCTCAAACGAGATTAATCGGCAAGCAAATAGGGCTTGAGGCCACTGTGTACGTACTACTACGTACCGTGAAGCTGCCAGTGGCGTTCGATCATCGCACTAATTTCATATCTGGGCCCAAGCACCAGTATAGTGACGCGCTTTACAAAATCAAAAGAACCAGTGGCGTATCGCAGTACTGCCTACATAGTTGTAACCCGATTTATCCCGTGACATGGACAGCGAAACAGGCTATGTCAGGTGAGCAATCTCTACATTGATATCACCCGTGTCCAAGGGCAGCAGTGATCAGAACAGTTAGGGAGAAGCAAAGGGTAGTAGATGCGATGGGGTGTACTGTCTGTCGATGCCTTTTGGATATTTGGCTCTGCCGTATTTGACAACTACCCCAGAGCAATTCAAGATCTGAAGAGAAATCGCCGACACAACTTTGATCAGGATATATAGACCAAGACGATCTACACTTGGCAGGTGGGATGCTTGAGGGCAGCCGACGGCGCTGCGCATGTCTCGCCTTGGTTTATCTTCTCTAGCTAGACCTTTGGTTCAGACGAGAATGATCATTTGTTTTCGAAAAGGCGAGTGCATTGCTGAAAAGTGGTACTTTCGTCTGACACCTTTTTGCATCAAGACGCTGCGAGCTTCGTTACGGCTAAACTGTGGAACATCCTGACGAGCCAACAACGCTAGTACAGTCTTTTTTGTATCATATCATCTGGCCTGGACCTGTCTTGTTCCCAAACATCCTGTCGAAAATATTGCACCTCTACTCGTCCGTTTGATAGCAACATAAACGGGGGTGTGATAATGTTTGGTATTTGCCATTGTCGTGATTATTTCACAACTATGGCACTAATGGTCGCTCATGCACTTAAGTAGACACATCCACAGTATTTAAGCACGAGATACCACCGTGCAATTGCATTCACCACGTCATGCTGTGTTGCTGCAGCGTGCGCCTGTCTCGTTCTTTGTTCACTACAGTACCATGGCGACTTCTGCTTCGTCGTTGGTCTTCAAAACAGAAGCAGGCGATAGGAAGAGCTTTTGGCGATACGACGGATTTATTGCCACTGCAGAAATGTGGGATAAGTATTCGTGTCAATGAGAATGAATTTCGGAGCATGGTGACCCACACTTTCTTGGCGCGGACCGTCCTTGACCTGTGAAAGGATCCATTTGCTGACGGTCAATTGTATATGGATTTGTCGAGGGTCAGATCTTCAGAACGCGAACAGACACGCTGTGTCTATTTACGGAGACGAACGGAGGACAAGACTGCAAACACTGGATTCAGTGACTTGCCACTGTAGACACTGTTGAACAGAAAACAGACGACCGAAGACGTGTCCTTGTAAATATTAATACTGCACTCACTTGCTTCCGCAAAATATTAACTGAACTTGCGCTCTTGCAATTTTAGGATGACACCTCTCGTGAAAGAGCATACATCGTGGGGGTGTGCGAGAGGGTTGCAAACCTTTTAGAGAATTTGGTGAGGCGAGTCTTCGTATTTACTCCTCTGCACATTATAGTATACTTGGTCACCCGTGGGTGACTTGGACCCGTACCCCCTGCGAATTCAACCACCAATCCACCCATTTCTCCTCACCCCAATGCTCTGACCTGGCGGATGCGGGTAGCCCTCTGAAAATTCTGGTATCTATGGTTGGGTGGTCAACCCGTGTCATACTCGCATGACCACGCAAGAATTTCAGAGGAGCTGGCCAGGGCATTCCAATGGATCAACGAAGGATACTATAGGTTGACTCTGATTGGTTGAACATATCCCATACTGACGTCCTCGTATTTCGTTTCTACACATCATACACTTGGTCACGGCGGGTTTAACCACAGTCCACCCACACCCGCGATGCTCTGACCCGGCGGGTGGATGCGGGTAGCATGATACGCCGGGTCAACCCTATGTCATGTACAACTGTCGCGGGAATTATGCGATGAGGATCTGCAACTCACGACAATGATAGCCAATGCTCAGTAGTTCTATGCCCAATTCCCAATAGACCTTGGCTGCCAATCACGATAAAGATGTTGAGCGCGTTTGGTACCAAGTCGGCAGCGGCTAGTTGGAAATGCGAATGTCCAGTAGTTCCATGCCCAGACTTTAGCTGGCAATATCTGCTGGCATTGCAGTATTATTTGTATCCATTTAGAAATAGACCACGTACGCAAGAGCAACATTCAGCACATAAAAGCTAGCCGTTTTCCTGCTGTTTATACCATCCCATATCACACAAGTCACTTGGAAAAAATGCGTTTCTCCTCTGCAACTCTCCTCGCCGTCGCCGCTGCTTTAGCATCAACAATCTCTGCCCTGCCCGCCGACACGACTGGGGCCGAAGTCAGTTGTCCCAAGTCGTGCTTTTTTGACAGTCAATGTGCCAAGTCTAATTGCACTGACGGGCTCTGCGTGAGTATCAGTAGTTTCCCTGGATTTGATACATGACTTACCTATATGGCAGGACTTTTTTTTCTGCCACTGAGGGCAGTAGAGACGATGAATATCAAGTGGAATTGGGTGTTACAGTTGTCAGTTAGAGCTTCACAACTTGTAATCGCGTGGGCAACACGGGTGCAGGAGGAACATATATCGATGAAACAGTGGCCATGACGGAGACCAGATGCAAAGATCCAGCCATTACCTGAGAGTTGCAAACAAGCTTGGCGTCCACACTTTTGATGAGGCCGCGGGAGGAGATTCAATAATCTGGTACTCAATTCCCGCTATAAGAGTCCTCCTCAATTGCTGCCCTAAACACAGCTGTTCTTGGTGTTTTGTTCGCACGGCCCTTAGTCTCTGGTCAAGTCTTAGCTGTAGGCTATGATAGCTATAGCTATGGGGGGGCTGGGTCTATTCTTATGTGGTGTCATGCCTTGAGCAAATATATGTTGGAGCTTGGATGTCGACGCGAAGCCGGAGATTGAACATTTGGAATGCACTGCTACTATACATGACCGGACCCTCATGTTCACCCTCTTTCCTCAGTCCGTTATCTGGGGATAGAGGGTGCGTCTCTCACTTTGTCTCTCACCCGCCGTGCACTAACTTGTACCTAAGTCTGACTTAACGTTGGGCTCTAAAAGGTTATGAGCCCTGACTCCGCATAAGGAGTCAGAACCTCTAGACGCACAGGGGACCCTCGAAAGGCTAGCCAGGGCATTCCGATGGATCAACGGGGGGTACTATACTATGTTGATTCTAATGGATTGGTTAAACATATCCCATACCGACGTCCTCGTATTTCTTTTCTGCACATTATACACCTGGTTACTGCTTCAACCACGAGTCCACCCGCACCCGGCGGGTGGATGCGGGTGGCCCCATGATACGCCAGGTCAACCTATGCCATACCCGGCACGACCACGGAAAAAGAATTCCATAGGACATTTGAAAGGCTGGCCGTATTCCGGTGGATCAGCGGTGCACGCTTCCTGCAAATTATACCTATTACTGTAAGGAACCATACTCAGGACATAAAAGCAAGCTGTCTTCGTACTATCCCGTCAGATTCTGATCCCACATTACGTTCTCACTCACAATGCGTTTCTCCTTGGCAATGCACCTTGCCCTTGTTGTTGCTTTGACATCAGCGATCTCGGCCAAGGCCATTGACGCTGACACTCAGAAATGTGACTGGTTTTGCCACCACAGTTCACAATGTAACACCTGCAGTCGTAAAGTTTGCGTGAGCTTCTTTATATCCTGTATTTGATGACATGACTCACTGGAACGGCAGTACTGGCACATGTGCTTTGTGGGTCGTATTTCTTCTTTCACATTGGTGCAGTATGATTCGTGACACTGACGCGTGAGTTGCTAGTAATTGGTGGAATCAACGAAGGTGCATGGGGAAAATTTACACTGTGGGTTTACTTACGGCCATTTGTATATCGGAGCTGATGTGAAATTTCGTTCGCTTTAAAATGTTAGATAAGACGTGTGATGACACAAAAAAAAATACTATCGAGGAGCGTGCACTGCCAGCGATTGTTGCTCCTGTAGAATCTCTGTGGATGGGCCTGTAGTTTGTACAATTACCAGTATAGCTAGATGTTGCTTCCAGTCCTACGAAGTATACAAGTGAACGCGACAGATTCTTGCTCAGTACACCAATAGTTAATGTACAGCTGTCGCGATCGAGGATTTGCAACCCACAGCGACGATCGCCAATATTCAATAGTTCTACACCCAGTTCCCAATAGACCTTGGCTGGCAATCACAATAACTCTGAGATGTTGAGCGTTTTTGGTACCAAGTCGACAGCGGCTGGTTGGAAATGCGAGTGTCCAGTAGTTCCATGCTCAGAATTTAGCTGGCAAGATCTGCTGGCATTGCAGTATTATTTGCATCCATTTGAAGGTAGACCACGTATGCAAGAGCAACATTCAGCACATAAAAGCCAGCCGTTTTCCTGCTATATTATCCCATCCCGTATCACACGAGTTACTTGCAAACAATGCGTTTCTCCTCTGCAGCTGTCCTCGCCGTCGCCGCTGCTTTAGCATCAACAATCTCTGCCCTGCCCGCCGACACGACTGGGGCCGAAGTCAGTTGTCCCAAGTAGGGTATAGCACGGGTACACCCGCGGGTCGGAAGATCAACACCGTACCCGTACCCGTCAACACCGTACCCGTACAGATACGGGTACGGTATTACCCGTACTAACCCGCGGTATGGCAGCTTACCCGCGGTGTTGCATTTACCCGCGGGTACACAAACAAAAAATAGTGAAACTACGTAGAATAACCTTATCCAACGCTCTCGTCCTCTCGTTTTCTTTTCTTCAGAGACTTCATGATCTTAGTAAGGTCCTCGGGCGCTACCAGATCACAGCAGAGCCATGAGCCAAGACAGAGGAATGCACGGGTTGATGCTGGAGACAAGCGGTTTCGAGTAAAGTGCAGAAGGTGCCGGCCTTGCGAAAATACATGTTCAACTGCAGTTGAGGTAGCTATGGTGTGTGATACATAAGCTGTGATGCTAGCGAGAGCGATGGTGCACAACCTACCAGGAATACTAAGGTAATCAAGTGCCATCCGGTGCAAATTTGGATATGTCTTTTGATTATGGAGCCACCATTGCAGCGGGACTTTGGTATTCTCCACTGGTTGCCGCAAATAGTTGTCAAGCTCATCTACTAGAGATGCCGCTATGCCAAGAGATATGTCACCAAAGTCATCAGCGCATTGTCGCACCTTGTCTTCTGCCAAGACATGTGCAGCTGGAGTCGAAGGTAAGACCTGGTCTTTGTAACGATCTATGCACTCTTCTCGAATGAGATTTTCAGGCAGCCTCAATTCATTCATCTTCCCATTTTTGTAGTCGGAAATATTCGAGCTTCAGGCCAGGGTGGAGAACTAGCGAGACATGGGTCAGCACAAACCACCTCATATTGAAACAATTGACAACTTATGCTCACCTGTTGCGATGCGATACTGTGTTTGAGTCATCAGTCATTTTCCAGTATCTATCCATTTTCTTGCGAGCAAGTTTCATCGCAGCTTGGATGGCTGGTTGGAACCCCTCTTTCGTCTCAACATTGCTCATATGGCTATCGAGTTTGTCCATTGCAGGTATGACTGCATAGACACTGGCCGAGTTGCGTGAAAAAAAGAGGGTTGCTTCGACCTGTGGAATGATAAGCTTAACACGTTTTGCAACATTGTCTGCCGCTATGGACTGCGGACTCGATGATGATACATCTGAAGTTTCTGAACGCGTAGACTCGGCTGATCGAGGCCGTCTGATTGACCATAATGATGGAGTGAATGGAGGGAGTATTGAGAAATGTAGAGTTAAAGTGATGTATATCGAAGCAGGACAGGCGGGACCTAGACAAAGGTGTGAATATCTCAGTATTCGCATTGAAGACTCTCTACTAACAAATTCTATACCTAGATTATAAGGTGCGTGCGTCAGGTACTGTGATATAAGATAAAATGGACTGAAACATTAGAGGGCGCGAGCCGACGTCGACAGGTCGCTCACCAGTGCCCGTTTTGGATGCGCATCTCCCCTTGTGCCTGTTCTTCGGCCATCCCGTCCTTTCCACTCTCGGTTCTATCGGAGACACCCGTAAACATACCCGTATACCGTGCTAACGGGTACGGTATGACCACGGGTACCACATCTCGACACCTGTACCCGTACCCGCCATACCCGTGACCCCCATACCCGCGGTGTGGCCCATACCCGTGCTATACCCTAGTCCCAAGTCGTGCTTTTTTGACAGTCAATGTAACCATTCTGATTGCTCTCTCGGGCTTTGCGTGAGTATCAGTAGTTTTCCTGGATTTGATACATGACTTACCTATATGGCAGGACTTTTTTTTCTGCCACTGAGACGATGAATATCAAGTAGAATTGGGTGTTACAATTAGGGCTTCACACCTTGTATCGCATAGGAGAGATGTGTGCGGGGGTAACATATGTCGATGAAACAGTGCGTGACTGTGGTCATGATGGAGACAAGATGCGAAGACAAGGGATCCAGCCAAGACCACCGTCCATACCTGTTAGCCCTACACGAATAAATTTTGGTGTGGTATGAACTAGGCAACGAGGGGACTATGATCTAAAGAGTGTAGAATGGAAAGACGTGTCAGAGCGCAAATAGTCGGTATAGTATGAATAGACGCCGGCTCGGTGTCAACCGTTATGCTGTTGTGTATTTGCAATCATTTGCTGACGTCATTTTACCCGGATCCACATCTCTTCCACTAGGGGTTCGCTGTGCAAACTTATGACCTTGCTCCGGAGAATTTTTAATTCGTGCGAAACGGGTTACGCAACTTTTCGTCCTAGGACGAAAAATGCCGTCAAGGCAAAATAGACCAACGCAACGTGCAGTATCTCGTTCTACAAGTACCCGATTGCCTTGTGCTTTTGACAGTTTGACACAAACACGACTTCCGAGCTCGCAGCCTCGCACTCCACAGAACAACTTTTTGCCATTCCTCCGAATCCCAAGATAAATAAGTCGTGTTGGGCCCTTCTCGTGCTTCTTTTTTAAAACTACTGCCATGTTTATCGGATGTGAATCAGGTTCAGGCTGCGCGCTGAGCGGATCGAGCACTTAGCAAAGATATATAAGATGTCAGTGTGTGATGAATCCTTTTCTTACTCTGTGATCCCTTCCTAGCTTCTCAGGCCTGAAAAGGCGCGCTGACCGTGCGCGGTTTGTTTTCTATAGACTTGACCGTGGTCTTACAAGCCCCGTAGTCGCGACGGAGGGATCACTTCGAGTTTATTTTTCGGCGTCTGACTTTTGGTCTTTTGATCCTTATGTATAGCGTCTTTGGCTTTACAAAGGTCCTTACTTTGTGATCGGTATGCGTTCACTACAATAACATTTTCACCGTCCACCTGCACCTGTTTCATGATCAAAATACTACCCTTTCGAGTGATATTTGTCTGGTCTCCGCACAAACTCGCCATATTCGTGGGAATCGGGTCACGCAAATTTTCGACCCAGGACGACAAATGCCAAATAGACCAACGCAGGATCTAGCCGCTCTGTCATCGTGCTTAGAACTACTTTTTGCCATTCCTGTTCAAAAAATATCTTACGTCGCTCAGTGTCATTACAGGCCTCGTCGGACATCAAAAATCTGTGTCACTGAATTGTAAACCCACTGTCAACCAACAGTCTACCAGGAGCCCCTCAGAGGATGCAAGGTTAGGGGTCTGTTGAATTGTGTCACTGATACTCATCCGCACCGTAGTATTTCAGAACCACGATGTGACTACAACCATTTTGGACAGCCTCAGGATATCGGATATAGTCGCAATGAGCCTGTACTTGTCGGTGCATGAGAATGTTGGGCCATGAGGTGGTTCGGAGAAGATTGACACGGCTGTTGGAACCATTCGCGAGGCATCGTTTGTTGACTTTCCTCTCAGCCCTGAAGGACGCTGAGGGTGTGATAACTGGTTCCACTGTATGGGCCATGGTGGAACACGACGAGGACTACATTAGAAGGGATCTCAACATCATCGTCCCATACTGAGCATTCGCCGCCTTACACAGAGCAGTGGAGGACATGTTGGGATTTACACCCATCTCGAGTGTACCCCATCCAGCTCTGGCGCCTAGCATCGGCAGATTTTGCAGATATGCGTGTCATGAGCGATTTATTACGCTGTCTGCATCACACGAAGGGGAGTCTGTCCTACACATCATTCTCAATGCCCCAACGACTGCGGATATGCTGTTCATGACCACCGGTGGAGTGTGTTAGTGGAGACAGGAACGGCCTGGCTTGGGAGGTCCTGTGGCAATCTGTGTCCTACATACTGGCACCATGTCGAAGAGAGACACCTCCGGGCATCCATTGATTGGAATGCAGAAGATTCTGTAACCAACGTGTTCCACAACGTCGACATCGAATGGCGGTTGAATACGGTGTGCATCAATCCAAAATGTCCACATCGTGTAGAGGTGATGTCGCTGAACTTTGAAGGTGTTGGTGCGCGCAACCGTGAGTTATGTTAAATTCATCCCGCCTGAGATACGATGTCGCAAACCGGTGAGCAAGGATATGGGCATTTGCTAGATGATGCTAACCTAGAAACGCCGCGAGCGGTTTAAACAGAAATCAAGGGTGTATTCTATGGAGCAGGCTGCTACCGGCCGTTCCTCGTGCCCATTCCAGTGCGAGACGGGGTGGAAAGGTCCCCCACACTGGACGATCTCGACGTGAGCTATTGGGTGAAACAGCGGGACCTGTACGAATGCACAGTGACACGACGCCACCTTCGTCGCACCTTCAGTGGAGTGCCCGGGTTCAATGTGACCATGGATGGAAAGTATACATTGTACTTTGAAAAACGTCAGCCTTTGATGGCTCCAAGCTGCGTCCTTAGAAGAATGGGCAGCATGGGTGGCTGTCGAGAGGCGCTTCATGGGAGTGTGGTACTTGTCAAGCAAACCAGAGACACTCCAAACGTCATCGTGGATATGACGAAACAGGATCAATTTATGGCCAATTTCCTGATATCAAGGTATGCTTCAGAGCGTTGCAGATCACGACGGTGACTGAAGTAGCAAGCAGTGCATTACATTATGGTGTGTTAGCATAGAAATAAACAATGGCCTTAGTGTATATACAGAACTACAGAGGGTTTCGTGATCTACCTCTGAAGCGGAGATAGGAAAAGGATAGATCCGGCTTACTTGGGAACTGGCATGTCAGCAGCGCTATGATTCTTTTTCGACGCCAACATTCCATTCTAACTCTGTCTACCAACATTTTGATTTTCTTTGTTGACAATGGCAATGCAAGATATCGTGTCTGAAGACGTTGCACATGTCATGCAATTAGCGGAGAGCCTCACGATGAAAGAGATCATCAGTCAAACAGGACGTGGAGCTTTCACCCGAGCTCAACAACGTAAGTGGGCCGATATGTTGTCCGTCATCGAAAAATCCCCTGCTTTGCAGAACTCGATCGCAGAAGCATTCAAGCGCAAGCAGCACGCCCGTGCCGATCAGAAGACAGAACACATCAAATGCGCACGATTGACTGTTCCCACCCCTCCTCTTGACTCAGCATATGATTCGTTTCTTCAGGATGTCGATGAAACGGTGAAAGAGAAATGTCTAGCCAATTTCATTGATCGCACAGGAAACGTACCACTTCACAAAGTCACCTGCGTCGTTTGTGCTGGTGAGTACTTCTCTTCGGAAACTGAACTTGTCGACATCGCCAATCTTTCCAACCTTCATCTTCTTGTGCCTTCAATACAATGTCGCCATCCCGCTCAAGAGACTTTTAAATCCATGTTATTGTATATGCCTGCCTTGATCAATCCCAACGGCGTTCCCAGTGGTCATGTTTGTTCGGCGTGCATGCATGATTTGCACCACAATCAAGTGCCGTCTCATGCGTTGGCTAATGGTCTTTGGGTTGGAGAGGTTCCACCAGAACTGGGCATTCTCACTTTGCCAGAACGCCTTCTTATAGGTCTTCATTTCCCCTGCAGCTTTCGTTATCAAATGTACCCTCAAAAAAAGGGAGCCAAAAACTGGGATACATCGGCTCTGAACAGCGGCATGCGTGGCAATGTCTCGACCTACCGTCTCAATACTCAAGACATTTGTGCCATGATCGAAGGCAATTTGTTTCCTCGACCACCTGACATCCTATCAGCTACCATCGGAGTCAGTATCATAGGCCCAAACAATCTACCTGCTCGTTGTCTACCATCCATCCTTTTTGTCAATCGACTGCGTGTGCGAGCTGCTTTGTCATTTTTAAAACAGCACAATCATCTTTACCAAGGCATTGTCATTTCCGACGAAATACTTCAGTGTCTGCCTGAAAATGGTGTTCCTTCCGAATTATTGTCCATCATCAAGTTTTCGGCCGAGGTTGATTTACTGGAGCAAGAAAGAGAAGGATATGTTGTCGAAGATGAGGATGCAGAAGGTTCGTTTGCTCATGTTCACTTTGTTCTTGTCTTCATAGTCATGTCACAGTCACTTCGTATTTCGACACTCATGTTAGCGTACAAGATATAGTCGACGATGATCTAGAAAGTTCCCCAACGAGTCAGTATTCATGTCAAATAGCTTCTCTCTTGCTCAACGCCGGTCTGTGTCATCAGTGAACTCTAATGTCTTTCCTCTTCAAGCTCATGGTGTCGTCGATTCAGAGGTACAGGATTTACCCAACAATGAAGTACTGGCTCATGCTCTCGCCAATACTTCAGCTTGTGGCCACGAAGTATACGCGGTGAAATATGGGTCGGAATTCGTGAATGAATATGCCCGTCGTAATGCCACTGGCGATCATACGAGTGGAGACTTTGCACACCCGAATCATCTTCTTGGAGCGTTTCCTTGCCTTTTTCCATATGGTATGGGAGGTTTTGAGATTGACCGCCCTTGTTCTATCTCGTATGAGAACCAAGCGAAATGGACCATGAGATATGCGGACAAAAGGTTTAGGAAAGACATCCATTTCATGTTTCAAGTCTTTGGCGTCATACAAAAACGTCAAGTGTGTCGCGCAGCTGTTCTTCAAGTGGAAAAGAAGGCCTTTCATGCGAACGAACAGGCTTTTCGATCTTTGACTTCGCAAGATTTGCTGTCAGCTAGTGTTGAAGAATCCAATCATCAGATGCATTCCAATCCTATAGTTCGATCTCTCAAACAACACGTCAATGCCGTTCGGACCAAGGTGATCGGAACCGATGAGTCTCGAACTAAGATACATGCTTTAATCTGGGGTATGATGATGATGAAGAACCCTCCGTCATTGTGGATCACCATAAATCCCAGTGATACCCATGATCCTATTGCACAAGTGCTTCTGGGTGAAGAGATCAACATGGATGCTTTTGATGTCGACGGAGGTCCTGATTCGGCGCATCGTGCTATCAATATCGCGGTCGATCCATATGCAGCGGCACAATTCTTCCACTATACGATTCGTGTCGTTCTCGAAGAAATGTTAGGCATCACAATAGCGAGCAATGGGCATATTAGTCGCAAGAATGGCATCTTTGGGACCGTGGAAAGCTACATAGGCACCGTCGAAGCTCAAGGCTGAGGCACCCTTCATTTACATCTTATTGTTTGGTTGCAAGGTCTTTATATTTTTGTCTGTGTCGCACAATCTTTTGACTTCGCTCCAAACAGGCGCTCCTTCATGTGCCAAAATGAAAGAGCTACTTCAATCAGATGCATTTCGAATCCAAGTGGCTGAATACATCACTTCCAATATTCGAGCCAATCACAACGACATAACAGAGCAAACATTGGCTATTGTGCCACGTGAAAGAGCTGTATCGTATTCTCGCCCACCAGATCCTCGGTTGCCTTCATTTTCATCACAACGGCAACGAGTGGAAAAGCAATTGGTTCGTGCCGTTCAAATTCACAAATGCGGCCCAGGTTGTCTCAAGTCATGGCGAGGTCGATTGTTTTGCAAACGTCGAGCACCTTTTCCTGTTGCTGAAGAATCCTGGATCAATATCAATGGTGAATGGGGACCTCGGCGACTGTATCCGTTCATGAATAACTGGAACCCATGGCTATTACTAGCCATTCGCGCTAATCATGATTGTAAGCTCATCACGAATGGTGGGGACACAAAGCATATCAGTTGGTATATCTCGACATATGCTGCCAAACGTCAACAACATTCTGCCAATGCCTCTGCATTACTGGCTAAAACAATTGCTTATCATAAGCAGAATGAAGCCCATAATTCAGATGTCCAGCTACTCAACCGTCGTCTTATTCAACGCTGCGCGAATTCTCTCAGTCGGGAGCAGGAGTTCAGTGCTCCGGAAGTTGTATCCTATCTTGTTGGATGGGGTGATCGATATGTGTCTCATCACTTCGAGACTATACATTGGAGTTCTGTCACTTCACTTCTCAAGAAGACTTATCCGCAGTTGTGTGAGAGCCGGTGAGTTGCCAACTTCTTTAGTAATCTGTTATTAATACATACACTCCATCTGATACTAGATCACATGTCATACAGCGTACTGCAGAAAGTGGAACCGTTGATGTCAGTGATTGTTCACCACAGGCAAGTGACGTCAGGATGTTCATCATGAAGTTACACCAACCTAATCTGGCGCTGTCTCTAGAACGAATATGCTGTTCTAGAAATGCATGAAGGCTCGATACGACTGCAAGATCAAATTCATGAATACATCGACCGTCCTACTGAACTAGAAGGTTTCAATTATCTCGAATATTTCTTGAACACTTATGATCTTCGTACGCACTCATCAAACTCCGATCTTGTACCAAAGAGGAGCGATGCAAGTATTCATCTCTCTTATAAGGAAGGGATCAGTCATGCGGGACATGTTCACACTCTTCGCCAAGACAATCACGAAACCATTCCGCACATTCCAGGTCCATGGTTTCCTCATGCTGATGATCCTGCGAGTCATTCTTTCTATTGTGCTTCGATTCTCGCCCTTCTTAAACCTTGGAGGAATATTACGCAGTTAAAAGAGGCAGACGAAAGTTTCATCCATGCTTACGAGACTTTCATGACCTCTACATCATTCTCCATTCGCAACATTGTCAATAATCTTCAGTATTTCCATGAGTGCTCTGACAAGGCTAAAGAACATGAAACCACATCACCAAGCATCCCGCACGCTTTGGCAGGATCGACCACGATTTGATGAAGATTTTCACACTGATGAAGAAGAAAGTAACATCAATTCCAGTTACCGAGGAATCAATCACAGATGAAGACATCATGCGTGCTGCTAATGGCACATTTGGTTCTCGAGAAAGGGTATATGCCGATGTGGCGATGAATATAGCGGAAGAGTATCGCTTCTTTGAGCGAAATGCTGAAGAAAACCTGGCGGTCAACGAATTAGCCAATGTTGCCACGGATCAACAATGGGCGAATTATCTTCAGTGGGATAACATTATCCATAATGAACCTCACGCACAGAACCTTTCCGCTATGGATGTTCGAGTGGATGAAGGTGGTGTCGCACTTCTTCAGCATGCTGGCAGTTTTCGTGGACACAATGATTCATCTGTTATGAGGATTCAGTCGTCGTCACCACCTCATTCAGCTATTCCTGATTATCTCAATGAAAAACAGAGCCTAGCTTTTCGCATTGTCTACAAGTATCTGGGTGAGTGTTACGCTGATCTTCAGGATGTCATTAAGGTGAAAGTTCTGAATTAGATGAAATTTTGTGCGGACGACAGCCTTCTCAATTGCTGATGCAAATCCACGGCCAAGGCGGAACAGGGAAAACCAAATTGTTGCAAGCTATTACTGAAATGTTCGCGACCAGAGGTTGTTCACATCGGTTGGCCAAAACTGCATTGTCTGGAGTCGCTGCATCTCAAATCAGGAGGTTCTACCTTGCATTCATGGGCCACCATACCGGCAAATGTGAAAGGCTTGCCAACGTCAGACTCATGGATTTATCATCCAAATGTGGAGGCTATGAGACGGCGAGAGAAGAATATGCTGGATAAAGTCTTGTTGGTAGTTGATGAAGGCAGTATGCTTACGACTGATTTCCTGAGCCTTCTAT